CCCTCAATCCTCCCTCTCCCTCAATCCTCCCTCTCCCTCAATCCTCCCTCTCCCTCAATCCTCCCTCTCCCTCAATCCTCCCTCTCCCTCAATCCTCCCTCTCCCTCACCAAATACACCTACCGACATCTCCCAATCTCCCAATCTCCAAACCCCCAAATTCCACCGAACAGTCTAGACCAGCGATAGAGGGGTCGATTTACCCCGCGCTACAGTACCACATGAATCTAGGGGTCGCAGTTGCACAACTTAGCCGGGCGGAATCGGATGCGGGGCGTTTTGTGTGTGTGGTAGGTGGGACAGGGGAGAGAGGGGCGAATGAGAGGTTGATGGTTATGAGGGAGGGAGGTTGGTTGGACCTTGGGTTAGGTGGTGGTGTTGAGTTGAGTACGTACCGACCGTCAAGTGTTGGTGTCGTTCTTGGTATATATAGAAGAAGATTGAGGTTTGGAGTGAGTTTAGAGAAGATTTATTGGGCGAGAGGTTGTTTTTTCTGTGCTTGAAGATCTGGGAGTCACTGAACTCAATCTTTTAATTGTGTGGCGTTTAGCGCGAAATCCGCAGAGTGCGCGGATTGCGCTGGTTGCGCTGGTTGCGCTTAATGCTCTTGAAATGAATGAAGCTACGAGCGTATATGTATATCTTACTTTGATCGATTTACTTTTGAAAGAGAGTTGGTGTCTGCTGTCCTTGAATGCTTATTATTCTTTCTCTTTGATGATTTTCTCTCGAGATACTCTTTACTGTCAAATGAGTTAGTTCCTTCTCTTCCTGCTAATGATCTCCTCATCTCTTCAGCTATTTCCGAACAGTTTTGGACTACGTCAGATACAAGTCCTTATCCAGTATCTAATCAGATCTTTGCGTACCGTAATCCATTCTCCTTCTGCAACCAGAAGGCACAGAAATATCTATCTATATCTTCCCTCCGTACTGTGCTGCACTACTTCGGATCCCAAACCCAATGAGCAGTATATCTAACTTGCGTTTCGACAAAGCCGTCGTAACATGAAAAAGAGGCACAGCAATTGTTGGGTCATCGTCGCGAGGGTTGTGTTCCGATTGAGCGCCACATGCGCTTCGTTCTGTATTCAGTTGCTGACGCCGTGTTTTTGTGTTACCTTGTTATCTGTCTGTGTTACTTCGATAGTGTTTTGTTAAGAGAGTTTTGGGGTCTCGAGTGAGAAATTGAGAATGGATTTCTTTACTTCTTTCTTTTGGCTCTTTAGTGGGAGATAGGGGCGAGTTTGAAAGTATAACTCACAGAGTTGAACATTTTTGTCGGAATATATCTTTCCTGTTCTTTAGAGGAGTAGCTCATTGCTATTGGAAAGAGCCTATCACCGTGGCTATTCTACTCAGCTTTGCCATACCTATCTTCCACAGCACCTCTCAGTCCTCTCTCAACAACCTCCAGAATGTCTTCTCCCTCAACCCAACAAACCTTCCTAATAACAGGCGCAACCGGCAACCAAGGCCTCTCAACCATCACCGCCCTCCTCTCCCTTTCCATCCCGCCCTCGCAAATCCACGCCCTAACCCGCACCCCCTCCTCCCCAAAAGCCCAACGCCTCCTCTCCCTCGGCCTCACCGTCATCCAAGCCGACATCTCCCACCCCTCCACCCTCCTCCCCGCCCTCCAAAACATAACATCCCTCTTCATCCTCCCCTTCTGCGACATGTCGGCCCCATACCTCCAATCCACCCACCTCTCGAACCTGCTTTCCGCCGCAAAGGCCGCTGGAAGCGTCAAGCATATCGTGCTTAGCACCGTTATTTGCGCTGAATTGCATCCAATCTGGCTCCGTGAGCGAGGGGACAGTTATCTCGGGAGGCCGTACTACGAATCGAAATTCCTGTGCGAGGAAGTTCTCAGGAAAGAAGCGGAGATGGGGGGATGGAGTTACGCGATTGTGAGACCGGGGTGGTATTCGAATACGCATTACGTGCCGCCGGAGTGCGGGAATCATTTTCCGGAGTTGGTGGGGGAGGGGGTACTAAAGGTTAGTTATGGGGTGGGGGAGAGGGTGGGGCATGTGGATGTGAGGGATGTTGGGGAGGTGGTTGCTGATGCGTTGGTGCATAGCGAGAAGTGGAGGGGGAGGGAGGTTGATGTTGTGGGTGAGAATTTGGGGATTGGGGATGTGGCGGGGATTTTGGCGGAGGTGAGTGGGAGGGAGGTGAGGGTTGTTGTTAGAAGTGAGGAGGAGGATAGAGCGCTGAGGGAGGAGTGGGAGAGGATGGGATGGTGTAGTGTTAGGGGGATTATGTATCAGTGGGTAGGTTTTGGTTTTCTTTGGGGTGCTGGGTTGGGATGGGGATGGGATAAGATGGGAGCATAGGTGTTTTGCAGCTCGCAAAGATCTCAGCTTCTCAAGAATTTTCTAGTACTTGACACTGCTGACTTGATCATAGGTTATGAAAGAACTCCCTGGAGTTTTTGAAGTGAAGATAACGGGAATTGAGGGGATGGGTCTAAAGTTGAGGGGCTTGAAGGAGACCTTTGCAGAAGGAACGGAAGAGAGGAGGAAATTATTTGAGATGTGGGGTTTGGAGGAGAAGAAGGATGAAGAATGAAATAGTAGTGGCAACAAGTAAAAATCTACAGTCGAGCATTAGATCGCTGGTTATGGCCTGAATATCTTAGCATGTGTAACATAACAAAGTGATGCAGATCCAAACTCAATTCGTGTGTCTACTCCCTAACTTCAAGGAGGAGGTATTAGCATAATAAGAAAAACGCAAAGTTAAAACATCTAATTCTAAGAATAAGACCTTTATGAGTTTTTGCTCATCCACTCTAAGACAATACAACACAAAACAAGCAAATTATGTTTTCTAGAGAACAACAGAGCCCGTGCAATTATATTGTCTTGGAGACGAGCAACTGGCTTCCTTGTAGCATCAGGTATCGAATTCCTCGACTCGAGGGTGGCCAAGAAGATGAAATCTTTCAACGTTGTGCTTTTGCCTGCCCACTCTGAACGGAAGCTGAAGCACTATTATTCCAGTTAAGGAGAGGCTGTATTCGAGCACGATTGGAGGATAGCTCGGCCTATTCGCAGCGTCAGCCATATTGGCCTGGATAAAAGATCTTGGCCAAGGTGTTTCTTATGACAGAAATGATCAAGTCCCAAGAATTCAAGATGAGGTTGAAATGAACTTTCTTGGCGAACGGAAGCTCCCGCCCGGATCCCAACTAGCCTTGTTCCGCCAGAGCTTCTTCTTTCCAGGACACATGCACCATCACACCTTTCCCCTCTCTACGACTGATTAATTCCGTCCCACAATCGCACATTCATGTCAGCCGCCCAATTGCTACTGCCTACGAAGCTGGCGACCCAAGTTCGAGACATATGGCGAGCACGCGACACGGCACACGACAGATCCTCCAGAATAGTTCTTATACCTTCCGAAACCGCGATACGATTACCAGGAACTTTTACGGGGGATACGAGGAGTTCGAATCTCTGGTGGAGGATCATTCAAGCCCAAGATTGATCCTCAAATGCGTTCCAGTACCGACCATTACTTCGAGAGACTCTTCGAACGCAGAGCGCGCTTACCAACACCACGATACTCTACACGAAAATTATATGTGGATAAGTCCAGGTGAGGAAATGAATATCTAAAGCATGTTTCTGCGAGTCTAGGGCTGCTCTGCAAATGTTGGAACAAGTTTGCACAATCTACGGATATCTCCATGCGAATGTCTAGACAATCTGCCAGGACGAGACGGCACAACAGCACAGAACCACGAGACCAAATCCTCTCATATACCTCTTGGAGCTTGTGTACACCCAAGATCAGCACGTTGTGTGGCTTGGAGCAGGAAATCGCGAAGTATTTGCCGTGCCAGCAGCAGTCTGATGGACGGGAGTATGCGATTGTCGATTTCTCCGGGATCATATGCACCCTATCAAAAAGTATACGGCAGTGGTCTAGATTTCTTTTGCTTTGATTGCTGGCTCTGTCTATATATTGCACTTACTGGCATATCCCCATATGGCCAGAGTATTACAACTTTCGGTTCCAAATCTCTCTCTGCTGTCAGGATACTGGAACGCTAGATAGGGGCATTGCCATTACACCTTCCCTATTATTTTGATGTTGCATATCTGCAATTTATCAACTCTTTGCGGAGAGACCCAGAAGCAGTTTCTGATTCTATGAGAGGCTACGCGCCAGAAAAGCTGAAAGGAGGAGGAGCTCGAAGGGACAAGAACTCAAGCGACTGAAGATTCTGATGCCAACTACCAAATAGAAAGTTTTGCACCTTATTCTGCGCGCTTGAAGAAAATTAACTTGACTTGTTTATCATCCTTGGCAAGTTTGCCCTGATGATCGTGGATGTCGCGAAGAGCCCCAAAAAGAGTAGCTAAAATCCTAACGGCACGAAAATTGCTGCTTCATGCTCCAGCCTTGCGCTCACTACTTTTTGCAAACTTTTCATGATAGCATGGAATCATTCGCAAGTGTTCAATTATACTGTCCTGCCAAGGAAGAATAAATTTGCTAAAGTATCATATATCGCTAGCACCAACCAATCCGGAACTCCCGGAAACACTGCATATAATCGTCTTCTGACCCTCCGCTTTGAATCTCCTTCTCCAACTTCAGAGTAATATCTCTAAGCAGAATACCACACGCCTCAGTCTGCGTTCGGTGCAGATATGAGCTACAGAAGAACCTCCTTGTCTATTGTCCATCATCCCAGCAATCCTTGGAATGGGCAAAGAAGCTGTGGCCACACTCGTATCAAAACCCCATGGCAAGTAACTTGCCAATGGCTCCCACATAGGTAATGATACCTGACTCCGCCCAGTATATTAGCTGATACTGTGCCCATATTGTACTTAGAGGATCTTTGTTCGTCCACAGACGACCGCTATTGCTTCTGGGAAATTCTCCCAACGTCTCAACGCCTCCAGGAATCTCAATACCCAGAAATTCGACCAACTTCCTCCATCTACTGTCGTCGGATTCCCCTGGTGCATCAATGACCATCTCCATTCCTCGCCCCTCCATCTCGTCGGTTGCGAAGAAAGCTCTAACATCTCTCATATGATTCACATATGTTTTCAAGAACATCTCCTCATTTCCGTCCACCTGGTAAGCGCCATAAATCGTGTTATGCCCTTCCCATATTCTGGATCGAGTGTGTCTTCTCATGCTCTCAAGCCAGACTTTTTCTGATTTCCTCAAACTGAGGATGAATTTTGAGTCTGGGTATGTCTTGCTCATGTTGGTGTAAACTTGAGGCAGAGACCAAGGAAGGTCTTCAAACATCTGGTATTTCTCAGACATTGACACGACAGGTCGAAGGTTCGGGCCTGCAAGCATTGCTTGGTGGCAAAGATAACGGGACCAAATGTCTGTCCACCCTGATCGGCTATAGTTCAACAGCTCGAAAGCATCTCCCAAAGACGTAGTGCCGGTCTTTGAAAGTCCTATCACGAAGACCTTCGGAGTGGTTGCTCCTCTTGATGGCAAACCCATGACGAGGGCAAAAGGAATCACGTGGAGAACGAATAGTGGCAGAAGAACTTGCAGACTAGACATAGTGGAGTATGTTTGTCAAATTTGTTCTGTTTCTTGTTCTTTGAGGATTCGTTCTGAGATCTGTTGAATTTAAGCTTGAACGTGGGGGATGATGTTCATTTAGCGGCTCGCGGTCAAGTCCGCAGTTTGGCTTCGCAACCTCTTCCCAAGGTTTCACGGAGCCAAACACCCCTGCCAAGCTGCCATTGGCCTTATCGAGGCGAGAGTGCAGTGGTGTGTCTGATTCAACGTCCATCTGGTATGTCTCCACGTTGTCTTGGTGGAGTCGATCGCTTTCCCCGTCTGCTGTGTCATTTTATCCCTGGCAATAGTGTTCCTGGGATCCTGGTACAGGCTGCCAGAAGTACATTTTCTTTAAAATCTTCATGATTCGCCTTTCTTATTCTTCACGTGTCTATTTGTACTTCGCTGCCTGATGTCTTCGTTGCAGGCAAGGCTTACTTCCTAGATCATCATCATTCCAATGATCTCCTTATCATGGTGTGCTAGCCGATGTGGCGGTATCTCACTTCTTTCATTACTTGCTCTATGTTCTTGGGTCTTATTCAGGGCAGCTATAAGCACAACAGCTCAACCACATCAAGACAGTGATAACCATCACATGAAAAGTCGATTTACAACAGCCAAATATGGTGGTACTTCAACACACGTTTTCGCATACTACTCTCTCCTCGTTCACAGCTTGGTAGTGGCATTTCAATTCCGAGCTTGTCGAGCAGTATGGGAGGGAACTGCAAATCTTCAAAGGACGAAACTACAGAAATGGCTCACGAATCGGCACCTCCATCGTCGCTGGAAATATTCAGCGTCGTCGCTCTCAAGCACTGATACCTCCAGTTCTCCGTCATCACTTTCTTCCAGCGAGGTTGGTGATTGGGACTCTTCGACAGAGACAGAACATGAATTGGAATTGGTGATTCACGCCATCCTCGTTCCCAACTACAAGGAAGATATCGAGGGACTTATCGAAACGTTGCAAGTTCTTGCTTCTCACCCTCAGGCGCGCCATACATATGATGCACGTTGATCCAATTCCATCTGAAAATATTGTTATACTGACAGTTTGCACAGGTATATTTGGCCATGGAGCAACGCGAGCTTACCGCCAAAGCCAAAGCCGCCCAACTGGTCTCTAAATTTAAAGGCTGCTTCAGGTTCATAGCAGCTACCTTCCACCCAGAGGATATTGCCGGGGAGTCTCCAGGAAAGAGCAGCAATTTGAGCTGGGCTGCTCGAGCTGCTAGCAAGAGATACGAGATTGAGACAAGGAGGGATGTCGTTCTGACTAGCATTGACGGTATGCTTGCCTCTCATCCCTGCATCTCATATTGTCCCCATGTTGCTTCCAACTTTCAATAAGATAGAGTTATCTGATTACGCACACACGGTACCGAAGCTTGCCGTCGTTCATCCTACCTTGCATGCATGTCGTTGGAAACATGTCACCACAAGCGAGGCAATGTCACCGCTTAGCGCTCGGTAGCTATCAATATTGCAATTATCCGCGTAATGTTTTCGACCAGCAATTCCGTTCCCCGACGACTCGTGGCAGGCATCAAGTGACGTCTGATGCAGAAACTTTCCAAGTAAATGTCGGCGGCGTTCATCACATCGCATTCAAGTGATACCGTTGATGATTTCAATATCGCTCAAGTTGCGGATCGTAATGCTCATAAGAGAAACGTGTATGGCTCATTGGAAATCGCAAAACGATGTTCAGTTTTCGAGGTGGTAGGGTTTCTGGGCATGGATAAGTTTTGATCCAGTAGTATCAACCGCTCCATGACCAATGTCGGAAGCGACATCACTTGCTAACACACCTTGTGTCTCACAGCCGACAGCCATCTTTCCTGGAGATACTTTTCAGAGATAACCTCTATGCACTTTGCATACTCAGAAACCGCATCGACAACTCTCTACTCGACGCCAATCATCTTCGATAGGAATGCGCACCTAGTTCCCGGTGTAGTGCGATCGGACGTCGTTTGGAGCGCAGCGGGTCTTTCAGGTCTTGGCTCGACGATATGTCCACCAACGTCAGTCTACTCTGTTCCACTCGAACTGGTGGATCGAGTCGGTGGCTGGGATACGGGACCAGATTCGATTGGGGAAGACCTTCACATGTACCTGAAGTGCTTCTTTGCTCTCAATGGCAATTTGACCACGAGGTCGGTGAAGAGCCCCGTGAGCCAGACCAATATCACGACTTCTGCAGGCCAAGGCTTGTTGGGACAGTTGCATGGTGTTGATGCTCGTTACCGACAGGCACTTCGGCACATGTGGGGATCTTTGGATTCCGGTTATGCATTGAAGCAGGCTATGGAGGTGTGGCGCCGAAGGCGGCAAACACAGCAGGTATGCCAGCCTTTGCATCTGACAACAAGCTCGAAGATGAGGAGCAATACTTCCTTCGACTGGCAGAAGGAAATCTTGAGATCAGATGACTCGGTTATGCGTGTCAAGATTGAACCTCCGAACTGGTTCAATATCTTTCTGCTCTTTCACCGCTTATTCGAAGCACATTTCATGCCGGCACACATCTCGATATTGGTCGTAGCATCGACTCTCTATCGGGCTCTTACCCCTCAAGAGGAAGACACCTTCAGTATCGCATGGACGTTTGTCGCTACAGATATTTTAAGGGCAATAGGACTCCTGACCCTGCTCGTCTTCTTCTACTCCTACCAACAATATCATCATCTAGCTCTAGAGGCTCGCCGAAATGAGATGATAGCTGCTGGTCTAGCGGAAGGTATGAAAGGAAGCTTTAGTTTTAGATCTTGGAAGAATGTATTCGATTGTGTTTGGATTCCCTTCGTGGCGCCGTAGTATGGATCCATACCTGCTATTCATGCCCAGCTGTGTCATTTCTGGACATTGGATCTTACTTATGTTGTTAGTAGTAAGCCAATGAGGGCGAGTGGCAAGACGATATGATTAGAGGAGACGACGTTACAGTACATACCTTTTTTTTTCTGCCTCGAATTTTTGGGATGGAGGAGATACATGTTCGGCGATGTCTGGAACATCGAGCTTGATTGTAGACTTTTCTCATGCATGGTTGATTATCATCCTGTTGAGATACCATTCGAGATTTTAACTTATAACGACGAAAGATTAGACTGCAATATCTGTTTGTGTCTTATCTGTCCGAGTGCTTCCAAGTCTTTATTTCTTCTGCTTCATTCATCGCAGTGAACCTACCTATAAGTTGCTATGTGTCTTCCTTTATTCCTATGTTTCGAATGAACCAAAAGTACTCAGCAAAATTTCATCGCAAGCTTACGACTGCCAATTCTCGCTTACGAGCCCAGCGGCATAGGTTTGTGCGCTTAGGGGCATTTTACACCTAAATTCAAAAATGAATTCTTTGCGATCGTATTTATTATTTAATGAGAAGTTTAATTCATTAATTTTATTCTTTGCCTATGAATATAAATTATTCACTAATATTTACTAATCTACAATTTGCGATTGTTTTGAGAGACTTTAGATTTTCAAAGCCTATAAGCGAATTTGAGAAGCCTAGAAATGCCAGAAATTTGCCCTGAAGCGCACAGACCTACGACGCTGGGCTCGTTAGCTGGTGACCAAGACTTGAAGATCATCGGAAGACGGTGCACAATATCTCATCCGATTCTAGCAGACGCCATCAGAACACTTTCCTCGGCATCCTTAGTTCAGCACTGCCATAACTCCATTACAACCGAGGTGAGGTACTCCGCCCCTCAAGTACGCAGTTGGCGCAAAGTCTAAAGCATAACAGAGCCTCAAGGCATTTGCGGAAAGAACCACATCATCTTGTACCCAAGTTCACATAAGCTATGTACAAGTGTTCGGCACCCAGGCCGCGCTGTTTATTGTTGGAAAGGGTGGAGGAGGGAACAGTACGGGTAACGGTACACTTAAAACCCAAAATACCAGACCCGAAAGTTTTATTTCTATATAGATATAACTAGTTATTCTTAGCCCTGTATTGAATAGCACGTCCAGCATTCTACAGACGCGAAGAATTCAAATCAATATACTTCCCAAACCACTCCAAAACAACATTATACGCCCTCAAATACTCCTTCTTACACTCCTCATCCTCCAGATTTCCCCTCGCGCTCATCCACCCATGAATCTGCGTCTCAAACGTCTCAACATGCTTCTCCACCGTCAACGCCTTAGTATACGCCTCCACTTCCTCAGCGTTCTCTTCCTTAGAAGCCAGGAAACACGTCGGGATCGCGACCTTGCCCGCGTCTTCTGGTGCCATTAAGCCCGGGTGGCATTGTGCGGAGACTTTGAACAAGGAATCTGCACCAGATGTTACCGAGACCACTTTACCGCCCCAGCAGAACTGTTGTTTGGTTCATATTAGTATATCGTGAGATTCCTAGATGTGGAAAGAATATCTCACGCCCAGTGCAGCCCAGTTTTTCTTCCCGTATTTCGCTTCAACGGCAGCTATGATCTGCGGGATGCGCGGGATGGCGATAGCGGGTGTGTGGGAAGGGAACCATTCATACAGCGCGTTCTTCTTCTCTTCTGTCACGGGAGGATACCTTTCATTCATTGCTTCTCAGCCAAAATCCCTCTGTACACTCAAGAGTGGGGCATACCAAGCAATATCAGCCGGATTCCCCTCGAAGAAATCGGGCATGAAGACTTGATATTGATGTTTCTCATCGGAAGTAGCGAGGATATCGGCTCCTTGGATCGTCTGCGGGAAGTACCCGAAGATATCGTAAATAACGAGGATGGCGAGCTTGGCGGACTCTGGTCCCGTGACGTCTGAGTGTGGGTGTTAGACTAGAATATGGTGGGGTGAGAGGGAGATAAACATGTTTTGAGGCCGTCGAGAGTCTCGTATGTGCCCTTTGGTGAGTATCCTTTGGAGATTATGGGCGGGATGTTGCAGCATGCTTTGCTGTGGCCTCCGATTGACTCCATTTTTTTTAAAGTTTGAGTGAAGCTTATGACGGTATCTAAGGAGGAAACTAAAGATTGTTAAAGAGAGATAGAGGTCAAGGCCGTCTTCATATCCTCGCACACAAGTCGGAGCTTCCAAATACAACAGAAGACCCGGCGTCGACCCACGAATCAAGACACCATCTCGCAATGCTTATTATGTGGAGCCAGCTTTGGTAAGCTGGAACGGGCCTTCCCCACTGGCTTACTCGTACTTAATTGGAGGAGCAGAACAATGCACGGCCTCGGAGCAATAGATATCGCCTTGATTCCACAGCATAGCCCAAAAGAGATCAATGTTTCCGACTACAGCAGCATCCCTCCAATTTGTGCCAAGGTGCTCGGCCCTGAATTGTCCCGCAAAGGCTTGCGTTTGCAAAACTTAGGCAGCCACTAAAAGCATTACTTGGCAACCGTCTGAGGAGGATGCTTGATTTTACTGCCGTGAAATGTATAACAGATATGCCAGGTGCAAGAGCTGGCGGTGTTACTCTCCTTACCTTAACGTACAGCTCAAACCAGTCTGGCCCGAGGAACTCCTCAGTACAGCACGCGTTATAGGAACTATCTTCTCTTGATATGGTGTCTTGCTATTCTTTGATAATGTACGAAGCTAGTCTAAAACACATTTCATACTATTTACTCTACTCTTAGGAGACAAGAGCGACTATGCTATCCTCTGTCTCTCCTCTTTCTAATGTCGACCCACAAAGGCCCACCAAACCCTCTTTCACAATACAAAAGATGACCCTAAGCAAAAACGCCAGTATATTCCCCATCAATAATTGAAAGCAATATACAAGATAGCAATGCCTAGAATGAGGCGACAGCGATAGCAATCGCTTGACTATCTGAGTGTGAGATCGAAATGCTGATCTCCTTGACACCGGCTTTCTTGGCGGTTTCTGCGGCATCACCATGAAGCTGTATAATGTTAGTCGGATGACCTTAATAAGGCATGGGTAATGAAATACTTACAGTGACAATTGGGGCACCCTTTTCGTTGTTGGTAATTTCAATTTCCTTCAATGGAGCACCCGCGCCCTTACTAGCGACTCCCAACGACTTGAAGACAGCTTCCTTTGCGCTCCATTTCCCGGCGAACGATGCCTGGGGGTGAGGGGCCTTATGGCAGTAGGCTTGCTCCTTATCCGTGAAGTTACGCTCCAAGAAGGTATCGTTCTCGATGTTAATCGCAGCGATGTCTTCAACATCTACACCAACTTTGTTGTTGGCAGTCGCGGCACCCTTGGCTAGTGACTCAACCATTTCCTTGGTGCTGTTCGTCTTGGCCTTGTTAGTGGTATGCTTGGCAAAGTTCGTAGCAAAGGTGAGAGAGGCCGATTTCTTGTCCATGGTCACACGGGCATCGGGGTTGAGGAAGACTTCGCTCATTTGATCGTCGGTGTATGGTGAGTGATTCTTGGCAACGAAGATGGTGTTGGTGATCATGCCATTGTGGAAGTATCTGTAGGCTTTCTTTTGTCGGGCATCGACCTTGGCGCTGTATCTGGCGTAGGTGGCTTCGTCAAGAGTAGCGAACAGATATTTAGGGTGGATACCGATGGCTTGAGCACCCTTCTGGCCGAAACCGAAGGAGGTGACAGAGAACGCCTTGACGCCATCTGTCTGAATGCTTCGGCTCGGATACACGATATAATCGAATTGCTCCATGACCTGGTCGACGTTGTCGGCGTTTCGGTTACCAGGGACCAACCCGGTGTTGAGAACCTGCAAGCAGCCGTTCATCATCCAAGCACCAGCAGCACCCTTGGGGTGACCAGTAAGATACTTCTGGAAAATACCCATAACGGCATTGCCCTTCTTTCTACCAAGATGCTTCAATTGCTGGCATATGACGGAAGACTCATTCTTGTCGTTTGCGACAGTCGAAGTACCGTGGAAGGATGCGACATCAAGGTCGTCAATAGTAAGACCCCAAGTGGCCAGAGCACCACGAAGAGGCGCAATGGAAGGATCCTTCTTCCAGAAGTTGTTGCCAAGGCTATTCAAGACGTCACGCTCTTGTCGTGCAGCTTCCTGCTCGATATGTGCTGCACGCTCTTGAGCGTACTCAGACTCGTTGAATTCGATGCCTTGTGATTTCATGGCATCAATCTCCTCATGAAGATACTCAAGTTCTGATTCTTGCCATTGCTTGATGTTCTTCTTTCGAAGCTCGATTTGGCGGCGACGATATTTGATGTCAAGCAAAGGCGATGGGAACTTTCCAGGATTCTCACGAGCGGTTGTGAGAACACCTTGTCCAGGAGCAGGGACTGATCGACCAATCTTATCGGTGGCAGTGGTGGTCAAGCCGAGAATACCATAGATTGGTACGCCCATGTCGAGAGCAAGTTTGGCTGTCATGATAACTTGCATACCACAACCTTGCGATTCCATGAATCCGTTTCTGGTTGTGGTGGTAGGTCGCGACATTTCCTTGGGTGTGCGACCGTGGGCGAACTCATCAACAGCATTGCTGGTAGCCTTCATGTTGGCGAATTCGTAGGAACCTTCCTCTTGGAAATCATCGAAACCACCGACGAAGCAGACTCGTGCCTTGCCCTCAACAATGGTCTCGTATCCGATATCGACTGATTCCACAGCAGTTGCACAAGCACCTACAGGCGTCTTGATAGGACCAGTGGAAGAGAGGAGCAACATATTCACCCAAGCGCTCATAGTGTTGATGAAAGATTCTTGAAGAATATCTTTCTGGAGTGGCTTGTCCAAGTATCGATCTTTGTACATGCCTCTCAGAGCGTGGGTACCTCCAATGCCGGAACCAATGCAGTTACCGACTTCGGACAGATGAACATACTTGTAGAATTCATATGGATCGGTGATTCCAGATGTCAATAACGATTCGACGGTGCAAACAAGAACAAACAAGGTGACGGGATCGACTTGTGAGATGATATCGTCTGGAATACCATAGGTCTTGGCGTCCCAGCCGGTTGGAATTTGACCAGCGACAAGACGATCGAATTTGAGAGCCTTGGGTATCATGAGGGTGGCTCCCTTCTTCATGCGCACGATATATTCTCCAGACTCAGGGATCTCGAAGATCTCTGCCTTATCTCCATGCTCACGCTTGAATTCTTCGGCAGTCTCCTTTGAGGTCTCAAATGGCTCCAGATCCTCCTCAATCACAACTTCTTGGAGAAGTTGCTTCTTGTTTGGATCATATCCCTTGAAGAGTTCTGGTTCGATGAGACGGATACCAGAGTGCTCGAGGATGTGCTTCTCATACTTGGACTTAACGTCCTTGTCGTCAACTGGCTCTCCTGTCTTAGCGTCCACCCAACCCGCGTATTGCTTGCCTTTGATGGGTCCGTTGTGGTTCTTGATGAGATTCATGATCCACGCCATCTCGACACAGCCTTCAAGGGAGAATTGGCCATAAGCTTCCATCTCCCATCGAGTTCGGGAGTTACCCCATGGTCCGACTTCAGCAAACCCAGTGACAACAACGACCTTCTCAAGATCAACCATACCCTTGAGGTTGTCGTTAAGTGGCGCAATCTCCTTGTTCCAGTCCGGAAGAGTAGGGAAGTCAAATTTGATATTGGCACGTGGCTCAACGGTGACTTTCTTGTAGAGCGCCTCGCTGTCCTCTCCATTGACAATCTTGTTCTCGATAGCTGTTTCTTTTGTGACAGCTTGTCGGACCTCGCTCGTCTCCATGATATCCTTTCGGATCTTGGTCATCAAGTCTTTGAGATCTGGAATGAATTGTAGTCCACCGTTCAGGTCAGCAAACACAGGTTCAGATTGGCAAAGATCAACAATAGTGGGCGACATAAGACCCAGAAGGTTGAAAGCCATCTCTTGTTGTGAGAACGTTCGTACACCGTAAGCCTCGACGCCTTCAGCAACAATATTGTTGCCAGACATGAGACCGGTACCACGAGTCCAACCAATGACGGCGCCGCAGATTGTGAGGAAGTTACCCCAGCTCTCGGAATGCCATCTGTTGAACAGAGTCTCCAAGGCGAGTTTGGATTCTGAGTAGAGACCGTCGTTACCGAAAGTGCCGTGGTTGGGGGAGAGAGGTAAGACGACCTGAGCGGGTCGAGTCTCAAAGCTTCGCTCGGCCTTTTCAGTCTTGATGCATCCAAGAAGACGAAGAAGATTTGTCAACATGATACGGTGAGCGAGTTCAGACTTTGAGTCAATGCTGTCGATTTCGCGGCCATTCTCTGGAATAGCGGCGAATGGAACGACAAAATCAAGATCCCAACCAAGACCCTTCTTGGTGTCGTAGATATACTCGATCAAAGCCTCCACATCCTGTTTGCTGCCCTGGTTGAAAGGAACCACGATGAGTTGAGAGCCCCGAGAGCCGTAGCGGGCGTACATGGATTGGTAGTATTCCGTGACTTCGCGTGAAAATCGACTAGTAGTGACAACAACCTTTGCACCACCGCTGATCAAGCCTTGAAGGACATCTGCACCGATTGAGCCAGCTCCAGCACCAGTCATCAAGACATTCTTGCCTTGGAAGCTGACACCAGACTTGGCAGCTTGCTCGAGACCGTCAATGTAGAGGCCTGTGAGCTTCTTGCTGTACTCCCACCCGTGTTCATCCTTTCTCTTCAAGTGCAAGAAAGGAATAGTCTCGACTTTCCCATTCTTTGGGTTTCCGTTACGAACAGCACTCTTCTTGGCATGGCCATTGAGCTTGCCATTCCCGTTTTCTTTAGGAATGATTTGACCCTCGCTCATTGCTAATGATCGGATGACATCGCCATACAACGCCTTGATTTGCAGTTGAGAAGATTTTGAGAGCTTGTGTTGCTGCTTGATGAGTTTGTAAATGCGGCTCAGATCATTTTGGACTTTTGTGCGGTTGCCGTATTCTGAGATCTTTCCACCATCAGCCATCTCCCGAACGTAATGCTCGAGTTTTCGAGCGCTAGTCCGGGGAATCTCAGCATATTCGAGATTGCCACGCGCGTCGATTGTGGTATGGGGTCCGGTTGGGACAGCGACATCTTTGTAGGACGGTGCCACACCCAAAACTTCTCTACAATTCTCGATCAATTGCTGGCCAAGTTCCTTCGCCAGTTGGTATGTCTCGCCTCTCTCGGTCGGGCAGTTATCGATATGATACTGCATGAATTCGAGGAGAGTCGGGTTGGATCGGTTCATGATGCGAATGCATTGACTGACAATTTCTCGATCAACTGCCTTCAGACGACCGAAAATGATATCGTAGTACATGGTCAGAGCATCTTGGCGTGCCCAATTCCACGAGGAATCGTAGACTCTTGCTTTGAGAGAGCTGAAAACCGGCTCAATACCAGCAGCATAGAAATCTCCATGCTCGACGTTCCAGAGATCCAATTGTGCTTGAAGAGCTTGTGATGACTGTTGAGAGCCAATGAAGGCTTTTTCGCCAGCGCGAAGATCCATCTTCAAGTAGCGAGCGAACAATTCGAGTTGTTGCTTGAACAATGCTCTCTGGTCCTTCGTCAGGGCATCGATCGCAGCAGGATCCATCATCATTCCACCTCCCGAACCGCCTCCGTCACCACCCGCTGCAGGTGTAGATAAACTGATACCAGCATTTGCAGCGTACTTTTGAGACACATCGTCCAGGAACGCCTTTGCATCATTCTCAGAGCCAAGACGTGCCGCGGGCTCCATGGTCAGCGCCAATAGCAAAACTCCGTCTTGTCTGCCAGAGGCCAAGCCCCATCGTGTCTCCAAGTATTTCCTGGCTGCTGTGATATTGAAACCACCTGGCATTTTTGATGAAATCAGTCGCGCAACCAGAGATGACGATTGCTTTCCGAGTTGTCCATTGAAAGTAGCTTGCATGGAAGCTCCTAATTCGTCTAGGGGAGTATCTTCTGGCTTCTCGGGTGTCGATCCGAATTCCTTGCCTAGATCACCGAGTATTTCGTTTTGGAGGGTGGATTTACCTGTGAAGCATATTTGTTAGCATCCACACTACACACTCTAGAAGCAATACGCTTACCTCCGACAAGATCTTTAATCGCTTTGCTCAAGGGAATCTCCATAAGTGGTTTCTTGAGCTTTTGAGCAATCAATGCTCGTACAATGTCCACTGCACCAACTGGCGCATCTGGAACTTGTGCTGCTGGCCCGGCGCCCGGTGGAGGAGGCGCTGCAGCGACTGGTGCTGAGCTGGAAGAAGAAGCAGTAGGAGCTGGGGCAGAATCGCTTGAACCAGCAGCTGGTACAGGTTCATCCTCAACCGGGTCTACATCGTAATAAATTTCTTTCGCATCCTTGTTGTAGCAAAGAATTTGTCGCTGAACAGACTTCGCAGCGTCATAGGCTTCGTATTTCGAGGCGATTGTGCGTTTGGCCATCACACCCAGAGTATCCGCAGGACCAATTTCGACGATTCGCTCGGTCGTCTTCTCGGCGAGAATGACATCTTGGGTTTCAATCCATCTCACAGGAGATGCAAATTGATATGCCAGAAGCTCGACAAGGAGCGTATGGGCGAGCTCTTGCTCGACTTCGGGGCGCATTTTCGTGTGTATTTTACGTCCGCAGACGTCTCAACGAAAGTGTGAGAGGGTATCCAGTGATGAGTGTGGAGAGAAGGTGAAAAGTTGGTTCAGGTCGTGTGTGAGGGACTGGACTGGAAATGATTTCAGTCTAATTTGTAGCTTCGTCGAATAGCGACGCCTCGCTGCTGGAAAATGCAAGGACCAGTTAAGATGAAAAGTACAATTAAGAAGGTTGGTATGGGTGGTTGATGGGAAGAAAAAAGGGAACAATTGATCGAGAGTGATCAAAGGTCTTGAGGATGTATGTAGGAGCAGGAATTAGGAGCGGAGAAGTAATGGATGCTGCATCAGTGATCCTCGACTTGATTTCGGTTTGTTGAACTTTTGGCTCAACTTTTTGGAAGCTGCGACTGCTCCCCAACCAACCCGCTTAAGCGAATCAGCCAGACTACTCTCGGCTAGCGCCTCCTTATCCTACCATGGTCGAGGTGGCCTTAATGCAGGACGAATTCCAACGACAAGAGGCAAACTACGTAAACCTCGACCTTTCCTAGATAGATACAGCGAAGGATCATACATCCCCATCATTATGCCTTATCGCGAGAACTCCACGGACTGAAAATCTTGTTGTGAACACACATCCAGATTTCCCCCTTTCTGATCCCTGGAAAAAATAATCTGAGAAACCTCCGGCTCCGGTTACCGATAGAGAGATGAAATATTGTCAGCCTTCACCCCATTTCATCAGCCTCATCCGTGGACGAACGGAACGGCCAGATGGTTGCACCGCCATGACTCCATACTAATCATCTATAACCTCAGTGTTTGCCGTTTAGAGATATTCAACAGTCTCAACAATGTGGGAACCTTGCATTGGAGAGTAATCACTGCTTCCTTCATCTGCAGAAGGCTGAGGATTTTTGTTTACGCATGGTTGTGGGGTCTCAATCTCAGGGTCTTACCCTCATAGTGGAGATATACCATAGAGTATTCTATTAACTTCACTTGGAGTGTAATGTAATGTACTGTACTGTACTATAGTACACCCACGGTACGATAGGTGCACAGTAGATGCCGTGAACCCTAGATTCTCCTAGAGCCCGTTGCCCGTTGCCGTGCACAATGCCTCCAGAATTTGTGAGCTCTTCCCCAAAACCCCGAGTCTCGTCGCATCTCTCGCTGCCACTTGTGTCCCCTGCATTGCCAATCAGCGTGCGTGCGTGCGTCGTCGTGCAGCGCCGGGTTGTGGCGGTATGCAGCCTGATTCGGCCCAACACTTCAAAAAAGACACTAGTCGGCGTAGTCTCTGGGAACGAGAACTTTTGGCGAGGTTGCGTTGGGAAGCTCACTTTCCTCACTCAAGCTTCGAGAACCACCATTTCTTGAAAATACCCCAATTGATCTCCCACATTCATACAGCAGAATTCCCCCTCCTGCTTCCATCATTCTTGTGTCCATATTCCCTCCATACCTAATTATTATCCTTTTTCCGCGATTATAGAAAAGATTCCCTAGACACGACGAAATATTCCAGCTGCATCGCAGCTTGTATCTGCGCTCTCATCTGCTCCTGCTCCTGCTCTTGACTGAGTATCTGGAGTTTGGCGAATAGGTCAGTACTCAATACTTCTCTCTGTAATACATATTGGACATCATGTACTGACTCTGCGATAGAAGCCAGCTAGAAGCGCCCACAAAATAATTTCCACAATGTACGGAACCTCAACCGGCCCTCAGACGGGCGTCTCTACACCACGATCATCCTCCTCCCTTCGACCGTTGGTCCTGACCCATGGATCACTCGAACACTCCTTTTTGATACCCACAAACCTCCACTTCTATGCCTCCCAAATTAAAGACCGATTTCTTGGCTCTCTGCCAGAGCCCACCGATGAGTTGGCCCAGGACGACGAACCTTCATCCGTCGCAGAACTCGTCGCAAGATACTTAGGATTCGTGGCACAAGATGTCGATGAGGGCGAAGACGATGCGCAAGGTTCATACGAGGAGGTCTTGAAGCTTGTCATTAACGAGTTCGAGCGTGCATTTCTCAGAGGAAATGAAGTACACGCGCTGGCTGCCACACTTCCTGGAATCAATGCCAAGAAGCTGGAAGTGGTTCGAAGCTATTATGCTGCTCGTGCTGCCACTGGGAGAACTATCAAACGCCACGAGTCTGCCCTCTTCCGCGCTGCTAGCGACGAGAGTGCCAAAATTTACACGGTGTTTGGAGGCCAAGGAAACATTGAGGAATACTTCGACGAGCTCAGAGAGCTTTACAAGACATACCCCTCTTTTGTAGAGGAATTGATTGTCTCTGCTGCAGAGTTACTTCAGACTCTTTCTCGAGACCCGAGAGCAGAGAAGCTCTATTCGAAGGGTTTGGATGTCATGACATGGCTACACGACCCAGAATCCACTCCTGACGTTGATTATATGGTGTCTGCACCAGTCAGTTTCCCACTGATTGGCCTTGTGCAACTTGCACATTATACCGTCACCTGCAAAGTCCTGGGTCTTACTCCTGGACAACTCAGAGAGCGCATCAGCGGAACGACTGGTCATTCTCAGGGTATTGTTTTGGCTGTTGCAACGGCGGCTGCAGACTCGTGGGAATCCTTCGACGATATCGCCATCTCTTCTCTCACCATCCTCTTTTGGATTGGATCTCGAAGCCAGCAGACATACCCACGAACTTCTCTGGCTCCTTCGATTTTACAAGATTCAGTCGACAATGGCGAAGGAGTCCCAACACCCATGTTGAGCATTCGCGACTTATCCCAAGCTCAAGTACAGCAACACATCGATGCGACCAATCAATATCTTCCCGAAGACAGACATATCGCAATCTCGTTGATTAACAGTGCGCGAAACATGGTTGTCACTGGTCCTCCAATCTCTCTTTATGGTCTCAATTTGCAGCTGCGAAAGGTCAAAGCTCCCACTGGTCTTGACCAAACTCGAATTCCCTTCACTGAGCGAAAAGTCCGATTTGTCAACAGATTCTTGCCTATCACATCTCCTTTCCACAGCAAGTATCTATCGAATGTCCCCGAGCATCTCAGTGAAGATCTTAAGGATATCAAGATACCTAGCAAGAGCCTGGGCATTCCTGTGTATGATACAAATACCGGAAAGGATTTGCGAACACAAGTCAAGGGTGACATTGTCCCGACACTCGTCCGACTCATCACACACGACCCAGTGAACTGGGAGAAAGCAACAGTTTTTCCCGATGCAACGCATGTTCTAGACTTTGGTCCAGGCGGTATTTCCGGTCTTGGTGTTTTGACCAGCCGCAACAAGGATGGTACTGGTGTTCGCGTAATCCTTGCTGGTGCTGTCGACGGCACTGTTCCAGAAGTTGGATATAAGCCTGAACTTTTCGACCGTGATGAGGAGCATGCAGTCAAATATGCTATCGATTGGGTCAAGGAACATGGCCCTCGACTTATCAAGACATCAACTGGCGAGACATACGTTGACACAAAGATGAGTCGTTTGTTGGGAGTACCACCTGTCATGGTCGCTGGTATGACTCCTTGCACAGTTCCTTGGGATTTCGTTGCAGCTACAATGAATGCCGGATATCAAATCGAATTGGCTGGTGGTGGTTACTACAATGCCAAGACAATGACCGAGGCTTTGAGAAAGATTGAGAATGCTACACCCGCTGGGCGTGGTATCACTGTTAACCTCATTTACGTCAATCCTCGTGCTATGCAGTGGCAAATCCCTCTCCTTGGCCAATTGCGCTCAGAAGGCGTTCCAATTGAAGGTTTGACGATCGGAGCGGGAGTGCCTTCCATCGAGGTTGCTCAGGAATACATTGAGACACTTGGATTGAAGCATATTGCTCTCAAGCCCGGTTCCGTGGAAGCCATTCAAGCCGTTATCAATATTGCCAAGGCCAACCCTACTTTCCCAGTCATTCTTCAGTGGACTGGAGGTCGTGGAGGTGGCCATCATTCCTTTGAAGATTTCCATCAACCAATTCTCCAGATGTATGGTCGTATCAGACGAAGTGCCAACATTATCCTCGTTGCTGGTAGTGGGTTTGGCGGTGCTGAGGACACATACCCCTATCTAACTGGTACCTGGTCTGGGAAATTTGGTTACCCACCCATGCCCTTCGACGGATGTCTCTTTGGCAGTCGCATGATGACTGCTAAGGAAGCACACACCAGCAAGAACGCCAAGAAAGCAATCACTGAGGCAGAAGGTCTCGATGACGCCCAATGGGAGAAGACCTACAAAGGACCAGCTGGAGGTGTTATCACTGTCAGATCTGAAATGGGTGAGCCCATCCATAAGCTCGCCACCCGAGGTGTCAAATTCTGGGCTGAGATGGATGCCAAGATCTTCAGCTTGCCAAAGGAGAAGCGTGTCCCTGAACTGAAGAAGAACCGCGAGTACATCATCAAAAAACTGAACGATGATTTCCAGAAGGTTTGGTTCGGCCGCAACAAAGCTGGGGAGACGGTTGACCTCGAGGACATGACTTATGGCGAAGTCGTCCGCCGAATGGTGGATCTGATGTTTGTCAAGCACGAGTCTCGTTGGATCGACAAGTCTTATGTCAAGCTCACAGGAGACTTCATTCGCCGAGTTGAAGAGCGCTTTACTGCTGCCGGTGGCAAGCCATCCTTGCTACAGAGTTATTCTGAGCTTGATGACCCATATCCAACCGTCGAGAAGATCCTCGCTGCTTACCCCGAATGCGAAACTCAACTTATCAACGCTCAAGACGTCCAGCACTTCCTCCTCCTTTGCCAACGCCGAGGTCAGAAGCCTACGACATTCGTCCCAGCTTTGGACGAGAACTTCGAGTTCTATTTCAAGAAGGATTCCCTTTGGCAATCTGAAGACTTGGAGGCAGTCATCAACCAAGATGTCGGCAGAACTTGTATCTTGCAGGGTCCAACCGCTGTGAAGTACTCGAAAATCGTGGATGAGCCCATCAAGGAAATTCTGGATGGCATTCACCATGCTCATATCAAGGGTCTTACCCAAGATATCTATGGTGGTCAAGAGTCTTCAATTCCAGTCATCGAATACTTCGGTGGCGAGCTCATTGATCCCGAAGAAGAAACAGATGTGGAAGGTCTCACTATTTCCCAAGATACACACAAGACAACATATCGCTTGTCAGCATCTCCCACGGCAACCCTTCCATCTGTTGAGACATGGATATCTCTTCTTGCTGGTCACAAGCGATCTTGGCGGTACGCATTATTTACCTCTGAGGTCTTTGTGCAAGGACAGAAGTTTCAGACAAACCCCATGAAGCGAATCTTCTCGCCAGTACGAGGCCTGTTTGTCGAGATCCTGCACCCGAACGAGCCATCAAAGACTGTCATCACAGTTAAGGAGCAACCTAGACCCAACCACTACGTACAGGTCATTGACGTTCGATGCACTAGCGAGAATGAGATCTCGGTCAACATGATCAAAGATACTACTGCCGTTGGCAAACCAGTTCCTTTGCCCCTCCTTTTCACCTACCACCCAGAAGCCGGCTACGCACCAATTCGAGAAGTCATGCAGGGACGCAATGACAGGATTAAGGAATTCTACTGGCGTGCATGGTTTGGTGATGAAACTCTGGATCTTGATGCTCCCGTCACAGGCACATTTAACGGTGGCAAGGCTACGATTACGAGCGAAGCTATCAATGACTTTGTTCATGCCGTCGGCAACACTGGAGAGGCTTTCGTCGACCGACCAGGAAAGGAGGTCTTCGCTCCCATGGACTTTGCTATTGTAGTAGGCTGGAAGGCTATCACGAAGCCCATCTTTCCACGAACTATCGATGGAGATCTTCTCAAGCTTGTCCATTTGTCCAATGGTTTCCGTATGCTGCCAGGTGCTGAGCCACTGAAGAAGGACGACGAAGTCGAGACGACTGCTCGCATCAACGCTGTCATTAACCAAGATTCTGGTAAGATGGTGGAAGTGTGTGGCACGATCACTCGTCTAGGCAAACCAGTCATGGAAGTCACATCGCAATTCTTGTACCGTGGCGCTTACACAGATTTTGAGAACACTTTCCAGAGAAAGACCGAGACTCCTATGCAAGTTCATCTTGCAACCAGCAAGGACGTTGCTGTTCTTAGATCTAAGGAGTGGTTCAGTCTGGATGAGCCTGATCATGAGCTTCTTGGTCAGACCCTTACCTTCCGTCTCCAGAGTCTGGTAAGATTCAAGAACAAGACTGTCTTTAGCCATGTCGAGACCAGAGGTCAAGTCCTTCTTGAACTTCCTACCAAGGAGATCATTCAAGTTGCAAGCGTCGAGTATGAAGCTGGAGTGTCTCATGGCAATCCAGTCATCGATTACTTGGAGCGACACGGTTCATCCATCGAGCAGCCAGTCAACTTCGAGAACGCCATCCCTCTCAGCGGAAAGACACCTCTACTTCTCAGAGCACCAGCATCCAATGAGACATACGCCCGTGTTTCCGGTGACTACAATCCAATCCACGTCTCGAGAGTCTTTGCTAGTTATGCAAGCCTTCCGGGCACCATCACTCACGGCATGTACTCGAGCGCTGCTGTCAGAAGTCTTGTGGAGACATGGGCTGCAGAGAACAATGTCGGTCGCGTTCGAAGTTTCCATGCTTCATTGACCGGCATGGTTCTTCCAAATGATGACATTGAAGTCAAGCTCCAGCACATTGGTATGGTCGCCGGTCGCAAGATCATCAAGGTCGAAGCTAGCAACAAGGAGACTGAGGACAAAGTCTTGCTTGGTGAGGCCGAGGTCGAGCAGCCAGTGTCCGCATATGTGTTTACTGGACAAGGTTCTCAAGAACAAGGAATGGGTATGGAACTCTATGCCAGCAGTCCAGTCGCAAAGGAGGTTTGGGACAGAGCCGATAAACATTTCTTGGACAACTATGGTAAGTCTTTTCTTTAGTTTCTTTGTTTTGAGCGAGCCTACTAACGATATTCAGGTTTCGCCATCACGAATATTGTCAAGAACAACCCCAAGGAGCTGACAATCTACTTTGGTGGACCCCGTGGTAAAGCCATTCGACAGAACTACATGTCAATGACCTTCGAGACTGTAGGATCGGATGGTTCAATCAAGTCAGAGAAGATCTTCAAAGAGATCGACGAGAACACTACCTCTTACACCTACCGCTCACCGACGGGTCTCCTTTCCGCAACGCAATTCACACAGCCTGCCTTAACACTCATGGAGAAGGCCAGTTTCGAAGACATGCGTTCGAAGGGTCTTGTTCAGCGCGACAGCAGTTTCGCCGGTCACTCTCTAGGAGAGTATTCTGCTCTTGCAGCTCTTGCCGAGGTTATGCCTATTGAGAGTTTGGTCTCTGTGGTCTTCTACAGAGGTCTCACCATGCAAGTAGCTGTCGAACGTGACGAGACAGGTCGTTCAAACTACTCCATGTGTGCTGTCAACCCAAGCAGAATCTCTAAGACATTCAACGAGCAAGCTCTGCAATATGTTGTTGAGAACATTGCTGAAGAGACCGGATGGCTGCTTGAGATTGTCAACTACAACATTGCCAACATGCAATACGTCTGTGCTGGAGATCTCCGTGCTCTTGATACCCTCACTGGTGTCACGAACTACCTAAAGGCTCAGAAGATTGATATCCAACAACTGATGCAGACTTTGTCTATCGAGGACGTCAAGGCACATCTCGTTGAGATTATCCGAGAGTGCGCGAAGCAAACAGAAGCCAAGCCCAAGCCTTTGGACCTCCAACGAGGCTTCGCGACCATCCCACTCAAAGGCATTGATGTGCCTTTCCACTCCACCTTCTTGCGATCTGGCGTCAAGCCCTTCCGATCCTTCCTTCTCAAGAAGATCAACAAGACCACTATTGACCCAAGCAAGTTGATTGGGAAATATATTCCCAACGTCACCGCAAAGCCTTTCGAGTTGACCAAGGAGTATTTCGAGGATGTGTACAGATTGACAAACTCGCCCAAGATTGGTGCCATCTTGGCAAACTGGGAGAAATACGAGGAGCCGCAGACCAACGGTGTCAATGGGGTGGTCAATGGTACGCATGCATAGAGATATAGATTTTTGATTTGGATGGCGTTGGGATTTGCAAAGAGCTCGTTGCATTTGCAATGATTTGTGTATTTAAGCAAAGTTTTCCGTAGGGGATTTTCGTTTTGTAGCTGTATATTGAGAACAGAAGATAAATAGAAAGTGTTTCTAACTTAATTCTGATAATCTATCGTGCCATATGTTCCATCTGATCATCGCTTTTCCAAAAGAAGAGTTAACGTCTTTCTACCCAGCAAGCATCTTAACAGCTATGCATACCAATTCAAGCCAAAGTGCGTGGAAAATATCGCAGCCAACAGGCAGAAAATTCAGTGCCGCGCTAAATATCACCTTAAAACCTTAATCCAAACCTTAAATCTTTTGTTGCACATCGCAAAAATCAGAGAATTAAAAAATCTCCACCCAGAATTTCTAAAGGAATTGAAAAATGTTAGCAAGCTGGAATTTTTGGCGCTAAGAGGGCGGGAGCCAATCATATCAAGGGAAAGTTTTTGGGTGTGGTTGTTGTTGAGCTGGATTTTGGGGAGAGAGACCTGGTCGAATATGAATGGCCCGTGCGTTCTGTTCCACGCTAAAATTCCCGGCTGGCCGTTGAGGGCATAGCTATCTTGCGCAAATGAAGTTCTTTATTCAGCTACGTACTGCTTGTGTTGGGCTTTGTTCGACTTGTGGTCATTCAAAGCAAACCATCGCACGGAAATCACGCTTGCATGTATTCCACCCATATTTACCCTCGAAAACGCAATGCTATGTAACTTCTCCCCCCAAACTCAATCACCCCTCAAATGATGCACTTCCAGGAATCCGGATCCTTGTAATTGAGTGGATCATGGCAGAAATTGCGGTACGGGTAGCGGCAATGGCGGCGCTCGTAATCCACACCAAGGGCATGGTTAGACTTCAAAATTTTGTTAGAACCTATTCTCTTCCCAAGTCGAGTCAGACTTACCTGATTGACATATCTCGTGCCAGTGATGGTGTCGGGGGCACGCCGATCTTCCACCCATTGTACCAAAGCCTCCAAGATGTTGTGTTCTGGATCCAGACCTGCGAAATCGGAGAAACGCTGGCCAATGTTGTGAGCACCATCACCACCAACGCAATGACCTGATTGTATTAGAGATTTCCAAGGAATTTTGCCATGAGGTACTCACTCATGCCTGAGATTCGGAACAAGCGATAAAACTTGTCGAGGGAATGTGAATCACGACCCATGGTACGGGATACATGATCATAGTACCAGAAATCCTTGTCTGAGGTGATTGTAGCATCCATCAAGCCACTGTAGTGAACTATTAAGGATCAGTGTTTGTTTGGATGTTCAAAGACAGGAAGTGTACTTACTGAGCTTGCCACCAGCTTCCTCGAAAGGAGAGAGATCTCCATTCCAAGTGGAAATCTTGAATGGGTCTTGGATAATTGCATTCTGAGCATCGTCGATGGTGAATGTTTCTGGATCCCATTCGGTGTCATCTATTACTGTTAATATTGTCGCAGTACAGGGGCTTTCTCGTACCGTATACAACGTAGCGGAACCAATCAGTGCTGTAGAGGAAAGTTCCGTTGGCATAAAACTGCTCGGAGGCCATAATCTCACTCCCTGGCTGCATCCGAGGGTAGATGAGGTTGCCATCGACACCATAGAAATCTGTGAAAGCGTTTCGGACAGCGCCGACTTGTGAGCCTGTCAAGCATGCTCCATTCTTTCCGTCAAGACCTGGAGAGCATTGTAATGCTTCTGGTCTGAATCTGCAAAGGCGGGTATCTTCGATGATACCATCTACAACTCCATCAAGTCCATCGCATTGCTTGAGAATCTCGTGGTGGATGAGCTCCCAATGCGGACCTTGTGGAACATAAGTATCGTCACCTGGGTTGCCGAAGATGGGTTGGAAGTGTCCGCTCCAAGACTGGAGAGACGGGAAGTTGAGGGCAGGGCAGCCAGCAAGAACACCGCTGCAGATAGTTAGCACTAGGTCTTCCCTAAATAGTAGGAGCCGAACTGCTTACTCGAAATCGGTTGGAAAGTCTTGTACCATCTTGAAGCCTTCTGTATGCCAGAAATTTTCATCAGAAATGTGAACTTTACCAGAGTGAAGGAATCGATGTCTTAACTTACGTCGACCTCCTGTGCTGCATCCTGCATAATATGACTTCTTGTGAGCTCTGCCATAATACTTTTGCGTAATTTGCTTGCCGATAACGACCCCGGTATGCACTGCACGATAAGCAAAGTCTTCAATCACATCGTCATTGTTGAGGAATGCCTTAAAAACATGAGTGAGCGGTCTTGAAGCCAAAGAGTCAAACTTACGATTCCGCTGCTGCCGTTGTGTCCATTGTTTGTGCCTGTGAGTGTTAGCTTCGTCATCAATATCATCATTAGGAAACCACTTACCAACCGCAGCAAAAGCTAGCCCGCTGGAATAAGCCATGTCTGGGTAACGAAGGCAGCCACTATTACCACCATTTCCAGTGCTGAGGAAACGATCGTTCCACTCATTCTCATTTGGAAGCCAAGCTTCAAACGTGAGATTTGATCTGGGACTCGTATCAACATGCATAACGATGCGGCAGATGTCTCGTTTGATGGGTTGTGTCACCCATCCACAAGAGGCAAGACCATAACCTTGTTCAAGTTGGATCACTGTGCCATTCGGGAGCCATTGAGCAGACTTCACAGTGGTATTGGGGAGGGAAAGGGTAGAACCAAAGTGCGAGCATTTGTAGGTGTTGAATTGGCTGGAGGAGAGGACAATTTGATGATCCATACTGCTTGCGAGTGTGAAGAAAGTAAGAAGTGCAATGCACAACTTGAGAAGAGCCATGTTGAGCAATCGGGCTTGACTTTCAGCTTTGAGTTGAGAGAAGCGATGAAAGTTCAAATGACAGTAAGGTCGAAGTTAAGGTGAAAGTGTATGTCAACTTGAGAAGAAAGCAAAGAGATTGTTCAAAGCCGTGTATATGTGCAAATATTGTCAAGTAGAAGGCAAGCTGGCTCTTGTTGAAGAATTATTGAAGTTGGAGAGTGTTGTTGGATTTAAAGTTTGAAAGATGTTGTTTGAGTGGTGGTTGTTGTCAAGAAGAGTGGAGGGAAGAGGGTATTTTATACCCCAGAGGAGACGATAAGGCTGCGGGCAGTTTGTAGTTTGACTACAGTTGGTACCAAAGAGGCAAGAGCACAAGCAAAAAAGGAAGTAACGTAGCCAACGAATGGAAGAAGGTGACGAGGCTGCAAAAGAGAGAGAGAGAGAGAGACAAACTTACTAACCACTGTGCCAACATGCAAGCATAACAAGTATCAAAGACACCAAACACCACTCTCACAAGCAATGCACCCCATTCCCCAAACCTCCAGCCAAAACGACGTCTCCAGAAGTTGGGCTAAACTCTCTCCAAAGCGACCCAATCCCCCAAAACTCTCAACAGTCCATCACCTCGTTTGTCAAGTAACTTACGCTTATCACCACCTTGCGAGAGTGAAGTTGTTGTTACGATTCCTCAAAGTTGTCCCAAACATTTAACTTTTCCTAGCGGTGAAATTCATGGCCGATTTTGCGACAGGGCCCAAATACAAAATGTAAAGTATTGCGCACAACAAATCAAGTTTACATTTAATTTTTTTAATGAGAACGTAGAATATCTTCTTGATAAGTTAGTATTTAAGTTTGATTAAAAACGGACTATGTATCAGTGTGCAATGTTAGAATTGGTACGGGACATTTTAGTATTTTCGAATACTAAAATCGGCTAAGAATTTCACAAATGGAGAGTAGGCTTAAGATTACAAGATATGATTGGCGAAACTAAAATTCCCAAGCGAACTGGCCGTTGAGGGGATAGTCGTGAATATTGGCTCGTACCACAATTGGCCTTTAACAATCCCGTGACTACGTTAGCCTGACATATGAGGCGCTCAAAAAAGATCGCGAGAACGCGTCTTTCTGTCGGCTTCATTCAGCCCTATCTGTCAAGGACCACTCGCTCCGCCGACGACAACCGTCTCAACTGCATTCAGTACTTGCAGTGTCCAACATGCCTCCTTTCAAGGACGAGAACATTTTGATCATTGCGCCAGGTTCTCAAACAACCTTGGCGCAACTTGGTCTACCAGAATCATTCACACCCGCTTCCCATAGATTCCCTACTCGCATGTTCCTTGCGCCCGATGGAAAGACCTACGAGCCTCACAAGATTCGTTCTAGGAAGAAGGAGGTTGTCAGCAATGGGGATGTGGCGATGGAGGGGACTAGCGCTGCGAATGGGGTTGAGGAAGAGGAGTTCTACGAGGATCCAGAGGATAATGAAGGAGCTATCTATCCACTGAAAGGCACGTAGAGACCTAGCCGCAGTACCACTTGGATTTATGGAAAGAAGCTAATTTCTTTATTTAGAGGGCCGAATCGAAAACATGCCAGCCTTCTTCGCTTTCCTGCAACATGTCCATGCTACCTTCGGTCCTCAGCTCCATTCACCGATTATGTTGATCGCACAACCATGTTGGACAGCTAAGAACCATGAGGATGTCACACAATTCATATTTGAGAAGTTCAAGACCCCGGCTCTCTGTATTATGGACAGTGCTCTGGCTACATCGTATGCTTTCGGTATCGCCAATGCCACAATCATCGATGTGGGCTTTGAGAAGGTCGATGTTACTGCTATAACCGATTTCCAGATTTCAGGCAGAGGGGTTGTCCCAAAATCTGGAGGAGAAGCTATGACTCGGCGATTGATGCAGTTGCTCGAGTCAAAGGACTTCACTCGAGATATGGCTGAGCAATTAAAGAAGAGTATGATCTGCGAGATTCTACCACCAGGAACTCCATTACCAGGTACAGACGAAGCAGCAGTGGCTGAGGATGTCATTACCAACCCAGCAGCGGCCGCATCGACAGGTGCTGCTTCATCCGGCCCAAGTGTCAAGATCACCGAACCCCCCCGAGTTGCAGGACTAGAGCCCGATCCAATAGACGATGATCTTGGTCTCGATGAGAAAGTTGTGGACGATGATGGTGTTTTGGATGTTGCGAGTATCGTGACTAGTGGCAAAACTCAGGAATTCTTAGCGAAGAAGGAAAAGGAGAAGGCCGAAAAGGCAGCTGCACGAAAGGCAACAAGAGACGCGGAAAAGGCTGAGGCTGCAGCTGCAGCGGCGAGACCAGCAAGACTACCGAACTCGAAACGCCCTCGGGCCATGTTTCATTATGAAGAGACTGTCAAGGAGGCACCCGTGGCTAAGAGACAAAAGACCCCTGAGGTAGCACCACCGCCGCCAGCAGTTGTTGAAGAGCCTGTATCTGCTGTCGAAGCTAAGCCGATGGGCAGTGATGGCTTTCCATCAATGGGTGGCGATCCTGCTGAGGAGGCCGCACGACGAGAACAGCAAAAAGCTGCACGAAAGGAGGAACGAAGAAAGATTCGCGAAGAAGAAAATCCTGATCGAATTCGCCGAGATATTGAGATTGGTGTTGAGCGTTTCCAAGCTGCGAGCGAGGGCATGATCGATTCTATCGCAGATACAGTCCACAGGACTGTTCTCTCGGTCAACGACATCGGGAAGAGACAAGATGCTTGGGATGCACTGGTCATTTGTGGCTCAGGATGCAAAGTCAGAGGCTTCAAAGACGCTCTACTTGCTACCTTGAACAACCGGTACCTTGTATCGCCAAGCTCTGCAACCATGTTCATGAGCGAGCTACCCTCCAACATTGCCACACCCAGTGGTACCGGATCAATGACTCCCAATGCCTCGTTCTCATCTACGCCTCATGCTCCTCCTACCGCCAGCGCAGTCAACCCCCTTCTTCTAGCTGCTACAACGGCATCAAACCCTGTACTCAACCCCAACCTGTCGGTAGCTTCATTCAACGGCAACGGCGCTCCTTCCCACTCCTCCCACTCTCAATCTCCAACAAGCATCAAGACCGCTACTCCTCCAAGTTACTTCCCTGAATGGAAGCAATACGACGAAGCCGTGTTCCTAGGGTCGCAGGTTGCGGCGAAGGTGATATTTGTCGTGGATCAAGGACTGTCAAAGGGCTTCCTTTCAAGAGTTGAGTTCAACGAAGAAGGCCCTACGGCTATTCATCAAGTGTAAGTACTCTCCCGGCAGTGTGATTGAAAATTGATGCTAACTCGTGTAGGGGACTTGTATTCTAGGTGCCTCGGTTTAGGGTCGTCTTCAAAGGGGAGTTTTGGGTGTAAATGAAAGCTATCTGTACCGAGAAGATCTGAATGAAAAGCAATACCCTTCTATGCACGACTTGAAATTGCTCAAAAAAAACATGTCTGAGGTGATTGACATGTGTATCAATGTAACTTACGAAGGCTATGGTTGATAAGTGATATTTTTGCAATTGCAAGTTCTTATAACACCTTGCTAAAATCGAGAACGTTCTTTATGTGATGTTTATACATAATCTTATTATTCCTTCCCAAAAGCGAACTAACACTTGCCAAAGGACGAAGAGAGCAATAATCTACAAAAAAAAACTCATAATTCGTAACTCAACGTGCCTCTCACCTTCACCTCTACCTCCCAAGCACCTACCTACGTAACCCAGCCTCGTCTCGCCAAACCCACAATATAGATTTCAATAAGAAATTCCTTGCCATCCAATCCGGTTGGGCCGCGGGCCCCTATGACCGGCTTGGTGTCCCCTCCCCCGTAAAATCGCCAATATCGCCTCCTCGAAACAAATACGCCATTTCGACTTCGGACAATGCTTCGCGCTTGGGCGCCTGGGCACACAGAGAAATCTGTGTGCCTGGGCGTTTTGCTCTTTTTTTTTGGTGATGATGGATGGGATTTCTGATATTGGCTGGGTTGCTAGCTTTTGTGCTCCTTTGATAGTCTGGTTAGGTAGGAAACATTTGGGAATTTTTTTAATGGAACTCGGTTAGGCTTAAATCCATGAGGTTTTATTGTTCTACTCTAAGTGATATCATTGAGCGTATCCTTTTCTCGAAAAGAATTAAAATTCCAGGCAAACAAGACTAAAATATCGATTTTCTACAATTGCAAAGAAGGAACCGATTTGCATTTTAAACCCATAGAAACTCCGTCCATATGTTCCAGGCGCTCAACTAAACTATTGTCGTACAGTCATGAGGGTATCTAACACATCCAGTCATCACATCGTCATCACCTCCTTGCATTCTCCATGCTCTTCTGCCTAGTCTCATTCTCTGAGCTTGCAGGTCTTTTCCTACTATCCCTACTTCGCCTACTATCTCTGCTTCGTCTACTGCTGGGACGTGAGCTGGGGCCATCATACGGATCTAGATCTCTTTGGTCACGACGAGACGTGGATCGTGGACCCTCGGTCTGGGAACCACTAGGTCCAGCTTGAGTGGAAGGGCCTTCAGGGAGCATGGGATCATCTTCCAATTCGACGATTCGGCCGTCGCTGTCGATGACTGTGGCTTTGCCTTCACGCTCGAGACGAACTTCTCGGCCACGTTTGTGGCAGTACCAGAATACGAAGAGGAGGACTGCAATAGTTAGCGTTGCTACATATCAAAGAACAAGAACGTTGAGAACTTACCGAATAGCCCTAAGCTCAGGAGGACATTGGTGCCCATGAATGCAGGCCATCTTAACTTCAGTGCATTCATGATAGCCTTCAGCATGCTAACCACAGCACCTGGCTTTGTAACGAGATCCTTAAGACTAGTGGGCTTCAAGAAACTCTTTGCCGCAGCACCAAATGATGTAGCCCCTCCAGCAGATGCACCGCCATTTAATGCCTGTGCTTCAGCAGCCACGGCCAACAACTCGGGAGCCAGATTCTTGGTCAATTTATCCGGTAATTGTGTAACCAGCTTCTTCAAGAAACCCGGAAGGTGATCATACGACTTTGAGAGCTGACCCTGTGAGTTGTCCAATAGGTGGTTCAGGTCATCATAGGCAGTTGGCACGCCGTTGACGAGATCTTTGAGGATGACTGTGAATTGTTGGACGAGTTGCTGGGATTCTTTCGAGAGGGAGAAGGCTCGATTGTTGACTGCGGAGAGATTGAGGTCTTCGAGGACTCGGTTTATGTCGTCTACTTCCGAGGTAACTTCATCGGGGGTTACAACTGGTGCGGGGTGGAGGCCATCGTTCTTGTCCTAGAAATGCGTTAGCTGTGCGACTGAGGTGGGACAATGGGAACTTACCTTCTTGGTACCACTTCGGGTCAGGAAAGAGAACCGACTTGGTTTCTTGGCATTCTTGTCGTTTGACTTCTCGTTCTCTTTGCCTTTTCCTTTGTGTTGCTTTGTCTCTTCTGCCGTAGTGCCATTCCCATCGTGGACTACCATCTGTGCATTGTTGTTGGTTGAGTCGCCAGATTCGGGCATCCATCCCAAAGGGCGCTCTGGCAACGGAGGTGGTGTTCCTTCTGCAGAGACTACTCGTTGTAAGAAATTCTCATCTTCTTCGTTGAGCAGTGGCGCGGGCTCAGGACTGGGAGGCGCCGAATGTTGTTTCTCAGCATGACTTGGCGTAGAAGGTGTTGAAGCCTTCTTGTCAGTCTGGTGCTTCTTGATCTTTTTGTATGTGAAGTATTCCAGCATTGTTGCGAGTCTGTCGGAGTATTGAATGTTCGAGTATGTTGTTGGGAGAGAGAGAGGAAAAGTCGGGCGATATATGCTTGGGCAGGTTTCAATAACGTCTGTCACTGCTCAACAGCTTTGCTTGTTTCTTTCAGCCACACGTCATTTATGCACTATCCCTGAAAACAAGGCCAAGGTTCAAAGATTAGCGAATGAATTGGCCCGTGCCACCTCACCCCACTGTGTGCGCCACATGCTCAGCCACACCACCTCCTTTCTCCCACGCAAAACTCTTCTCTCGATGCAAGAGATGCATGGCAGGGGTATCAAAACGAATCATATCCTACAAAGTGAACAACGATACGTGGTTGCTCATGAAACGAACACATTGAAGACTTTTCACGTTACCACAAATAGATATCTTATATATTCTGGAAATCTTTAAATATTCTTCAACATCCAGACAGTCATCGCCCTGAAAAACTCGAGAAAAATCGCCAAACGATACCGCTTTTCGAGATGCATCTCGAGTATAAGGAAATAGCCACTGCTCAAACTTCAAAGCGTCATTTGATCACAAATCGTATAGTGCATCAAGGTACGCAAAAATACGCCATACGAGATAAGAGACAAGCTGACACACCTCCTCGAAATCTTCTTCCAGCGTCACCTTGGTGTGCAACTTCCGGGTATGGACGAGCCTGGCCTATCTTATGGCTAAACGCCAATGCCAGAGGGACAACGCAAAACGAATATCCTAGGAAGCAAGACATGATCAGCTGGGTATTGAAAAACTTCATCCTAGTTCCGCTTCCCCAGTTGTGATAGATGCAAAATGGTTGACCGTCTTTGCAGAACAAGAAAGCTCATTAGTTGGCTAGGTTATTTTCAATAAATCTCCTATTTGTTGCTCATTGACATTTTTGCTTACTTGTTCTGGATCGATGATCAGTTGGTAATGAGACCCTCCGGGACGACGGTCTGGCCCGCTCCCTTGGGACATCAACCCATGCCATTAGAGGACCAAAGTGGCAGGTAGTGCTCGCTCCAGCGTTCCGACCCGCGCCTATTTGTGGTACTATGAATAGGAACAGGTATGCTATCCGATACACTTTCCTCGGAGATCAACCCGCCGCACAAGGAATACGTTGCTGGCAGATCGAGAACGGATCGAAATGTTTCAGCATCGGCTCACTCATGGTCTCGTATAGACGACGTCGAGACCAATATCCTTACTTCGATATGATCGAGGTTCTCGGCTCAGCATGCCATGCCCAAAGGTGCTGTCACCCGATGCATTCCAGTCAGGGTATTCCTTGGTCCTTCAGGACGCAGACTACCAGCCACAAATATCTGGCATCTGTGCATTTGAGAACACGTTTATGGTTACTGAAAGCTGGGAATTGATGTAATTCTGTTACTCAAAAGATTCACAAACGCTTCCATCCTGCAAATTCTGCTTAGGCATCAAAAATGGCCTCATGTTAGCTTTCACATTTCTTCCAAACATGAAAGTGCATGTGTTGGGCTGGCTACATTTCCAATAACCCTCCGGATGCTGCTTGGTTCCATTGAAAACTTGCTTGCGGCTGGAGATGCTTTTCAGACTTGTTTAGACCAGTTCGGACTTGCGTCGAATCATATGGTTTTACCCCATCCTGCCTGCAAGAATGATCAAAACAGTACCTCCCATCCGCCGAGGCTACTTGGCATCGAATGTCTCTTTCTGTGGTTCTAAGACATCTCGTGCGGGGCAGCCAATTGCCTTCTATTGCTTGCTTCTCGATTTTGAAGTGCATAGATAAGGCATATTTGAAATCCCAGATTATGCACCTACTTGCTTGATCATGGTGGTGACCCCACCAATATGCTTCGCTTATGGGCCGTGGAAGCTCCGAACTCCCCTTTTGTTTTTGTTCACGTCAATTAAATCGTGGACATATTGTTTTGGTTTCACCCCTGTTTGAATTCCTGATCCGAGACTTTGGAAGTAAATGTCAACTGATTCACAGAGGCCATATTGGAGGAAGAATCCCATCATTGATGATTATATGTTCTGCGAGATGTTTTGGAAAGCGAATGTGCCACGTCCACGTGGCAGTCAGTGGCAGACCTTAAAAAAGACCTAGCGTCATCCACAAGTTCCCTGGGACATGTTGAAAGTAACTCACCTGCGCCGGATATTGTAGTGGATGACAAGGATTGTCTGCGAATGTCATGCTTGGGTTTACGCCTTGCATATCTCCAGCGGGAGGGAGGGATGTTTCCGTCGGGACCCCAGATGATTAGGTTCCGCGCGGCTGGCGAGATATTGCATAATGTAATTGGACTGCTATATTTTGGTCTTGGGACGAACACCCTCTTACCAATGCCTCGGATTGGTATCTTCGATAACACTGGCCGCAGTGTAACCACCCGACGACAAAGTGGGACAATGCTCCAGGCACGCTACTCAAAATGGCAAGGTCGATGGATCATGTCCCTATTCTGCAGCAAGCTCTGGACACACCATCGCATGTGAGCCGCTGCTCTGGATATCCTCGAGTCTTGTACCCATGTCGATAGGTAGAAAGTGTGGGAATGAGCAATGGTGTGTCAGAGAGCGGATGGAGCGGGTTGAGAGTTTATTCTTGCCCATATGATGAGTGTCAAGGTCTGGCATTTGGGAAAATTCACTCAGGGTGGCCCAAAATGCCCCTCTGTTTAGGTATAAGAAGAGGGCCAATTGCTCTCCTGGCCTCGTCAGAAGTCCTTCGCACTGAGGCCACTGAATACTACCTCTCCCTATTGCTTTTACAAGAGGCACTACGTTCTATCATCTTACCCTATGAAGTCAAACACCTCGGCTACAGCTAAATAGTCAACTAAGGAGAAACCTCTTTGCTCTCTAGTCAACTCCTTCACTATCCTTCCTGCTTTCAGCCGCAGCACCCAACCTCAAGCATGATGAAGTCAACTCCGGATATTCTACCTACTACGGCTATCAATATGGTGTCTGGCTTTCCTCCAGTACGCTTGTTGATTCTCCTCATCTTTCTATCAATCATTTTCGTAACTGCAAGTCTTCAAGCCTACAAACGTCATCGAGAAGCCCGCCAATATTACAAACTTTTTGGTTGCCGCCAACCTCCTCTCGAGAATGCCTATGACCCTCTTGGAATCAGCAAGATCATCCGGTCAACGAAGATTTTCCTCAAGAAGCAGTCTCTTCTTACAGCAATCAAGCTCTTCTCCGAATATGGCAACACCTACACCTCTCGTGTCTTTACTTCCAGAGTCGTCTTTACCTGCGATCCTCGAAATATCAGACAAATCTTGGTTACTGGATTCGCCGACTGGGAAAGCAGCCCTCTTCGCGGTCATCTATTCAAGCCCCTCTTAGCACACAGCATATTCCAACTTGATGGACCTCGCTGGAAGGCTACCAGAGACACATATCGACATCAAGCACGTTTCTCCAACCTACGCTCTATCATAGACGTCAGTCGACAAGAGAAGAGCGTTCAAAATCTTCTGAACTGCATCCCTGATAGCAAACCATTCGACTTGTCCGTGCTGTTTCGTCACCTCATGATGGACCTCACAACTGGATTCTGCCTGGGAGATTCAGCAAACTCGCTTACCACGTACCAAACAGAGGAGAAGAAAGTGTTTGCCGAAGCCATCACAGATATTCAGCACCGAATTGCCACTGGAGGATTTGTCGGCCCTCTCTCACGTTTCATGAGTAAGAAGCAAATGCGTATCGACACGGAGATCATCCATCGCTTCGTTGGAAAGTATATCGACGCTACGTTGGCTAGACTGATTCCTTACGATAGAGTTGACCAGAAGAGTTACGAACCGGAGGGCTATAACATGCTTGACGCTCTTGCAGAGTTTAGCAGGGACAAGATCGAGCTTCGAGACTACGTCACAACGATTCTGATCGCTGGCACTGAATCAACGTCAAGTCTTATGTCATCGGTGTTGTACCTGCTTGCACGGAACGAACATGTTTTCCTTAAGCTGAGACAAAGTATTCTGGAGATTATTGGTCGTGAGCCTCCAACGCTCGCACAGATTAAGGGGCTTGCTTACTTGCGCTGTGTACTCAATGAAGGTTCGTCACTAACTCTCAACTCTTGTAACATCACTCCTGCTTTCTTCCTTCCCAATCTCTTTGGGCAACTTACTCTGGCTGTTTCGTCACTCTCCCTTTCTTTCTTCCTTCTTCTTAATTTCATTGCACAATTTACGCTGACATACCTTCTGCGCAGCACTTCGCTTCTATCCTCCGGTCCCAATCAACGCTCGTATTGCCAATACATCCACCACGTTACCCGTTGGAGGTGGCTCAGATGGTAACTCACCAGTCTACATCCACAAAGGACAGAAGATAGTATTTTCCTCCTTCGCTATCCACCGTTCGGAGGAAGTCTACGGCAGCGATGCATTGGTTTTCAAGCCCGAGAGATGGGAGAATGTCGAAGCGTTGAAAGAGCGGGGTGGTTCCTTCTTCCCTTTCCTCTTGGGTCCCAGAGCTTGTCCTGGTCGTAAGTTCAGCTTTCTCCTCTTGACTCGCTAAGAAGAAAGCAGCATGATGGCTAATGCTTTGTGATAGAGCAATATGCGCTCCAGGAGACAAGCTATGTCATCATCCGGCTCTTGCAGACTTTCAAGGAGATCAAACCCCGCGACTCAAGACCTTGGAAGGAGCACATGGGTTTGAATCTCAGGAATGACAATGGATGCTGGTTGGAGGTTGTCAGGGACGAGGAAGCCATTGCTTGATTTGATTTTCGGTGCGAGCTATGGCGTTGGAGTTGGTGGACGCTTGGTAACGAAGATACTCTCTTTTCTTCTCTTGGATTTTAGAACTCCGGTAGTATCGTGGTTTACCTCTGCTATTGGAATTTGGCTTGAATTTATCAACGTTGCTTTTTAGGAAATGATATTTAGATGATAGATGAGCAGACGAGTACTTAAGGAATATTTTTAAAGTTGCTTGGGAAGTTGGCAGAACCCAGTGTCGACCATTCAAATCTCGATTATGTCCTCTTCTATACCCTCGGTCACAATCTGGGGCACAGGAGTTGTTTACGGACTAAACTTACCGCATCAACTTACGAAAGCGAAGAACGTTCTGCAAATCAGGTTTTAGCAATGACCGTATCTTGTGAATTGTTGCCACTCGCTATTATTCTCTTGCTCGCTTTCGCTCTCCTCTCGTATGGGAGCATCTTTGACTTCAAGTGCGTCTCACTTTTTCTGCCTAAGCTGAATGTAGCTTAGAATTTGCAATCTTCCTTCGAGATTACGGTGGGTCGAAGATATGCTTAACTCATCCCAGGTGCCACCTGCTCCAGGGTCATCATGGATGCTGCAGGATTGAAGCCTTTTGTCTTCATTCGAGAGACTATTGCCAAGCGAACAAGTTTTAGATGTTGGTCGACTGTAAGCTCTACAACACAGTCATTTGCGAGACGAGCTTCATCTTCATATCCGTGACAATACTTCTAGATCATTTGATTTCCAGCTTCCCTCCTTCTGTTGCGGTTTGGTCTCTTTATTTACGAAGCGGTTACACCTTCAAGTCTCTCTCTTTGGCGAGTGGCATGTGTCCAAATACGTCTTTCTCAATGTCTCACAAGTATCATGCTATCTTCAAATCGAACGGCTTCCTTATCTCGTGTAAAGTAACCTATTGCAAGCTGAACAAGGATGTGACCTCGCCCGTCTTATGACTTCGCAACTTAGCGCTGTAGTTCTGGATGTCTAGCATATGACGATGCGGCGTACTGCGCCAAGATAGCATAAACTCCGGTACCGAACAAGGTCTCAAAAGATGATCCATCCCCGCAAAAGCAACCTCGTTATTAAGACGCATCCCGGCATGAAGCTATTGATCAGCATCCGGCATCGGCAGTCTCCAATACAGTAAGCCGAGTCACTAAACTAGCCCCCGCAGCAACCACCAAGACTTTCTTTTGTTTACTTTTCACCTCCCCCCATCCGTGCATCCGCTTCCCTCAAAACACAGTCTCAACCCCTCGATTTCTACCCCACTGTCTCACATGGCCGTCGCCCAACTGACCCGGAAATGGTGGCCCTCGCTCCAGTCAGTGTCGCATCCATCGTAATCGGCTTCATCTCCTTCTCTTTCACACTCGCGATCTGGCTCCATGCATTCTGGGAATCCTTCGTAACAATAGGCCAAGCGCCCGAACAGCTCCAAGACGCTCTTTCCACCCTCCGACAAGCACTATACGAAGAGCGCGAATACCTAAAACGCAAACGGCGGCGGGGGAACGATAAAGAGGAAGGGCGATCCTCGTCGAAGAATCGGCCCACGATATACTACGAAGGCGGGCCGACGAAAGTTATCAATGATGCGGTCAAGGATTTGATACGGGAGTTCAAGGCGTACGAGCGCCCGTTTTTGGAAACGGAGCATACGGGCAGAGAGAAAGAGCTGGAGTGGAGTTTTGATGCCACACAGCAGTATTATAAGAGTGATTTTGTGCATAGGGTGTTGTGGTTGAGGAGCAAGGGAGGGGTGGAGACTATTGCGGAGAAGTTGCAAAAGATCCAGACCAGGAGGATTGCGGTCGAGGTTACGGAGATGCACTTTCAGATGAGTGATATGATGGGTCTGGTTAGGGATCAAGAAGGGAGGCTGAGGGCTATTGAAGAGAGGTTACAAATGTCTAGGGTGGGATGGGATGAATTGAGGCGGAATTAGAAGGGAGACTATATACCATTGCATTGAACGGCGTTGGGGAAAATCAGGCATGCATTTATTTTGGGCTTTGGCTTTGCAAAGGTAAGCTGATAATATACATAGTGCGCAGGTAATTCTGCTATGGTATCTCGAGAGAAACTCCGAAATCAGTCATCCTCCTGCACCAACTCCTTGATCTCCGAAGAATCGAGAAGACCACCAGCCAAGTCGTTATGAACCGAAACTCCTGAAGCACGCACGCCGTTCGCAACTCCTTTTCCGCTAACGCCGCCATCTTGCATCCAGAAATCAACTTCGTCTACGATATCGTACACAATGTCCTCCACGATCTGCTCATCATAGCGCTCACCGACTGCTCGAAGCTTGTTGAGTTCTAGGGTTTTTGTAGCAGGTTGATCGTTGCCAATCATGTCTACTTCGTCGTCTTGATCCTCAAATCCTGGAGGTGGATACCAGAAATCCGGTCCAAAGTTAACCTCTGCAGCACCACCACGGAAGACAGACACTGCTGGGTAATAGCCTAGCATGCCATCGTCCAAACCCTCTCTAGCTCCTACTTGTGGCAATGGCTTCGAAGCTGGTGGAAGGAATGCAAGAAGGTCGGTGAAGGGGGTTCCCATCAGTTGTCCATTCTTGTAGACTTTGATGCTCGAATACGGGAGGGTGCGGAGAGCAGGGACTAGATGTGTTGGACCTGGTTCTTGACCAGCACCGAATCCACCAGAGGAAGATACGACTGGTGAGGGGTTCATCAGTTCTTCAAGTTCCTTGCAGGAGTGATACTCGATCTGCTCGAAGTATAGGTGTGCCTTGAAACGAATTGGGACTCGATCGCGGATGATGTCTGCTCGCTCAATGCTCGTATTTCCTTCGTCTGCCAAATCCACTGCGGGGTTATACTGGCCTTCGACGACCTTTCGATGAAGCGACTCAGATGGAAGGTTGATTTCGAGGCCAATCACATCTCCCTCACGAATATCCTCTCCTGGTGGGAAGAAATCCTTTGGTCGAGACATGTGAACCTTTTGACCCCGAACATCTCGAAGGCCGTAGCTATAAGCATCAAATCCGACTGGTGCATCCAATGTAGCTTCACGTCTTGCCCAACCCATGCGAACATGGCCGTTGTCCGGACCAGCATGCGCGTCGCTATGCTTTCGCTTTGGAATACCACTTGTGATCTTGCATTCCCAATAGAATCTACCTTCGCGTACGCAGACGTTGCCCTTAGCCATTCGGAAACCCTTGTCTGTGGTGATGTGTCTGCCGCCTTCATCAAGGAACATGTGTGTAGAAGTATCTTCGAAGTTCAGTCGGGGGTTAAAGGGTTCGCTTTCAGATTGACGGTAATAGAGAGAGGATGGAAATGCAGGATCAGCAATGCAATGGGTGTAATGGAAGTTCTTCTTGTTGTAGACACTGAAGCTATTAGCATAGAATTGCCATGGAATTGAGGAACATACTGGTCAGTAGTCTCATTGAACTGGACTGATGTGCCATCTGGAGCGATCTTTGCATGCGCAGGAATAAATATTGGACCTCGAGGAGCTTCGAAGTCTGTGGATTTTGGTGGAGGGAGTTTGTATCGAATTGGCGCAAGATCGCTTTCAGTCTTCTTGCTCTTCGAAGTGCTTGCCTTGGGATCTGGAGTTGCTCTCGCGCTGGTGTCTGGTGCAAGGGAACCTGCCTTGGATTCGCGCTTCTTCAAGGACTCCTTCTTTGTTCGCGAGGCGCGTTCATGAGCGAGGGGCGCATTGTCCTTGGACTTGAAATCGGGGTTCAATGGGGAGGAGACTGCAGGTTGATGATCATCGTCGAGTGCGCGCTTTGTCGGAATGGACAGCGAATTCGATCCTGGAGGGGTAGCCTCTCTTGCAGGAGAAGCCGTTCCTGTAGACATTTTAGCAATCCTGCTGCTGCGCCGAAGGGCAAGAGGCGGAGCAGAAGGCTTAGGCGGTTCGACATTCTTGAAGCGAGCCATTTTGGTGCACGGTCTTTTTTTGTGTCGGTGTTATCTCCGTTAACTCCGATGGTGGTGGGGGAAGACCTTCAGACGAAGATATTTGGAAAATTTCGGACGACAAGCTAGTCAAAAAATTCACTACTGATAGACAATTGATAAGATAGGAATATAAGATAAGAGAATTTCCAAGAACTCGCTTTCACTTCGGCAACAAAATAAGGCCCATCCCGAAAGCTTTTTTTCATAATTTCAAGTAAATGTAGAGACCATACGCTTACTCAAGCCATGATATGATTTCTTCTTCACTGTGCTGCTCGTACCGACTTTGGAAATAGGTATTATTATAATCTCGAGATGGAAACATTGAGGAAATTCTCTCCAAGTACAAATACTTCTCAATTATCGAGTCTACGGCTTTTCCAGTTTCCTGAATTGTTAACTATGGACTCCCACCCACAAACACTGCCTTTGTATGGCTTCGTGCGTTAGTCAGTCCTTTGTCAATGTCTACACTTGATTCTGGATATTAGAAGTCTTGAAGGATGGATTTTGAAAGCCTTAAGGTCAGTGCAATAAGGCTTTAACTGTTCATATAAAGAGACAGAGCCACAAGCATATTTGCTGAATCGATCCCTCTCTTTCCTAAGTAGCCCTCAAAAGGATAATTAAGCACACCCAACACGTCAAAACAGTAAACCGCTTTCACAGATCAATTATTCGTTTTATTATTTGGTTTTTGTGTACTAAGAAGACAAAAATGTAAGGAGTCGAGCTCGGTTACTTTACGTGGCTGATTCGCCTACAACGGACGATGGAACGTCAAAGAAAAAGTTCCATGATAATTAAATATTCTCGACAAGCAATCCTTTAATTAATGTACGATAGATACAAAATAGGAAACAAAAGCAAAAGAAATCTCCCTCGGGTGGGCTCGAACCACCAACCTCTCGATCTCTCTTGCATCTTTCGATGCTTAACAGTCGAACGCGCTAGCCAATTGCGCCACGAGGGACTTTGGCTGTTATTGAGGGCGAGAATGCTTATTAAAATCCATAATCTTACGTATATATCCGTGCTCGCTTTCGGCGATTACTATCCGACGCTAGGCTTTTAGAGCAATTTAGATATCTTCACCTCACTCAAACAAAACCTCTTCTTGACTTCTTTTGCGTAGAAGTTTCCAGATACTCTCCTATTGACTTAATATATTCTCACATGTTAGCTCAAGGTTCGACTCGTATTGCCCTTTGCTCAGTCCTCACTCATTGAGAGGCGCCTCCCTCCATGTCAGTGCGTTCTGTCTTCCACGTACAATTTTCTATGTTAATGAATGGAGGAATACAAGTGCTATGCATCTCAATTATTTCATTCATATTCCCCGCTACTTTAAATTGCTGCTCTGCTATACTTTGATTGTCTTGCAGTTGTTGTAGATGGGTTGGGCCTGCCGTTTGCTCACGTGATATATTTGAATACCTAGGTAGCAGCTGTTGCCTCTCCGTGCTTCCGTGTTGACGTGACATTTTCCAGGTACTTCAACAAGTATTGGAAACATAATGTCAGCAAGTGATTTTACCAGTCCCGTTCTTGAAGCCTTCAAGCGAGGATTAATGGTCCCCAGACCAGCAATTGCTGAGGTCTCTAGGAGAATCCTCACCACCGAACAGTAACTCCTCTATTCCAGCCTAAGCAATGATACACACCATTTCTCCTTCCGTGGACGAAGTCTGATACCATGAGGATGCTTGGCAGTCGAGATTGAACATTCCTTTATGCGATTTCGAAACCTTCCGTATCACGCAGGAAGCCAGCAAAATACGCCGAAGGTAGATCTCTCAGCATCCAACATCCACAACTACGCAATACTTCCTTTGAAAATGGTTCAGAGGATTTATTCATCCGGTATATAATGCCCGGCACATCTACTTGTCTGTTTCTTTCCACATTCTAGACCACATCCAGCCAAAATGCAGTTCACCACCACGATTCTCCTCGCTTGCGCTTCCGTTGCCTCTGCGCAATACACTTGGGGAGACTGGGGTGCAATGAACCCATGTGCTGTGAGTATCTCAATCCTTATGAATGACCATCGCTGACTCTCCCAGCAACCATGCTTTGCATCAGCCTACCCAGGAACTTCAAGTTCATGGTCCAGCCACTGTGCTTCGCAGACTCTTCTCAATAACTGCATCAAATCATCTTGCTCAACCATGACTGCCGTCCAGACCAGTGCTTCTGCTGCGCAATCAGCTCAATGTTCGGCGTTCAGTAGCTGCTCAACTGTACAGGATGTTTGTACTTACGCCTATCCTTGGTGGGGTGGATGGAGTGCCTGGGGATGGGACGGACCATATCATGATGGCATGTATACCGTCACTACCGACGCTCAAACCACAGGATTGACGACTAGAACTGTCACATCAGCTGTCAGCGGAGTTACATCGACTGCCACTCAAACAGCTACCCTTGTCGCGGCTGCAGTCGCTTCAACCACTAATGCCGCCGCTACGGCGACTGCGACTCATAACGCAGGATCGAGTCGTGGTGTCAATGCTGCTGGAGCTCTCATCGGCGCTGCTATTGTTGCTATGATAGCTATGTAACCGATATTTGAGAGTTATCTGGAGCTTGTTGACTCACGATTGATGACTTCAATGAGCAATGAATGAGTGGTGGGGTAAGAAAGATTGGTATAGATTTGTAGGCATTTCTACCGAGGTGCGCACTTTACGGCATTCGACTTGGGAGTCTGGGAGTATTTAGACCTCTGCTTTTACAGGTTTGCATTTCCCGGCTGTTGTACCATATTATCTAGTTCTATCCATCACTTCTTTTCCGTCGAGCTTGAATAGAGTCCCGCCGATCGAGTCCCGATCTTCTTGAAATTATTGTGGTATTTTGCTTCCTGTCTTCATCTTTCTTTGCTTGCTAGATCTTGGCTTTACATCTCCTAACCGCCCCTTCGAAGCCAGTCCCGGCCACCAGCTTGTGTCTCTTTGCTACATATTTCTGGTGATAGTGGGTCCAAGTTGGTCTCAAGTGTGTCAAAGTTCTGGCTGATGACGCCCTATCATCCGGTGATCTTGCTGTATACTGAACTGTGGCCTTCTGATCTGTTAAAATTGTCCGAAGGCCCGTCCGCAGGTCTTGGATCTGGACCCGTTCAATGATGGCCTTCGAAGAAGTCCTTCGTTATTCGATGTAGTACGAATACACGAAATCTAAGAGCTGAGGTCTCAATGTGGCGACAAAGCTTCACATCAAGCTGCGACTGCATCGCTCTCAACTTCTTGAGTATTCAAGTTGTACCGACTAGATTGCATTAGCTTCTTCATTTTGTAGGACATCAATCTACTCACCATACTGGACAGGTTCCAGAAACATGTTTCAGCCAAGGATCGACGCATTTAGGATGAAATTTATGGTCGCACGGGAGAAGTCGAACTTCCTCGCTTTCGACGAAGTCCTCTAAGCAGATGGAACAACTCGAATCCTCTTGAGGGATTTTATTTGTTGGAGTAGATGTACCCGAAGCAATGTTTGTCTTGGAACTTCTGATCTCGGTCACAGCCGTGATGTCCCCATCGACGACCGGCTGCATGTCTGAATTCGTATTTGGTCCATCCTCAACACGCTCTTCCAATTCAACATCTTTCGTCCTGCTCTCCTCGAACCTCACAATCGGCAGATTCTCCACAACACTCTTCGCAAGTCCCGGCGCACGGCTCCTGCTCGATCGTCGCCTAGGGATCACGATCCTCGTAGTCGCGAATCCAGGCGTCCAAGAAGTTCTATAGTAGCCAACACACATCAAAGCAAAGAACAAGAACACAACCAGCGAGATCAAACTGATCCCGACCGTAATCCCAAGTCCAGATCCAGAACCTATGCCCGATGGATCCCGGCGAGGAAAGTGTTTACCGGCTGAAAGCAAGACCGGCATTTTAACCGTGAAGGAGACGAAGCTTGTGGAGACTGGTACGTCAAGAGTTTCAGAGAATTTGTATGGGGGTATTGGGATCTTATACCACGTTTCAGTGAGTGTAATATAAAGCTTGAGCCCCATTCAGCTTTCCAAGCATCGCGGGGAGGACCAGAATGCTCATGCGCCTCATTGCTCAGTACGTACACGATCGACAGGAGGGCGCGGGGAGCACGTGTGTGAGATATAGTGGTGAGACTCTGTTGTACAAATATATTGTATGCGAGAGAGATACACCTCATCCTGGTCTGAGAGGTGTTTGCGCGCGTTGGGAGAGTCTGGAAGCACGGCTGCTTGTGAGGCTGGGGGCTAGGCGCCAGAATGACGATTTGTCCAGTACTATCAGTCGGGTGAATCTGAACGTATCTTGTGATACGTGCCGTGATTATGACTTTTCCATGCGGTAGTTCGTATAAGCAACAGCCTGATTCTGGGTGCATAGCCTTGCTGCAAATAAGCGATATCGCTTTCAAGGCTGTATTTTGAGGCGATAATATATTGCGGAAGCCATGAGATCAATTGGAAAGAGGTGATCATGCTTCTACTATGTACATCAATGAATTACTCATGTTCTCAAAGTGCTGAGGAGGCCAAAAATAAATCTGTCACGTGACGTCTCCAAGCTCAGATGCGGTTCACTCAGGAACACAATGCTGTAATGTATCTAGTTGTGTAGAAATACAAAACTCTTTCAGTTGGATCAACTTAGGAACAAATTAATCGACATTAATTGCATCGAATGCGATCCCGTGAAACCTGCTCCTCCCCTTTTTGCTTCCACCAGCTCGCTTGTCGGCAAAATGCCCAAACATTGTCCCGATGACTCTTTCCTGAATCGAATTCTCTGTTTACACAAACACTGCTAGATGTAGTGAAATAGCACTTTCTGTGCCATCCAATCACAGCTGTTGTAGCTCAGTGGTGTGAGTAGAAAGTATCCACTATCATACATAGTAAAAGCTAATATCAAGATAGAGAGTGTGGGATTGCAGATCCTACGGTCAAGAGTTCGAACCTCTTCGACAGCTATAAAAATATTTTTTTTTGGCTCTTTTCCCTAAGTTTTCTTCTCCCTCTTATCGGACTTCTTGGATCCAAGGATTTGTACTGTTGGTATTCTTTTTTAATCTTCTTAATACCTCAATGCCAGAGCCCACAACCTGGAATGGAAAACTTCACTTTCGAAAGTTTGTACTTCATACATTCGCGTTTTGTCATAGTAGCACGAATTTAGTCTCTTTATGAGATTTATTCTGAAGTGCAGCTTAGAAATTCTAAAGCAAGTTGTTCCCGTTTCTATTAAAGACTGATTTCATTGGTCTCAAAAAGCTTTCGTTCTGGATTCGCGAAAAAGTTGAGTTGCATAATTTGATAGTCCTCCACTGAGCAAATAACAGACGTAGCTCATATTCACAAAATAAACTCCATGCTTTGCACCTCTACTCGGCTAGTTTCGAGCTTGAAAAATCAAGATAATTGGCTGAGAAAGTCACTATTTCAATCCTACCTTCCTCTTTCCTAAAAAAGTAGAATAGTCGTTTCGCTTTTTCGCTCTCTCTTCCCCCTTTTCTTACTGATCCATCTTCATATCACTAATTTAGCATCTGAAACCGTCCAAATGTCATTTATCATCCAGCAGAAGTCAATGAGTGAGTTCATATGCAAATTTAGCATGCTCTTTTTCACGATATTTAGCCTGGAAGGTTTCTAATCACATGTCACGTGAATCACCTGGTGGCATATTTAGCCATGCCCACTTTGGGAATATCCTCCATTACTCTGCTAACAGAGTTTACTTTGGGTCTAGAAGCAAGTTGTGATGAAAGTTGCTGAAATGCTAGACAAAGTGTCCCAGACAAGAGAGGATTTTGGATAGTCCAGAAATCGCGTCCGCAGATGGGACATTCGCAAACGCAAAGAAGTCAAAAATGACAAAAATATTCAGACAATAAAACCATTCAAACAAAATATTCACATTTAGTAGTCTTTTGGATTATCACATCCAGACTCATCCATTTGAAATACTATCCCAACACCTGGCTTCATACAAACATCGAAAAAAATATTCTGCCTGAACCCAAAATCAGGCACAAATGCATGAAAACCTCCTCTACCGGGGACCCATCAACAGGCCTTCCGTAGACCTGGCCCGGCCTTGGTCGACATGCAACAGAAATCCAACATCGTGAAGTCTCGGCGGGCCTCCAGATGGCCTCCCGCATAAAAGACAGTGTCATCATGGAAAAAAGTCGCATCTAGAGCGGGCGGACGCTATGAAACGGTGAACCTTATTCTGCCCATGCTGTGGGGTCATGCGCTGGCTGCCCCTTGCAAAGCTGGATGTGAGTGCGAGGTAAAGAACGGAGTGAATATGTCGTGAGCATTTTTGGGACTTGATTTTTGTTTCAGTGCAGAGGAATTGATAGCATTTGAATTGTTGATATGAGTAGCTATGAGAAAAGTTTGATGTTCGTGGGAAATATTCCGAATTGCCTGAAATAGATGAGAGGACCAAAGTGGCGCTTCTCATTGGGTGGTGCAGGGGTGGATGTCGGGCGTTTGTTGCACGTCGTTCGCCACAACCTGACATCTTGTTGCTCGTCGCAATCCGGCTACAGAATCCCGGTGTTTGGAAAGGGGGGCTTGGGAGAATATCGAGTCACATGATTGTTTGCATGGTGGGGAGGCTTCGAACATCTCAGAAGCTCTATTCTTAAACTTTAGCAGGCTATATATGATCTGTGGAAGATTGTGTAGATTTCTGGCTCCAATTCTGGTAATTGATGAAACTAAAAGAAGGATTGAACACGATCACGTGCCAGGAGCGTCAGCTCGGAAAAGCCGCCGAATAGACCACGCCGACGGTCCTAGACCTTAAATCTCATGTCATCCTCAATCACAACATCCAAATCCTAATCAACTTCCAACAACAAAAACTTCAATGTAAATTCTCACAGTCCGTCGTGGACCTCTTCCACCATGGCAACCAAACTCACCCACACCTTCAAACAAGTCTCCGGCCTCGAACTAAAAGCAGACATCTACCTCCGCTCCCTCGACGCTCACCGACGCGAGTACAACCGTTCCCAACCCGTCGTCCTCTATTTCCACGGCGGCGGCTTCGTGTTCTCGGACCGCGAAGATGTCCCGCCTCATATCGTGCAACTGTGCTTGATGAGAGGCTGGGTGTTAGTTAGTGCTGATTATAGGAAATTGCCCCAGATATCCGGGACGGAGATGTGGGAGGATGCCCGGGATGCTTTTGTGTTTGTGAGAGAGACGTTGCCGGGGATTTTGGCGGGGAGGTTAAGTGGTGCGAGGTTCGAGAATGTGGTTTTGGTGGGGAGGAGTGCGGGTGAGTTTTCTGATTCATGGAGAGGGAGAAAGACATGAGGTTGATGAGTGGATAGGTGCTTATCTTTCGTATCTGTGTGGTCATAATATGGATCCGAAACCGATTGCTATGTTGACTTATTATGGGGTTACGTCGATGTCCGATCCATTCTTTCACAGCAGTTTCCAAATGGGCCCTGCTCCGATCGGTTGGGAGAGGGTGAAGCCTTTCTATAGCGAAGATGTTACTTTAGGAACGACCCTACCTTCGAAGAAGTTCGATCCAGATTGTCTGTTGCCAGATCTGACTCGGAATCCAGCTTGGAAGAGACCCCATCCGGAGCCAGGTCCACATCCGAGGATAGTACTCGTCCCATGGTTTTTCCAGGAGAATCAATACCCTGAAATGATGCAAGAGGTAGACAAAAGCTTAGACGACAAGGCATGGACGGAGTTCCCGCCCACGATTTTGGTGCACGGTGATAAGGACGTGGTTAATCCGTATGAGTGTTCGGTGAGATTGGTTGAAGCGATAGGTGAGTCTTGCTTGAAGCCAAGAATCGTGAAGCGATACTGATGTACGATAGGAGTACCCCCAGCCAAGCTTTTTACAGCCGTGGGTCAAGGTCATGGTTTCGATGAACTGTTCTTTTCTGGCGAGCCGGGACTTTCGGTCGTCGAAGAGGCTTGGATTACTTTGGATGAGGCTGTTAAAGCGAGGCTTAAAACACACGATCTATCTTAAGAGAAATATTTTCATGTGTTGAAAGTAATGCTGGACTGTGTTCGTATGGTGAAGATGGTATGGATCTGGAGTGACGGGATGTGAATTTGAAAATTTGGAAGGCGCAAAAGAAAGCGTGGAGTTATGGTGTTACGGCTACAGAGAACTCTTGCCACTTGACAGCTCGACCAGCTGCACTCGAGATGGGAGGGAAAAACAACGGATAAGAAGCATGAAATGTATTAGCAGGCCACTTCGCTGCATGTCTATCTTCAAGCAAATGCAGAACGCGACCCGAAGCTCTCCTTGGCGAAACAAAAACAACAGGAAACCGTCCACACAAGAAATCTCCTCCACTTCAACTCTTCACTTCCTCCTTCACTTTGTCTGCTCTTCTCCTCACCTTAACCATCAGAGGTGGCTTCTCCCAAATCCCGAAGATCTTCTGCCTTTCCCACCCCAGCATCCCTTCTCCCATCTCCAGATCAAAATTCCATAGTATCCGCGCAAGAATAATCCTCATCTCATGATAAGCCAGATTTCTGCCAATACAGTCTCTTGGTCCGAAACTAAATGGCTTATGGCATTCGCGATTATCGTTGAAGAATGGGGACGAGGAATCAGTTTCTGCTTCAGGGAGCCAGCGTTCTGGACGGAACTCGGAGGGGTACGCGAAGTTGGTTGAGCTGTGGAAAGTAGCGTATTGGTGGACGCCTACTTTTGTCTAGGATTTGTTAGCAGAAAGTAGTACAAAGGAAGGGGCAAAGACGTAAATTTGGTGGGACGGAGTAGCCTGCGATGGGGGTCGGTAGTCCTGGGTTTGTCTGTCGAAGCATGACCAATGGGATAGGTGGAAAGATACGAAGGCCTTCGTGGAGACATGCTAGCATGTATGGTAATCTTGTGCTCGCTTCTTTGAATGTGATATCTTCCTCCTTGTCGAATGCTGCTCGTACCTCTTTGGTGACTCTCTCCAAAGTTTCAGGCGTGCGTAATAGCCAGTAAGTGACTCCACTGAGAAGTGTCGCTGTTGTTTCTGAGCCAGCTGTGATGAGAAGGTCGGCATTGTGGATCAATTCCGCATCTGTCAGCTCATGCTTCTGTCCCTTGGCTCGCATCATGGCATCCATAAAATCTCCTCTGTCCCTTTGGTCTGTACGATTGATACGCTTCATGGCAAGACTCGCAGCGTTGTCCAAATGTGCTTTTTGAGCATTTCGAATCTTGCTTCCAGCCAACATTTTCACATTTTCAGGATACTACCAATCGTGGGAGAGACAGTCATCAATGCCAGAATCGGCATGAGCTTGAGCATATTGCTGATGTTGTCTAGCCAGCCATTTGACTTTCCTTCCTCAAGTCCTTTGAAAGACTCTCCGTAGGCAAGATCACCAATTAGGTCGAACGTCGTGTAGTTATACCATCGAATGATGTTTGTGGGCTTCTCTGAGTCTGCCACTTCTCGCAATCTCGTCATGAGCAAATCAACATAACTGGCAATGATTGGTTCTTGCTGTGCCAGTGATTTGTCCGTGAAAGCTGGAAGCATTGCTCGTCGAAACCGGAAATGATCTGATCCTTTCGCGGATATAATGTTCTGGCCATTGAAACCGCTGAAACTTGGAAAATATTTGGGGAGCTCTGCATGTCCGAAGCCGTAAATGTCTTTCCATGCCTGGGCGCTGATGAAAGAGAGATCGTCAGGATTGAAACGAACTACATCGCCATACTTGTCGTGTAGGTCCTTCATCACAAAGTCCAATTGACCGCCAACTATGGACAGACTTCGAAGGATTGGGAAGGCGATCTATAGTTTTGGCCTAGGAAATTTGCGAAGTGGGTGAAAATAGAGATTATAGACTGCAGTCAATAGAAGCTGCAGAACGTTGTATGACAAAAAGACGAAAGCCACAAGCGATGCGCCTTGCAGCGAGAAGAGCTCCGTCCCGTTGATAAGCTTCATGGCCAAGTTTGAGCGCTCTTAATGCAGAATTCAAATGGATGTGAGAGAGAAGAAATGGAGAGTGGCAGGACCTAAATAGTATACCTACAGTAGACAAATAGGAGTCGACAACTCAACGACTCGACGTATTCGTACCTAGGTACATGTGGTGCATGGCAGCTGCGGGATCATGTCCATCCCATCTTCCAGACATATACAACCAGGCCATTATATGGGCCGTGCTGTGTATCACACGTTCTATGATTCGTTGGCAGACATCCCTTAGGGTACAAGAATATCTCCGGAACTAGTCATATGGTCTTGAAACTGACAAGATCCATTCCCGCCACCAGCAGTGGGGCTGGCCTGCGGTATAAGGACATGCCATTGGTGTCAACACTGATCTTCCCTCGCGTTTCTGCATCTCCGGGACCGAATACGAACAAGATCGGATGTGAAAGATTGAAAGTCGAGACTTCGAAGTGCCGATCTTGATGTGGGGTTACGGTACGAAGTTTACGAGAAACGAGCGAGAAAAGAACAAGGTCGGTTGAAACAACGAAGCACGTGAGTAACGGTGGGTTAGCTAGCATGCCCATCTTGGAGCTATGTTGACCAACATCATGAAATATATGGGGGGGCAAAGGTTACCTGTTGATCGCCAGCGATAGGACAATGAATCGAAAGCATCTCTAGTCACGTGGACACCATCTTCAAAGTTGCTTTGAACTCAGGGCTGTTTGCGCACCGTAACCTTTACGAGGTCGACCTCCTGGCTAGCAAACGTGCAACCAAACAAGGACTCATTGCTGCGCTTGAAAAATACTTTAAAACCCGAGGCTTTGCTCAAATGCCATGTCGCGTTGCTCGATTTCTCTCCTCACGAAGCTAGATCCCGTCAAACGAACGGATCAACGTTTTATGAAGATCCTAACTGCGAATATCTGAACCAAAATCTCTACAACAGATTGGTGATTCGGCCGGGGCTTACACATTTTACAAGGTCGTATAGCCAAGGAGTTAGAGGAGATTTTCAAACACTCGATATTTGAACTTTGGGGTATGCATGCCTAGTGGGCACGAAGTGTATTCCATCCTGATTCCCCATTTCTCCTGAAGCTGCCTGCTGGAATTTGAGATAAACTGGTCTACAGAAACGGGATCCTAGCGTTTCGATTGTGGTATTCATCAACCTAACTAGCCGAGTACAAGCTGAACAGTATCGTACAGCAAGCGCTCAATGATCTCTCGCCTCTCAAGCATCCCGACTTCGAGATCAGTCCCTCCTCCCTCTTCACAGTTCGCCAGAAGTTTCGTCACCATGCTCATTGCTCGCATTGTGGCGGTTCTTCAAGCCCGAACAATTCCTGCAGTTGGTACACCTAGCCTCCTGGTCAGTGTGTGCATTTTGTTTCCATTTCCTCAACCATTCCCGCCTTTCAGAAGTAATAGACATACCCAATGCAGTTTTGCTATTAGAATGTTAGACTCAGTACATTCTCACTGTCGTTTTTAGGAGGGAACATACGCAATTTGAGCAGTTGGAACAGTCCACCAAGCCTTAATTAATGTTAGCTTCCGTATCACTTGTTCGAAACAAGGAACTGAACTGAAAACTGAGATGGTTTCGGGTCATTTTACAAAGTTATCTCTTCATCGCATTTCCATTTTCAATCATATCTCTCGAGCTATTTCGCAGCGCGCTGGAAGCAAGAAATTCAAACATACCTTCGCAACTCTTGCAATTAGAACAATTCTTACAGTCAGAACAATCCGTGCAATTAGAACAGTTCGTGCAATTAGAACAGTCCCTGCAGTTAGAACAATTCTTGCAGTTGCGGCAATTGGAGTTATTGCCGCCTCCACTACTGCCATCTCTGGTGTTCCAAATCTTGCTGTTGTCATCCCCACTACTTCCATCGCCACCCACACAGGTCATTTTCCCCCATACATCTTGTCTGGTCTGCAGTCAAAGGCTGTCAAGATGATGGATAAATGAGACCACGAATCACATACATTGCTCCCAAAAATTTGGACATCGTGCTTTTTGTGCTTTTTTCCTTAACTTTAATCGCTTCAAAGGGCGCAAGGAGAACTAAGGGATAGCGCAACCCGGAGCTTGAGCACGACTTAATATTTACATGGCTTCACCATTGACGACGTCACGGATTTTAACATACCCGATGAGGAAGCTGACTTGATGCAGACGCCCGCTTTGGTGAAAAGCAGATGGTTTCATTGGTCCGCCCCGAGAACGATATCATCTTGCAGAATCAGCTACCCCAATCAGTGCCATGCTATTATTTGTCGCTAAATGCAAATCCCATCAGATGCCTTATCGCAATTCCAGAAACCAATGGGGCTGTATGGTGATTCGCACAAGGATCGGGTTAATTCAGATGGCTAGCCGGTTACTTTGTACCCAACCAGGAGGGAGGGTTCGTTTAGTGACCGTGCACAACCTTTCAAAGTCTGTCGAACTTTCATCTACTCTTGCTCTTTGCTCCGTGTGGCTATCCTTGACGGGATTTCTGCTTGCGATGTATTTGGAATTTTGGGGAATGCGATTGGAAATTTGACTTTCTTGTCTTCTACGCAGAAGATTATGTGGCAAAAAACGTGGCTGTTTTGGATGGACTTCTGCTTACGCATTTGGATTTGGAGGGATGAATTGAAAGCTTTGCCTTTTTTTCTTCTCGTGAAAGATGTCCTTCATCGCCCTTGTGGCTCTGGTCCATCTCGACTTTTCGAGCCCTGATGCTGAGCCTCTAGCTACTAAGCTTTCATAGCGTGCACTCGATGAGATATCGGCTATGCTTACGTTCGCTTACAGCGCGTTGCATAAGTACAGTAAGGTGCAAATCAGCATTGGAAGACTAAAATTTTTGTAGCATCTTCGCACCAAATAGAATGATATCGTACTGGATGACTGCATTACAGACAAGCCATTGTCCCACATTCAAATGTCAACATCTTATTCTTGCCTGCGTCTTGGTTGCTCGCCCTTGTAACATTCCAGCGGCAACTTTAAGAAAGACCGCAAGCAGTGCTCTACAAGTTTGGCTGTCTCATGAATCTGAACGTGCGATTAGTTGACGTACAACGAAGGAAGTGAGCTTACCTACTTGAGGCGGATTCATGATGGAGAAGTGATCTCCCTCAAGAGCATAATAGTCAGCTTCGTCGCCTAACAGGCGATCCCACCCATTGGCTCCAAAATCAATGCGCGGTGCTGCAAACCAATCATGCATATCATCCAATTGCGCTGTGTCTTGACCTGATGTTTTAGCCTTTGCAATAGCTGCCAAGACTTTCTCTGACAAGCGCTCAAAAAGTCCTTGCTTTGCCCAGATGAGAAATATGTTCTGAGGACGCCGCTCGGGATGCATAGCTACTGGCTCGAAAGCTCCAAGAGCACGAACGGAGGCTAGAAGATGCTGCTTGGTAGATAGCGACATCTTTGCTTCTCCGTCTTTCCCTGTATGATTCGCATCATCGAATATCCCCGTTTTCTCCAACATTCCCATGCTAATATCAGCAAACTTGTCGATGGGTCGAGGACAAGGACTGTCGATCATGATGAGTCCAAGTACGTCTTCACCCGCATTGAGAAGTTGTCGTGCGATCTCATAAGCAAACATGCCACCCATGGACCAACCACCAAGGAGATAAGGGCCATGAGGCTGCAGTCGACGAAGCTCGTCGATGAACAGACAAACCATGTCTTCGAATGAGATTGTGTACTCTAGAGGGGAACCTAGGAATGGAGACTCGAGTCCATAGACTGGAATATTGAGCTTGAAGGAAAGTTTGGTATATGAAGCTGCGGATCCCGCACCGTCTGCAATCAGGAACAAAATCGGTAGACCCGAAGTATGATCTCCTTGAATGAACACAGAGTTACTTCGCAGTTGTTCTCTAACTCTGAGTTGGTTCAGTTCGTTCTCTGGCGTAGATATTGGTGTATCTGACCATGTTGGGTTTGATGAGCCGCTACTGAGGCTCTTGACAGTCTCTTTGTTGGAGGAAGATTGGGCTTGCTCAAGAAGATGGCGCCTAAGGTCTCCGATCTTAGAACATGATGCAAACGCAGATGTCGAAAGCTTCAAGCCTGCCTCACGTCCTATTCTTGACACTATTGAGTTTGACAGTAACGAATCGATACCCAGATCGCGGATCAAGACTTCATCTGACAAGGCCTCGATTGGGTGACCAGTTTCATCTGCAATGATTTGTCGGAAGTCCTCTGCATCTGCCAATCTAGGATTTACTGCAACCTCTTCCGACGTTGTGGTTCCTAGTGGCAATCCTGTGGCAGTGTGACGCACGATTGGTAGTGACCGAGTACTGTCAAGACCCAAAATGGTCCTCAAGGTGCTCCTTGCCATCCTTTGGAATTGCATGCCAGTACACGTCATGATCACCTCTTCTTTGTGGAGCAAGTACACGTCACCGAGGAAGAGACCACCTGCTCCTTCTGGATACATGCGGACATACGCTTGATATTTGACATTGGCTTCCAGGTCTTTGAGAATGCGTAAACTTTTCCATCCAGAAGAAATGTAGACGATGTCTTCTGCAACTCCAAGATTTCCATTCAGCACGAAGCCGGCCAAATGGATGATGGCATCAGTCTGATATGGAGAGTACAGAAATCTCTCGTTGATTGTTGAGGTTGGGAATTCGATAGTCGCAACTGCTTCAGTGAGATCTGTGTCGAGATAAATATCCGTGATATTCTGATACGGTTCGGAGTACGTAACAATGGTCGAGAAGATTCTGTAGATCATTTTCTTTTGGAGATAGTGGACCCTGTTAGGGCGATGAGAAGGATCTGTCAAGCTTTTCATCCTTGCTTGAACAAGGTGAGCGGTCATACGAAGCTCTCGCTGGCACTCCTTCGAATTGAGATTGACTACTGTGCAAGTTGCGTGCTCTCGCGTTTCCGTCCCGCTCAACGAGCTAAAATGAACAACAACTCGATCGGTATCGAGCGCGTTCGGTACACTGGTTTTTATATCAGGCTCAAGCGTTCCCGTTATGACCACCAAAGGCGAAAATATGTTCATGTCTGATATTTCCACACCCACATTCCTTCCCAAGTATACCTTGGACAGGACTTTTGAGGCTGCAACAAAGGCTACGTCAAGGTAGACTGAGCTGGGACACAAGCCTACACCTTCTACCAGATGGCCTTGAATTGCAGCAAGTAAAGTTGCCTCTGCCGTGTTTAAAGTATATGTGGTTGTATCCGTACGGCCGAGTGTTGAAAGCGAGTGGGGCGAGGATGGTACTCGAGACACATTGCTCAGCTCGCGAAGACTATGTTCAGGGGCGGTCTTCTCAGTCGTAAGGTGGGTGATTGATGGAAGTCCTCGTGTAGAAGCAGGGCCTTGGGAGCGAGACAGACCTCCTTTCCCACCGAAATTTCGGCTATCGCTCTTGCCTACTTTCTTCCCACTGTTCTGAACCCAATAGTTCTGGCAGTCAAACGAGTAGGTTGGAGTATCTAGTAGTCTGAGCCCTATATCGAATGGTTGATGGTATTCCTGCCATTGAATGTCGATACCCGAGTTGTAAGCTTTGGTCAGCCCTTCCGTTACCGTTTTCCACTCGCTGACATTGGGTGCGATGCTGGTAATAGAGTGAGTTGGGAGACTTCCAATCGTTGCCTTTGCCATGGACAAAAGGCTGGAGCCAGCTCCACATTCCAACCAAATTGTGTCCGATGCTTGGCCGAGAGTCAAGCAACTCTGTAGAGCACTTGTAAAGTTTACAATGTTCCTGGTCTGCTGTCTCATGTACTTGGCTCCGAAGACCCCTTCTGCTGTCACTAAGCATCCTGTATAGGAGGTCACCGCAATCTTTGGTGCTCGAAACTCGACGTTCTCAGCGCAGGTTTTAAACTCATCGAGAATAGGATCCATCTGGACGGAGTGGAAGGCGAATGAAATGTCCAGAAGTTTTGTTGGTATGGATTGTCCCTTGAAAGTAGCCCTAAGGTCCTCAATTTCTAGCATTTTGCCGCTTACTATAGAAGATGACGGACCATTCAAGCAAGCTATAGCGCAAGTTGTGAAATCATTTCCTTCAAGAACTCGCTCCATCATTTTGCGGTCAGCTTGGACAGCGAGCATCCCATAAGCACCTGGTTCGCACCTTTCTTGCAGCAATTTTGCTCGCATAGCTACGAGATACAAACAGTCTCTGGCGGAAAGTACTCCTGCTACACAGAGAGCAGCGAATTCACCCAGGCTATGCCCAACAACAGCTTGTGGTATGAAACCCCACGATTTCCATAGATCGGCCAGTGCGAGTTGCAATGAGACTATGGCCAGGTGTATTTGTACCGGCTGGAACGATCTGAGATCACCTTTTTCGGCTGTGATGAAGTCCAAGAAGGACACTTGAGATTGTTCCTGACATATGTCGTTGAGAGTTCGAAGACTTTGACGGAATGGAGGGCAAGTTTCGAAAAGTCCTTTGCCCATTCCAAGATAATGCGACCCTTGGCCAGGAAAGAGGAACGCCACAGGTTTCTTCTCGATTGGTTTGGGCACTTGTGTCGATTTTTTCAAACAAGCAAGCAAGTCCTCCTTTGTACTGATTGAATACGCAATGCGGATATTGTTGTGGAGCTTTCGGGCCGTTGTGCTATAGGATAGATCTGCGAGGGATACCTCGGGGTTTTCCTCGAGGTATTGAATAATACGAGATCGATTGCCTTCAAATGAAGCTGGGGTATGTCCGCTGATGGCGATGACATGATGAGATCGTGGATCCTCGACCACACTTGCTGGTCTTGGGCAGGGCCCCTCCAAGAGAATACATGTGTTGCCGCCCTAAACCAAGTTATCAGAGAGCCTTTGACATTGGAGAGGTCCACATACGGTAGCGTTGAAATTGTTAACCAAAATGCGCCTCTGTGTGAGGAAAGGCTCAGTCTGGCTGGCAACGCGGATGTTCCTTCCCACAGCAGCCGCAAATATGTCACTGAGTGTCGTTTTGATGCCACAGTGTGCGGGTATTTGGTTGTGCTGGAACATCAACAAAGACTTGATGACGGACGATATTCCAGCAGCCTAAATTCAATTAAGTATGATGTATGCGATAAAGGAGATCTGCTTACAGCTTCCCCATGTCCAATGTTACTTTTTACAGAACCGACATATAATGGAGGATCGCTAGGAGTCCGGTTTTTGCTGAAGAAGTCAACTACAGAATGGCCCTCAACTGAGTCACCTGCTTGGGTCCCTGTCCCATGCATCTCAACATAGCCGACTTGGTTGGGATCTATTCTTGTTTTTTGGAGTGTTCGGCCATACAAATCTTGCTGTGCACCGGAGTGTGGATGCGTGATCGATATGGCGTGCGCAGAATGATTGGTCTCCACGCTCTTGATAATTGCTTCGATGTTATCATTGTCCGTGACGGCGGCCTCAAACCTCTTCAATACCACCACACCTACCGCCTCCCCTCGGCAGTACCCATCTGCTTCGCTATCAAATGTTTTACATGGCCCTGTGTTCGAGAGAAAGCCACCTTTGCTCAGGCCAGCATACATCTGATGTCCTGTGATAATATTGCCTCCCCCAGCAACAGCAATGTCAACTTCACCGTTGAGGATAGCTTTGTAAGCCATCTCAATTGCTGTCGCACTGGAAGAACACGCAGTATCGATGCTATAAGATGGGCCATCCCATTTGAAGTGATAGTTCAGACGACCAGGACCGAAAGCTCGCTGAGTTGCAGGAATATAATGCACATCTATATCTTGGCTAACATTAGACTCTCGCCAATCGTCAGTAGCTTGTCCAAAGAATGTCCCAACTCGTTGGCCACGAGCACCAGAATAACCTGACATCTCGAGTGCTTCATAAGTCACCATCAAAAGTATTCGATGAATTGGATCTGTCTGAAGGGCCTCACGGGGAGACATGTTGAAAAGGCGAGCATCGAAAAAACCAGGCTGATTTATGAAACATCCGAAACGTGCTAATTGCTCTGGTTCGAGTAGCTCATTCATATCAAATCGGTCCTTTGGTATCTAGCATTTCTTTTCAGTATTTATTTCTGGCTTGGCAGGATGGACTCACCGTTTGATGAAGATCACAGGCACCTGAAAGAATCTGCCAGAGCTCGGACACATTATCCGCACTTGGGAATCGACCAGACATGCCGATTATAGCTACATCTCTATCGGTACTTTTGCCATCACTTCCATTTCGTGAATATGAAGCGTGCGCTTCTGTCATGGGCGTCTGACCCGAATCTTTCCAATCTCCCATGGTTTCTGAAGAAAAGAAAACTGTAAGTATAAAAACTGATTCTACAATCTTGGAAACTATGCCTTAGAAACAAATAACAAAAATCAGTAAAAGAATTATTGTCAATTGGGAGGAATACTGACGGATTTTCTAGCATGAGTTTATGTTTGTATGCTGGGTCGGTACAGGGACTTTATGGCAGTTCGTGAACAAAGCCAAATCGTCTATTTCAGAGTTCAAGTTCAAATGTTGTGCAAGGTTGATCCAATAAAACCGAACTGACCTCTCAACCGTCGTGTGTGCAAATAGTACAGTAGAGTCTCGCTTGGATGGGACGGTCCGACGCTTGTCAGTCCATCCATCAGACGGTCTCACTCCAATAGGAGTCATGGCATTGATGACTACCTAGCTTTAAAATCGCATTTTGTATCGAATGAGGTACATAGACTCGTCAATAAATACGATTGAGCCTATGGTGCAGCAAAAATGGGGTAGGTAAGCAAAGATAAGCAATAGCGGATCGTACGTCAGACGGAAGCAGTTCCCCTTCAAAGGCATCCCTACGGGTTCAGAGCAGGCGGCAATTTCCGGGGCTAAAGTCTGATAAGTATACTGGATGGAAAAGAAGAGATCGTGTCTCGAAAGAGGAAGAAAATCATAGTTGAATAATGACAATACGTCTCACGAGACGAAAAAATTACCCCGCACTGGACCTCTAATAAGTGTGGTAGAATCTCAATGATTGTCATTCCTCTGCGAAGAAGCATTGCGAAACAGAAACAATTGTTCGAAAAGGAAAAACGGGGCAAACAGTGAAAATTGTTGGTTTTTGTGCAATGGCTCTAGAAGCAATAATGCTGGAACTGGGAGAAATTGTTGTACTCCATACAAATCATGTCCCCCACCTACCTAATTAGGCAAGTGGGGTATGTCTTCCATTCTATGAAACACTTTATACTCTTGATGTATAGTATCATTTCTCATAAAAGCATAAATGCGGGGTGAGTGAATCTTCAAGACCTCTAGATATTAAAACGTTTAGTTTAAATAGAGATTAAAAAGTGATCAAGCCTCAGGTATCACTTATAATGTACCCCTCTGATCATATGTTAGCTTGCCAGAAATATGGAGGCATGGTGCTCCAACTTGAAGAGAGTGCACAAGTATAATTGGTATCAAGATTCGAAGTCCATTAGGGATTTAGTACTTTAAAGCAGCATAAGTTCTCTCCTCATCAAGTCAAAAGAGAATAGTTCAGTAAATTGAATTGATGCCGTGGAATAGCGAAATGGAATGAACAGAATTTAGAATTAAAACCCGATCAAACTGTGGACTGACTTTCACAATCATCTGGAAGTTTCATCGTCCAAACTGTTCTTAATCATGTTTCAGATGTCCGTCGATCCATAAAGCCGATTTACATGTAAAGTCAGGCATAATACTCCACTGACATTCCCCTCACTCCCTCACGACCTTTCATACAACAGCTTCTCACTCCACACTGTCCTTGACTTCTGCAAATTGCTACCATCCAGGATACCAGTGACCCCTACCATCTGTGCGTTGTCCTCGAGCTTCTGAATAGTACGAGGCAGCGCGCCTATACTCTTCAGGGGTGGCATCCGAAGAGATTGGTGCACTGGGGTTCTAGATTCGTCTATTGGGGTAAGTGGATGATCCGAGGATGATTTGTACGAACATGTGAGTTCTATGCTTCATTTAGTCTCGGTAAGAAGCTGTTAGGAGCTGCTCTCCATCCGCCGCCAGGTGTTTGCCACATTGAAGTGTAAATGGGTTTTGTGTAAGAGTTTTGGGTGTGGATACCTTTTGCAAATAGTGTTGTAAGACGGTGCAGATCTGAGATCTTAACTGGGAAAAAAGAGAAAGAGCAGAAGATTTTATAGTTTTTCAGAAGTCTGTCAATCGATGAGTTTGACATCATGGTAAACCCTTATTGCGTCCGTGAGGTACTTTCGCAATGAACAAATAGTAGGAACATTGCAATAAACTAACCGGCACCCTTGTTATTCGTCTGGATCATCGAGATTGAGATATATTTCATCATGAGCTCTTAAGCGGACTGTGAATCTGAATTTTCTACACTAGGCTTCGAGATCGCAATGATGAAATCTGAAATCTTCAAGAATCACCAGGATATCTGTTCTCTTGAAAGATGGCAGCATTTCATCTCTGAGCTCCAGCATAGGATCTGAGTGAATGTATTATCAGACGAATGATTCTACACACGAAACGGAAACCATTCAAGCTCTGATCCCTCGCGGTCCACAACTTGCAATACAGCTAAGTGACAGAAATAGAAAATCTGAGACTTGCAAACTGGACTAGCGAAGGATACCGTGTGAGGAGACTTCAAAATCGATTTGCTCGCTATCGAAATACGCCTGAGCTTTTATATCACAGCCATTGAATTGGAAGGACCTCCTCACCCATAATGTTGGTCGTGGGGGCGAAGACTTAACCTTTCATTCTTCTTTTCACCAACAACGCCACCACCTTTCCCATCTCTCGTGTACAATAGCACCTTCATTGTACCATCACCAACACTGCTAACCTCATATAATCGTCTCGAAAGTCCTATCATCGCAGTAGCCTTTCTCCCTCGAAAACGCAATCACACAATCTCGCCAATTCAAATCCAAGTCAAATATCGAATTACAACTTCACGCCAGTGCCTTTGATAGTCTGTTCCAAGACTCTACTATACCAACGACTACGTTGTCAAGGACAGTACCAGACATTTTCCAGCTCTTAAGCCGTCTCCTTTAAACACCTTCGATCCTCACCACAATGCCCTGTAGAGTCTTAGAACTTTGTGGGTGTCCCCTACGAACCTCCAGCAGCTTCGATGCTGTCTACAAAGCCGAGATAATATCATGGAATAAGCGAAGAGGTGAGGCCGCAGGTGTCGAAAAGACCGAGAAATACGCGAGGGGGCTTCGGTTCGCGAGTGCCGAAAAGGGGGGGAAGGAATACGCGAAGAGGTCCTGTCTCCAGTCCAGATAAGCATCTTGCATTAGGCTGCCCATATTTTCGAATGAAATTGCCCCAAGAAAGGAAACAAATTCATCGTTGGGGGTTGAAACTTTTCAGGATTTGATTGGTCTCGCCGCATGGACCTTGGAGGAACGGCACAAGAGATTGCACCTGAAAGGCCTGTTGATTTACAGCCCCCAAATGCACGTTGTTGCGGCGCAGCGAGCCTCGAGCTTCATCCTCATTTTCTTTCTTCTTTTCTACTTATTGCCCCGCCTTCTTCCATTTATTTATTTACAGAATTAACTTTCCCTTGAACCAGGAAGTCCTTTGGGCTCGCAGCGCGCAATGTTGTGGTTGTTATGCCTGCTGGCATTGCTAGCATGTTCGCATGCTCAAAGTGCGTGAATTGCGCCCCTCTTTCTGACCATGTTTGAACGATGCTAACGTGTTTCTTCACGAATTGCAGCCTCGAGTATATGTTCTCAAGCCACCGCTACAATCAATTCGCAAGCAGATGCAACCTCCTTAGCTGACTGTTCGACAATATCCGGTTCTGTACTGGTGTCCTCAAGCGCATCTGGGGTGATCTCTATCGATGGACCACAAACTATCACCGGTGACTTGACATGCGAAAATGCGGGTGGTTTGACCAGCCTAGGAAGCATAACGATCGGGACAATTGGAGGCTCTTTTTCACTAAGCAACCTGACGCTCCTCTCTACACTTTCTATGAACGATTTGAGCTCCGTCAAAACAATCGCGTGGAGTGCTCTGCCAGCCTTGTCATCCCTTACCTTTCCATCTACCGTCAGCCAGGTGGAAAGTATAACGATCTCTAATACGTTCTTGAGTTCGCTCGACGGACTCAATCCGAGCACCATTGCGACTTTGAATGTCAACAATAATGAGCGTTTGAAAACATTCAGCACCCAAGTCGCCAGTGCCTCTTCTGCAATTAATTTCAACAGTAACGGGAACGGCCTCGACTTGTCATTTCCAAATCTCATATGGGCAGCCAATATAACAATTAGGAACGTATCTTCTCTAGACGTACCTTCGCTCTCAACGGTCAACGGCTCAATTGGCCTTTATGGCAACGACTTCACCGAATTTACAGCCCCAAATCTAACGACTATCGGCTCCACGGCCACGGGATCAGGAACCCTTGCTTTAGTACAGAATCCAAGCTTCACTGACCTTTCCCTGCCTCTACTCAAAACCGTGGGCGGCGCGGTACAGGTAGCCAACAACCAGGAGCTACAGACCATCTCTTTTCCCGCACTAGCGACTGTTGGAGGGGCTATTGAATTTTCTGGGAACTTCTCTACGTTAGTCTCACCCGACGATTTACCTCACAAGTTGTTCACTTACTGACACGAGTTTCTGTAGCCCGAACTTACCAGCCTTGACGGATGTGAAAGGGGGTTTCAATGTCCAGAGTACCGCCTCAATCGATTGTAGTGCTTTTGCAGCAGACGAACAAAGCAAGGTGATTCAAGGCACTTTCGTTTGTAAGGGCTCGTCCGGCTCCACTACTACGACGGGCGGGATAACCAGTTCTGGGACACCTACACCGACTTCCTCCTCTAACTCCACCTCCAATACATCGACCTCATCTCCCACAACCTCTCCCACGAACTCCCCACCACCGATCAATAATAATAAGTCATCGGGACTCTCAGGAGGCGCTATAGCGGGCATCGTTATAGGCGTTGTCGTGGCCCTTATTATCGCGGCGCTCATCTTCTGGGCCCGGAAGAAAGGATACAAGTTCTCATTCGGCATCACAAAGAGGGAAGTCGATACAGGGGTACCACATCCCGGAATGGCCGAGCTGCCGAGAGGAGGACATCATGAGAAGACAGAGTTGTCGGCTGTCACGCGACCGAGCGAGCTTTCGGCGGCGAGGCTAGATGGACCTATGTCGGAGTCGTATGAATTACCTGCACATGCGAGGGAGGGTGGTTGATGCTTTGTATAGGCCAAATTTGAAGGACGGGAGGAGGATTTAATGATACCCATGTAATATATAGGACGACTGAGGAGGATATCTTCAAGATTTATGTAGTCTGTGGTGTGGCTTGGCACGTACGGTGTAAATCAAATCAATCCTCTAAAGCGGGGTGATGGAATGCTTGGCTTCCTACCCTTCGTGCAGGCAGGTCAATCGACAGACGTCATACCAAATTCGGACCCTTGATCTTAGGAAATGTTGCCTCGAAAGCACTCATGAACCTGAACATCAAATCCTCCCGATTTTCTCTCGCCAATATGAAGAGCCCATACGGCTGACCATTCTCTAAATTCCCCAGAGGTACGGTGGCGCTTGGATAACCTATTCTTTGTGAGAAGCTAACCATCGCCTAGAGGATGTCGTCTTACCAGCACATGAAGTGAAAGATATCAAGGAGCAGTCAGAGCTCGAAACAACCAGGTCGAGATCATTGTCCGTCATGTACTTTTCCATGCCGTCCTTTCCTGCCAATCTCTGAATCTCGGAGCGGGCAGTGGCGCATTGTTCCTCCGTAAGCGAGCTTTCTGAACTTGCGATGAGTTCTTTTTGATTCGCATGTGCTTGGACTTGGTCAGTATATTATTTGGTCTTGGGTGACGGTGACGAACGTTCAGGCATCGCCTTGTCGGCATGTTCCTCGTTGAACTTGACGATGTCTTTTGCAGTTCTGACTTTTGGGTTCTCGAATCCATCACAGAAGATTTGGATTACCTCGTTGAACTCTTGGTCTGGGAAATGAGTGCTTGCACATGACCTCGTCAAGTATGGACTTACATGCAATATCTCTCATTACGAGATCTTGGTACTTGATGGTAGAAGGCTCTGGTGGAGATGCGGGGAATAGAACATGTCCTCCGTTATCCCGAATCTTCTGTGCTACGCCATCGTAATTCCGCTTCTGCGCCCAAGTCAGCGTCAACACCGTCTACTGATGGAGAAACTTACAACTAGATCTGAAGTCCATTTGTCTTTGCCCTCCTGACTCCCCATTCCCCATGTCACCTCTACAATGCCAATTTTTAGTCCTTCCCACGACTTTGTCAGATACTTTCCAAAGCCCGACTCGGATGCGTGCTTTGAGCCATGCTTCAAGATAAGTTCTACAAGGAGAGAGAGGTCGTATGGTGTTCGAGCCATCGCACCAACACCATCGTAAGTTTTGGAGATTCGAAAGACGCCTTTCGAAGAAACAGAGCCAAGAGTCGGCCTCATTGCATACAAGCCTGCTCTGCTGGCGGGGTAGACGAGAGAGCCGCCAGTCTCTGTTCCTAGAGACATAGGAACAAATCCTGCAGAAACTCCAACGCCGGAACCTGAGGACGAGCCTCCACATGGCTGTATGTAGTCAGTAATTTCCTGCTTAGGACTGAGTTGTGAAAACGAACCGCAAACCACCAAGGTTTGGGGAGAACGTTTGGATCGGAGTCCAGGTCATAGGCAGATCTTGTTCGTCCACCCATGGCTGACCATCCTGGAGTCATTTCCTCTGCTCTGAAAGAAGTCAATGTCTGTCAGCGTGGACATGTATCGGGAATGCTAACTTGTGCCCACAAAATTCCTGGTAAATTGTCAGTAAAGTCTCGTTGTAGAGAAGGGAGGTTCCTCACAGATAGATTTGCAGTCCCTAGAATGATGATACCCTTATCCAAAAGCTGAGACTATTAGGGAAGACCAATTTCACTGGAAAGAATCTCGAACCTGAGTAATGACTTCCGCGTTCTCCTTTGCCTGTTCCAAGGAAAAACAATACGCTCCGGCCGTCGTCTTCATACCCATTTCAGGGCCTATTTGAAAGCAATCTTTGACAATGATCGGCAAACCATGAAAAGGACTCCTAGTCTTGCCTTCCTGTCTCTCTTGGTCCAGCTTTGCAGCTTGCTTCAATGCCAATTCACGGGGCGCGACACTGATAACGGCGTTGAGATGCGCCCCAGCATGATTGTGTTTCTCGATCTGAGCAAGGTAAGTCTCAACGATTTGCACACTTGTCAATGTCCCAATCGTAAGGGATTGCTGAAGCTCGGCAGCAGTGGCTGTCAGGACATTGAAGGGTGGTGACATGTTGGGAGTGCTGTGCGACAATAATGATGATAGGAAATCTTAAGAATACGTTCGTTGGATATATACAGGTTTTGTTCGGGTGCCTTGAGATTGCCAAGGAATTATTTGGATGCCTTCACTTGAAGGTTTCACGATGTCAGCGCGGCGTAGGGAATGCGGCTCGCTACGCCAAACCTAATCAAGCTATCTAAAAAGGAAAACTCTCGAAACTCATGAAGAAATTAGCAAAGAGCTTTCTTCGACATGGATTCGAAGTCGAAGCAAGACAAGCTGTTTGAGCCGTCTTTCAGTCTGTATGTGTTTCTCATGAAAGCTCCTACAAAGAACGTGAGGAAGGCATGACGTTGAATTGCGGAACATATATAATCCGCCGTCATATAAGCATTTCTCTTAAACGTCTCTTTTGCCTCCTTTAGGACTTACCCCATCCAGAGCCGCAGCACGATGACGCGTAACATCGGTTTCCCCTGACTTGGCAAGAGTAATGTTAGCCAAGCCTCCGTCCAACCCTTGTAGCGTTTCACGCTTCGCAGTCAACTTAATCTAACGGCAGTCGATTATGCAAACAAATTTTGTTTGTCTTATTTCGCATTCGACCCACTAGCTTTTCTTTATACTGCACATGCCGAGTTCATTTCCATCTCGGCAGTACGGCATCCAGTATCAACGGTATCCGAATCGAAATCGTATGCGCTGGACATTAATTGGCCTTCACAGACGGCATGGCACGTAAGGGTAGTCCAAAAGTTCGCTCAGGGTGCAGGACATGCAAGTCAGTCCGGAAAACCCCACCCGTACCTCGCATTCTCAGTATTCTTGCTAATCTCATGTAGGAAACGCAAGGTCAAATGCGATGAGTTCAGACCGGCTTGTAGGCGTTGTTCCTCCACAGGACGTACTTGTGGAGGATACGACCTCGAACTGGACCGGGAACAGGACCGAGAGCACTACAATGCCCTGCAGCATTCCATCTCGTTATATCGGCCCAAGCAATTGACTGCACGAGATGAACAGGAAGGTCGCTCATTCAACTTCTTCGCTCATGTGGTCAGTCCTGTACTCTCAGGACCCATGGACACATACTTCTGGACCCATCTTGTCATGCAGTTCAGTCATTTTACTCCCGCTGTGAGACATGCTTCTATTGCTGTAAGCTCACTCTACGAAGACTTCCTGGGAGGCTCTCGCATTTTTCGACAGAAGAACAACCTCCTCGCTTTGAAGCACTACAACGCTGCGATTCAAGAGATTGGGGCCAATCCAGATCAGGATGAGCAGCTTGTCCTGATGGTATGTGTGCTCTTTGTTTGTATCGAGCTATTGCAAGGCAACCCAGAAGCCGCCAGTCGACATTGTAAGCATGGTATTGCTATCTTGCAAAAGTTCAATGTAGATTCTGGACGCACTCCCAGCGACTGGGTCGTTCGGTATCTGCTTCCTATTTTCCGCCGTCTCAGCTTGAATTTATTCATTCCATCAGGCCCCCCATCCCCAGCTAGGTTTTCCAAAGGAGATTTTCCTCCACCACCGAGTATCATGCTTCTCGAGAACGGCCCTGATTCTGGCAGTGTGCCCGACCGCTTCGATACAATCGTGGAAGCTTCAAACTCACTAGACGAATTGATGGCGACATGTATGTCCATAAGTCATGCCAAGGATGACGCCTCAACACAAGATCAGATGCATAAGAAGGGACAGCTTCGAGAGTCTCTGCAACTTTGGAACACTCGAATTTCGGAATTTGAGTCCTCTGCAACTTCACTCTCAGTAGCTGATCAGCTAGCCCTTTGCAATATGCGGATGAGATATGAGAAGCAGAAAATCGACCTGGGTGTTAGGGCCGGACCTAAATCTTTCGCCGAAGAACTCCAGTATGATCAGTATACGAGTACATTCAAATCGATCGTGGCCTTGGCAAGACAGGCAGCTAGCTTATCGACGTCGGCGTACAATGGTCAACGCCAGAGCTTCTCGTTTGATATGGGCTTCCTACCTGTGCTTCAATTCGTGGTTATGAAGTGCCGTGACTTTGATACCAGAATAGAGGCTTTGTCATGGATGCCGCATCTCACTGCTGCGAAGGAAAGCCTGCTTGATCTTGGCACGCTCTACAGGATTAGTCGACGTGTGATAGAGCTTGAGCACAATGTCTCTCTCGACGACGACCTGCGAGCGCGCGATGATGAGACGGCGAAACTTCAACTCACGTCGGAAGACAGTAGAATTGTTGCCGCTCCAGTTGATCACGAAATGGAAGTCATTACAGCACAGGATGGTACAGTCTCTTACCGGAGACGAGTGTTGATCATTATGCGACATGCAGACAATTCGAGCTCCTTTGATCGGGAAATTCTCCAGGAACGCAAACTACGTCAGTATGACCTTGAAATTCCTGGTATGCGAAGTGCGCGATAGCACGCAGTCAACTTGACGGCCCGCAATAAAACCGTGTAAGTTTTCGGAAGCTCCATTTAAGCACCACTAAGGAAATAGAAAGGACCCTGGGACCACTCCACCACATTCCATTCATGTCTTGCCATTCGGCACCGAAGTACCGAACTTTGATGGCAGGTAAAACTCCTCTCCAGATCTTCAAGCCAATCTCATGTCCAGGGTCCCTTGCTTGTCAAGAGAAGTGGGGCAAGTGCGAGAATAAGCGAGAACAGTGATGCCAGAAGAGATTATCAACTCACAGAGATGTTTATATACAAACATGTGCCGGTCCACAATGGAAGTGCAGCGTCGAAAGTGTAGTCTCTCCTTCATTTACCGTTCCAACTTCTTCAAGGACGCGTTCTTGCTCATTCTACTATTTATACGGCTTCTATTGCCATGGCTTCTTACCTTACCCTTCGACGAGCTCTCACGGCTGCAGCATCGATCTCTGCAGTCAGTGCTACTTCCCTTAGCGATGTTTGTTCATCGACATATGCACAAGCGGCTCTCCCAGCGTCAAGTTTCTACCCTGGTATCACCATAGACTCGTCCTCTACCACAGCTGCCCTCGTCAGCAATAGCTCGGTGAGCTCAGAATGGTACCCAACGGCAACAATCGAGTACTGCAATGTCACATTTGCCTATTCCCACAACGGTCTCACCAACGATGTTGTTCATGTATCGTACTTAGTTCCTGCCCCAGAGAATTTTCAGAATCGTTACGTTTCGACTGGAGGTGGAGGTCTTGCTATCAATTCAGGCTCACAATACAGCCCTAGCGGTATCATCGTTGGTGCCGTCTCAGGCATCACTGATGGTGGCTTTGGCAATTTTGACACGCAATGGGATGCCGTTTTTCTTGCGGCTAACGATACCATCAATTGGCAAGCAACTTACATGTTCGGTTATCAAGCTCATCATGAGCTTGCTGTCCTCGGAAAAGAATTCGCTCGAAATTTCTACAATGTATCAAGCGACACCAAGGTCTACTCTTACTACCAAGGGTGCTCTGAAGGAGGCCGTGAGGGTTGGAGTCAGATCCAGCGTTTTGGAGATCAGTTTGACGGTCTTGCTAGTAAGTCATGTTTTGCTATATATCTCTATTTTCTTTTGACGACATTGGAAGCTGCGGATGTCAGGTACATGTTCAGACATCATGTTGCTAGAACTGCCCTTACGAACCTTGCTACCGTATTCGAAAAAATTTATATACTGATCCTTCTTTAGTTGGTGCTCCGGCATTCCGCTATGGCCAGCAACAAGTGAATCATTTGATCGGGAATGTCGTCGAACAAACTCTCAACTATTTCCCATCAAGCTGTGAGTTGGAGAAGATTATGAATCTGACCATTGCCGCATGCGATCCAATGGATGGTCTGACCGATGGGGTTGTCTCCCGATCTGATTTATGCAAGCTGAACTTCGATATTAACAGCACGATTGGCGAAGCATACTCTTGCGCAGCTACCACCAGCAGTGGTTCTAGTGGTTTTGGCGGTCTTGCTAGTGGAGGTTCCATTAAGCGCCGACAGGATGATGGTTCCACCAGCGCGATACCAGCACAAAACGGGACAGTGACTGCAGAAGGTGCTGCCGTAGCTTCTGCTTATCTCGACGGCTTTCACAACTCCAAGGGAGAGCGTGTTTATATCAGCTACCAGCCTGGAGCGCAAATGGCGGATGCAGCAACTACGTATGATTCAACAACTAACACATGGGGCTTGGATATATCTGGTCTCGGTGGAGAGTGGGTTGCCCGCTTCTTGGAACTTCAGGATGCAAGCACTCTCGCCAACTTGGACAATGTAACATACGACACTATTGAGACATGGATGAAGTTGGGCATGAACCGCTACGCGGACAGTCTTCAAACTACCTACCCTGACTTGACCGACTTCCAGACATCCGGCGGAAAGGTCATTCATATTCACGGCGAGCAAGATAACTCAATTCCAACAGGTTCTTCTGTGCATTACTACGAGTCAGTGAGAGAAGTCATGTATGGAAATGCCACCTACAACGAAAGTACTGCGGCCCTCGACGACTTCTATCGCCTCTTCCTTGTTCCTGGTGGCGCACATTGCAGCTCCAATACGTACCAATCTTCCGGAGGATGGCCAGCGACCACTCTCCAAACTGTTATTGATTGGGTTGAGAACTCAGTGGCTCCGGATACTTTGAACAATTCTGGTACCGTCATCGACTCTCTCTGCCGCTATCCTCTGCGTCCTCTGTGGTCTGGCAATGGAACCTCTTTCGATTGCGTGTACGATCAGACCTCTATCGATACCTGGAACTATACATTTGACGCGTACAAGACTCCGTTGTACTAGGTGTCCTAAGGCTCGCCTTGGAGATGGGGAGCAAAGTTCTTTTTCTGGTGTCCAAACTTTTCATGATATAATGTAACAGATGTATATATCTCTGTTCTGTATAGTACTTATTTGAATTCGAGTAAACTGACGTTTGTCTGTCGAATGCAACTGATCTAGGACGTGATGATGACCTTCCTAGAAAGCTCTTGGTTTAAGCTAAGATCTGTGATTGGGAGATAACAAACAGGAATCAGGATCCCATTTTACTCGTACTGCTCTAACATGCCAAGTAAGTAGCCACAACGGCTAAGCCACTGACGCCCTCATTTTAAGGTTGACGATGTGGGCCCAACGGTAGGTAGCTCCCGCATTTCGACAGCATGTCATGTTAGTGCTTCCCCATTTCGGACTAAATTTAAATCTGCATCCTTACAACTATAAAGGACTTTGGTTCTCAGATAGTATAGTCATCATCGTGGGAATATGGACAAAGTATGTGTTAACAATACTGAGCACAAGGGTGTCTTGCCTCATCAATCATTCTTAGTGATTCGAGCTGTCTATCTTGTTCGTTCATCTCGAATAACAATGGCACGAGTGCTCCCTCTGATCTCTACTTCGTCCAGTTTTCAGAATTTGAGGCTGAAAAAGGAATCACGAGGATGCCGTTGTTACACAGAAAGTCGTTTGGTGGCGCAGTCCCAGGCACCAACATTCGACCCCGCTTCTTTTGAACACCTTTTTCCAACGACACCTCGCTCTTCACACATCGGTCATATCGCCAGCTTCCACCGTCATGGAGGTCTATCCCGGGATCCACCAATTCATGTGCAAAGGCTGCCGGAATGTACAATTACACTATCAATGTGTCTTTTGGAGCCCCGGCGACCACGCCTGGAATTGCCAGGATTGTCTCCCGTTACGGGAGATGTTGAACCAGACAAAGCTGGAATTTTGTCCTGGGTGTGTGAGGAAGCAGAAGGCCCCCGAGAAGGCGACTGAACCAATTGCGAACGTTGAGTTCTCGTCTACGAAGCAGTTCTTTCCGGCGGATATCGTGAGGATGGGTTGTAGCAGCTGTCGAAAGAGGAAGATCTCTTGCAGTCGTTTGTACACTGCCGCTTCGAAATGCGAAGGTTGTTTGGAAGAGGATCTCGAATGCGATTGTAAAGTCATGCGAAGGACGTGCCAGTATTGTAAGGATAGGATGATAAGGTGTACTGGCAACGAAGACACCTGTACCAACTGTATGAGGTTTCAGCAAGAATGCAAGCCCGTCAAACGAGAGAAGGTTACGAAGCCAGTCAGGAAAGATGCCCAGTCTGCTCCGGCTCGAGATCATCTGGATGTGATCGATGGGATGAAGGCCGATTTGTCTTTTGACAATTGTCTCAGCTGTGAGAAGGATTCGATGTTGAGATGCGATAGAAATCTGGATGGTTGTGTCCACTGCAAGATCAAGAAGCAGCCTTGCGAATATCCATCACCACTTGCCAGTACCTTGTCTGGTAAGATATTCATCGTCAAATGTACTTACGAAGCTAACATCTTACAGATAGATCATCCAAATTCTGCACGAGCTGCTATGGACGAAAATCTAAACGCTCTGAAGATCCGCTCTGTGACCGATGCAAGAGCATCGAATGGAACAAGTCGAAAGTCATCGAGCCATGTCATGCGTGTCGGCTCATGAGTACTCAGTGTGATGACGCCAAGACATGCGCTCAATGCCAAAAGCTGGACTTCAAATGTAAACGCGGGCCAACAGGTGGAAATTCCTCTTCACAATATCCCACATCATGCGACCCTACTGACTCAACAATACCTCCATATACTGTCGGCTGGTCTTCTTCAAATCAATATACTTACGATGCTGCCTCTAGAACCTATACTGCAGCTTCCGAATGGACACCGGACAATCACGCCGCGGAACGCAATCAAGATGCCACCGTGAAGCTATTTGCCGACTTATACTCCAGAACCTCACACCCGCCTCGAAATCCCAGCAAACGCATTGAGAAGGGCAATCACGTCGATTGTACCGATCGCAAGTGTCCATGCCAATCACAAGATATGATTTATAAAAAGGCAAACGGAGAATTCTACAGTCGACCGCTACCAGACATTATCCGACTCCCCGGCCGACGAAGAACCAGCTACATCTGCAAAGTCGGAAACATCGACTGCTCCGCCAAATCACCATGCCAAGAATGCACGGTACCAGCCATCGACCCCACACGCGAGACTCCAGGCCGTTGGCGAGCCGTCAGAGAGGGCCCGGCTTGTGATCCGTGTCGGAATTATAAACATCGGAGTGATGGCAAGGCGCCGAGTTTTGCTTCGTGTGAGAGGTTGGGGAGGAAGTGTTCTTATAGTAGTGATAAGTTTGAGAAGGGGGTTTTGTTGAAAGAGTATCTTGAGGATAGTACTAGGAGGGAGGAAACTGTGGTAGCGGATCGACCTGTAGCTCAAACTGTGGAGAAACAGGATGTGGCGTCGAAAGACAAAGAGATGAAAGACGTTACGACTGATACGGAGGACTTGGATGTGGAGGATTGGTGCATGGTGACTTCTGAAGATGTCGATGGTGTTGTGGAAGAGGAGCCGAGTGCGAATACCAAGGGGATGGGGAGGTCTTACAGATTTTGGTAGGACAAGACGAGATGAACGATGATACGACTTATGGGGTTTCTCAGTCGGTTGGTCTTACTGCAAGTTGGCGTCTGCTGGAATATTTGCGTTTCTTGAATTATCCTCGATTGTTGGGACATTGTCATGTAAAATCTGGCGCTAGGTTTCCAATGTGTGTGCGAAAGTTCGGCAGGCTATCATTATTATGATTGTACCAGTTTCTTCTTCCAAAAACAAATAGTTATGTCACAGCAGAATTACAACGTCCTCTTATCACCCAAAATATCTACAACATAATCAAATACCTCCATCTCCCCATCCCCTCACCCTAATCAGAACAAGCATCCCCACACAACAAACCACCTCCCCACCCTGACACGCCCCAAAGCTATTCGCCGCATTATCGTTCGGAAACGTATACGCCTGCCCTGCACACGGCTCGAAGAACGCCGTCGTACTCGCGCGATACGGATTCATGCATGCGTTCTCGCCGTCATTATCCTGGTTCTATCAACACCTCTCTATACCCATAAAGCAGAGGGGAGGGTAGGATGCCTTCTGTGGACCTGGCTGTGGACTTGGGTGGTGAGGGAGAGGAGAAGGAGGAGGAGGAGGAGGGGGATGGTGGTGGGGAGATGCATTGTGGTGATGAGAGGTGGGTGGGGAGAGAGATGTCGGTGCTTGGTGAGAAGATAGGTTATTGTCTTGGAGCAGGAAGTTCTTTTGTAGAACTCTATCTCAATGGGAAAAGCCTTCATATTTTCCCTCGTGGAAGCACATTGCGGAAGGTCCGAAGCACCGCATGGTTCCAAGCACTAAACAGTGCTCTTGCATCCAATTCATACATAACTTCCCTGGACGTGGACGAGCAGATGCCTCTTTTCAGACACTGGCATGACCACTATCATTCGAATCCCGAAGTAGTTCGGTGAAGCAACGTGCCTGTTGGAATAGCTTCAACTCAAATATACAACCCCTGGAAGGAAGTGGGACATCCTCCAAAAGTCCCAGCATGGTCCAAAGATTGAAAATGGCTCGGTCAGTCCAATGTAGCTCCTGCAGCAGCAACGTGATTCCTGACCTCAGGATTACCCAAGGTAGCTCTTCCGCCGAGATGTCTGCTCGTGGTGGTGAGAAGTAGGATGGGTTTGCGAGACTTCTGGCACCTTGCCTTTCTGGGAAGAACGAGGACTTTGGAGATACCACGTTGTGGGTATCCGTTTGAATGTCCATAGAGTTGTCGAACATTCTTCGTGGGAGATGTATCGTCAAGATAAAGTATATCCACCCCATACATAGCTCCCCAACATTCTCCCTCGATCATCGAGGGGTAAATAACAAGCTTGACAGAAGCTCTGTTCCAGTTCCGGTTCTGATTCCGAATCTCGCAACGTTTTCAAAACGGATAAGCCGACACAGAAGGAAGAACTCCTTGACACCACAACTCACCTGAGAATTCAACGGCAACCATCTCCGATATCATCCAGCCCACAACAAACATCAGACGAAAACATCGGTCCTACCCTCCAAGCTTACTCGAATCCTTCAACTAGAACGCTCTGCGAACAGTGACAGCGAAATCCTAGTCCCCGAAACCAATAGTCCCACGATCCTTCACCAGGGTCCCTCCCCGCATTGGCAGGTGGTAGGGAAAGAAGCTTAGTTCGTCGGGAAGAGCCGAGGACGAGGACCCTTTTTTTCCAGGGGAGGGGAGGGGAGAAATTGATACAGTATGCGGCCATATCGCGGCGCGAGGGAGTGGCACAGTTGGTTGTGATTTGGTTTTTTTCCTCTGGGAGATTTTCTGCTCATATTTTCTGGTTGTGAAGAATGGAGATTCGGTGTCATGATATGTGTGGACTTTGCTCCGTACTTTTGGATGGGTTGATGTTGGGCAGCCTTCTCTGCATGTAAGTGTTGATAAATGAGGGTTGGTAGGGAGTCGAGGTACTGGCTGTGATTTCTTGTCTTTGAAATTTGTGTCTGGGTATGTAAGAATGCGAGGGGTGCTCTTGCTATGTGTAGCTCTATTCCGAGCCCTTGTTGAGGTGCGTGCCTCGGGTTTCCGAAACTGGTGAAGGTTGGGACGAACTATGGCTTTCACTTAGAAGTACGGTAGAAACTTAATATCAGGTTGGGCCCAGTCCAGTATATCATGCTCTCTTGATTGCGACTTCCTCAAGTTTGAGACATTCAAGTACGAACGGGAAGCAACTAACTTCGCTTCACAACCAGATAAAAGAAGTAAAACAGAAACAGAGACAGCAAACTTTCAGATCATTACATTATATCCACAGTCCCCTATATGGGCGGTGCGCGTTCCTGACGTATCTTGGTATATGTGCGCGTTTCATAGGTAAGGTAAGAAGACCTCCTCCCTAGCCAGCCATCTACATAGCTCGCATACAAACAAGAAAAACGCCAATCCAGAACGCCGGTCCAATGCCAATCCCATATTTATACAACACAATGGTATCTCAAACCAAACGCTGCAATTCAAGCCCGCCTCATTCCAATTCGTATCCATGTAGCGGAGGGGTGTCTTTTCAGGGTATCCAGGTCAATACCACAACGCTGTCTCTCATCGGAGCTTCTTCACTTTCTGCGAGCCATCTTCCGTCTCCTCTTCGCTTCAAGTAGACCTGTTTTACACGGCCGTCACCTTCTTTCTTCGCGCCCAGAATTTCCCAGCTTTTCTTCTTTCCAGTATTGTTCAAGCTCTTGCGCAGTTGGCCAAAGGTATAGCTGAAGACGAGTTCATTTCTGTTGGGATCGTCTTCGTTCGCGCTCCCAAATGTACCTTCGGTTTGCATGGGGTCGAAATTGATCCCTTGCGGATAGTGTGCTACAGAGTAGCCATTTGATATGATATAATTGTCCAAGAACTGAAAGCGTTGCAAGAAGCAAGATTCTCCGCAAGCATCTGCCACTGTATGCATTTTCGCGGGACTAACGTGATGCCACGACTTGAAGTGGTGAAGTGACAGAGGTTGTATCCCAGATTCGTAGAAGCCACTCGGGTCTCCAAATTGGTCTTCTTGGTGCAGCGCTGGTAAATATGTAAGAGTGATGTCTGTATGCGCTTTCAAGCAATTGAAGAGCAATCGATCGCCTTGGTCGCTTGCCAGTAGATACACGCCTTCGGCATTCTTTTCTAGACATGGAGCTTCGACGACCTTCTGGGCAGTTGGCGCAGTCAAAACGATTCCTCCTCCACCGTAGGCAAATGGCGCACCATTCTGAAGGATCCAGTCGACTCGTTCCGTAAAGGTCCCAATGTAGTACGGTTTCTTCGGGTCGAACTGATTTAGGGTGTGACGGAACTCGGTCATATACGGGAAGAAGGTATCGTCGTCGATGAGCACGAGGTACTTGCGCGAAGGGCGTGTTGGGTGATTGTAGAGCATATGTACGAGATCAACGTATCGTCCAGGCATATCTAGATCCATGTTCGAGGGAACCACTGTCGCATTGATGCCCACGTCCTCCAAAGTCTTTGCAGCCTTCCCCAGATTCTCCTCCGTGGTATTGAACAGCGAAAGGATCAGTCCTGCGCCATTGGTATGCCCATTTCCGTCTGTGAGCCAGCGCACCCATTCCTTCATCGGAGACGTTTTCTCTTTACTAAAACGATCATAAGTCGTGGAGACGCCGAAGATGAGGTCAGAAGCATCGACTTGGTCTGGTCGCGGTGAATGTTTGACATGCACATCCAAAAGCCTCGAGGATGGCAGGTTCTGCTTCTTGTCGATAGATATATTGGTAAAGGATTGTGGGAAGAGGTTCTGATTGACTTCAGAGATAGACTTTCGTTCTGTCGCATCAGGCACATATCGAATTGTTCGCGCCGCGTACTCGATCTCAGGTCCAATGCTGTTTTCCTTCAGCAGGGTTTTCACCCACGCAAGATCGTCCGAACTGCTGCCAGTGTGCGAGAAGCTGGTCGTCGAGCTCGAGTCCGCGAGAGAAGAGCCGCTGAAGTTGGGGTGGTACCAGACAATGACAAGGAGGAACAAAGCGACAGCGAGCCAGCGATGCAACGGCGTGCGAGGCAGCATACTGGACGCACTGCTGAAAGTCATCAAGGAAGACATAAGTGGATCAGATCATTGTACAAAAGGAAGAAAAAGAGATATGGTCGAAGGGGTACACGGTGATGTGTTTTGTGTGATGGGATGGCAGATGAGAAAAAAAGAACGAGCCGCATCGCGGTGTAAAAGGGGATTAGATAGGCGTCGGACAGACGCCGATGGGGGCGGACAAGTGGGTCCCTCCCAATCTTGGCGTCATCGGCTAGAGGCCAAGGACGGTTTTTAGTGGCTGTCATACCAACAATCGCCCGAGATGAGACAATCAAACCTGCACAGCTGCACTGGAGGCGACTCGAGAGGCTGCTGATTGCGAGACGGCAATGTAAGACTGTGGCAGTGTCACTTACATAACAGATAAGACTTGTTATCGTGACACGCAGCGTCTTCGAGAACAGAAGATAAATGATATTAAGTTATGTAAGCAAGTAAGCGGTATGTGGGGTTGAAGAAATGAGGGAACCGAGCAACCGGGGCCTGAAAAGGGGTAGCTGTGCTAGCCCTCGAGTGCGTTAGGGTGAAATGCGTTACACAAGGGGGCAAAAAGGGGGGAAGACAAGAGTAGGGCTGATCATCATCATTCATGGTTTGAATTTGATTGCAGACAAAAGTCAAAAAGGAGGACTGGTGGTAATAATAGAAGTCTTTGTGGACTCGGTAAAGAAAGGGGTAGTGGAAGCGAGCGGACTTCTTGTTTCAACCGCATTTTGATCAGCGTTGTGAGAATATCATTGTGGACGATCTTTTGTCTCGTTGTTTATGCCATTCTAAGAATATCCATCATGGACAGCACATGGAAGAAGAGTATCAGACATTTCGGAGTTGAAAATGGAAGGTACACCCTCCCCTAGCTGGAAGCCGAGACATGGTGAAGCTAAGTTACAAAGTTAGCAACGACAATTGATTCTCTTCTACATAATTCTTAACTTTTGTGATATGTAAAGTCAAATAATACAGCCTTTAATACTTATGCTGATTCTATTACTATTTGTAGTTTCTATATCAAGGTCAAAGTCGCAGCTCCGCCAAATTCCCAACATAACATTTATCCAGCTGCTGAGGACCAGTCTCAACATACGCTTGTAAGAGAACATGGGGACCAATTTACTTTCGTCCTTTTATTTACACATTGAGCTTCAAAACAAAACGCAACCTCATTCAAAGACAGTGGTTTGGACTCGGTCTGTGATAAAATTGCGACTGATTCCAGCATGATTCGCAATCAATTCAACAGCTACTTCGAGCTCAGCACGAAACTTCGCTCCAAGACCAGGGACCGTTATCGCAACACGTAGAGGCATCAACATCGCATACGCAGCGATTCTGAGTAAGACTCCATCTGCCATATATCGGTTGTTTGTACCTAAAAAGACAGGCACGAAGTCTTTGATTTCTTGTGCAACGTTGTCTAACGCCGTTTTTATCTTCGAATTGGTAACTTTGAGCATCCGAAGCTCCTCTTCAGCATGACCAGGGGAAGCATCGATCGTTCGCGATAGTTGTTGAACGCATCGACAAGCAGCGACGTGTAAGATAAGCTGGTAGAGACACAGTTGACTCCAATCCTTACGGAACCACATGCTCACATCCTTGGGTGCTTCTGAACGATTCCACACAGATCCAACTGTGAGGAGTTGGTTCCATTCATCTGGCGAGAGATTATGCGCTTTGGGTTCCCACAAGTGTGACCATATGGAAATCTCTTTCAACGTCGCAGAGCATTTCTCAAGAAGAATATTTAGCTGGTTTTGCGAGGTGTCAACCCAGTTTGAAAATTGTCGTAGCCTGACCTCGTTGTGGATTTCGACGACTGAGACACCTAGGCGGATTATGTAAGCTGATCCAGGTGGCAGGCTCGAAGTCGAGATCGAAATCTTGTGCAGTGCTTGAAGAGTGGAGCATAATAGGGAAGCACGTTCGGCTAGACAGCTTAGACATCCAAATATCTGAACAGGTCAGGACTTTTGCGACAAGGATACATGCTGATTGCCTCACCATATTATTCATCAAAACGGCGATTATTGGTGCGGGAAAACCTGAGAACGAAGAGCATAGCTTGCTGCTTTCAATGAAGCGTGATGCCCCGATGAGATGAGTGAGGGTCGCTAAGTCTACGGAGACTGGGTCGCCTAATACTGGCTTGACATGCATCAGCTGCAACGTCTCCACCTCATAGATTCCTATAGTGTACTGACCTCGGTCATAGAGAGCAACAGTATTACCAAAAGCGTCTCATTTACCGCACCTGAAGCTGGGCTTTGTAGCCTTTTCCTTAGTTTGGCAATAGCTTCCGCATATTCTAGTCGAGCGAGAATAAGGTGGGTTTTAATGTTGTGGATCGTAGGGGCGTTGATCCAAGCCAACGATTTCGTTACAGGAAGTAAAGGGGATGATGGTGCAGCAATACGGCGCATGTCTCTGCTTATCCTAAGCAGACAATTTCTGCTTACCTCGACATCATTGTATAGATGATATAATACAAGCTCATCTATGTCAAGCGGCGAACCTAATTCGTTGAAAGGAAAAGACGAGAAGTTGTTGTTAGTCCCTTGAATACATCAGTATACTTATCTGGGTACACCTCTGTGATTTAGATATAGACTTACTTTGCTTCTGTGCCCCTCTTACCGAGCTAGTTGATCTATACCTGATCTCCAAACCAGTGATTGTGTTGCTCTCGTCGGGTCTTCCAACCCTCGAACGGCTGCTGAGAAGTGCGTTCTTTCTAGCAACCTCATTCTCATTCCGAAATGATAAGTCCGTCTGATCTGGATAGCCCTCACATGCATTAGACGTCCTCTCGCATTTGAAGCAATACGGCTTCCGTTCATCGCACTATCATGAAGGATTATGATCAGTTCAAACATATTCAAGCAGGGAAGAGCGGAGCCTGACCTTGACACGTCGTTTCCGACATGTGAAGCATCCCGCGCTTGGTTTTCCAGGGTTTACCATAATGCAATTGCGGAATGGGTTGCTTTGTATTCTTGTGACTGCTACCAGAATTGGAACGTGGGGTTGATTGCAGTACCGTGTAAAGTGTCTCCCAACATTCGACTGAGCTGGGTCATACTAGGCTATGAAGAAAGTGACCTCACGGACCTTCTTGAGAGTGAGCGACTGCTCCGTAGATGATATCGGACCTCTCGGCCCCGGCGAGCCGCTCGGTGAATACTCGCCGTGAGATGGACATAAGGTAGATTGACTCGCTGTTGTCCTGAGTTTGACGGTGGGGGCAATGTACGTGATGCTTGAGCCATTTAGAGCCGTCGCAAGTCAAAGGCCCAGAATCGAAAACTTTAAATTCGGATTTAGGACTGATCATATCAGATTCTCGGGTTAACTCCAGCCTGCTAGGCTAGGGCGGAGTGCGACTAGAGGATCAATGGGAGGTCGCCACTGTCGGACGTAAGAAAAATGACTGTTTCTGGGTTAGCTTTGCGATCGTCCACCCTTATTGGTCAAGCCTCGAGGCGGCTCATGGCGAACCCAGGATATATTATTTCTCGTTAGTGTTGTAATGCTGAAGATTCGGAACAACTTTAGCTCAAATCGGACGTTAAAGAAGTAAATTGCATAGCCTGGCCAAGGGTCTAGAATTGCGCAGCTGCACTTCGGCAAGAGACAAGACATTGTGAACTGTATCCTTCTAGTCATCAAGGAGAAAGTAAGTTGCGGACGAGGACATGACAACAGTTCATCTCAGCCTCATCGCTTTGGTGCTAGCCTTGCGAGAGTCCAGCTGCTGAGTGGCTCTGTACGTCACTCAAGAACGAGAGATCAATTCTTTGAAGCCATAAGTATGACTTCAAGACACAATTTCAAGGTATTCTCTATATCGAACCTTCTCAATAGAACTATCCATTGTCTCGTTTCATTGCTTTAAATATCACAACGCCTACCAAAGAGAAGATAATTCTTTTTTCTTCTACTTGCCAATAGTACAAAATGCAACCAAGAATCTTTTTTTCTACCCTGTCGGCTCTACAGCTGCTTGCTGCCGTTGGAGCCTGTCCTTTCCACGGCCATGCACAACATACCTCTCTGAACAACCACAGACGATCGCTTCCTGCCGAGTCTGCAAAGACTTCAACTGATAACATCCGCGTCTTCGACGGGTGCCGTTTCAGCTTGGCAAAAACGATTTGTTTTGATGCTGGCTATATCGTCGATACAAATGGATGTGATGAGGCAGAGGTGAAGATCAACGGAAGTGGAAAGTTTCTCATTCCCGGATTAATCGACAGTCATCTTCACTTGCAAGATGTAGCATCGCTTGAGAAATTTACGTCTTATGGCTGTAAGTAATAAACGCAATTCCTCCTCCTAGAGTCGCCCTAGTATTTCCTGAGTAGTGATCTGGAACAAATAAGAAGACAACCCTCTGCACTCTCTCATGACACGAAACAGCAGTTCGCTGACTCGGAGACTGCAACAGGTACTACCGCTATGCATATGAATTGCGAGGACTACACCCAGTGCGACATCAATGCAAAGCAGCCCGGCCTAGCCTCTTTCATTTATGCAGGCAGGTCGGCAGGGGGAAACGGCAGCGCGCACGAGAAGACAGAGCCGACACGTCCCAAAGATACACTCATCTATCCCGACACCAACGTTACACAGTGGACCGAATGGCAATTCAACAACGTCAGCAACTTCCTCAAGTTGACCGCCGAAGTCAACGGTCCCTCGACGCAACAGCAAATCGAGATGATCCGCGTAGCTCACTACCAATACCACAAGCAAGCCATGACCCACGCCGCGGACCTCAATGCATACTCGCAGGCAGTGGAATCCGTCACGGATGGCATCCAGCATGTACCTGATGACGGACTTCTTGATAACGCCACGATCCAGCAGATCAAAGCCCAGAATCAATTCGTCACGCCGACACTAAATGTGTTCAAGTACGCCTTTAGCGATCCCATTCTGGCGTCGGATTACTTCGGTGTTCAACCGGGCAGCAACCATACTATGAGTCACGTTGAAGCAAACGCCAAAGCCCTGTATAGAGCTGGTGTGCCTCTCATCGCAGGGACAGACTCCGTTGGCCCCTTGAATCTGAACGGAACAATTGTCACTGTCCCGTGGGGCTTGTCGCTGCATCATGAATTGGAAAATCTGGTTCAGATAGTTGGCATGTCGCCTGCCGAGGCAATCAACGCTGCCACAAGGGAAGCTGCAAAGTGGCATCGTGTCCTTGATAGAGGGTCTATCGAAACTGGCAAGAGGGCCGACTTACTTATGCTCAATTCCGATCCTCTTGCGAACATTAGTAACACCCAGGACTTCGAGGAGATCTGGGTGTTTGGCATTGAGGTTGCAGAGGTGGCTAAGATAGTGTAATGCGGCCGCCCATTCAGACTGGTCCATGGAGAATCTGAGTAGATCCGCGTTCCAATCTCGCAGATGATTCTTGCCTAAAGTAACTGGGCTGACAATAATATGATAACCAAAGTCTACCACGCACAACCTCCAGCAAGCTCCATTGGCAGTCTGTCTCAATATCAAGCACTGGCTTCAATGATGTGGATTGAAGGAGGCGGCTGTATATATATCCACGGTTTGGCGGGATCTCAAGGTTATGACTCTTTTCCCTTGACAGATAATTGTATCATAGACTAGGTAGATCGGAATAAACAGCGTTAAATAGACTGCAAGACCAATATATCAGAAAAGATGAAGTTTAAGTGGTAACTGGGATGTGAAGTAGGCATTCTCATATCCGCAACATCAAGCACTACTTGTGGTATCACGCCCTCACTGAATAGGGAAACATACTTGGAAAGTCTTCATAGTGATATGATAAGCGCTTCTTAGAATAAAATGTTATGATGCTCGGTATAGCGAAAGTCGAATATCGCGCACATCGCGCACATCGCGCGAATGACGCGAATTGCGCGAAATGCGCAATATGGGCTATGTGCGCCTGGTGCATAGATCAGCAAAATATACAGAAATCATGACGGCATAATATAGATATACGTATATAAGGAACTCAACAAAAAGTTATATTCTGAATTGACAGCCTTCAACATATAATTGTCGTAGCAATGAATGAAGCCGCATGACCAATCCAGAAGTTATGTTCTGATTTGAGAACTTTTGATATTGAAATATTGGTCCAGCACTTGGGAGAAGTTCAGCAGCCAATAGCTCGCGTTCTGATCCGAGGCTTCCTCACATGCAAATGTCGTGACAGCAAGTGGGACTTTGGAGCTCAAGGAGCTTAGATCTTGAGATCGAGCAACTATCAGAGAAGGTCAAGAATGCAGAGTGCAATTCGAAGACATTACCAGCATCAATAAGTCGAAGGATGATGAGATTGAGAAGTTCTTGGGCAAAGAATTTAATCACCTAACAAAAACTTGGGTGCTTAATCTTGTCCAGACATTGATTGAGTTGTGCTTGAATGTTAGCTCTTTACCAAGCACTGAGCCTTGCCCAAACATTAAAGATTGTTATAACATTGACTTTGGGATAAATATCAAACTATACTTAGATGTCATAGAAACCTCGCTCTGTCCACACACAGACATTGAAACCTTGTTCAGACATGAGTCTATTCGAACAATGAGAAACAAAGGATGAGCTGAAGGAATTCAAAAACGAATCAAGAAGCCAACCTCATCGCTTGAGACTCGCCTTGAAAATCATGCTATTTCATTCTACCATCTCAGGGCTATAAACCACCTAATCACTATCCAAAACCACCACCTCCGCCTCCGCCTCCCCAATACTCTCCACACTCAACACATCCCCCGCATTAACACCACTAACAAACGCACCATCCCCCTCATTCAGAACCGCATCCTCCCTCCCATCCAGCCTCACCTTCATACTCCCATTCTTCGTCATAGGAACATGAATGTATACATGTCTGCCCGTAGCACTCTTCACGGCACTGCCGCCAACCGTCCACTTGAACCTCTTGTCAACTCCAATAATTCCTGCTGCCATGACGAGATCGGCGTGTATGGGAATCGTCTCAGGTAGTGTTGGTTCCGCCGCCTTCTCTTCAGCTTCCGATGCGCCTCGACCGGCTTTCAACGGTGAGAGGATCGGCAGGAAAGCTGCGCGCTTGGCATCTTCCGAGAAGGTCTTTGTGTGGTATCGTGGTGTGAGGCCGCGGGCCCAGGGCGTGGCCCAGATTTGGAGGAAGTGGACTTGCTTGTCCGATTCATTTTGTTCCGAATGTGCGATGCCTGATTTGTCAGTATACATTTCTTTGAAGAATTGTAGAGGGAGAGGAATTATGTACCTTTTCCACCAGTAGTGAATTGCACATCACCCCGCTTCATCCTGTAGAAATCATCTCCTTGTTGACCCTCTGCACCTTTCTTGATCATGCTGTCGCGGTGCGTCAATTCGCCGTTGAGGATGTAGCTGAAGATCTCTGCATCTCGGTGGGGATGGGTTGGAAAGCCCGTTCCGCCATCTACTCTGTCTTCGTTCAAGACTCGCAGACTTCCAAAGTTCATGTGTTGCGGATCGTAGTAATCTGCGAAGCTGAACGTGTGGTAGGTGTTCAACCAGCCATGATTCGCATGTCCGCGATCGCTGGAGCGACGCGGGACAATCTTGGCGTGTGCAAGAGCTTTAGACATTGTGTTTTTGATTGTGTTTGCTGTTGTCATAGGTGATTGAGAGGACGTTGTGTTTGTAGCTAGAAGTGTTTCTGTGAAGCTGCTAAGTAGTTCTCGAAGTGGGGTATTGAAGTAGATTGAAATTGATGCAGTGAAAATGGCAATAGCGATGAAGAGAAGCTTCATTTATAGACTTGAGAATAACTCGAGAAGTTTGGAGAGGATTGGAGAAGGAAATAGAGAGAAGGAGATTGTTCAGGATTACCTATTGCTTTGAAGTTCATGATGGACTTTTTTTTCTGGGTCTCGATTGAATCGGATTTATGATGATGATTGAAGCTGTGTCAGCACCTTAATAAGCGTCGAAACAGGAAAGGCGTCTGAACTAGACTGCTTTAGGATATAGTTATAGCCTCTCATCAGTCCCGCACGAATTTGACTTATGTCTGAATGAAAACAGAGACCGAAGTCGGGAATTTGTGTGAGCATTGTTAATAGAGAGCAAAGCCTACAAACCTCTACTAAACAAAGATACGAAGTATACCTCGACAAGCGTCGCGAAGCTACATCTAATGCTGCGGGCAAGTCATTTCATTATGCACACTCTTTCTTGCCACACCAAAACCTCACTCTCTCCATTGAATCTCATTCCATCATCCATCGACCGACTCCGGGAACTTCGAAAGTCGAGGCATGATTCCATCTATCGTCACATCGAATTAGTACTCATCCCTCACCAAATCCACACAAGAAACCTTTTCTAAAAGAAAAAGGGACAACAAACTCCAAACAGCCCTCTCCCCCACCCTCTCAACCGTCACCTCATCACCAACCGTCACCTCTCCCCCTCTAACAGCAAACCCATACCGCCCAAAAATCGGCTCCCACCTCTTTCCCGGATCCACCCTCCGGCTCCCCATCATACTCTTCAGCAGCGACCCCGTCATCTCCCCCGTCCGGAGATCAACGTTAATACTCGTGCATCTTGCACAATTACTCGTAAGCACGATCTTGATCCCCTTTGGCTGGACCGTGATGCAGGACCAGAAATCCTCGTCCCAGGCCGCGAGATCGGGGGCGGAGAGGACGATGTTTGGGCGGAATTTCTCGAGGAGCGTGGATTGTTGTTCTTGTTTTGAGGGTTCGTGGAGGAGGGGGAGGGCGGAGAGGGAGGCTGAAGAGACGATTAGGAGGGCGGCGCCGTCGGAGAAGGTTATGTTTTCTTCGTCTTCTTGAGCGGGGGAGGGGAGGTGCGGTTTTATGGTTGAGAGCCAGGATTGGGCGAGCGGGCTGGTGGAGGGTGTCCCGGGTGAAGAGTCTATGTATGCTAGGTGGACGGGGTAGGTGAAATGGGTGGTGAACCAGAGATTGTATTCGGGAGGCATGAGGTGGGCCGGGTAGGATGGGTTGGTGTGGAGATCTATGGAGATCTGCTTGAGGGAGGCGAGGGACGGTGTATAGGGGATTTCGATTGAGGGAGGGGGTTCGAGGGAAGATGGTAAGTGGTAGGTGACGGTGAAGGTGTGAGGAGTGCAGGGAGAGCAGTGGAACAGTGCCATCTCGGGTTGCTGGCCAATGAACATGTTGGTGTAGGTTCCATTCTGAGAGAGTTTCAAGAGGATATAATTTCGGTCGTTGGCTAGGCCTTGGGGACAGAGGTTTGCTGTGTCTAAGGAAATTGGGCGGAGGGATTTGATGGGATAAATGTTGAGCTGATGATTTAGTCGTTACTCTGTAATGTGAATTGGGAATTTTGGTTCTCACCTGGGTGATCTTCATCTTGGTATCTCAAATACCATCTTTCAGATGTCAAACAGCAGCGGTGTCATGGTTCTCATTCTTGTCCAAATCGTTCCTCCAAGTCAGTGCTGAAATGCGGGGCATAGGTATCTATCGTTATCAGTAATGGCGGGGTAAAACTCCACACAGGAACTTCGGGCCGCTAACACCGACGCAAGATACCAGTCACAAGGAAAGGAACTTTGTCTCTATAGAAGTACCAAAGCAGTGGTACCCAGTTCAATTGTATCAGAGGGAACGGTGCTCACGTAATTAAATCCCTCTGCAGTATAAAAGGCTCCATCTCTCCGTTGCGTACAATACATCCCTCTTTTTCGTTGGCTGAAGTTACCATTCCCGAGAAAACTGCACGTTACAGTACCCTTTGAACTCATGCCCAACAATCATCTATCTAGAATTATAGCGGACGACTTCCCATTCAGTAAGCCAAGAATTCAAATCAAATATCACCGCCGTCTTTAGGTCAGTACCTCAGCCCAGCCCAGACCCCACACCCATCTAAGACGAGTTTTCGTACTCATGGACTCTAAATTCGAACACCCCGAACCCGACCCATCCGCGGACGGAAAAGTTCGTGCTACGAGCAAGAGGCCCATGCCCCCTCTCCATCTCCCCCGGATCCAATCCGAAAAGTATAACAATAACGCGGAGGAGGAATCCCGGCTATTGAATTTGCGAGGGTGCTAACGTCTCATCAGAAAGTCAATTTGGACCAGGGGGTTTGGTGTGTACCCCTTGCAGTCGGTGTGTGAACTCTAACTGTTGCATACCTAGGTAAGCATAGACCTTTAAGTTCGTGAGGCTATTTATCTTTCCTATCCGGCATATGATGAATAGGTAGGGTTGATTGATATTTGCAAGGAACGGAGATAGAGGTAGGTGATCAGATGGCAGGCTCCGTTGTCCGGTTGGTTGGTAGGAGGAGAATGGCAATACCTACCTCCTTGATTGTCAAAATCTGATACCTTCCCAATCTTCCCAACCCTCTCTCCTACTCAACCACATCGTTGTACAACCATCCATTCCCCCGCCCAACCAGACTTTCGTGCAACACAAGGCTGCCCCCCCGTCCCCCCTTCCACTCCCAACCCACAACACGGAACGAGCCCCACGGACCGACGATGAGCTGGTAGGGTGACACAGCATAGCATCCATCTCCTGCCTGCCTGCCTGCCTGCCAGCCTTATCGACGTGACATGACGTGACGGTACCTTGCATTCGGGCACCATTCATGCCTTCCGACCGGGAGTTACACTGCAGGAAGCTTAATGGAACAATTTGTTGTTGTTGGGAGCAGGTTTGTGTGTTGGGTATTCTTAGGTAGGTAGGTTGTTGAGGAATGAATTGTTACTTGGCTCGATTTTTTTTCGTGATGATGTTTAATCTGTCGTTGACTGCGAAGGGGTGTTTCCTTGGAGCAGGATAAGTGCTATTTCGCAATGGAGGAGTCGTAGTCGTCGTCGAGAGGAAGGGGACTGCTAGTAAGTATCAAGCACAATCTCAGCGAAGGAACCAAGTAGAGAGAAAATCCAGTCATCAACATATTGCATTATTACCCCCATGCTCAAATCAAATCAAAGTAAAGGAAAGAGAGAAAAAAACGCCATAGAAATCGACTGACTGACTCCATTGTACTCGCGTACCCCATTCTTCTTCACACAACTTTTTTGAGAGTTTTTCAAATCGCAGATAGCCCAGCCCAGTCCAGTCTACCCCTTCGCATTCCACACCACACCACAGACAGGTAGACAAACAAGGGAAAACAAACTCCGTAAACTTTTGTGATCTCCTTCTCTCCGTTTGCGTGAGCAATGAGCAATCTAGAATTTTTTTTCACACCCCCTCCCCCAAACAAGCGAAACAAACAAACTCGAATAGAATAACAGTCTTGCCACCCAAACTGTCGTACAAACAGACCTATTGAAAGGCGTTGAGACACTGCAAACCACAAAGCAGGAAACAAGTGAAAGGGAAAAAACAGGGAAAGGGGAGCTGCTGAGCGATGACGAGGTGACAGTGTGCGAAATGTCAAACAAAGAGCGTTCCGTGTCCCGCTGTGCTGTTGCGTTGTGTTGTCATCCTGCTGTGAGCCAGCGAAGCAAATGCCATATGTCCTCAAACACCAGCCCAACCCCAAACAATGAATCAATCAATCAGTCCACCACACGACATTAATCCCTCCGCATTATTGTTGCTGTTCGATCTGTGCCAGAATCCAGTGTACCGAAGAGGCGAGAGAAGTTGAACCATGGAAAGTCGTGAAAGTCGTGACAAGTATCCGTGTGAGAACAAAGAGTAATAAGTGCAAATCGAAATGCGTCGCCGTGTCGAAAGGGAAAAGGAGGGAGAGGGAAAATCGCCTAAAGATGCCCGTAGCGTCGAAAGCAAAAATAGGCACAAATTTTGGATCGCCCTTGCATTTGCAGCAACCCAAGCGCGACACATGGTCCTGCGGCCATTCCTGCGGCCAAAGAAACCAGGCGTGATGCAACCTGCAAGCCAGCCTGCAGGTTGGCTGCATCTCGCATACGATGCGATACGATACATAGCATTTGCATGACGTGCGCACAAGAAAGGCTGAGACGAGGCCGACAATAATTTTCTGTGGATTTAGTGATTCTTTTTGCTTTTTGAGACTGGGGACATCCGAAAGCGTGGAAATGCGTGCAGCCAACGTTGGAAGAGGAAGGAGCTTTGCTTTAGGAGGACGTTGGACCGACGATAGGCTGAATCTTGTTGATGTCAGTGGCTCTGTCACTTTTCTTTTTGCTTTGGGGGAGTGAAATGCAGCCCATCGTTCGTGCATGCGCATGCAGCTGCAACTTGGTATCGATAAGACATCAAGAAAATGCGATCTGGTGGTTGAAGCCGACAAGCCGAACGACAGCGCATTTTTTGTCATTTTGAACTTCATGCTTTGGGGGTCCATGACCAGGACCAGGATGCTGGGACGCTGGCGATATTGCAGGACGGTGAGGGAGACAGGGAAGGAAGGAAAGCGAACGGAGGAAAGCATTGAACGAGAGAATCTGACCAACATACCTTTTCCCTTTCACACAAACAACGCCAGATCGAAGGGTTTTATACTTTGTTAGTGCAAGGACGGCAAGTCTTCAACTTGCAGTACTTGCATTCAAAGATGAACCAATGCGGGCCAGAGTGGCACATCGAGCAGACCCATTGGATCAAGGTTGATTCTGACTTCAACATGTTGAAAGAGTGATTACAATAACTGGGAACAGCCATTGCGATAGATGAGGTGGTTTTTGGTGGTGGGTGTCGTCGAAGGATGTGTGGGGGTGGTAAGGAGACGGACGGCTGGCGTGGGGTCAGATTAACATGGGGTTCTGAAGATATCGGACTTACGTACCTTGAGAGTAGGCGCAAGTAATGCAATAGCAAACACTTAGTGAGCAAGTTGGGGGTGTCGACAAGGTGGGAGTCGGCGTTGGTTTATGTGTTGCGGACGGCAAGGAAGAGATTGGAAGAGTTCTCGGAATATCCAAAATAGATGAGGCGGGATGAGTGAAAGTGAATTTGACCAGAGATCGAGGAAGATTCAAGATCGAAGGAATGGTGTTTGTGGTGCTCTCGAGGCCGCGGGCGTCCCAGCCTTTAAATCGTCGTCAGATATCAAACTGTTTTCCTTCCTCCGATGCAAAATCCCAGCTCTTCCCTGCTATTGATACTTCAGATGATAGAAACGGATCTAAGCTGGTGAAGGTGCTGCAAAGGCAAGAAACATAGCAAACCGCTAGCAAATGACAAGCAATCTCTGACCAACAGAATCACACCAACGAACAGCCTTTCTTTTTCTGTGCTAATGATGTCGTTAGACTTAGGAAGGAAGTATGTACGGCGGTGGAGGTAGGATGTTTGTGTGTGTATGTGCGTATGTGGTTATGTACTGTTGACGGCTAGATACCGGACTGAGCAGCACACATATATAAATTTACTCTCATAAGGCACGCTGCATGTTCGCCTGATAGATGAAAACACGACAAGGACCAGGTGTACCGACAGATCAGGGTAAGGCTTCTGGGGCTGGCAAGCTGCCGTTCGTTTGCAACGGAACGGGTCTGTTGGTGGCGTCCTGGATGGCAGTGGCCTTCGTGGAAGAGGCGGTGGTGGTACTTGCTGCTTGCTGGTGATGGTGGGCAGGAAAAAAGACGAAGACTAGGAAGAGATGAGGTGAGTTACCATGGAGAGAATAGACCTGGTACGTAGGTAATACAGAAAGCCATAGCAGCCCCAGTCAAGCCGAGCAGACCAGCAGACCAGGCCCGTCATCAGGCAACGCAGTCTGAATAAAATGGCATAGCATGGCACTTAGTGTGGTGCCGGGGAAGGCAAGAAAAGTATGGATGCTGGTGGTGGTGGTGGTGGTAGCAGCTTTGCTGATGAATATGCTCCGTCCCAGTCTTAGTACCGGTACCTCAGACCCGGTCCCTCTGTTGTTCTGGTGGTGGGACAAGTCAAAGTGGGACCCGCCGCAGAGAACGGTCAGCGCGGTTTCGTGACTTGAAATAATCTTTATTTCTGTATATGAACCTAGGGCTGCCTGGGGTGGTGAGTGGATAGCTTCCCTCGCGCGGAGTCCGGAAGGCCGTGCTGTGTTCTGGTCTGTGGTGGTTCTGTGATAGTTTTCCTCTCGGTACATGGAGCCAGAGCCATAGGAATGGAACAGGCCCAAGCCGGCATGCTTCCTTGGGTTAAGGGAGTTGCACTACCTGGAGACTTTTGGTGTTGCAGCTGCGGTCTGGTAGGCAGGTACGTGGGTACGTACCTGGATTGGCGGGTGGAAGAAGTGAGTGGTGGTGAGTGGTGGTGAGTGGTGGTGAGTGGTGGTGAGTGGTGGTGAGTGGTGGTGAGTGGTGGTGAGTGGTGGGTGGTGGGTGGTGAGTGGTGAGTGGTGAGTGGTGAGTGGGGAGTTGTGGTAGGTGGATACTGTCGGTTGTGTCTGATCGCCAGCCGCCCAGCCGTTGGAGACCGTTGGAGGCGGCCAGCGAAGCTTCCAAGAAGCCTCGAGCGAAGAAGGCCGAGCGGGTTTGTGGCCTCATGGGAAGGGGAAGGGGAAGGGGAAGGGGAAGGGGAAGGGGAGGAACAGCAAGGGGGAAAGGATTCAAGGGAAAGGACTTTGGGGTCCGTTCTGTCCGCTTTGGGAGGGGCATGGATGAGGCTGGAAGGTGATTTGGCATGGGGAAGGAGGATTATGATTATTACTGTGCAATTACTGTAGGATTCTTTCCGGCTTTGTCAGTCCTTCAGTCTGCTTCTGGTTCTGGGTTCAGCGGAACTTGCTCCCCGAAGTCTGAGATAGCTAGTCGGCTTGTGCAAGCTTGGGAAATGCTTGGTTTGACCTTGCTACAGTACAGTACAGTACGGAATAAGGCATCACCGGAAATTCCATACGGAGTACCGTCCTCCTCATCATCGTCATCAGCATCATCACCAGCATGTCTGACTGTAAAACAAGCTGCGTGCCTGCGTGCCTGGTATGACTCTGGTTCTCAGGCCGCATGCCACAGACAGAATTCGTCTCTGCCTCTGCCTCTGGCCTTTGCCGTTGCCGTTGCCTCTTGTTCTGCTTGGCTGTCTGCGTACCAAGTCATCACGACGTGGGTATGTCATGAAACTACGCGCCTCCTGGGCTCAATTATAGCCAAGTATCACGTCCAGTATCCGTCGTACAGAAACGTCTTAGCAGTAGTGATTTGTGTAGGGATCAGCGACATTACAGTAGACGGAGCGACATCCACCCACCTCGTGGCAGCAGTTAGGGGTGGCAGCAGCCCGACTAGGGTCGAGATCCGCTGTCATTTATTTGGGGTGTGACCGGCCACACAACATCGGTTTGGAAGCCATCCAGGATCTCGAGATTGGGAGATCCGAGGATACGTTCGTCATTCGCAGAGAGAGCATATTCGATATCGATATTATTATTATGGTGGTCCACTATTATCAAAAATCACCCGCTGTGACACCACACCAACCTGTCAGTCAAGCAAGCAAGATTCATCATGCTGGGTTGGCTGAGTTTACTGCAACGTCGTGTTCTTTCTTGCATCATGGTCCGTACCTTTGCCCTTCCCTTCCCTCAGCAGTACGTACTCTGTCTTGTACACGAGTCCCGCTATTGCAGGGCGGCATCATGGATCCTGACCCCTTTGGTCGAGAAGGTTTGGAGCAGCCAGGATCCTCACTGGTTTCCCATGAACACCTAGGGCTTGGTTGCCGGTACTGTATGGGCGTCAATCACAGACGAATCTCCCGAATGGACGGCCTTGGCTGCGACGATCGTACATGCCGCTGCTGCTCGATAATCTCCTGATGGCCCATGGCCGCACTGTATCTGCTGCTGCAGCATCTCTGGCTGACCGCCAACGACGATCCTGGAGAACTCAATGAGGGAATGAGATCATCGAGACCGCCTATCCCATTCGTGCATGCGAGTGCATGAACACCATTGACGCACGCAGTTCCTCGTACACCTACCTGACTGGAGAGGAACGTGTGTAGGAGCCCCAGCGATCGTTTTCACTAGACGATCGTTTTCACTAGACGATCGTTTTCACTAGACGATCGTTTTCACTAGAGTGTCCATCTCTCTTCCACGTTGTGTGCAGAGCAGAGCCCTGCCTGTCGACGTGATTGGCACGCGGCGGTGAAGATTGCCATCTTGCCCTAATCGCTGCGCCGTGTTCCGACTTCTTCTGTCCTGTTCCGCTGTCCTTTACGAGTTAAACACATCTGCTTTGGGACAGAGACGCAGCTCAAGCAAGGTTCACACTTTCAAACCCCTGATAGCAACCGAGGCTTCTAAGCTTCCATTGCGTGAGACATAAGAAAGGGGGAAGGCAACGAGAGTCTAACCCCAACACAAAATCTCCTTATCAAACAAGCAGTCAGCTGAAATCTTCTTCTATGGCTGCTTCTGTCACCTGAGTGGCTCATATGGCGTCTCGGTGGACCTCCTTAACGCCGCGTTGCAGCTCTCTCTCCTGGGACACCAAGTACAGAACAATACATCTCACACCGCAGTCATAATACTTGTGCAACAACATCAAGTCTGACGGCATAAACTCAGAAGTTCGCTTCCGGAATCAAGTTGCCAGTAATCCGGACAGAAAGTCTATTTCCGAGAGATAATCATTTTCCTACACATCTCACGAACCCCTCGCGATCATGGTCGAACTCTCCTCTGATATAGACACCACCCCACCAGCTTTACACTAATGCAGGCTCCCCCCAAAACAGACTTGGGGCTACCCACTGCAAGGCTACTGTATGTATGCTAGGACCAGCATCGAGGGACCTGGGAGGAAATTCCCCGACGCACCTCACCTGCACCCCACTGCATTAGGCCACGTCCGCGTTCGACGACCTAAAAAAGATCTAAGTCATCTACGTTCGTACGTTTCTGTCGATCTAGACGTTCTCGACTTGACAACCACCAACACCACCGCCACCCATGAACACAGATTGACCTCTCCCTACCTGGAACAAATCCGAGAGGCACGGCAAGAAAGTATATTTTATCCAAGAAAAGTTTTCACCATCAGAACCTGATCCTCCATTCTCCCACGCTCAGCTTACTGTACAAACACCTCTCACTCACTCTCACTCCCTCGCAAACATAAAACAACCCCCCATCCTCCCCGTTTCAAGACCCCATACGTCTATCCGTGCCTCTCCCTCACCGCCACGGCCCTCCCATCCATGCACGCACTCATTAGCGAAAAAAAGCGCCTCAGCACATGGCCACCCTGCTCACCGACGACTATTCTGGAACATCGCCGTTTTCCATTTCCATCCTCCCGCCCTATACCCGTTTCCGCCTCATCAAAGCCTCCCATTTCTCTCTCATTCTCTCTCTCTCTCTCTCTCTCGCGCGCGCGCGCCAAGAACGAATAGGATCCCACCCGTCCGTCAGTCTATGTTACCGGTATCCTACCCGTACGCAAAAGTCAGAATGAGCTGCTTGCTCACCGACTGAACTGACCTCATCTCACCTACCTTACCTTACCTACTCGGCTCTCTCTCTCTCTCTCGAAGCCATGCTCGCAAGCCACGTCCTCATGCCGTGATTGATCAAGGAAGGAATTTCTAAGAAAAGAATAGAATCCCTCCCACGCACCCGCAAAAACAAAAATGAGGCTACGGCATGACCGGCATATCTATCGTACGACATTTGAACCTCACTGTTCGAGCCTCTCTCTCTCTCTCTCTCTCTCTCTCTCTCTCTCTCTCTCTCTCTCTTCCTTTCATCATCTTTCCTCCGCCCGCAGGCCCCGATTACCTACCTACCTACCTCCGGAACCATGTTTCTCCGACTGACTGACTGACTGATTGACTGACTGCATAGATTTTCCTTCCGCTTGACACTTCACATATTGTACATCCCCCGGTTGACCTCGTAATTCGCAACCAGTCAGAGGGGAATGGAATCGTGATTTTATTATGTTCTTCCAACATCAAGACAACAACAGAAATCCAGACCCTGAAGTAAGTGAGTGGCTTAAAATCGATATGCAGGGTCCGAGACACAAAACGCCTCTCTCTCTCTCTCCCTCTCTCATCACATCTCAAAGTTTCGTGTGTTTTTTTCCCATTCGATGCATCGGATTTCCATCATCCGTCCGATCGATCGGTCGTCGCACAAGCTATCAATCACATCATATGATATAAGGAAGGAAGCAAGCAAGCGACATATCATTCACTCATTCATTCATGCCTCTACTGTATAATCTTTTTCTATCCTCTGTTGTTGTTCTTTCTATGCTCTCCACAATCCCCTCTAGCATGGGTGCCGGATAAAACCAAAGCTATATCCCACCCGTCTTAAGTACGTTATGCCATCCATCCGCTCCATACCATACATGCATGCTATACTATGCCCCCATAACCCAACCCCAAAACACGAGAGAGAGAGACAGAAAAATGCATTTCTTCTAGACCCATGGATGTTATCTCTCTCCAACGGTCGGCCATCTCGGCACTACCCACCGTCGCAAAAACGATACATCATATCTATGCCTTCCCTACCGAAACTCGGTCAAATACCCGTCAATCAGCGGTGAGTGAGGCATCACGATCATCGGGAATAAGACCGAGTCTGACGGTGTAGGGGTTTAATCGAGAAAAGAAAAAGTATCAACTTCGGTCATCCTGCTCACGACGTTGGCGAAGGCGGATTCTCAGCCTCAACATCCGGTACTTGCTCATGTGGGGCTTGCGGCACGGTATCTTCTGCGCTGATTTGGGCCTTCATCTCCGCGATTGTTGAGATGGCATCTGGGTCCGTGTCCTCTTTCTTGTGGAATGCGTGAGACTCGCTCAGATTAACTGCTAGGAAGCTTTTTGGGAGTTTGACCCTGATTGTGCTGGTTAGCTTGAGATCCTTTTCTGGGGTATGGATCAATACATACTGATGGAATTTTGCTCTCAAGGTTTCGATCACCTCCTTCCAGTCTCCATGCGCCGTCAAGCTGCGTCGTGGGGCACAGCTGATACAATGCTTGCTATCGAGTTGGACGTCTAGTGGGTCGAACGTGTGGCATCCGGGACTGATGGTAATGCGGATGCTGTAAGCATACTTGGCAACATCCTGCACATCAGGAGGTGTTTTATTCTCAGATTCGTACAACTCGAAGCAGATATGCGAGAGATAATCGAGCTCCGGGATGGCACTACGCTTGATCTTCGTAGGTATGCCCCCTTCGAGGACACAGTTGAGCAGAGTGTAAATATGAGACTCCTTCGTGAAGTATACAAACGATTTTGCATCATCAGATGCCTGCATCTCCTCAAGATCTTCCACGATTTCCTACTACTGATTAGCAACGTCACGAGACTGAGCAAGTCACTGACCTTGAGCAAAGGAAGTGATGTTAGCAGACCAATCTCCAACTTCTCAGCATCCGTCATGCCATACTCCTGTGGACAGATATAGTCGAACAGGACTTTGGCAAGCTTGTAAAGCTCTCGCAGCTTCTCAAGTCTTGCATCAGTCTTTGCTTTAGTCTGGCTGCTACCAGTAAACAGACGGAAGTATTGTTCAGGAGGTTCTTCAACTTTGGCACCCGTCATTACTGAGCGACGCCTGAACATCCGCCTATGAAGACTTCTGCTGGTCTCCAAGTCGTCAGAATCTTTGGAAACCACTGCAGCAGGATCTTTGGGCTGTTCCTTCTCCTTCTCCAATCCTTTCGACTCGCCCGCAATAGCCTCTTCCTCTTCAGCAAGAATGCTCTTGCTAGGCGTGAAGACCCACTCGAGAAATTGTCGATTGTGGAGGGCATCGAACTTCATGGTGTCATAAAGCTCTGATATCTTGCTGGGATCTACCTTCTCCCCATCGCAGAATTCGCTGAACAGTTTCTCCCAACGCTCCTTGAACAGCTCGGCGTCTTCACCACAACACCAGCGCGCTTGAATGCTACTTGTTGCTGTGGCTTGAGACATAGCGCTACTGACAGACGACGTTTCGGACTTGTCCTTGTCTCCGGGGTTCGCAATTGCGTTAAGCGATGAGGAGGCGCCGCCATACAGCTTGTTGTAATTGTGGCGCATGACCCTGCGGTGGAACTTCATCAGCTGGACCACGTATCTCTGTACGATAGAAGGCTCTGGCATGTTCGTGGGCCAAGCAAACTGTGGTGGTGCTTCGCTCCCCTGACGAAGCAGAGTTTTCAGCTTCTTCTTGACCTTGTCCATCTCATCCTTCGCAGCATTGGAGTCATCAAGAAGGTCCTTGCGAATGGTTATGAAGTCTGCGGGAAGATCCTGATGATCCGTGAACGCGGACGCCCAGATTTGTGCACTCGTTGTGACCCGACGTTCAGAGCTGCTAAACACATGCACCTCCTCGAGAACCTCTCTATTCATCAGCATCAGGTCGTTTCGCATGTTCTCACCAAGTTCTTGTGCTTGGTATCTTGCAGAATGAGTTGGCTCGCCACCCCACTTGACAATCAACTGAAGCTTCTCGAGCGCCAGGCTGTTTTCTGCTGCAGTTATTCGAGACAGAGTGATACCTGACAATGAGTCTTGTCGATGTGGCGATCTGTTCATTGCTCCGTCGCTTTCATCAGTGGGCGACACTGGTGTTTCTATTGCAGACAATTGCGGTCTCTCCTGTTTCTTGCTTTCCTCTTCTTGAAGCTTAGCATCTGCTGCTTTGGCTTCATCCTCGCTCAAAGCTGTCATGGTGAAGATCTCCTCTGGCTTTCTCTTCCTAAACATTGGCTTGATTTGAACTTTTGTTCCCGCCCAACCTCCTTTCTTGACCAATACATTACGTAAAGTGCGTAGTTTCTCTCGGTCCTCCACTCCTTCATGCAAAGCGATGTCGACGGCAGCCATAACACTATCAAGGGCAGCTTCACCAGTGAGTAAGACCTCTTCCTGGTGACCTTTGAGAAGGTCGATAAATGGTTTAGTGTGAAACGTGAACTTGTACTTCTGCTTCGGTGTTCTATCAGCATGGCGGATCACAGACACCATCCCCTTAAGTTTCCAGGTATGTTTTGGTGCTGCCGGCTGCAATGGATCAACATTTGCTATACTGCCTGGAGCTGGTGTTGAAGGGACTGTTGATGGGGCAGTAGATGGAGTGCTGCCAGTCAGATAGTTCATAGCTGGTGGTGGTAACAGCGGGGTTGAAGGGATGGGTGGCAATGCAACTCCCTTGTCTGCCCCCGGAGGCGTTGTTCTGGGAGTAGGAGCAGCTGATGCCTCTGGAGAATCGGTTATTGTAGACTTCCTGCTGTGTCCGGTAAGTTTAGACAAGCTTGGGGATTTTTGAAGAATGTGTTGAAGAGCAGATCGATGATTATCCTTCAAGCCGCCTGTTTCCCTTCGTGCAATAGGACTGATGATACCATCTGACGTGGGGGATGTGACAATGCTGCCTGAAGATGACGGAGCGGACACTCTTTGCTTCTCCCGAATGAAAATCTCCCTCAATATCCTTGCGCATTGATCGTAGTACTCTTCGTTGTCTTTGACAAAGCTCCAGCCATTGACATCAATGACATAGCTCTTGCCCTCAGCACGGAGAAGGTCGAAACCACATACTCGTTGTCCAAAACTCACCGCAATTCGACTGGCAATTGCTGCTTCGTCCTTAGAGAGACTGGTAACATATCGAATCTCCTTGCCATGGGTGTTGCGTCTGACCAGACCATCCACGACGGGCGACTTCCGAGTCTCTGCATGACAATAATTCGCTCCAACAGTGTAAGCCTTGACATCCTCCGCGTTGTCCACCTTCATGAACTTTTCGTAGATGTAGCTACTGTCTGGCTCCAGGATGGCTCGTGGAACATTCATGTCCTCTACCCATTCTGAACTCTTATTGCCTATCTTGCGAAATAGTTTTCGTGCTCCGCCTCCTTGGCTCTTTGGAAAGTAGATGACAATATTGTGGTCCTCGCCGCTAATAGGTTTCTCCACAAATGGCTTTGCAAGTAAAGAGCCATCTACGCTGAGAGTATCTCCATCATCGAGGAGTTCGACTTTCCGAGGAGGAATAGTTTGCCCGCCCGTACCGTCCTCCGGTCCTTCCAGTACAACGCCAGTGGTATCCTTCAAGTGCTGTGCCATATCTGGTGTTAGAATACTTGGACCGCCATCACGGCTGACTTCGAGTCTCCTTGGCGTTGGTACTTTGATTTTGTCCAAGATCATAAGACAGATCCGTCGGTCCCATAATATCTTCTGCATAGGAACATCATTCACGCAGAATGGCTTTCGGGCTTTTACATATGCAATAGCCTTGTCCAGCGGAAATCCTTCAGAGTAGAAAGATATCAAGAAATCGCAGAGTGGCCAATTTTCAATGTCTTCGTCCAAGATAACTTTGTCTCCGAAAACCACAACTTCAAACTCGTTTTTGGAAATCAGACGGTTCAAAATGTTGCGACTTGGTTTGCTTCTGGCTTTCACATCCAGAGAACATACACCAATGACGCCGATTGGTGTTGGCTTTTCTTCCTTTGCCCAGGATCCTTTCTCGCTGCTTGGGCTATGGCTGCTTGCAGCAGTGCTTCCACTGAAACGTCTCTTCGCCCGACTTCTGGATCTGCCAGGTGGTTGTGATCTTGGTGCACCTTCTCCTCGGTGGGCAGCATTTCGCTTTGCGATTTCTGACGCATGGGCGGGGGACTCTCGCGGGGTAAGTTGGTGGCCATTGGCGTTGCCATTGGTTCCAAATTGGTTCGAGGACGAAGTCGTAACAGATATAGCAGATGTCTCTGGCTGTGAGATACCCAACACCTTATTCGGTGACAGTGTTCCAGACGAAGCCCGAGTTCCAATCCCACTCCCTGGCTCTGAACCATTTGCAGATGCAGCCGAGCTCGGCGCTCTAACAGAGTTCAACGAGTACATCGACGATACTGACATGCGCTTTGACTCCATATCCGGTATAGATGCCTTTTGTCGAAGAGCAGCATCTGGCAATTGGTAGGGTTTCGATTCGTCCGTCATGACGCTGGGAGATAATTTGGGCGTATCGAAATCCTCCTCCACAGCAATATCTTCCCTGCTTGTTCTCCTGCTCGACAGTATGCCTGGTGCTGGTCGCAGAGCTTCTGATCCTTGACGACTCTGCACAGAAGGAGTTCTTGACTTTATCGAGGGCCTCCGTTGCGGCGGCGGCATGGATATACTGGCTCTTTCCGAATGAATGTCTGCTGGTACCGGATCCGCATATCGGCTCTTCCTGCTGGACATGGATTTGATGCTCGAAGCTGAAGACAGGTCGTATGAGGCAGTTCGCAACTTTGTCTTGGGAAGTTTCTGCTCTGGGTTTTCGAGTGCTGGGCTTGGTAGAGAATCCACTGCGGTTGTGCTAGGATGGTTAGTCTGCCCCCCTTCATCGTTATCAGGTTGGTCCATGGCAGCGGTGTTGTAATACCCGATGAAAATTGAGCATGTCAGCAGGGATGTCTTCCAGTTGGCAGAGAGAGGCAACAGAAAAGAGTCATGAACATGAGATGTAAGATGAACAGCTGAGATGAGACGAGAAGAAAAATCTGGAGAGGAGATTGATGAGAGTAGAAGCGGATTCAAAAGCTAATCGAATTCGTCAATGGCCCCTTGTACGGAGGTACTTTCCTTTCGTTTTTGACCCTTATCAGAAATGACGTTGGTGCTTTCAGCGACCCGTCAACACAAAGCCGCCCGAGACAGGTGCGGTGTGGGTGGAAGCCACCAGACACACGAGAGCTGGGAATTGTTTGAGGGGGAAGGTGAATGCAGACATGTGTTCGTGCATACAACGACCGAATGAAGAGGATATATATATATAAGCAGAAAGAAGAAGGCTGACAAAAGGAATGGATGTTGACGTTTCATTCTCCCATCCCCCACGCCCATTGCCCGCCATCATCCTTTAGGCGAGAACAAGCAATATCTGCAGGGGACCTTTTCGAGCCAGAAAAAAAAGTTGCGATGAACAGAAAAAGAGTAAACATGATGGATCTCTCAACCACAACGACATAAAGAATCTTCGTGTTTTCTGCCGAACAGAAAGATGCCTTCTACCTTGGTTGAACGCACTCGCGATGGCCCGCTCGTCAAGAGGCAGAGGCTCAACGCAGCGGATGCGCCGAGAAGATCGCAACGAGAGTCGAAGATTTTCACACCTTTCCGAGTATGCTGCGCGCAAATTATGTTTCCCAATGAATGTGCTAACATTTCTAGACAATTGGTCTAGTATCCTCGACTCCAGTTCCATTTACCTCGATCCCCCTTGGAAAGACTACTTTCCAAATTACGACCTCCGTGGGAAAATGTCTGCAGACCTACGACCTGAAGCGGGGTCTCAATCTAGTTTTCCTCACTCGACCACAGACACCCGAAGATGTGACTGCTACAATAGCATGGAAGGACAGAGTCTTTGCTGCCTGGGGAGGAGTAGACACTGCCCAAGGCATCTGGGTTTTCAAGCGGGGAAAGAAGATTGCAGAGCTCGATATGCCCACCGACCTCCAACAACCGGTCAAGCAGATTTTGATATTTGGGACATGGATTGTTGCATGCTGTTCGACACGGATTGAAGTATGGAAATCTGCGACCTACGAACACTACACGACTCTTTATCCTACTGCAGCACCCAAGGGCGGCAATGAGCTGGCTGGAGGGATTTGTAGCATGCCGACCTACCTAAACAAGATATTCGCAGGAAGAAAAGATGGCACGGTGGAAATCTGGAACGTCAGTTCAGGAAAGCTGATCTATTCAATCATGCCTCCTGCCGCACATTGTGGTTCTGTCACGGCACTCCAACCCACTCCGGCGCTCTCCTTGCTAGCTATTGCATATTCTGAAGGACCTCTGATTGTACACGATATCCGGCAAGACAAAACCGTGATCGACCTAGATGGTGGAACCTCTCCAATTACTTCGATATCTTTCCGGACCGACGATATGGGGGCAGGAGAGGATGGCCAAAAACCAGGTGTGATGGCTACAGCCGGACCCGACACCGGAGATGTCACATTCTGGGATCTTAATGCTGGTGGAAGGGTCATGGGTGTACTTCGAGGGGCCCATAATCCACCAGTCGCTTCTGGAGCCACAGTTGGCGGTGGTGTCAGTAAGGTTGAATTTCTCCCTGGCCAACCAGTAGTGGTGACCAGTGGCTTGGACAACTCTCTGAAGTCTTGGATATTCGACGAGACGCCTTTCAGCCCTATTCCAAGGATACTTCACTCACGGAGTGGTCATGCAACGCCAGTCACGAAACTATTGTTTCTCCCTTCAGACTTTGATGGTGCAGATTCTGGTGGCAAGTGGCTTTTAAGTGCTGGAAAGGACCGGAGTTTGTGGGGTTGGAGTCTTCGAAAAGACGGTCAAAGTACAGAACTCAGTCAGGGCAACATCAGAAAGAAAGCAAAGAAGTTGGGAATACTTGCTAGTTCTACTCTTGTGAATGAGTCGAGTGCGTCTCATGAGGACTTGAAAGCACCAGAGATCACCTGCGTAGCAATGTCTTTGAATCGAGACGGAGGCATGGGAGCAAATGCTGGCAGTGCTGCTATCTGGCAGAAAGGAAACACCACTAAGAAGCCTACTGATGCTACGGCAAGTGGTACTACGGGCTGGGAGAGCGTTGTAACAGGCCATAAAGATGATCGATTCGCGCGAACATGGTTTTGGGGCAGAAAAAAGGCCGGTAGATGGGCTTTAGAGACTGGAGATGGATCCAATGTCAGCAGCGTTACCATCAGCCCTTGTGGGACATTCGCAGTGGTTGGGTCCGAGACAGGTGGAATTGACATGTTCAATCTGCAGTCTGGACTCCACCGACAACGATATCCTGCGAAATTGACACCAGCACAGGCTAGGAAACTTAAGATCCAACAATTACAGGCTGTTGAAGCTAGCCACGGAATCGAGTCCTCGAGTTCTTTTCAACCAGGCCTCGGAAAGCACAAGAGAGCTGTGACAGGACTGGTTGTGGATTCGTTGAATCGAAATGTCATCAGTTGCTCTCTAGATGGAAAGATCAAATTCTGGGACTTCAGAACAGGGAACCTTGTTCACGAACTTGACTGGCATCCAATGGTCTCTATTACTGGCATGCGGTATCACTCTCCAAACGACTTGATCGCTTTGTCGTGTGACGATCTATCTATTCGAGTTGTTGATATGGAGACGAAGAAGACTATCAGAGAGCTCTGGGGCTGTAAACAGGCGATAAATGATTTTTGCTTCTCAAACGACGGAAGATGGATCATCGCGGCGTCCAAAGATTGTGTTATTCGAGTCTGGGATCTTCCAACTGGGCACCTGATTGATACGATTAGAACGGAGACTGAATGCACAGCATTGTCATTTTCTTCAACTGGCGAGTTTCTTGCGACGAGTTGCGAAGGTCAACTTGGTGTCAACATCTGGAATAACAAGAGCCTGTTTACTCATGTATCTACACGTCACATTTCAGAAGATGAGATTGCACAGATCTCAGGACCTACAGCTTCTGGCGAAGGTGGCCAAGGTGTCATTGATGGCGCTTTCGAAGATGAAGTGGAAGAGGATGAGGATGCTGCGCCAACACTTTCGCTTGATCAATTGAGTGAAGATATGATGACATTGAGTTTGGTGCCGAAAAGCCAGTGGAAGACTCTTCTACATCTTGATCTCATCAAAGAGCGCAATAAGCCGAAAGAAGCACCCAAGCTTCCCGAAAAAGCACCATTCTTCCTACCATCTCTTGACAAAGCTCAGCCCTTAGCTGCGACTGAGGAGGAGACTCGTGATACCGTCGCAGAGAGATCGAGAATCATGAAAATGAATCGACTTGCTTCTGAAGGCGCTTTCACTGTTGCTCTAAGAGCAGGTGGAGAAAGCGGGGATTGTAAGTCACCACCAGTACCTTCCTACCTAAACAATACTAATTCTGTACAGACACCCGCTTCATCGACCACCTCAAGACACTTTCCCCTTCAGCAGCAGACCTTGAGATCCGCTCTTTAAACCCAGGCGATGAATCCGACGAGCTAGTCAATTTTGTAGAAGCACTCACGAGTAGATTACGGCAGAAACGAGATTATGAATTGGTGCAGGCGTGGATGGCTGTCTTTTTGAGACTACATATGGATGCTGTAACTCACGATGAGCATTTAGTTGAGGCTTTAAGGGGATGGAGACAGTGTCAAGAGGAAGAAGGGTCAAGGATTGGAGATTTGGTGGGGTATTGCGGGGGTGTTGTTGGATTTCTGAGGAATCCTAGGTAGAGTCGAATATCCTTGAATAGGAATTCAGATTTGTCTTAAACGCGGGGTCCCCGCGTCTCATTGTTGTCTTTGCATGCCTCGGCTTTAGCTTTTAAGCCCTTGTTGTCGCTTGTGATAAAGTTGAGTACCCCGGGACTCTTGTTCTGTTTTCCTAGCCTTGAATGTTGCCTGCATGCTATTTTTCTTGTTTCTGGTTCTATCGAACCGGAGAGTTCCAGGAACAGACAATGTACCGTCGCTTAACAACACGAATACGCGAGCCCCTCACAGGTGCTGATCTTTCGGCAGTCAGCTACCAGGATATCAAAGTACGATCTTCAGGTCGGGATTCATTTCTTGTCCAGATCTTCAAGGCACATTCCGTGAAGCAAGGGTAGTCCCTCGGTGTGGGAATTTTTCTGCATGGGTTTTTTATCACTGAATCACATTGCTTATATTTTATATGAACCTCATCTCGACTCAAAATGGGTGAGTGTTCAACATCCTGTAGCCCGAAATCTTCGTAGTCATGATTTCTTCTTGTATCGTTTTGTTGGGTGTCATTCCTTTACTATTCGTTTCTTATTTGGCCGCGACAACTTGTCAAATTATCGCATCCACAACAAACATAACAATTGAATATCCCCTCTCACTTTCTTATTCCACTGACCAGTTCGAATACTGGTAAGCCTCTTCTTTCCTACGCGTAGATCCACAATTAACAAATATCAGGTCCTCAGACTGTGGCCGTCTCCAACCATCGTGCATCTTGGTCCCCACCAGCTCCGAAGATGTTGCAACTATAATAAACGTTCTCAATACAAACAATGAGACCTTCGCCATCAAAGCAGGAGGCCACAACCCAAATCAGTATTACTCCAGCGTGGATAGCGGACCGCTCATCAATCTGAAAGGTTTGAATGAAGTTGTATATGATGCCTCTACCAGCACAGCCAAGGTCGGACCCGGGAATCGATGGACGGACGTCATCAAAGCTCTTGAACTCGATGGCGTTACCGTCGTTGGGGGCAGAATTGGGCATGTGGGAGTTGGTGGCTACATTGTTGGAGGTAATCACCCTTTCTCTATCTTTTAATAGCTAGTGAAGCTAATGAATAAAGGTGGATTAAGCTATCTGAGCACGCAGTACGGATGGGCCATGAACAACGTTGCTGAAATGGAAGTCGTGCTCGCCAACGGATCCATCGTCACAGCTTCCAGCTCTACGAACACGGATCTCTACAAAGCTCTCAAAGGCGGCGGCAACAATTTTGGCATCGTGACTACTTATACCCTGATCACACATCCGCTTGGCACAGTAGGTATTTGAATATCTCTGAAGAGCTGGGCCACTGACGACGATTTTAGGTCTGGGGCGGAAATCTTATATTTGGCTCTGATAAAACTGATGATTTACTTCTCGCCATTAGAAATTTCACGGAGAATTATCCAGATGATAAGGCAGCTATCATCGCTACTAACGAAATAACGCTCTCTTCTCTGGCGAACATCTGGATCCTATTCCTCTTTTACGATGGCGCTTCTCCTCCGCCTGGCACATTTGACGGTAAACAACCTCCCCTCTTCTTTTCCCCTTTCAATCTCAAAGTTACTACCCCACCCATTCTCCCCTTCACAAGCAAAGTAATCCTAACACCCCTCAGTATTTACCTCCCTCTCCCCAACCCTCTCCACCACCGGCCCGCAAAACTACTCCACCCTCGTCTCCGCCGAAGACGACCTCGTAATCACCGGCCAAATCTACACCATCATGACCGAAATGTCCCCCCTCCCCACCTCCACCCACGGCCACGAAATAATGCGCGCCTACTACGACCAATACTACAACACCACCCTCTCCAACTCCCTGATCCCAGGCCTCGTCGCCACCATCGCCTTCCAACCCCTCCCCCGCCGTCTCGCATCCCACGCACTTGCCCAGGGCGGCGATCTCCTTTCTTTGACGCCGGATATCGATCGCATATTATTCGAAGTGGATTTCTCGTACGATTTTCCGGCCGATGATGAGGCGATCAATGAGAGTGTGAAGGGGATTTTTACGGGGTTGAGGGCGCTGGAACGGGGCTTTGTCGGGGAGGGGAAGTTGGTTGATGGGTATGTGCCGTTGTTTATGAATGATGCGAATTTTCAGCAGGATTACTGGAGCAGGTTGGGGGCGGGGACGGCGGAGTGGGCGAGAGGGGTGAGGGAGGGGGTTGATCCGGGGGGATTGTGGAGGGATCGGACGGGGGGGTTTAAGATGGGGTGAGGATTGGTGGGTGTTCTTGATCGCTATTTGGCTGCTGGGAAAGTCTGACCACCAATAACTGAGCTTGAGAAAGTTTCTGAACTGGTTGAGGTAGCCGAGATTATTGTTTTGTGACCGTCTACTACGAAACTCGTATGAAGAGACGAAAATAGACTGATATATTTGACGTTTACGCTTCTTGTTTGAAACAGCGAATTCTTCTACATGGATAATATCTTTGCTGATCTCATGTCTCTAATTCAAACCATCAAGACTAGTGCTTTACATTGGCACAGATGGCGAAAGAAGCCTTACTGAAGGTAGTTTTCATTTCTGGGTCAAAGATCCTACGATAAGCATCAACATCAAAATCTAGAATTGTTGCTTCTGTGCTGTGCCTCTATGGCCTTATATTCTCGCGAGCGTAGACATCTGGCATTTGGCAATATCGCGTGAGGATGCTCGGACGAAGTACTTGCGGACGTCTGCTGGTATCCCTAAGTCGTTAAGAATCGTTGAAGGTAATGATTGCGAGTGGTCGTTGCGAAACGACTTCCGACGAGACCATCACAAGTTTCCACGTGTCAGAAACGGAGTTTTCTCCAATATAGTGTCAAGGAGGGAAAGTGTATAGCAATCAGTTGCCACGGCAGACAACCAGGCACCCCTGAGACCAATTCACAAGTCAACTCGGCCTCAGCGAACCTCGCTTCAAACGCTAACTTCATGGCGTGTGAGAGTCAAAGACTTTGAAGCCAAGAGGACCAGACTGAAGATTGGATATGCTTCAACTGATAAGGTGCCTGCTACTCCTTGGGAGGTGAGCGGAAAAACTCAAGTGTAGTCGCGTCAACTTGGAGTTGTAATCGTCAACTGGTTCGAACTAAGTGTCAAATCTTTCTGTCGAGAAGAGGTAGAACGCGTCAATATCGAGTCACCATGGAGGAGAACAAGTGCTTGTTACGGGTCAATTTTGGCCCGCTTGAATAGCAAAAGTCGGAACGTCAAGTGGCCTTGCCGACCTCTGGGCATGAAGTTGCGGGAACAAAGGGTAGTAATATTGACGTCAAGTGTCGCTCTGAAGTCCGAAAATCTTGGTCAACTTGATTTGGTCTTTGATAATGATGCATGAGAATCTCTGTGATAAGGTATTTGTAAGTGTAGGAGGAAAGGTGTATTAACACATTACTACCATTCGCTTTACTTCTCCTTCAAAGTATATATCTTCCACAGAAATAAATAGCAGTAATTTGCTTCGCACTCTCATGGAAGATGTATTATCCCAAAGAGCACTGAGGTCTCTCTATGAGCTTTGCTTATGCAAGGCAACCATGTACGAAACTCTGATGGAATCGTAATTTGTCTCGAGAATTTTCATGATGATGTAGGAGAGTTTATATATAACAATTGGGATATTGTTTACACGCTTCAAAGCCAAATATTCAAACGCTCGACATGAGCATACTAGAGGGATACTTCTTCCAATGAACGTTCTCTCAGTTGACAAGTAGGATGGACTTCGATCTCGTATTCAGAACAGATAAGTTGGCAGCACTCTTCATCGCTGTCGCATGAAATTCCAGCACGCTTGCGGCGGTAAGGGTTTTAGATCGATGGTGTGACAAATTGGAGGTGCACTCGTAGCCTTTATCGAGGCTTTATAACTGTAGACTTGGAAAGGATGAGGTGAAGTATTGAATTCATGCCACGTGATTGATAGTTTGGAGTTCGTGACAATACGACAACACAGCTAAATTACTGATGAAGATGCTTGTAGTATTAAGAAATAGACTCGTATATGGTAGCGTATATGATACATTCTAGCTCACGTAGCAGGGGTTGTGTGCCAGAATAGTACTTCAAGGCCAGCTTTGTCCGAAAGAGATCCGACTTCTAAGCGACCAAGATATCTCTGAACACATGGCTGTCTTTCTTGCTGCAAAATCTAGTCCTTCGACTAGGAAGGCGAGCTTCCAAACGATGTTGGCATGCACATGAGCAACATAAAGTGACCAACTCCAACTTGTTGGCACAACTTGGCACCAAGTCAATTACATACCACAAACCACTTGGTAACTCTTCACAACACGAATTAGACACTCTACCAAGGGGCACCAATACCTGCACTTCAGGTTTGGTCTTCTGCCACGAACACGGATCTTACCAACCAGCGCTCGCTGAGCTCTTCCTGCCGAGCCTTTCCTCAATCCCCAAGAAAACACCAAGACCTACCGAACCACGACTCCTCCCTCACTCCCAACCCCAACCCGAGATTAATTCCATACACAGCCAGCCACGGCGTACGTATTCCATACCTACCTACATATTCCAGGCAACAAGAAAAACAGCGTCCAGAAAGCTGCAATGGTCCGCCGTAGCTGAGCCAGCATACTCGCACCCCGAATACGGAAACGAAATCGCTCGCGCGCGTATGGTTGTCGTAACCTTATTAGTCTGTCTGGTCTCGCTCGCTGCGCCCTCCTCTCCTCCCTCTTTTTTTTTATGCAGCGCAGATGGGAATCGGACGAAACGCCACCCGATTGTCGACACTTTACTGTACCTTCCAATCACAAAACCGGAATACGAATTTTTCGGGTGGGGGACTTGGGGGCCGCGGCGTTCGTGCGTTCGTTCGTCGTTCCGTTTTGTTGGGTTGGAATCTCAAAACTCAAATACCGGCATGAAAATATCCCCCCCTCCTCTCCTCTGGTCACTTTGCGCAGCAGCAGCAGCAGCTGTTGTGCAACTCAAATCTTCGGAGGGGGCCTGAACCGGAATTAAATAGTCTCCGAGATGCCGTTCGTTCCTTTCAGCTCCAAAGTAAACAGGTATATTTTCGCGGACGATAGTTTCGGGGCCGGTCAAGTCCCGGCGAAGGTTGCATATCCAGTCTGTCCTCGCTGTTGGAAAAGCGATCATACGACAAACATTCCATCGCAGAAGGAAGGGGTAGCGGCACGAGGGCGCACTTTATGTATTTTCATAACTGCGCAGCGAGCTTCCGAGGCTTCCGAGATGACGTCCATGTTGTGCTGCGAGGCATGCCCCTATCAACCCCGCAATATGGATACGGCCCCACCGCTGTGGTGGTACGGAGTAATTTCGGGGAGGACAAAGGCGCTTTTGGCAGGTTGGTTGTTGTGAAAAGGTGGTGTTCGGCGGATGGGATGGATTTATCCAGACCAGATCAGATTACGAGAGAGACGAGACTTGAGGGCCGACCCGCGAGGTTTCGGTGTGGGAGTGGAGATTACGACATGCGCCTAAAGTTGCCTTGTAAAGTGTTCATTTGGATTTTTGCTTACTCAGTAAGTATTTTCGTGCGAATTCGGCCGAGATGTCTTTAGATGCATGTCGGGCATCGACATCTGAAGATGATTTTGAATGCTTATGGTGACACGAGAGCGGACGATTCATCTGGATTTGTCACTTCGGATTCACGATCGAGTGAACAGACTAGAAGACGCACGTATGATCGTATGTAAGGCTGAAGCCTCGGTATAGATACATGATTCTTGCATATTGTTCAGCTCTTGTCAGATTGATCGTCGCATGATGAACGCCTTTGCTGACAATTAGACGTTCATCTCGGGCTGGGCAGCTACGGAAATGAAGCACAAGATGGGTATATCTTCCAGAAACAGCGCTGGAGATGGCAGAATGAGTCTTGATGGTCACCAGAGTTTTCCGTTCCCAAGGCCATGGTAAAGATGATATCGTGACGGGACAAGTTCCAGTCGTGAGCAAGTGTACGTGAGAACCCTATTGTTCCTCTCTAAAGCGAACATCTTTGTTGGAACCACGGTATACGTGCGATATCGAGGCCAGCGCATGTTCTTTCGCTTGTGACAATTCTGACCACCTTGGGTCTGATTGTCACTACTTGGCTGAGATCTTGACACGGAGAGGGCAACATGAGGAGACTAACGATCCTCGAAAGACGACGAACCCAAGGAATGTACCCCTCAATGTCCCAAGCAATATAGTCTCGTACAATTCAACGAGTAAGAGAAGTATGCGGAAATAAGGCACAAGAAATGCCAATTTCAACCGAAACGCCGACTATTAATTTGATGTTGGACTTACTGTATCCCAACGACCACAGCCCCCAGGGGTAATCATAAACCCCAAAATATTTGGTCAAGTCCAAAGGACTAATCATAGTGTAGCACGTTCCCGCGTCGTCTCATCTTTCTCGTTTTTAATACAAGGCGGGAAATCCTCTGATATAAGATTCCAGTCTGACAAGCGACCAGCTCTCGTCAGCACAATCCCTCATCCCAAGTCTAAAGTTTGCTAACTCAGTCGCAACATGTACCCTCTTTGATTACCAGATTGATATGCAACATGGATCGCTGCTTCCGCATTGTCGGCCGCATCCCCAACATAGCAAAAAAAGAGGACATACTCATCTCGAAGCCTCTTTAGGCTAACGTATAAGGCTTAGTAAAGCAACTTCGAGCTGAGAGCTTGACGGCGGTGGAACTGAAAACGTGCGCCGCAGTGGCGGCGGATGAACCTTCGATGCGGCACAGCTCCTCCCCCACTAAGAAACGTACAGTAAGGTAAATCAGCAAAAGGAATCCTCGCGATTGGAGATAAGAAATGACAAGAATGATCGACGAACCTCACTCTGAAGAGTCAAGGTCTAGATCGCTCACTTCCCAGATATCCAAGCTAAGAGAAATAAGATTCTCATGCTTCTTACGCGTATACCAAGAATTCCGAGCGAACGAGCTCAACCGTCTGATTTGATACCAAATGCCCAAGAGTCAGTCATGATGTTTGCTCGATCGTTGATTTAGAATCGCGGGACGCAGCCCTGTGGCACTTGATTCAAGCCACAATTCCCAGCCAGTTTGTTATCGACTTCCCTCTACTCAGCGAGCGAATACCGCAACTTGCGTCGGACTTTGAACCAATGATCTCTCATCAAGCCTTTGACAACGGTTGATCGGATCCTCTGCACCCTGATTGGCGCGTACAGCTCGAGCGATGAGAAGTCGAAACGCCTCGCAAGCCACGATGGGGGAATCTCTTCTCCGTCAAGGGAGGGCCAAAAAAACACAGGTGCCTGAATGACCTCGCCGTAAACTTGTCCAAATCGCATTCGACCCACATACGACAGCCATTCAAATTTGGACTGCCTGACTGAATGGAGAAGGAAAAGCGCAACAAGTGAAATGAACTGCGCAAAGCAGACTGACTGACTCCACACAGCTCAAACACAGTCAGAACCCAATATCCTAAAGCAGCAATTGTCGCGCTTGGCAAACCCCCAATCAAGAAAGTATGCGAGCAAACCTTGAGAGCTCCCTCCTCTTCCTCCAGCTTCGCGTTGCGGATGAATGAGAGGTTTGCGCGCTGTAGGGGTGGAGGGATTGAGTTTTTTCTCTCCTCTTTCTCTCCGCCTTAAGTGCGGACTATGCGTCTTGCATGTTCTTCGCCGACTCGGGCTCGGTACTACCTAGCCATCCGAACCCTGTGCTTCTTACCCGCGCTCGAGAGCGAATAGGGATAAGCTTCGTGCTGTGAATGAAGAGGTCTGATCTCGAGAGAGAGAGAGAGAAATCAAATCGTGCTTGCCTCGCATCGATGAAGTTAGTGGAGTAGTGGGCTTGGAATCCTTTCAGAAGGAGCTGGCTGGAGAGTTGAAAGTTGCCGATGGAATCAATCAGGTACGTAGAGTCAGTTGATGGCTTACTTCAAGGTTAGAAGGCCGTAGTCAAGCGAGTCCGATCTGTACGATCGTATTTCGCATGGGGGTGGGATAGGATAGGATAGGATAGGGTAGGGGGGTCGGCGGTCGGTTGGGGCGTGTCGAGGCGTGTCGCAATCCCGGTCATGATTCGATATGAGTGAGAGTGAGGTTGATCTGATTCCAGCAAACTTATCCTAGTTTGGCCATCACAATCTTTCGCAGGACGAATTTAGCCTCTGCAATCTGTTAGCCTTCCTGGCCGCGGCAAAGCTACAGTAGATGAATAATTTTCGGCATTGCGAGTTCATCTATTGCGGTATTTGAACAGGTGAATAGCAATAACTTCCGAATAAAGAGCGTGTGTGGGAAGTGGGATGGATGTACAGATGCTCAATGCAAGGGTGAATTCGGTATCGACTGCCGATTTGTCTGGTGTGCGACCTCTCTCCGTGTCCGCTCGTAAGGGAGTGAGTAATCGGTGGATGTATGTAATCAAGGTTCCAGACTGCGTGGCGATTACCTGATCTGCTTTGCGTTAGCGTAGCGGGGTTGGAAGTTGTTTGCTTATGTAGACTTTGCATAAAACCCGCGGACCCATCCATGATTGGATAGCGTGATAATATCCGGAGCACTTTCCGGTCAGATCCCTAACGGAGATTAGAGTTTCTCCATCCAAAAGTCAAGATGTGAATGTGTGAATGTGTGCATGTGGGAGTGAAGAGTGACTCGTCAACATTCTCGATTGACTTTCTTTTGCTTCTTAGTCCAAGATCCTTTCCAAAGTCCAAAACGCCTTCTTTGCCCCGTGGCACCAGCTCCGGCTTGAATGAAAGACCTGTTTCAGACCTCTTCTATAGATACAAATCCTGACGTTAGGATGGTGTATTAACAAGAATGGGAATCATCAAAATCATTATTCGCTCCAAACCAAAATCATAAACCCATCAAAAACGCCTCGTCGCCTCCCAACCCATTTTCTCTCTCGGTGCTGGCTCGTTTGCTATGCTGCCATTCCCATTTGACATTCGTAGTCTCCCGTGAACATGATAGTGTCCATTTGATCTGATAAATCGTATCCAGTATTGCAATCCAGCATCCCTGGTCTGATCGTGCCATCCGCAAAGTTTAACCCGTCGTTCATCTGTAAGGTTTTGATCGAGTCTGGATCGAATCCTCTTGACAAAGGTGATGATCGTGGAATGGTTTGAAGTTGTTGTTGCCTCATGTAGTGGGCTGTGAGGTCAAGCGCATGTGCTGGACCCAAGAACTCATCACTGGCCGACCATGGTGAAAATGGCGAAGCATTACGGAACATAGGCGACTCGGTTTGGAAGTCAGTGTAAATAGGAGAAGGGAGGGAACCGTTCGTGTCGAGTGACGGACGAGACTGGTACGCGATCTCCTCCTCAAATGACGGCCTCTGTGCAATGTTCAACGGCGCTGGCTTGATTTGTGGCTGGATCTTTGCCGCTTGTTGCTGAGCCCATATCCTCTTATTGTAGTCCTGCGAGAGGTTCGAGTGATCGCTTTCACTACTGCTAGCCCTATCTGTTCGTTGTAGTCCCGGCGAATGCGACGAGTCTTCCGAGTATTTCCTGCTTCCTGCATCTTCTGATGCCATCTCTGATCGTGCCGCAGTCAGTTGAGCTTGCAGCTCCGCAAAGTCCTGCTCTCCTTCTGGGAATGCGTATGGGAGATCTGGTGAAGGTCGAATGCAGCCGAGCTTGGAAGCAATGTCGTGAATTACAGGCTGCCCTCGATCGTTCAATTCTGGGTCGCCCAATTCCCATGACTCTCCATTTCGTACCATCGTGTAAAGCTTTTGCACTGTTGCAATGAGGGCGTACTGGGTGTTCTCCAAAACTTCCGCGTATCTGGAAACAAACAATTAATATACGACTAAGTGAAAATGTTAGAACAACTTACCCTCGAGGTAATTGTTTAAATTCTGTCTTTTTTCTACTTCCAGCTGTGCAAACCAATCCATCATCTTTACATCTCTTGCAAGGCGATTCACCATCGCACTGTGGTGGTCAGCAATGTAAGAATATGGGAAAGTGGTAGCAAGTACCTTGGTCTTCTTCATCCTACATCTTTCACACGCTTTCCATACTCTTTTATGTCGACCGTCTAGCACAACAGAAGTATGTTCGTGTGATGGTGTTGATCTTTTGGAAGTTCTGTTCAATGTTTTGGCCGACTTTGACAGTTGTTTCTTCGAGATATGGGACTTGTGGTCCTCCATGGGAGGGGAAGGTAAGCCAGACATGTTTTGAGATACAAGAAAGTCGCAGGTAGGGTGAGACAAGCGAGGCTGAAGAATCAGGGCGTCAAAACGAATATATAAATTAAAGCTCAAGAAAATGGTGGAGCTGCGTTGATTATGTGACAGTGCTGAATCATAAACTCAGTCAAGGATGGTCGGGCTATTAGTTATGTCCGAGCCTACTCTTGTTGATGCCGTGCCGTGGGAAACTGCTGACTTCACAAGACCCTGAAGATCAATCAACGTGGGAACCGGAGCGGACCTAACAGCGGAGTGTATGCGAGGTCGTGTGTGTGCTGGAGTTTGGTGGGAGATATAGAGGTCGCACGGTGATTGGATGGGAGAGGTACTGTGCAGTAAGTGTTCCGTAGAATGTTCAAAAACAACAGGCGGGCAGGACGCTGGAGGCTTATATCTAAATGCATCATGAGGAGTCAGAGTGGAGACGGAGACCGTCTTGTATTCATTCATCACAGTAGGCTATGGGTACGGCCCCAATGCTTGGAAGACAAGAGCGCGAGGGAGGTTAGCGTAGCTGGTTCTCGGATGCGCAGTTGGCTTACACCGATGTGCGAGCTGCGACGGTTCGAACTACGGTCGCCGTGTTGCACCCCCCAGCAATAATAATTATGAACTTAATGAAAGGGACGGGACCAGGGTAAACGCCGAAGCGGCATGCTCATGGACCAGGTTGGGACGCTGCTCGCGCTCCTCGAAACTTCGTACAGCGAAAACTGCGAAACCTTGTCGTGGGCGTAGGACGAAGCGTGGCCGGCACCTGTTACTCGTACGCACGACAGAGTTTCTTCCTGCCCCTCTATTATGACATGATGCAAAGCTGTTGGGCAAAGCAACTTTTCGCGGAGTTCCTGGTGCAGGCACAAATGGGATTCTGACTAGATGGTTCTCTCAGAGTTTGAGTTCATTAAATCTAGTTCCAGTCTTTCGGCCGAGTTTCCACACCTTGGGATAGGTCTTGATCCACGGGGCAAAATTCCGCTCGCTCCTGGCTATAAAACAGATCCTTAGTGGATATGAGTTTAAATGATAAGATTGTGCATTGGGCAAGGTTAAGCTAAGCGTACTGTAGGGCGTCTGTTTGCAGCCGCGTGATGTATGTGGCTCACTGTAAATGGGGCTCACTAAGGAGTCGCCATCGAGGTGACCAACGATGTTGTCGGAGAGAACAACGCCAGAAATGCTTGGTTGAAGGCTACGAACAGAATAGGATTGGGTCCTTTGTATTCTGTTCTGGACTTGCTTGGGCCATGAGCTACCTGATGAATGTAGACAATGTACTAAGCACTATACCGCCACTAACACATATATTACAGTTGGTATTCATTATCGTCTGGCATACTTGGGATACCTGCAAGTGATTTGACACAGATCAGATTAGTTGCAATCCCCAGAACCAATGTTACTTGAACAGTAAGCAGTGTACCGCGCTTACTGTATGGTTGGACGCGGAATCCATCGCCAGAAATGTCCAGCTAAGGCCGCCCTGAATTCTGACAAGGAAAGAGGGAAAATATTACCCTCACCATTCCACATCATCTGAGCGTCTCAATTTTGAAAAAGAAAAATATTATTTCCAATCAATGCAAGATGTTCCTTGCTGGTGTGTAATCAAATCTTTTCGTTCGCACAAGGCTGACTTACCGACTCCATGCAATGGCAGTCGGCACGGTGGATCCTCCGCTGATGACGGAGCGAAAGCGCCTAGAAAAGTCCCCCTAGGAGCGGCTATAGCGGACTTTGAGTAGATCCCGGATGTCGACCACTCAACCAAACCTCTGGAATTGTAGCACATGGTCGGGGCGACATTCAACGAATATTCTGGAGCCAACATACCTAAGCTCCGTTGCGGAAGCCTTCTTCGAACTTGATGGTCTGGCGCAAGATGATGCTAAGTCTCCCTCAGAAGATTTTAGAGATGTACCTGGACGGCGCAAGCATTAGCAATTCCCAGAGCTCTGGGCCTGTCTGTGGGCCTCGTCTGACAACTCTGTAACGAAACATTAGGAATGATAGTGGAACGATGAAGTAGGTGGCTTCCATTTCTCAACCTCGTCTCCGAATAGAAAAGGTTAACAACAAAGTCGGTGCTGCCAGCTTAGAAGAAACAGTGTTCGAGGTCTCGTCGATCATTCAGGATATGCACCCGTGCCGAATTGCCACGCTTCCTTGACTGTTCTGGAAGACTAGGAGCCCCTTGTGAGGCATATTCTGATCGCGGACGGCGATAAGATGTGCCCCAAGCTTTTTAGGGCCCTTCGTCAAACGGAAGATCCTACGTGCCGTACCCAGTGGTCGCCAACCTCAGCGCAAGACAACAGTACCAATTACTACATACCCTTACGAGACTTCTGGACGCGTGGTCATCAACCGCAGCAGACACTGGAAATTACAACCTCAAAGTTTCCGTCTTCGCTTGAAATCGTCGTCCAGTCTCAAGACTCCAGACGCAAACTAATACCCTTGCGCCTCGGTGCCAATTTCTGATTATCCATCGTCGTATATCCGTATTACGAAAAGGGGACTGGGCGCCGAGATCCAAATACCGCCCGTGCCCTGAACGAGCACGAGGACCGCAGCCCCTCGAGAACTGCTCCAGGAACCAGAGAGACAACCGGGAGTTTCCGCAAGATTCGTCAACAAATGCCTCAGATCATCATGCGATTCCCCTAAAGAACGGTATCACCTGGGACCTGAACCAGCATTTCTAGGGGGACCAAATGCGGGCTTCAAATCTCCTGATATTTGTCTTCGAGGTCGAAAGTCGGCCGTCGGCTGTCGGCTCTGCGTGAACCCCGAGCCAAGCCTTTTAAAGCGCCAAATTCTTATTTCAGCTACTCAAAGCGACGGTCGGAGGTAGGTAGTGGTGTTTGCACTCGGCTTCGGAGCTTGCTTGCATAAGTTTTGCACAAAAATAAGAATGCTGGCCAAGGCCGTTCCCGTTCCCTTTTACCATCCCTGCCTACGACATACCCTGCGATTCCCCGCAATATTAGTTCTTTTCATCTTCTTGGGTGCTTTCGTCGTACAGTGTACGAATGTTCTTTGTTGCTGATAGTCGTGCCATTTCTGTGTCAGAATGGCCACAATCGTCATGTCAAGCGGTACTTGAAGTCCTGCATGAAAGCTAGCAGTCGACCCCCACCTGCAGACGATTCTGGGCTTCAGCCTCGTGGAGCCCTAGCACGGAACATCCTAGCAGAAGAAAAATCTTCAGGAGTACTTCTGTACATGGAATCCAATGGCACAAAGTGAGGCGTCAACTTAATTTCTTTTTGGAACTTCATTTCTTTGCGACTTCATTTCTGCCTCGGCATTGACTACTTACTCTTTTAATTTGGCAATATTTGTATCTGCACTTGCTTTGGCTCAGTCTTCCGCCGTCCTCGGGCGATACAGGGTACATCGTGCAGAAGTCTGCAACTCCTATCGCCGAAAAATTCTTCGGGCTTTATACAAGCTCTACTCTCGAGCTGTCGTTGAAATTGTGTTCTCGCCTCGGAATAAGAGCCGAGAATTTCTCCGCCGTGCAAGCCACTTGCGTGAGAGGCTCAGTTTGAATAGCTATCTCTATTAGCGTTACCACTTGGGCTTCATCACTATCTCCATAGCTTCGAAGGGAGACAGTGATGTTCAGAAAGAACAATGATTGAGGCAGCAGAGTAATTGATGACTGCCGTACTGCGATTCCATTCACGGTGTAGAGTACTACGGAGAAAGTACATAACCAATTGCTCTGGAGATTCACGATTCACGAGCTTGTACCATGTTCCTGTTCCCCTGCGTGGGAAAGGACCAGTTAGCGTTCCCAATCACCCAATTGCAAAACGGCTAATTTGCGGAACTCCTACCTTTTTTTTTGGTTTTCCATCATAATATTGTGACGTCTCTTCGTTAACACAAAGAAGATCTTTGCTCTTTCTACTCGCATCCATATATAATTCTTGTACGTGCCAATCAAACAACTATACGTATTCTGAAATCTTGATGAGATATCATGAGCTCAAACGTACTAGTGGTACTGTATGAGTGTTGATGTATTGATGTTAATTAATTGTGGACAATTGTGGGTGTACCGATAAGGTGCTGAAGTATTAGTGTGCCGCGTTTTAGTTCACGTCATGCCGTTGGAGGAAGCGAACTTTGCTTCTCGAACATGTTTGTGAATTCGTCTCATATGGGATATGATATTCGATCCTGACTGGAAGGTGTGATACAATTTCTTCCTCGGAAGTCTCGTAAAATGGGTACTTTTCGTCTAAGTGCTTTTAGTCGTTGCCTAGGGTCTTGTGTAAACCGAAGAATTTGTCCAGACCCGCGTAGTGGATCGAGAAAATACCGATACAGTGTATCAAACCTCAGACCGAGCAATAGGTGGAGCATACTTGTCAGAGTCTCGAACCACCGTGATGTCAAAAGGACACATCGCGAGAACCTTTTTTGATGGAGAAACCCTATTTTGACATCTGCTATTGCTTATTTTGAGTGACCGTCCCGTGGTAGAAGATGGGGTAGCTCAACGGGCCATTTTTAGTGCGTCTATCAACATTTGGCGATGTTCTTTTCCTGGGACCGAATGTCTCCGTTTTTGATAGCGTCTTGGCTTCCTGGAGATATCATCAACATCAATTCACACGTTACATCGACGAGGATGCTTTGGAAAATTGTCCCGTATATGATATGATGATCTGTCCTCACTGCTCTAGGACCATCCAGTCTCTATGTATAGAGAGGAATTACGTATTATGGATCAGTTTGCAATGGACCGAACTATGGACAAACAGGAAATAGCCGTTATCTGAATGGCTCATCGTTCCATGTACACGAGAAGAGATAACACAGTATCCTGCTCCTTCAATATGTGTCTGGTGTGGATACGTGTCTTATAGAACGTGTAGATCTCAGAAACAGGTGAGGAACAGAACTATAATCTCGTGGTCGCAACGAACCCCCATTTAACTTCGCGTGCAATTCTCGTTTAAAGTCGCTGAACGGTAACTTTGGCTGTGTTAACGGCCGATGTTCGACAAAGACGCTTCTTGCAGAACACGACTTAGCATATTACAGTCAAAAAATTGACTTACATGCTCTCTCAATGATACAATAACACCAAGTGACCTTGAATACCTCGATTCGCAAGGCCCAGAAAGGAAACATAACAAAAGGCCTCTCTCCGGTTAGTCTTTCCAAACAAAATTCTGAAATCCCATCCCTGCCCTTCAAAATTTCCGATTTCGTTCTTCGACCCTTCCATCAATTTACCTGTTCCGTCTTTTCCCTACAGCGAGCACCGAGCATGCATGATCAACATCACACACTCACTGTCCGCAAACCCATTCCGCTCGGCCCGTCCGATCCATCGCTCAACAACGGTGCCGCCTCGTCATCGTGCATTAAATGCCGCGGCGGGATTGAGGCTCCTGACATGTTTTCGAGCGTGTCATGCATCAGGGTTTCGCCAACCCTGCCCTGTCGTTTTTTTTTTTCTTTTTCTCTCAAAACTAATCAATGTTGCATTTGCGGTATGTATGAGCAGGTCGGGATATGGAGGCGTCCTCGGGAAATTTGATTAGGAGGCGTAAGCGAGAAGTGGCGGAGATGATTCGGTGACTGCCGAGAACGGAAGCCCACGGTCCAGAATCGGTATTCTTCGGTTATCGACGAGTTGCAACTTCTTCGTCAAGTGAGAAAGGTGCGATCTCAAGTCTGCATGCATATCATCTTAAACTCAATCGTATCTTTACATTCACCTGCATTCAATCTCATCCAAGTGCTGGTCAACTCGCTCAATTTTACCGAAAATTATTCCTTTTCCTCCAACTTCCCAGTTTCACGGACGTTGTTCCCTCGTTTACACCTGCGTTGACAGCGATAAGGTTGTTAGTCCAGTAACTAGAGCAGCCACTTTATGTCAAGCCTCTCTAGACTGTCCGCACTTGCTGCTGTAATCAAAAATTCGAGCCTGAATAGGGAATAGCTGGTTTCTGGAAATCTGCATTGGGCAATCCGATGGACGAGAGAAGTGTGACGATGACAGCATTTGACACTTTACGCTGCATGGCTCAGAACCTTATTAGAACGCTCAGACACGGGGAATAAGATGATAGAGGGGAACTGCTCCAGTGTGGGAAAGGTCACTAAGCCTTGCTGCAGGTGTTACAAAGCTAGTCGCAGAAGTGGTGTTTGTCGCCAAGTCGCTTCGAGCTCTCTCTCGTTTCGCTGGCGTATCGAGGGAGTGATTACTGATCACTTGTCGTTTCCTGCGAGCGCGTGTCGTTCCTTGCAATGGTACAATAACGCTCATACAGCTCTACACATTTAGTCTAAGCGATATGCTGGGAACGTTGGCATCAACTAGACTATTTGGTTTAGGAATCGATACGATCGATCCTGCAGAGTCGGCATCGGTAGGCACCGCTTCGAGTCGAAATTACAGAAAGTTGGCAAGAGCAAAGAAGCTGGCCAAGGTCTCCTTTCACCCCCACACAGTCAACCATCATGGAATCACCCAGCAAGGACGACCTAGATCATACAGACTATTCCCAGGTCGCTCGCCACGGAAGTCTTCCGAGCTTCCGAGCTTCTACTTCATTAGATCCAGAAGGTTCCATGTCGATCCGGAGAACCTCGTTCATCTCTAGACAAAAATCAGCAGCTCACGATCCTGCGAAAGGCTTCATTTCCGTCACCACTAGGAAACCAGCCACCCAATTCCGGTAGATCAAATTGTACGTCAAGACCCTTGTAACCACATGGAACTAGCGCTCCATTCTCAAGTCTAACCACCAATACATTCGCGGAGCTGATATAACAAGCTCTAAACCTAATCTCAAACAAGCTTCTCGGATCTAGCTAAATCTTCTCAAGAGTGGTTTAGCCATCCAATAAACAACACCACCGCTTCCAGTTAAGTCAGAAAGCAACCGTCCAAGCAGGATTCTTGTCTCGTATCTTTCGAGTACTTCCTAGATCGAGACACCAGACGAATTTGTCGAAAAGTTGGTCTTGGCGGATAGCGGAAAGGGAGCGCGGATAGCGTTACGTGGGCATCCCCTTCCCCCAACGATATGATAGAAACACAATCATGTAAGACTCTTATATGGGGCGTGCTATTCTTCATCAATGCTCTGCTGCATGAGAAGGTTCCTGGATAATTCAGCAATCCTTCTGCAGGCAACAGCTTCGAGACATTGCCCGACGGCATCCGATCTCTCGGCCGACGATGCGAGCTGTGCAATTCAGGTAAACGGTCGTTGTTCCAGCTAGCTTCGGAAAGTTGCCTGTTGAGCGGGAAACAGCTATCGGAAAGCTTGTTTCATTGTCGAGATCTAGAATCTCGGCATGTGAAAAGTGGGATTGGGAATAGTGACGATGAGGTCATAGGATGCAAGTGCTTTTATGGTTAGCTTACGAATCGTTCTCATAATAAGACTGTGGATGGAGAAGGTGTTTCTGTTTTTCGTATGTACTTCATGATGAGGCTAAAGTTGGTATGCAAAGTTCCGTTGCTTTCATGTCTTTACTTCACGAGAAATTATGGGAGTATGAAATGAATTTGGGCCTCGGTTACATCGAGATGGACTTGTTGGGTGATGTCGTTGCATGTGTGCACACGACTTCCTGAGCCCCAACGCAGTCCTACTCGGAGCAAGTCCATGTTGATTCCCTCGAGTTGAGTGGTACTTGTTACGCACGAGAATGGCTATTCTATAGAATTATCCCCCTGTTATTCCTTTTCCGAGTTATTCAATGCTTCATTCGACCTCGCAGTCCAAAGCATCGAACATTTCTCGGATGATGCTAGTCAAGTCCGGTATTAAGCGAGATCGGAAATGGGGGAGGTACTTTAGGGTGAAATTTCTCTCGGCACAAGTACAGAGCAATGGATCTCACTTGGGAGTTCGCCGTTGTGGATGGGATTGAGGAGACTATAGCTGCATATAATAGGGACCGTGTAGTCCCTTAATGCTTCGACTATTATGCATTCTAGCGTGCATTGCGTTTTATATCGAGTTTGTTGGGCTGCAGGAATAGCCCATCAATACAGTCACTAGCGTGATAGAGAATGGGATTTTAGAAAGAGTGCCAGGGCAGCATGATTCAACGAGCTTTAAGAGATTGTCACAGAAAGGTTCAAGTTGTGTTTGAGCTATACCTCATAACTCATAAAGATAGCTATCTCGAATCAATGTGGGCTGTGTCCGGCTCCTGTTTGTTTCAGATTCTCGACCATGGTCCGCAATTATAGCCCAGTTCTTATTCCTTGTGCAAGCTATCATTCATAGCGAATAGGTCACCAGTATTGATTGAAAATACAGCTGGGCATTCTTCGAATTGAGATCCAATCCCATGGAGCAACTCTTCCATCACTAGGTCTTCTCCAATGAACATAGCAGAACATCTCGAGGCACAAGTAGTCCGATACCAGCTACCTCTCTTGGACTTTTGGCTGCAGACATGACCATTCTGCTTATGCTTGTTGTTGCTGTACGCACAAGGGACACCTTCGTCTTCTAGCACAACAGTGTGGATATCGAGTGTCGAGTGTGTTTTATTTGATGGATTGTCTTGTTTCGTGTTGGTAGGAAGGGAAGATTCAGTCCTGTTGCTGGCAGTGTCAGCAAATTCGAGCTTACAAGGCTTCCATATAGACCTGAAGAGAGACATCATCGCTTACAATCCTTTCTCTAACGCTTCAAACGGGACTGGCGAAGAGCTTTGCATGACTCAGGCAATGATATGGTGATATGGATACTGTGACAGTCTTTGATAGGCGAGGTATTTCCAAAAATAACTATTGCTGCGAACTCCTACGGACTGAGAAGGACACTTTACAAAGAATTGACACAGTGGTCTCACAAGACTGACCGCCTGTGAGAGTCGCCACCGGCAGCTTCTGTTGCCCGAAACCAAGACCATGATGTGCTACAGAAATGATTTTACGATTCTCCTTTGGGCCATCAAATTGTGTATTATGGAGCGTTTCAATGGTTCCCGAAGTGAGGCGTAACACTCATGCAGATTATGGGATCTGCTCCGAGTCGACTTCTGCTACTGAGCCATAGACCACAAGCGGATCGCGTAGTAAGAAATCTTGCGGCGTCTCTTGCATCGTACCCTGGTCGCAAAAGTTCATTCGCAACAAATCATACTCTGGAACCCATGCAGTCACAAATTCGGCCGACATCTCACCGAGCACAAACACATGGAGTCTTGTCAGCCTCTCCAGGTTCCATCTCCGCCTCTAACGGACATTCAGGCGCTTACCTGCAGAACATCCATCATCCTCAGCGCTGTAACCTCATATACACAATGTTCATGACAGATTCCTGGCTGGATCTCTAGACGAGTACGTCATGATTTCTAGGCTCATAATCATGAGCGATCAATCGAGAGCGGTAATTCTACAGCTCTCGTGCGTAGATCTGTTATCCTTCACCATTCTACTGTCTCCTTTCACTGTCATCATCCTTCATCCCGTAAATCATCTAGAATGACGCCTCTTAAGTGGCAATAGCTGAAGGAAGAGACGAAGATTTTCTACATAACGGAAAGACGTACCTTGGTCGATATTCAGGAAGATTCTGCGCGGACGTGATGCCTCGTACGTTCCCTTGTATCGTCGACTCCGAAGTATATATAGCTGAAACATACTTTAGTATTCGATCCTACCGGATGCGATTCAAGACTTGGGGACCAGAGTTTGAAAAAGAACCAGCGAACAAATACCATCAGAAGACGGCGTCAGAGCTTCAGACAGACTGTATGCCGAGGAGCTGACTAAAGTCCCCTTCACGCAAAGTTCCTCGGTAGATCCAGGCTCATAGTCTTCACAATTAGCCTTGATGGTACAGAAGAACCCGTGTGTACCTCAATATTGGAAACCAGAGACGAGACAAGCAAAGGGGAGACGATTGACGAAGAATCAAACCCGCATTACATTTACGGATCCGTGCAGTTGGATAGATTGATATAGCACTAGGAAGACAAGAGATAACGTGAAAAGGAAGGAAACTCTTCGTATGCCTAGCTGGATGAGAAGGTAGTGGATAACAAGTTGAATGTGCGGAGTGGAGAAGCGTGTTCACTTTCGATTGAAGATGTGATATGATGGAAAAGGATTTGGGGGATAATAGGTACTGTACAAAAGCCTGACTATCTATTGAGAAGCTCTTTCCATAAAAGCATTGTGTTGTGGTCGAGGAGTTGAAGGAAGAACAAGGTGACTGCTTGCAACGAATTTAAGCGAGACCGAGAAGGGGCAGACACTTCAGCATGAAAATTCTCTGAGCATAAGTACAGCGCAATGTTTCATCCGTAGAATCATAATCATTTATTACACTTCATCATACATCACAAATCATGGGTATCATCTCTAAAACTTTTCCAGCCATCTAATTCGGATGCATCAACCCTGCATCCCCATCATTGACAACCACCGAACTCGCGCCGCTCCCCTTGTTCTTCCTCCCATACGCCCTACAACACAAAAACCCCCAACATCCCTTCAACACCAAACCCACACAGTAGCCGACCATCCACAGCACACTAAATACTAAATCCAGGCCCCAACCACCTCACCATCTTCACCATAACCACGCTCTCACCCCATCGACTCCTATTCCCCAACCCCTCCAACTCATCCAACTTCAAATTCTCCCCACCACCGCTGCCCCTCGTCTGCGGCATCAAAATCCACGTCACCAAAGCCCCAACCAGCATCATCGGCATAAAACACAGAAGTGCAAACCCCAACCACTTCGTTCCTAGGCTAGAACTCGTGTACACCACGCCTCCATTGTGGAACTTCACAAACTGGAAAAAGATCTGGAAAAGCGAGGCTCCCAACTTTCCCGACGCCGCCGCAATCCCATGAGAAAAAGCTCTGTGACGAGTTGGGAACAGTTCTTTGACCTTGAACTATTAGTCTAGGGCCTGTTTACAGCTACCTGAGCTAGATGAGCATATACGATACTATGTATCAATCTAATTTACTCCTGCAACCTTGTTCCTCTCGTTGATGAAGTGTTGTTATTGTCCAAGAGACATCTCAAATAATGTCAGTCACGTGGCATGAACTCAATTCTTCCTTCACCTCACGCTGTCCAGGACTATATATGTCAAACAGATAGGACTAGTCGATGAGGAGTCAATAGTGCACCTCCAGTTTGCCAAATCATCACTCTTAAACTGTTGCTATCTCGAGAGAGCGTTGTAATGGCCTAGTGATGATATTTACAAAGGCCAATGCTATGGCAAATCCCTCGAGAGTTCGAGATTGATAGAGAGGAGTTCACTCTTGGTGAGTTCGCTTCCAAGAATGAAATATTTTTCCAGTGCTTGCTATCGATAATGGAATTTGTTCAATTATGCATGGCACGCAGATTTAAGTAGTCATTTTCCCGAAATCTGGCAAATATCAAGTCTGAACGGCGTATCACAAGTTGGCATAGTTCGAAGAAAGCATTGAAATTGAGCAAAGTGAAGTGTCAGATGTATCTAGACCGGTCGCAGATATGGTCTTAAGTAGTCGATACAAATTTAACTCTGTCAATGTCTACACCAATATCTAGCCGAGAACATGAGGTCGCAGACGGTGTTGTGTATTTGATTTGAGTATTTACAAGACAAGAGCTACAGTCCGTTAGTTGAAGGTCTCACTTGAATTCAGTTCAAGGTGGCAGTGTAAACACTTGAAGATTATTTCCGAAGATAGTAATCAACTTCGGCACTAAGCGAGACCAAAAAAGGGAAGACACTTCAGCATGAAGTTTGTCTCAGCAAACATACAGAACAATCGATCTCATTCATGGATTCATCGATGATGTTGAGTTTGAAGAAAATACACTTGTGTATTCCAAGGACCATGTGGTACTAATGCCTCGACACCATACATTTTAGTGTATAAAGGCCAGAAAGGTAAGGGCTCCACGTGACATTCGCTCAACCGGTAGCTGAGTTAGATTGCAAAGAGAACCATCTCTGATCATTTGAAACGGTGGTGAGGAGTTGTGGTAAATATACAAGGTGGGATGATCAGACCAGTTTGGAAATACGAGGTGTTCAGCATTCGTATCTCATTACTCATAAAATAAACTACTTCACATCATCGAGCACTGCGCCTGTCAACTCTTCATTCTATGTTCCAGATGAGGAACCGATTCTCATTCTTCGGACAAAGTTCCTTTCATAGCCAATAGATCATCAGCGTTGATCGAGGAGACAGAAGAGCATGCCTCGAACTGAGATCCAATCCCGAGGAGTATTTCCTCCATCATAGAATCATCTCCAATGGAGGGAGAGATGACATAGAAACTCTCAGGAATGTGGTTATTGGTATTGACTTCGAGGGATCTGTCAATGCCTTCGAGCTTTGTGATTGGCTTGGTGCCTTCAAGATGGTCGTGTGCAAGAGTAAAGGCTCCGCTATCTTGATCTGAAGTCAAAGTCGAGACAGGGACAATTTCCACAATCTTAGTGCTCTGAGAAGTAGCGATGAAAGGTTGAAAGTGATGAGTATAGCCAGTGCCTGTAGCAGTGTTGATCATCGAGGGCAACATGATAGAATGCCCCAGGCTATAAGTTGCTTGATGTTTGCTGTCTTTCTTGTACTTTCGGTTGCGGACATGACCATCTTTCTTCTGGTTGCTGTCGTTGCTATTCCCAGAAGGGATGACCTCGTCTTTTGATACAACAGTATGAGTCTGGAGTGCCGAGTGGGTTTCATTTGGTAAACCGCCATGTTGCATGTTGTTAGGAAGGAAGGATGGAATCCTGTCGGCAGCACTGCTGGTCCAGCAGTATCAGCATAGTCGAGCTTACAACGCTTTTATTTAGACCTAAAGAGAGACTTCATGACTTACGTTCCTTTCTCGAACGCTTTAAACGGGGCTGGCGAAGAGCTTTCCATGACTCAAGCAACGATATTACGAGAAGGCTGAGATGTGACAGACTTTGATAGGCCAATCTTTTTGAATAGTAAGTGCTGCTGCAAACTTCTGAGAACACTAAAGAAGGACTGGAAAGGACATTATATAGACAATTGACTTGATTGTTTCACAAAGCTGATTTGCTTCGAGCGCCATAACGACTGATTCTGGTGCCCGAAGCTAAGACTACAATGTGGTTTAACAACTTGGTCCTGGCCAGATACGAATCGTTGATAGCCTGGAACAATACATAGAAGACGGTGAGCGGCAAACAATACCCAGTCAGAGCTAGAAGAATGTAAGTAAAGTTGACTATCAAATATCTCGGACAAGGTCTTGAGACATCACATTGCAAAAACTCAACGTGTGCAATTGCTTTAGGTACGGGGCGTCAACTCTGGTAGCCTATAGGAGTTCTGCTAAAACCCCACATTGCAGAACAGCAACAGCCTCATTCGGGCTTACGGTGCCATAATACCGACCGTCGGAGAGCTCGTGCGGGAACATTGAAATCATCTGGAGTGCCAAGTGATGAATATATATCAGATTTGGTAACTTATTCAGACACCGAGGAGAGTTATTGGGCAGACTGTGTTTTGTGGTCGAGGAATTGGAGGAAGTGAAAAGAGAACTAACTGTCTTCATAAGGACAAACATGCGCTAAATTAGCCGCATCTCTAGATTGGCATATCACCTCTTCCTTACTCCCCTACACTTCTCATCTGTCACGACAATATCTTCGCAAGATCCATCAATCTTATCTTATCGACAGCTTCGAAACCGTTTCACCTGCACATTTGGTTGATGGAGTGATTGACGGAGTACTACCGATGCCTCGAACGCCACAATCGGACCGGCTTCTTTTAGACTTCCACGTGACTTTGGACCTTTTAAAGAAAGGAAAAAGAAGTTATTCTTGAGATTTGTAATTCATCCTTTTGGAGTGGATTAACAAGCTAAAGGCCGGTCGATATGCTTCACGAAAGTCACAAGCGGGATGAGAGCTTCAAGTAACACGTGATCTTCATTCTCATAGCATTCAAGTGGAAGCTCAAGCTTGGATGCCGGTTTTCTACAAGATATCCAGAATCAAGACAGTTTATTTTAGCTTATGAATCACTCGACCGATCGCTCGATGAGATTGAAACCAGTACATACTGTCTCACTATACATCTGGTCCAAAGTCTCAGAAACTTACAGTATTTGACAGAACCACAGGCTCAGATTTTCACCCTTGACAATATACCATAAAAACCAACCTCCCCAGCCTCAAAATAATTACAATTTAACCCCCAAAATCAAATCACTCCACTCCATCAATTATTGCAAAGCAGCACCGCCAAGCTCACAGTATGAGCGTGCCACTCACTGATTGGCTGCCGAGTTTCTGCACTGAAACGCGTACAAACGCGAGAGGATGTCACTTTGATACGAAGACATGCTGTGCGACGAGAAGTGACATTTTGAAGGGAGAGGATGCGACATGGGGTTTCTGTTTCAGTTTCTGGAGTCAAGATGGTTCGTATTGGTCTCGCCTCCTTTTCGGAAGAGAATTTTCTCTCCTTTCTTCTCGCTTACGCTTCCAACCATACCTTCGTCACGCCACGAAGCAAAACCCAAAGAGGAGTCTTCACGAATCATTAAGGTAGAAGAATATATAGATCAAATCTCACAATGCCGTACTCACCAAAACAACCAACACAGCAGCATACGCAGCCGTAGCTCCCACCAACGCAAACGGACTCGCATCCCTCTCATGATAGTACGCCATAAACATTGCGAAAAGCAACATCCCAACCGAAGCGGTCACAAGAGCCGTATTCCTGTCCCGATGCTGAATCACAATGAGCATCGGAGCAATGGATGCCAATCCTCCTCCTAACCCGAACCAAAGCCGCATGATGAACCCGCGTCTATCTTCCCTCTTTTTGGCCCAGCCGCGGGCATCACCTACCATCTCCGGGTCAGAGGTATCGCGCGGGACTTGGAGCATGTATAGGGGATCGCCCTTGTAAAGGCTGGCGATCTTGGGCTTCATGACGGACCAGTCACACCACCGAGCGTAGGTCAGGTAGAAAGGATCGCGGTCAGCATCGCTGTCCTTCTCCCTCATGTAGTCAAAGTCCCTCAGAGCATTACCTATTGAGTGTTAGCACTCGTTCTTTAATCCCCACCACAAACTCACAATACTCTGAGATTAGAGTTTTGATAGACCCTGCTTCCTCGCCACTCAAGGACTCGTCCTCTTTGATTTTGATAGCTTTTGCAGTGAGCTCTTGGCGCATGGCGTAGAGACTCAGTCTCTGCAGCTCGCAAAGATTTATGAGGGGGATTTGGTACCGGTCGTTGCTGTCTGCGGCTCGAGGAACGTCTCTTGGGATCTTGGGCCCATCTCTTGTGAAGCAAAGCTGCTTCAAGCGTTCGTCTGCAATCTCTTTTGGCAGGTTTAGTAGAGCCGAGGGCATTTCAAGCTTCTTCATGAACTCCGTTTTTTCCGCCTCCTCGTCCGCTTCCGCTTCCTGGACAATGGAACTGCCCGCATTGGTGCCTGCTGTCTCCGTCACCGCTTGAGCTGCTATCGTGGTCTCTTCATTTGGCGCCGCTTCTCCATGGCATTTCTTGAGGTTTTCCATCATCTGGTTGAATGATTCTTGGTACATGTTAAACAGTTCTCGGCATGCCTTTTTCGGATCAACTGCTCCCGACGCAGCGGAATCCATCTCAAATCAAGTGAGCCGAGACAGAATCAAGACGATTGCTCATCCCCCTTGACACTAGTTTCTGAGTTATCGTTGACCTTCTCCTCGGCGTTTTCTCCTTCCCTTGGTATTTCGTGTTGCTTCTTCGACCGTATTGGGCTTCGTAGTTTCCTCCTTCTCCTTCTCCTTCTCCGCTCTCGCCTTTGCTTGTCTACTGTATATCTGCTGCGCTTCCCTGTCTTGCGTTGACGTGAGCGAGCGTCTCACGGCCCTGCTAATCGGTTTGAACACAGCGGAGGTCTTTTCGGATATTTTGGGTCTTCTGGTCGGCTGGAAGCTTTCCCACGCGTCTTTCAAACGCTCGAGCACCTTGGGCTCTATCTGGCGTTCGTCTTTACGTGCACGCATAAGGAGGTACGGAACGTGGGTTCAATTGTGTGGTAGCGTTTCGAAGTTTCGTCGAGGGGAAGGCTGGCTATCTATGGAAATAAATAGACGACTCCAAGAAGTGTTGCAACTGAATAATCAAGCCTCGAGAGCATGACAATGCAGTGTAACGACACATATTCTTCAATGGTTGGGCTTCAGAAAGGTAATGCGAGGTGGCTTTCAGCTTGGCTGGAGTGTTGGAGGGGAGGTATGAATTATGAGAGGTCAGTTTGAACCGTAGAAACAATGTACGATGCAGCCTCGTCCAGCATAGGTTGAACGAGTACTTCTTTTGTGAAACCCATCGATGGGAGGCTGACCAATTCGATGCGATAAGTCTAAGCAGATTGGAGGTAAGCAGAGAGTCAAATACGATGGGAAATGGAATGAGTTTGGGCATATGTTCATTCTTTTCTCTTCTGGTAATAATACTCAAGCTGTCTCATCAAGAACAAACTCCTTCCACGATGATGCTCCAACGCCAATACTATGCTGATTTTCTTTCTCCAAACGCCTGGTATCAATTGACCCATCACTGCAATGAAAAACATAATGCGTGATAACATCACGTCCGACTCCTCGTTCTTCTTTCTGAATTTCAAACCCGCAAACTCGCATCGCTATCATAAGCAAAAGTTTCCTTCTCATCCCGATATCCATCGGCGGAACTCTTATTCCTCGATGCTGGCGCAGGAGAAAGCTCGAATGGTCTCTTCACGATGAACAGGTTCTCGTCATCCTCGAGATAGATCTCCCCTCTCCTCTGTCTTCTCCCACAAAGAATTCCACCTCTAGAACAGACATTAATACATGGCCTTCTTGGCAGAAGAAAAAGCAAAACTTACAGATCCCCACATCGCTCGACAGCCTCCAGCGCGACCACGACCGTTAGGAACAAAACCACGATGCCCACGACCATCAAATCAGCGTAGTCCCTCCGCGCGCCCATTCTCGTCCGACGCATGTAGTAGAAGCGCTCTGAGCCCACCATCTCGGCACCGGGTCCCATCTCGCACGAATCCATCTGCGCATTCTTGGGAGAAGTGCTTGTGCTCGAGGGACGCAGCGTCTCCCAGTATTTCCTCAGGTCCGCGGCTCGTAGTTCGGGTAGTGCGGAGGAGGGCTTCGCGGGGAGGTTTTCGGCGGTGCTTTCTGGTTGTTTCTGGAAGGGGGCTTTTTGGATGGAAGGGGCGGAGGCGGGGTTCGTTAGGGAGAGGAGGTAGTTGCTTGATAGTGGTTGTGAGGAGGAGAGGGATTGTGTTGAGGCATCTTGTGATGATGGGGTTGTCGATATTGGCTTTTGGGGGAGAGGATCATCGAGTTGGTGGTCTGGGAAATGCGGTTCGGTGAGATGGGTTGGTGGGGGTTGATGGGTCGAGTGAGGAGAGGTGAGGAGCGAAATGATGCAGGATTTGGAGAGGCAGTCGGTGGGATATAAGCTGTCGACTGAAATGGGTATTGGTGCCGCTGAGGCCAGTCGGAGGAAGAGCAGAAGCGACAGTGGTGATGTGGGCTTCATGGTGAAGTTGTGAAGTGTGGAAGGAGAATTGTGGGCGTCGAAGACAATTGAATGTCCCTTCTTAGTTCGTTGCTCGAGTTCAACAACTGTGCTTTGACAATGTCGGTGGTCCAGATGTGCCTCGAATGTACAGACTTCCACCAATCACCGGCGGTGGAGGCGTTACTGTCCTCTCCCGATATATTCGTTCAACAGTCCAATGCTGTTGCTGTGAATCAATATGTTCTCTTGTCCCACGGTCCAATCTTAATGATGGTGCTTCTTTGTGGTCGTGAAGAGCTGCAAGCGTCGACGTTGGCAATCTGAGATTCGATAAAAATGATTCGAGCTACAAAAGGAGGGGGGATGCTGCAACACTTAAAGGTCGGCCACAAAGGTAGGCTTACCGGATATATATATGGATGCATGGTTGCGGAAATCGCCTCCTGCACGATGTTACCCCCCAGCTCACTTGCTACTGCTTGTCCAGAGTTTCTCCCAGGGACCAACGATGAGACACGTTCTGCTCCTCAAAGTGACATTCTGGATCGTCAGCCGTGCGCCTGAGTGGATGGCTGTGAGCCTAGATGGGGATCCGACCAGGACCAGGGCAGCCGATCCAGACTAGGGCGCAGGTGAAGCCGGGTCCGTGTGAAAGAGGAATAGCGTGGGGCCGTACGAGAATTAAAACAGTATTAACCTCATATTTAGCCGCTGACTATCAGATGAATCGGGACTAGAGCCTAATAAATGTCCAATTTCGCGCGGCTTTTCACAGGCAAGGGTAAATCGGTGGTAAATCGAACGCCTTTTCCAAATCACGACAGTCAGCCTCCTTCTTGGGTCAACACGGCACTGCAAAAGCAAACAGCTGCCAAAGTGATTTCAATCTTGATAATAGTTCGCGATTCTTGCGTGCCCTGATCAGATAATGACCCCGGACAATTCTTGATGTTCATGCCTTAATACCCCTTTCAGCCGTTGATGATGCTGGATCTCCCTCCAGCTTCGATCTTAATGCTTAGTTCGCATAGTCGTGGCTCTGCTTAGCCGTGCCTCTGCTGAGCTGAGAACAAAGGGCTGAGCTCCCAGAGCAGTCTGCCAGCGCACGTGCAGGGCCTCAGATCTTGGCATTGAACGCCGCAATCGTTCTCGAACATTATTTTCCTCGAATCGAAAACTCTCGCCGGAAACGTGCAACAAAAGATTGTCCTGATGATGAACGATGTCCGAGGAGTGACGCACAAGCTCAGAACCATTCCATAGTTCGCTGAAGATCTAAATCACAAGAGTCTTGAGTACTCCCCCATTTGCTCGATCCATCGCGATGTATTTCCTGATGTTCTCACTAGTCCATAAAAAAATATACCTTGGTACCTTTGCTAAAATAAGGTTGAGGCTATTACCATATCGTACTCTCGTTTGTCCCTGCGGCCAGGTCAAGCATTGTTTCCCCTGCAAAGTCAGATCGCACAGCCATATTACCTTGTAGCCCCATAAATACCCGCTCCATCACGAGCGAGCCAGTCTCCTTCCTGCCAAGCGACCTGAACCTTCGAAATGGTCGAAACAGCCAAGTCAAACAATCGCCCATTCTCTCACGACCCCCGTTGTCAGACCTCACTTCACATCCACCGCGATTTGCGACGGCGACTACTATGCGCCCAAAGCACCCTCGAAACAACGATATTTCGATCTTCACGCATCGTGACATCAAAGTGACACTGGAAAGGCGCTGTCGCATGCCTAAAAAGGATCCAACACCTGGTCCCGAACACAGCCTAGAAGTCGAAACCCGCAATCACGAGAGAACTACAACTAACGAGAAAAAAACTTAAACTCTCCAACACGAGCATTGGGCATTTTGTTTGGACAATTAAATGCCTCCCTCCTGCCTGTTTAGATTTTGTTTCATGTAATACGGTTTTCTTGCTTACTCCACCTCGGCCCATTTTCTTGCTCCCTTTCTGAAAATGTACGCCGACGGAAGTTCCGACGGCAGGTTTTCTCGGATTTTCCATTTTCTCGGTGGGGTAAATTTTGACATCTTCTTCTCGAAGTGGAGTGTTGAAACTCTTTCAAGGCAAGGAGATGGGAGATCGTCACAGGCATTGCTTTCGACATTGGTCTGAGAGCCCGGAATATCAGGTGAAGATCTGGGTTTCAGATACGAGAGCGATCAGGACTTTGGATGATATGCAGGTTTTGTGACCGAGTGGACTGAGTATCACGAATCTGAATCACTTGGCTGAATCACTTGGCAGTAAAGGAAATGGGAATCATGGACGGGAGTTGCGTAAGAGGACAAACATGTGTTGGTTGCTTGGAAAACATGCACAACATCCAGAGTAACTACTTTACGTGTCGAAGGATTGTTCATTACGCATGGAAGGAAAGGCTCACAAGGCAACAGTGATAATGATTGGCAATTTCGGGACGCATATGCTCGGCACTGCATTGATGAAGATGCCCTTGTACCATCCCGAGAGGCCATCGTATCCAATGGACCAAACGCTTGCCGGCAGTCATCACTTCACGCCTTTGGAAGGACAACTTCGACATCTGGATCTTTAGACGAGACCGAAAGGAGATCCCAACATGGGATTGACGTGGCTGTACATGAACCCATGAACAGAGAAAACCACGATCAAGTCACATGATATTCGTATCCCCTTTCTTTTACGTAGTCGAGTGAAACGGAAGCACCGAGGTCTTGAATGCTCAATACGATACATAATCACATGTGTCTCTCTGATGAAGCATGAGAGGGACGGAAATTAATGCGCAAATGTAGAAGTTTTGAGTATTCACGTGACCAATTCAACTCTCTTTTGGTGTCGTGAGTTTAGGTGAATTCCTTCCAGCATCCGATGGACAAGCCCGAAAACAGACAATGTAACCCAGACTTAATGAAAGTTGCCTACTTACTCGCCCTGAATATATTGAACGGATGATACATGAGCCTCGTCTTTACGGCAACCCTTACAGGCCACTATAGCAAATGATGAAGATAATTGGGCTGACGAGGCTGAACATTAGCACATCACCCTTATGTCGAGGCCAAGTCCAATATGGTGCCCAACCAGGCGCCTCCGACAACTACCACTGTGACGGAACCTCTTCCTCCTCTGACGCGTAGTACCACTTTGCCAGCATATACTCCTAGACCAATCACCACAGATCGATCACTTCTTACCCCCGAAGATGCCATCTATCAAGGATCACCACCGCGACGATTGACAGAAGCCCGCGTTTCCAATGGATCCAGCGCTACTGCGCGATTACCAAGAGAAAGACATACTGTCAGAAATAGAAGCGGAAGTAGGAGGAGGAAAGGAGTGTGGAAGAAATTGTTATGGGTGAAGCAGTCATGTCAGTTCTACAAAGTCCTTGAGCGAGCTCTGCTAACACCTTGCGGATCCGGACAATTACACCGATCAAGCAACCTTCCTCGAGCACCTCCAACGGAACCCGCGACTCCAACCATATGACTTCTGGCCGCTTGTTGCCGACTCCACCGTCATCGTCCAACATGTCTGCTCCGTCATCATCTTCATTGTCTGTTTTGTTGGCATCTATCAAGAGCGCATATCTCCTGGAGCAGTCGTAAGATGGGGATCAGTTGGGACATTGGTCGGATGGGGATTGTGGGACTGGTGGGTGGGACAAGAAGACCCGAAACCATCACCACCGATTCTCACCCAACAAGCCTCAGCTTCAAGCTCCGTGTCGAACCTCAACATTCCTCCAAATGGCCTTGCTCGACACTCACATTCGACGTCTGCCTCTTCCATACACTCAACAGCTTCCACCCAAGTCCCTACACCGAGGACCCTACCTAATCATCCTGCCCCGAATTCGAATCCCCTCTCTGCACGAACCTCCCTTCGTCTCAGTACCGCCAAATCAGCCCTCCTGATCTATTTCACTCTCCTAGGCCTCTCTCCGATCCTCAAATCACTCACATGGTCAACATCCGAGGACTCCATCTGGGCAATGTCCTTCCTGCTCTTCACAATCAACATCTTCTTCTTCGACTACGGAACCCCCGCCCTCTCATCCTCTTCCATGAAAGCAGGAATCAAGAATATCCCAGCGAGTCTAAGCACAAATGCTGCATTGATGGCCTCTACAGTCTTAGCATCTCGATTGCCCAGCACGGGACAAGTATTCAGCCTCACACTTTTCAGCATTGAAGTGTTCGGACTTTTTCCGGTCTTCAGACGATATGCCAGACAACGGACATGGCGGGGTCATGTCGCTCTTACCACCGTCCTAGTCCTCGGAGCCGGCGGTGGAATAGGCACGATATTAGGAAGAGGGGGAGACGGTGAAGGAATCTGGGATTGGCCCTGGAAGAGTGGATTGATGGGATTAGTCATCGGGGTCGTGATTACGGGGCTGGCGATGGGTGGGTGTAGTTGGTGGTTGATCGGGTTGCAGAAGTATAAGAATGAGATTCATGGGCCGTGGGATCCGGCGAGACCCATTATCAGAAGGCATTGGGAAGAATATTAGAGTACTTTCGGGTCATGTAATATCAAATTCTGCAGTCTTCTCGAGTTGAGAATGTGCGATTGATCTTCGAACCAAATTCTCGTTATATTGTCTGTCCGTGAAAAGCACCGTTTGGGGTAGAAATGTGCTGAATTCGGTAGGGCCTTTCAAAACCACAAGTCCATATATTCCACACCATCCCAAGTTTATTACACCAACACCATACATTCCTCATTCCTAAACTCCATTCCATCATACAACACTAACCAACAACCCTCTCAAACTCCTCCCCATCTCCTTCTCTCTAATATCCACCCTACTTCCCCCCAGTCAACCCCCCAACACCACCACAACCCAGCAAGCTCCCTACGATATCACCAAGCGTCACACCGTCGCTGTCGCCAGTGCACTCTACGCCATTAGGAGGATCGGGCAGGATGGTGCCTGCGCCTGTTGTGCCGCCTGCGGTGCTTGATTGTCGTTTCTGTGGGGGTGTTAGGGTGGGATTATGAAGGGAAGGAGGGAGAAGGAAGGAGGGAGGGAGGAGAGGAGGGAGGACGAACATCGATGGGAGCGCCGAGGATGAGGGGGAGGAAGGCGAGGGTTGTGAGGAGGAGAGGCTGGAGGGGTTGCATTTTGATGGTGTTTTATATAGTAGACTTATGTCAGGAAACTTAGGAAAGTGATATTGGGTTTGTTTTGAGGATTTCTGGATTTAAAGACAGAAGGAGGATTGGTAATTGGAAATAGAGAGGGGACTATCAACACTTATAGAGACCACACCTGATCCACTCCAAAATCTCCACCCATTACCAAGAAAGGAAGCTCCCTCTAATCATCTCTGCCGTCCGCCACGCCGGAGCCTCATCGTATTCGTTCTCTCCATACTCACTTGCGCTGTCATTGGATCATCGAAGGGATGAACACCGAAAGAGGTGGAGATCCCGAGGAACATCTCCAGATTCTGGACGAGGATGCTTGTTGTGCATCTCCCTAGGATGTGCTGTGATTGGTGCTGTGTCAAGTTGATATAGCGGAATTTTGGACAGGTGAAGGAAGAGAGGTGAGGGGCAAGTGCCGAGTTGTGGGGTAGTGGGGTAGGTACTCGGGAGATCCACTTTTTGGTAGGGTTTGGATGCCGAGTCTCGGTTGAAGGAGGGTGTCACGACTCTCTCCTTACCCTGGTAAGGTCACGTGGGTTGGTATGGTGAATGAAGTAAGATAAGGCAATGATATTGTAGTTAGGAAAACTTAATCAAGTTGAGCACGAAGCTCCTATCTAACGGGTGACAACCCGGAGTTATATAGAACTTGAGTGTCGTGGAGTAAAACCCCCTCCTGGAGTTTTACTGTTCCTTGGAGTTTTATGGGGGAGTAAAACTCCATCACGTGACCCACCGTGCGGCCTAAGGCCCACTAGTCCCGTGGTCGTAACACTATCCCCCATCTCTCCTAGCGCAGTCCCGTGCGCATAACTAGGGTAAAGAAATATCTCAACGAGGGGTAACCTTCTTCTTCTTCTTTCAACATACCCCGTCCTTCCAAACAAGCAAAAGCCCTTATAACCGAAAAGAAAGATAGAGAGCGTCTTGATCTAGCGATCTTTATCGAAAGCGTTGGTTTCCCGATGGATCGCTGTTCCTTCTGCATCCGAGAGCGCCGTCAGTGTATTGCGACGGCTGATGGAGAGCGCTCTCCAAAATGTTCTGAGTGCGTTCGAGCGAGGGTATCTTGCGATGTGAACACCCCTCTTGCGGATCGGTGGGAGCAAGAGGTGCCTCGTCACTCCGACTGGGTTTCCCTGGAGTCCCAGGAGGATAAGCTAAGAGAGTAGGAGGAAGAAGCCATGGCGAAGATCCTTCGCCTGCGAAAACAACAGCGACTGCTGCGAAAACGGAGGGCTGAAATGGCGAAACGCGGCCTGCGATACTTGAATGAACTGGATTCCGTGGAGGAAAAGGAAAGGCTGGAGAAGGAAGAGCGGGAGCGGGCCGCAGCCTCGTCTCCGACTGCCTGGGATCCTTCCAACATAGATTGGAATGCCCTGGAAGCGTCTCTCCTTCCTGCCCCTAACGACCCTTCCGCCCCTGTTCCCTCCTGGGAAGGTCTGGATACCGGCGGTGGAAGTCAGTCAGGATCTCAGGGCAGCTGAGATTCGACCTAGGCTCCCAAGTGTTCTCTGACTGTGGGTATCCCTGCCACTTGATCAAATACTTGATCCTCCCCCTGACATACTTGCAATCTAGTATCTGTTCCACCTCATACTCGGCATCTGGGTCGACTGGGTCGATCTCGACTTGAGGAGCCGGTGGCGCTCCCGGTGGCGCGAGCTCGAGAAGTGATATATGGAATGTTGGGTATATCCTCATGTTTTTAGGCAACTGCAATTCATAATTAACAGGTCCTTTCACTCTTTTGATCTTATATGGCCCAAGCTTCCTGTAGTCGAGTTTGTCGCTTGGCCTCTTGGTTTTGATGTTTTTTCTGATCAAATATACCCTATCCCCCTCTTTTAGCGTAGGCTCCTGGCTACGTCGCTTGTTGTAGTAGTGCGCAGTGCGCTCAGAAACGAACTGTAACTCAGAGGCTAGCTAGGTGTGTAGTTCCTTGATCTCAGAGACACGGATCCTAGCCAGGTTATTGTCGATGGCTGTGATGCCTGGTTCTCTGTATGCCACGGGTTCATAACCGAAGTTGGCATAGAAAGGTGTTTCTTTCGTGGTCTCTGTGGTTGAACTGTTGTACGCGAACTGGGCGAGCGGCAGTAGTGCTACCTAGTTGTCCTGTTGGTAGTTGACGTAGCATCTTAAGTATGCTTCGACTACCTGGTTCATTCTCTCGTTTCCTCCGTTAGTCCACGGATGGAACGCAGTGGTCATTTTCCTCTTAATCCCTAGGGCGGCTGTGAGGGCGGTCCAGAATTTAGAGGTGAAGAGCTTGTCTCGATCTGAGAGTATCTCTTCCGGTAGGCCGTGCCTGCTGACTACTTCCCTGAGGAAGGCGTGGGCGAGCTGTTTAGCCGTGCTTGCTTCCTTGTAGGGTACTAGTATCATGTACTTCGTGAGTCTTTCTATGATCACTAGGATTGAGTCGTACTTGACTCCTGATACCGGATCTTCAGATAGCGGGAGCTTCGTGATAAAGTCCCACGATATTGATCTCCAGGGGATGTCTGGTATAGGGACCGTCCCCATTAATCCGTATGGTGCGAGGCGACTTGTTTTGTTCCTAGCACAAGTGTCGCAATCCTTGATAACTTTCTTGACGAGGGCTCTCATTGACGGACACTAGTATTCTCTTGAGAGTCGGAGGAAGGTCCTTCGCTCTCCTTGATGGCTATGGGCCGGTAATCCGTGTTGTTCCTTTACGACTTCTTCCCTAATACTTAAGGGGAGGTAAATCTTTCCGTTGTGTGTGAGTAGTCCTCCGGGCGTCTTCTTAAAGTACTGAGAGACGGAACCTGCCATCGGGTCTGTAGTGTAGGCCTCCTTGATACGGGCCTCCAGCGGAGTCCCGTCTAGGCGTCCTAGAGAGGCTATTTCCCTGATCGTCGGTGCTAGGTCCCCGTTGTCGAGGGTACGAAGCAAGGGTTGCTCATCGTACACTTTATCGCTCTCGTATCCAGGTTTCCTGCTAAGGGCATCTGCCCTCGGGTTCTGTGTGCCCGGCACGTGCTTGATCCTTAGATCAAAGCTAGCAAGTTCCTCAGACCATCGTGCCAACCTTCGATTGTTAAGGACTTTAGTGGTTGTAAAAGCCCGAAGATTCATATGGTCGGTGTGGATAGTAACTGGGAACTTGGCCCCTTGGAGGTACACTCTCTAGTGCCTAAGTGCCTCTACTATTGCCAGAAGCTCCTTCTGGTAAATATCGTAGTTCTGTTCTGCGGGTGACATTTTCTTGGAAAAGTACGCGACGGGGTGTAACTTCCCGTTGTTAGCCTTCTGCAAGTGCACTGCCCCCATAGCCGTGTCTGATGCGTCGGTTTCGACGATACTTTCTCGATCTTCCCTGTACTGCTGGAGTATCGGTTCTTTCGAGAACCTTGACTTTATTTCTTGGAAGGAGGCTTCCGCTTGGGGTGTCCATGCGAACGGGACATTTTTCTTAGTGAGTGCTGTAAGCGGTTCTGCGAGCTTGGAGAAGTCTCGGATGAACATCCTACAGAAGTTGGCGAAGCCTAGAAAGGACTGGATATCCTTAACCGTCTGGGGCGACTGCTACTCTCTTATCTCCTGTAGTTTGTCTGGGTCGACTGATACCCTTCCTGGCTCAATGACGTACCCTAGGTACTTTGTACTTGTGACTCTGAAGTCGCACTTCTTGAGTTTGAGCCTGGAGTCGACCCTAGAGAGGGCTTCGAGGACTAGGCGCACGTGCCCCTCGTGGTCCTCCTTTCTTTGTGAATACACCAGGATGTCATCCAAATAACAGACCACAAACTTGCCTAGATATTCCCGCAGAATATCATCATTCTGTCGTTGGCATGTGGCTGGCGCGTTCGTAAGTCCGAACGGCATGACAGTGTATTCCCATAGGCCAGAAGGCAGTAGAAAGGCTGTCTTCCATTTGTGGCCTTCCTTGATCCTGATCAAGGCAAAAGCTGTGTTCTGGTCCAGCTTCGTGTAAATGACTGCCGACCCAATCGCATCTCTCAAACTCTGGAGATTGGGCAAGGGATACACGTCCCTTACCGTGGCGTCGTTTAGTCCTCTGTAATCCACACAAGGCCGTCCCTTTGGATCGTCCTTCTTGTGTGCGATCAGCATATTCGATGCTGCAGGGGACTTGGATTTCCTAATCCACCCCTTTGCTAACGCTCTTTGCACGTACTCCTCGAGTATACCCAAAGTCTGTGGGTTGTGCCGGCGAAGCTTCTGGCAAGGCGGCTGCTTGCCTTCTTTTAGGTTGATCTCGTGGTCCCAGGGCTGATGTTTGGGTAGGGCCCTCAAGTCTTCGGGGTCCTCAAACAGCTTAGTGTACTTCTTATAGGGATGAGGTATTCCTTCTCGTCCCTGGTTAAGCTGTCCAGTGGTTGTTTGATCCTGTGCCTCAGAGGCCGTGGCACTAGCCTCCCTGGGTTCCTGTAGTCACTCATTTGGGCAATCGCATCGATTTAGCCTCAAACTGTGATCTATCCAATTGAGTTCTGGGTTGTGCTTCTGTAGCCAGGGGATCCCTAGAACCACCTGGTGTCGGCTAATAGGAGCAATGTCCAAGACGATCATCTCGACATGTCCTCGTATTTTCATTCGTAGAGGGGCTGTCTCATGCATGACCCTTCCCTCGTTTTGAGCGATAGCTGTCTCATCTATCGTACTTAGTCGGTACGGCTCGTCTTTTGGCCAAGCTGGTATGCCTAGCTGGGATACTACCTCCCCTGAGATGTAGTTTCCCTGAGCTCCTGAGTCGAGCATGATTATGGTTGACATTCCCTGGATTGTTGCTCGTATATGGAAGTGGCTCGTACTTCCCCGAATTGTTTTCACCGTTGCACTCAGTTCCCTGGGGGACTCCTCAATGAATCTCACTCGAGCTTGTCGACGTCCTTCCGTTGTGAGGATTTCCACCACTTCTTGATTGGTGAACTAGCATTCCCATCTTTTTAGGGACGTGTTCCATTCCTTTAGTCGGTATGGAGTCCTTTCCCGCAATCTGGCTGCAAGTGGGTTGTCCTGTCGCTGTACTGCGAACCTTGCTCTCCATCCTTCGAAGGGTGGGAACACCGCTTCCCTCCAGACTAAAAGGCTTTGGTCGTGTGCAACTATTTCCCAGATTTGTCCTACCTCTAGGACCTCATCTAGTGGTTGGGGCTGGTCCCCTTGCTGGTTGAAGTAGGATACGTGTACGGGTAACCGAGGTGCCCGGAGGGCAACCCTCCATGCGTCTCGGTACACAACAGTGTAGTAGGTTCCGGTTTCCGGCATATCCATCCCCCTCCGTAAAGGGCTGACATACTCTTTCTTTCTCCCATACTTTGGTTCCCAAGTCACTGAGAGGGAACCTATACTAGCAACGATCCACTCCTCGTTGACTTCAGGGAACCGTTCCCTTGGAGACTCGACCAGACCAACTCCCCTGAGTTGATAGTCTTCCTCTTAGACACTCCTCTCAACTAGGGTTCCTGATTCCTCTGACCCGTCGTCAGAATCATAGAGTTCAGGCGTGCTGTCTGGAGGCCCCCACCAGCTACTGTCTGAGCCTGGCTGAGTATCGTGCTCCCATCCTTCCATGCGATGGGTAGCATTGGCTTGTCTTAAGGTCTCGGTTTCCTTGGTGGTATTGGCTTGCTTGCCCTTTCCCTTGTTGTGGGAAGATGCAATGTGGCCAGGTAGCCCACACTCGTAACAGAGTCCCTTCTCTCGACGCTCCTTCCTAGCTTCCGGCGAAAGCTGCTTCCTAGGCTTCTTCCTATGAAAGCCTCCTCTTTCGCTCTTCTTCTGACCTCTAGCTGTGGTTGCGTCGAGCTGTATGGGATCCCCCTTGTCATGTGACTTTGGGGAACCCTGTGTTTGACGGTAAGAGTACACTCCTTTTCGCTCAAGGCGCCTCTCGTAGAACCGCTCGTCGAATCTTGCAGCTAGGCGTATGGTTTCCTGGAGGCTAGTGGGTTCTGGCTCTACTCGGGCGAGCTCGTCCTTAATGAACTCCTTGAGGCCCATGTAGTACGTTCTCTTCAGAGCCTTCCCATCCCATCCAGCCTGACCAGAATACTGCTGGAACTTAGAGGTATAGTCCTTGACGGACCCTGTTTGTCGTAGCCTCAACAATTCCCTTTCAGCCGTTTTCTCGACTTCCAGATCCCCGTAAACCCCCACTATAGCCTTCTTAAACCCTCCAAACCCTCTGAAGATAACCTTAGTCTCTTCCCTTGCACTGTTGAGGATCGTTCCAGTTGTCGCGTGTCGATTGGTCATATAGTCAGACAAATAGGCCTTGAACCAGTTGAAGGCTGGTCCCCTTAGGTAGCTAGCGGCAAAAGCTACCTTGGCCCCTTCGCTAGGGAACAAGTGTGGGTTGAACATCAAGTAGATATCCATAGAACAAAGGAATGATTCGAGCTTGTGTCGGGTACTGTCGTAAGTGTCTGGTACCTTGACAGCTGGGGTACGTTCTTGTACCGCAATGGTCGTCACCTCCGTGGGTACTGGGGTCTCTGCTCGTCCAGAGGTAGACATGGTTGCCGAATGCTAACTTCAAGACCAGGTGCTCAAAGTGTCACGACTCTCTCCTTACCCTGGTAAGGTCACGTGGGTTGGTATAGTGAATGAAGTAAGATAAGGCAATGATATTGTAGTTAGGAAAACTTAATCAAGTTGAGCACGAAGCTCCTATCTAACGGGTGACAACCCGGAGTTATATAGAACTTGAGTGTCGTGGAGTAAAACCCCCTCCTGGAGTTTTACTGTTCCTTGGAGTTTTATGGGGGAGTAAAACTCCATCACGTGACCCACCGTGCGGCCTAAGGCCCACTAGTCCCGTGGTCGTAACAGAGGGACGACAAGTCCTTTTTAGAAATACGTATTTATTAACGTGTATATATAATTAAAATAATATAATTTTAAGAAAAATTAAATATTATATTAAAAAAAATATTAAAAAAATATAATTAAAATTTAAACGATTAAATTTTATTATTATTACGTTTACGTGTCACGATCCACGTGATCCAGTAGACCCTGGGATCATGTGTGGAGAAATCACGTGATGGATCCGAGGGAGCCCAAACGAGTGTTTGGGGCTCCACCGGACTCCAAAGGATCCAGTTAAACGAAGGTTCTATATAACTCTGGGTCGTCACCCATTAGATAGGGGCTTCGTGCTCAACTTTGTTATCATTCTTGACTTCAATACTATTTGCCTTATCTTCACTTCATATTACCATACCAACCCACGTGACCTCACAGGTGAGGGTAGAGACGTAACATTACGGTTTAACGATTATAAAACGGCGTGTTACGGATCACCTGGATGTGCAGCTCAACCGCCCTGGTCAGGCCGGGAATGGTGGCGTTCACGAGCTCTAAGCCTAATAAAGCTTAGCCCCTCACATGACATCCCCTTACCCTGGCATATATATACATAGATCCTTCTTTCTCTCATTCCTTTTCTCTTCCTTACCTTTAGATTCTAAGAGATAGCCGAATCGATTCTTCGTCTACGTACTGAGCTTCCCACCGTGCTGTCACACGGCGCCGATTTAGCTATTTTTCGTTCATACGAATTTCATTTGATTAAAAACAAAAAAGATTTTTAATTACGTAGTTTTTATATAATTTACCTACTTAAGCTACAACTAACCATAGCGATTAGTTGAGATCGTTTAACATTTTACAAAACATGAAGCCAGCACTTGCAGAGACGGCACTTCAAAGCCGCATGGCTCAAGACGACGCAGCATCCGCTCTCGTCACATACATATTCTCTGGAGTTATCGGTTCACCCAAAGACAAAGGAGTATCTTACTCCCTCCACGAAGCGACCGATAGCACCTTTTCCTGGATTGCTGCTCTAGAGGAGGAAGATAGTATAGGCCAGCCTATCGACCGGTATCGTGTGGATATTGACAGGTTGTCACGCAAGATTCAAACCCCAATGCTTATATCGCTCTCAGAGGCAGAGCTCTCAGAGGCGGTTTTGGCGGCAACAGGTCACCACTTGAAGGTATTCTCAAGGTTCACGGACGGGGCGCTCAGCATCTCTTATAAAGTCTCGATTGAAGAGGATCCAGATATTCAGTACATTGTGCAGCTGCGTCACCATGGGAACGTCACCTCGATGAACCTCCTGATGAGTTGGATCTCTTCGAGCATCAATCCAAGCATCCTGCCTCTCCCTGATGTATACCCCATCCCAGGCGAAGAGCAGCGGCAGAAGAGAACTGGAATGGGCAGGCAAATAGCGCGGCTAATGCTAGGTCCAATGGCTAATTCTGTCTACCCGCGTATGTCGCACGAGGAGAAACTAATATTCGTCCGAAATATGGCACTTGCATTCCAGGCTTGCTGGCGCATCCCCCTCCCCAAAGAACGTCTCATCGGCGAACTTTGCGCCGTCCAGGATGGTAACTGCGTCGTCTTTACCGTCGGTCCAGACCGGCATTACAGTCTCGGGGGGCCTTTTGACTCCGTCCGCGACTATCTCCGCGCTTATATCTACTCCTCTTTAGACGCCCTCAAACGGCAACAGGGTATTGACGAGTATAAGGAACGATTTCTGCAACGAATCACGGACTTTGTGGAGGGTGGCATGCATAACATCCCTATGATTGTTGAGGACGTCCCGATAGTAGCTATGCACTCCGATATGGGCCCTCATAATGTCATTTTGTCACCTACTACACCTACGGACATCATGGCAATCATCGACTGGGAGTTTGTTGCTAGCGCTCCTTACGCCTCGCTCCACCAAGTCATTGAGATGCTTTTTAGGGAACCTGCGAGTAACGGATTTGGTGCCGAGTACGCACACGCTGACGAGCTCCGTAACACTTTTTGGGGCGCGATCCCGGAGTGGAAGAAGTGGAATGAGAGCGAAGCTACAAGGGTGTTTTTGGAGTGGTTCCGGTTTGGGTTGTTTATGAAAGCGGAATGGAGACCGGATGGTTTGGACGAGGAAGAGAAGGAGGCATACTGGGAGGAGAATGTGAGGGTAGTGGAGGGGCTGTTGAGGAAGTATGGGTCTGCTCATAGAGCGTCTTGAGTTCACAGGATGTGAATTCCTTCCGGATCTATGCGACGATTGGAATTTGCTCCATCACTACTTGAAGGAATGGAGTGAGAAAGATGGGCTCAAGTGGATTATAGCGATGATTCATAAGCGATGTTATTATAGGACAGACGATAAATGAGTAGTAGTTGGTCCTGATTAGTTGACTGGGTTAGTTTCAGCAATCCTCAGAAGTTCTCAGGGAAGAAAACTAAAAGCTACCAGTATTGCTCAGCATACCCATCGTGGATTTTTTCCCATGCCTGCCAGTAAGCGAGATGGTAGATTTCCTCTAAAGTCTCAGACGACAATTGAGCCTACCAAATTCCACTTCGGACTTCCGTCTTTGGACCTGAGCAGTCGCTGCTCTAACCTGAGCTGAGCCCTGAGTCCTAAGCACGCTAGTGAGTTAGCTAGATCACGCTCCGGGGGGATCTGGCTCCCTTAAGAATCGGTTATAGTTTCGATATTGTGTATATACAGAACTTTGCAAATCCTACTACCTGTAACACAGCCACCTCTTTTGGCCTATCAAGATGTCGTAACGGTGACCGTTCTTGCTCCCCTAGTCACATTTATCAAGGATCCTTGCCGGAGCCGGGTTGGGTCGCCCTTCTCAGCCGAAAATTGAGGCGACTCAAACCTCGTTTGCGAACCCGTTTCATGGGTACTCCGAGCCTATCCGATTTCCCTCTCATTAAGGCCAGAGCTCGATACTCTCCCAGATGATAAGTACGAGCGCTGGCAGTAAGTAAGTGATCCGACGGATACTGAAGTGGAAACCCCGTTGAAATAATGATGCACGAAGAAGTACGAGTATCCTCGGCTTGCTAAGACGGTTATGGAGATTCTACATATCCCTACTATCTCGTACCATCGTTTACTTCAATGCGAGGATGTGCGAGTTCTCTTTCTCCGGCAAACTTTTCAATCCGGAACCTCCTCTTCTGTTGCTCTAGAATCCTCTCCCTCTCTCCGTTCGTGTTTCCTTCTGTCGTTCTCAATAACTGTAATAGATTTCTACTACTGCAGACCAACGCAATAGCTGATCCAATGGTATCTGGCTCTTTGTCAATAATGACCAATAGTCCCCAGAACCCCTTTGTCCAGTACGACAAAGTAGCAAGAACAACAATTATAACAGATAATATCGACACAACAATAGCCATGGCAGCAGTAGAAATCATGATCCTCATCTGAGTTGTCACAAGTCCAGCTGTAACTGGAGTCGAAGAATCCACCGGGACGAATATGTACCTCGGTGAAGCAGCAAACTGTGAGAATAATGAAGTAAACGCGGTCTCCGTAGCAATCTTCAGGTTTCCAGGCTCGAACATCTGAGAAAGTTCATCTCAGCTGAAGCTAGCAATTTGCGAAGAAGCGTCTGCAAAGAAATTTGTTTCGCACCACAACTCGAATGCCACAGTGCCAGTCTCGAAAACACTCGCAGTTGTGAATGCGCTTCCAATTCCCATTTCCGCTGGTGTACTATCGTCTGTAGCGTGCCACGTCTGGAAGAATTGGCTATCTTTCAACGTCGTGGGATCTCCGTTCACTTCATATTCTAGAATTTGTTGTGAAGTAACGTCGAGTATCAATTGAGCATTTACATACTCAAATCGAGGCTGGCATACAACAAGGGAGGCTACTGGGCTGGTGGAGTACCATATTCCTGTTTCTGGTTCCTGGACTCTACTGAAGTCGATGAATCCGGCCCCAAAATACCCCGGTTTCATCTCTGGTAGGTTCCATATTGCTCTTGTCTGGTTATTAGTGCCCACTGCAGATATACTGGAATTGGGGTAGGAAATGTTGGCCAGCTCGATATCTCCTGCGGTCGAGATATTAGCTAACCATAATGGTCCCCAGAACCCTGTGTAATCTGTTGAAGTTAGTCAGTTCGTTTTAGGAATGCTGAAAGACAGACTCATGACCCCCTGAAGCGACCCTTTGAATGGATCCTGACGTGCTCGAACACCTGTCCTCGATGAAGGAACACGAAACGCGGATCCTTGAAAAGTAACAGTGTTCTCTGAATAATGTCAGTTCTTTGGGCATTTTACCACTGTGGTTTTTCTGAGAAAGATATTTAAAATTTGTAGGAATCAGTTATTTGCCACTCACCAGTAGTTTCCGCTCCATCTTGCCAATCGTGAATCTCCCAGCCAACTGCAACCGTCACATTATCATTGTTGACAACGGGAAGGCGTTGAAAAAAGTTCTTCGGGGTTTCTAGAGCCTCACGGTTTGCTGATCCACGCACCCCAGTAGTTGACACGGTCCAATTCGTACTTTCGGGATACGAGAGATTGCCGTTCGCTGCGGCATAGAGGATGACAGGGAGAAAGGCGTATTCGGCCGTTGTCCATGGTGCTGGTTGCGCATCCCAAGCCACCATAGCTAAGGTTAGAGCACTGGGATAGAACCAGTTTGTTGTGTTGTTGGGAATATCATAGACTGGTACAATGCTCTCTAGGACATGTATGACCTGTGAGGAGTCTGTGAAGTTCATCATATCTGCTGTCGTCCATAAGGTCGAATTCGTGAAGCCAGTTAATGGCTTTATAACGTTGGATGGGCGGCTGCTGAATAAAGCTACTTATCATCAGCAATCTCGCAATTTTCTAGAATATAATAAGCTTGCACTAGACACCTCAAAATAATTATGAAGTTCGGTACATGAAATTAAAGCAAGTGGAATTCTTCGATGACATCGAAAGCACTTACCCCCCATGGCTGTCACCAGGACTTCATTGGCCACCGATAAAGTGGCCACGGCGGCCAAGATGTAATGCCGTCGGAGAATCGACTTAATAATGATCCATCCTTCGATTGTCGATACGTAATCTACACATATTGAGGATCTTGCAGATGCTGAGCCACCAGCCAAGCTGATGTATGGCTGTAAGAGTCGGAAATACTCATCCACAAGAGCCCAAAAGAATTTGATAAGAATAACGGCGAGAACAGGAACTATGGTCCATGCAAACTGGTTCACACTGTCGATGTGGATATAAAGCTGCCTTGTGCAAGCCCATCACTCTTTTGAGCTGAAGCCCAGAGGGCAATGACAGTGACCAACACAGCTATGGTGAAACTAAGGAGCCCAAGTTGAATTTATGTCGTTTTGATAAGAAAGTGGACTCGACTTTTGTTAGGAGATACTGGATAAACACCTGTATCAGCAAGCTTGCAATGTAGCGCGAGGATTGACTACTTACGTTTGTTTTTCCAAGATTCTGTAACCTCGCTGCTTACATTGTCAGCTTCAAGATGTGTGATTCCCTTTTCTAAGCTATGTAGACCACATTGCCCGGGAGACTTCAAATTCTGTCTATCGAAACAACTCGATAACATAGGACTGTGGCAAATCAAAGCGCATTGCCCCGAAATGGTATTTGGATTCGCGCATAGGTTCGCACTGCTCTTTGAGTTGATATACATAATAATAAGCACTAGGAGCATGAGAAGAGCCAGAATGGCCTCAGTGCTTCTGGCGTATGCCACATTAATAATGAGGCGCGCTACAGGTATCGATGCCATGAGGGTAAACGAATTAACAGGTCTAGAGTCCCATTAACTTGAAGATAAATCAATCCTCTGTATGAAAGCTGCTTGGAAGTAATCACCAACCCGTTGTGGCAGGCCAGTAGTAACATTCATGTCAAGAAAAGAGTTTATTTTCGGAGAAACCATTTGCGAAAAGTAAAACGAATAAGGCTGGAAGTTGACCTGAATAGTAGAAGGTCGGCCGTCGGTAAGCGTATTGGGAAAGGTGAAAGGATCCTTCAGTGATTCCTGATCCAAAAACAGATACTCTTCGAATTGAGTTGAGTTGAAAGCTTCTGGTGACATTGCCTTTGACAAGGTTTTAAAACTTTCGGGGTCGTACGTAAATGACGGAGACGTGGTCGTGTTCAGAAAGTCGACCTTGAGATTTGGCACCTCAAGGTATAGAGCTTGGCAGTATACAGCATTGAAAGTAGGTTCCTCTCCAAATGTGGCCTCAAAGTCAAAGTTGGATGAGTTGGATGGGTAGTACACGAGCGTTGCGAAGTTGACATTGAGATAGAACCATTGATTGCAGCTTCTATCAATTGATGAGTTCGGTGGTGTTTCAGAAGCCGAGAGAAAGTCCATTCCACCATAGTACCATTCGTCGACGTGAGCAGTCGTAGGGTCACTCCCAATTCCAAGAGGAACTTCGATCGTAAATTGGCATCCTCCATGAGTTCCTAGTCCGGAAAAGAGAGCCGATATAGGGTATTGCAGTTGACAATAATCAATCCGAGTCTTGTTTGGCATTGAGTTATCCTGCGCCAATTGCTGCTCTTTTGAGGAATCAATATAAGCGAGCCTGGTAGCGTTCAGAGTAGTACAATTCAAAGTCGAGCTATATGCAGTGGTGGAAGCTTGAAAAGTTGCAAATTGCAGACTGGGATCTTCGGGTGCGATTGGTAATACTGCAACCTGTTGGTCCTGCACTCCACTAATCCAAGCAGACTGGGCAATTGGCAGTCCTTCATATGCTAAAAAAGCCTTTAAGTATAATTCTCCCAAACGATCCTCGTTATTGATCGAATTGCTTGCATTGAACGCAGGCATCTGTATGTACTTTGTATTCTGAGAGATGACCAAATCTCTCACTGACATTAAACTGGCTTGTAATGGTGGCAAAACAAGGAAGGACAGAAGATGGGCCAAAGAAGAGCAGAACATAGCCAATGAGCAGAGCCTGCTTGTGTTGGTTCGATCTTTCCAAAGTCGTCCTATTGATAAAATTGGCGTTGAAAATGGATCTCGCAGGTACCTGGTAAACAGAACATCGGGGTTGGCACCCTCACTTCCTGAAAGCATTCGCCAAGGTGTAATTCTGGCTGTCTCCAAAGATATGGAAACCCAAGCAACAGCAATTAAGAGAGCAATTATGATTGGGAGGTATGCCCAAGTAAAAGTCTTGCTTGCTGAGTCATGGTCAGTTATTGTTGCAAGTCCGGTATTGTTGGCTGAATAATGGTACATGATCTCCACGGCAGCCAATACAGCAGCTTGAAACAATAAAAAGCCCAGCAGAAAGACGAAAGAGAGACTGAGGGGACGCCATTTTTTCTGCGAGCTCTTTCGAAGCGATTGATCTGCTTGAGTTTGTACTTCGAACTAGTCTTTCTCAACTGCGTCGTTGTCAGAAGCTGCGTTGGCGTTTGTGTTTGATCGTTCTGGGCTAATTATGTCCATGTGTCCTTCCAAGGTTCCTGGTAAACCTCGCATCAATTCAGTCGGAAAAGACACCACTGGAGCGCGTGACAAGGTTGGAGCGTGAGAAACTGATTCGGTTTGAGAGCTGGGGAGCCTTTCAGTAGATGCTGGACCTGTCGATGGCTGCGTGGGAAGTGAAGGAGGATTATGAGATGCAGGCTTCATGACCACCCTGTATTCGTCCTCATCGCTACTGGAAAAAGCTTCCTGTTCTTCATTGTCGTGGATACTAATGCCTTCGCTGCCGCTTTGCATGCTAAGTGCGCCCCGCTCTGCTTCATCTGGGACAGGGAGGCTGACTGATGCTGGTTCCATGTTCTCTGAGCTCGTACAATATGTTGAGGTCTGGAGAGATATTGCGACTCCTGCATATCTCCTTGATCTGTTGACTTCCTCGCCTACAAGACTCGCTGCGTGTGGAATAAAAGAACTGGTAGATGAAGCATTATGAGGGGGCGCCATTGCTGCTATTGTCACGATAGGGCATGGGCGTCCGGAGTTTTGTTTTGAACCTTTTTCGTACCAGGGATGACAGCGTTGAAGTTTTTTTTCTTGCAATAAAGAGAAAATTTTACTATTGGAGACCGTTTTTAAACAGTGTCTTGCGTGGGGTCGAAGATGGCTTAGCATTAGCTATATGTTGCTTTGATACAGTTCTAACTTCAGAGTGCACGGGCAATCATTTAATCAATAATCTCCACGGAACCAGAGTAGTAGGTAAAGGATAGCCAGTTCTTATGTATGCTTTGATTGGGTAGTTTCAGGGTTATGATCCTCTTCACCTATCTTAGCTTGTCTAATGCATATGAAGCGGCATTGCTTGGTTCTTCGGAAGGCGTTCAATATCGTTCCGGTTACGCCATAGGATTTGGGGGCTGATGATTGTTACCTGTTTGGGAATCTCACATGCATACATATATGCGGGCACACATATTGTGTGGCATCTAAAGATAGGGTTTCCCAGGTCGACTGCAGCGCTCTTGATGGGTGGGTGGTTTTAGCGTGCCCGACAAGAACCACCCGTTCTAGAGCTGCACGGGTTACGGATTTCAAGAACCATTAGCCTATTGGTTGATTGTGGTTCTGGCCTCCCTGAAACTATCAAGAACCGTCTACCCGTCTACTATCGGGGGAGCCTAAGGATACTGGACATTAAGGGAGATTAGATTGCGTTAAAGCTTGAAAATTTTAAATATTTGAAGCTTAAGGCTGAATATGTACTATTAATAGCTTTCATTTATTTTGGCAGTTCAACCCGTCTAGAACCGTCTAGGACGGGTCGCTAACGGTTCGGGGCCAAAAGCGGCCCAACCCGCCCATCAAGCGCGCTGATCGACTGTGCACTAGGTGCGTCCAGGATCGGCGTACAGAGCGCGAAAACCATCGATCCGCCCTGATCAAGACCGAGTCGGACTTTCAGACCGATGATAATGGCAAAACAATTGTTACAGCACGTAAATAGAGCATAATGTGGTCCATATTATTTGCAAAAGCGGAATAATAGCTCGTACGTCACCAAAGGTTTAGCCTACACTTATTATTCAGCTTATGAAGGTATTTTTCTAAAAAGCTTGAGTTTGAGTTATTTTACGGTGATTAAGGTGTCCAAAATTGGATTTCGAAAGAACTGTCAATTGTTTGTTGTCTAAATTTAGCAGGAGCTGGTCGTTGTCGAAGAGCTCGATTAATGGGCATTCCGCACTAGTCTAAGCAGGTCTTCAGGCTTGAACACGTTGATATGTCAGCTGGATCATGCTCAGGGGATCCTCTTCTAGCTCTTTCGCGAACAGGTTAATTATAGTTTTCATGTTGTCTATATACAAATTTGCTGATGCCGACTGTCTTGGATACAACCACCACCTCCTTAACAATGTGAAGCTAAGTAAGGAATCCGTTTTAGCCCCCCTGTTGATCTTCACAAGAATTCATCTTAGAGCCGATTTTGGATCCCTGTAGCGACGACGACCGAGCCTCCCACTTGTCGGTGTTTCCAAATTTAATTTATATAACATTAATCTGTTAAGTACCCATTAACTTCTCTCTACCTTAAAAAGTTATATTTAGATATACAAGTGCTAAGGGCTTCTTGAGCAGCCAGATTTCGAAAGCATTTAGATACCGACTCGGAAATCCATCAAAAATCGTTAACGAACAATCATCGAAGTTCAAATCACTGCTCAGCCAATTTCCCCTCGCCCTTTTCATCTATGGCCTGTCCCTCCATGTAATCATTCATGTATCCCCTCCCCAGAAACCGATAACAAGATCCAACCTTCCTCAGAAAATACAGATGTCGGCCCCCATAGAAGGTGCAGATCATGTCTCCAGGTTGAGCTATTTTAGGTGCCAATCCAAAGTGCCCTCCTTCGCTGACGAAGAACGAATACCAGGGATTATATCGAAGGGCCGCTTCTCGAAGATTCCTCAATGCATTCCCAAAAAATTGAATGGGGATATGATAAAAACCCAAAGATCGACAATCTGCACCCGCAGTAATCGCTCGAACGAAGGCTTCCTCCTTCGTGTCTTTCCCGGCCCATGATGTGAGCCCACCGAGCCCGGAATCCCATATTTTTCTGATCCAGAAACTTTCGTGGTGTGAAGATCGTGAAGAATAACTAAAATACTCCGTCCCATCAAGCTCCAACTGATCATCTTCCATCTCCGGCTTCGTAGGCCAAACAATTTCGATAGTTGAGATAAGCAGTCCTTTCAGTACCAGATGCCGATTTTCACCATCCCATGCTCTGAGAGATGCTCTATGTAAGCCACTAACATTCCAAGGATGCTCAGAAAATGCATCACTTGGCAAATTCTGGTCCCATCGAGGTATCCAGCTTGGAAAATCGGTATCAAATTCGGCGGATGAATGAGAGACACTATCCAGTATCTCTAGATCTCTCCAGGAGGCGTAAAGACCATCTTGGAGCCGGATCCCGTCAGGACTCGTCGTTTGGCTCTCAATAAAATGCCGAGTAAATCTTGTGTAGGTTTCACCGACGGTGATCTCGTAATCCGCCTTGAGAGACTGGTGCTCCTCCGTCTGTTTACACAAACCCAGCAGAGCATAAATTTTATCCCGCGGATCTGTTGATCTGAATTCATCATGTTGAAGCCGCATTAAAACCTTCTGCAATGGCTCACCCGGAGAATTTCTTCTTTCCCATATATTTTGAGCCCTCTGGATATATGTAGTGTCATAGTTGAGAGAGAGTCGAGAGAATACGGTTGCGGCTAAGGCCACTGCCTTCCATCCAATTTCGAGCTTGCCAATGTACATCATACAGTGTGAAAAAGCGACTTCTTGGAGAACCCATATCCTCTCAAACCATTCTCTTTCATAAAACCATTGAACTTGCCTTTTGATCCGTTGTAAATACCAATCCGACGACCCAAGTAAGTCCTCCATGGCGTCAATGTCGTCGCCAAAGTCGTCGTCCAGATGCTGCAAGCTAGAGCAATTCAAAATCGTGCATACCATATCTGATATACTCTGAATCTCGTGCACTACTGCATGACAGTGTTCGCAATAGTATACGGGCGTAATACGTGAGGTAATATCAACACAATACGTACTTACCGCGCAATATGAGGTCAGTAATATGCCTTAACCTTAGTTCCGTATCAATGGAAGATATTAGTCAATATACTAAGTATTAAATCTTTTGGAATGTAGCTTGAAACATTGAAATCCAAGCCTAAAAGGGCATCTTTTATGGAAGAATAATGCAATATCAATTAATATTGCACAAAATATGCTCTTTTAGGCTTGGATTTCAATGTTTCAAGCTACATTCCAAAACTTTTAGTACTCAGTATACTTCTAGTGAGAATCAATAATACTAGTCCTAGTACAATATCTACAACTATATTATTATCGTGCGTATCACTCAAAGTACAGTATTTTTCGGAAAGAATACGTACCACAGTAAATAATACTATTCTTGGCAAATACTATTGCGAACACTGCTGCATGAGCTATGTTATTTTCGTCATCTCCAAGCCAAACAATCACCCTCGTCGGCTGCGAGTATATGTCTCTCATCAAAGCAACTTGCTGCAATCGTTCAACCAAGTTTTCTTGATCAATACAAATCGCATCAATCCACATTCGTCTTGATTTATCAGGTAATCTCCGTCGTCGTAAAGCTGCTCCAAGGTTCGGCGTAACGGTCTTCAGCTGCCCACAGCATATGATGGTTATAGCTGGAGTCGAAACACCCCATACATAGCTAAGGGCCTCATACTCAGGATGGGTATCTAGCTCGGCATCTAGAAGGATGCACTCGATGACGTCCGTCTCTGAACCGGGTAGGATCTTCAACAGCCTGACTGGACGAGAGTGAGTGTTGGCTGGGCCGGCCAGTGGTGCGTATTTGTAGTAGCCCTGAGCTATGGTAGTCATTTGGACTGGAGGAGTAGGCATAGACGTGTTGATGACAATCCGTTGGAAGATTTAGAAGATAGAGATTTTAAGTTGATGTTGACATTCAGCTGAGCTGCAGCGTTGCGGCGCGACTGGTCTTAGCATTGCAGTAAGACTACGCAAGCCCCTGGCAATCTAGTTCTTCTCCTCCCCTACCCCAAGCGTGCTTAGCCGAAGACGAGTCAGCCTGACCAAACTGCGTGAAAACTGTGTGGAGTTAGAGGTTGTCAGAGGTTGTCGTGATCCGATAGCAAAACAAAGATTCTATGGGTCCGGATATATGATCACCTGCTATATTATGTATCTTCTGTGAAGATGTCTTGATATTTGAAATATATCAACCCGCGCTCAGACCTGTCCTATGGAGTAGTGCGAAAAGCAGCTAACTACTTCGAAGACCCTAATCGAGGAGCACAAGATATGGTCCAAAGCTGTTGCAACTAGCAACTGACCACGGTGTGTATTGCAGACCTTCTCTAAGATCTCAGAGGGACATCTGAATTTTCATATTCAAGTGTTCCTACAGCTGTCACAAAAGTCCGGATGAAGTCTTTTGAGTCTCCTAATCATTGATGTTTCTGCAGCAAGAGTTCTCTGAAGCAAATCGCACATTTCGAAAGCAATGGTAAATAAATCAAGTGCATGCCAAAGTTCTGCAAATATGAGATCAGCACCACGAACGGGTTTAGTATTACGCTCTTCAGAAGATCGATGCGCGCTTTGCTTGATATCAACGTTCCATTTTTTTTCTTGATCTATGCACAAACACTCAATTTTGCTCAGCATCCCGCTACTTTCCCTCGAGCTCATCGACCACTTTTTGAACGACCTCGTCCAGATCCTCATCTTCAAGGCCAATATTCTCATTCGTATTCTCTCTACCATGATACTGGTCACCGCAACCCTTCTTATAAGAGTTTCCGTAGAGAATGTTGAACATGCCCATCCGGTTCCCCGCACGCATCAGCTCGGATCCAGCCTTGATATAATCATCCAGCGGCATGTGCTTGATCTCCCAATCTTCGGGCTTGGTCTTCGTAGCACGCTGAGAAGCCGCAATCATGTCGTTCTGACTGACCAAGAAGGAGCGGATGTACGCGTATTTGTTCTTGTAGTCGGAAAGAGAGAGTCCAGAGGTTGAAGTGATGGGGAGAGAGAGTAATTTAGCGATGCCTCGACCGACTTGAGGAATGGATGTCGTCACGAAAGGATGGGTGCCTTCGTCATACACCGTAGCGGTACGTTTGGGGATGTCGATACTGAATCTTCCTCCTTTGAGACCCTGTTCCCTTCATCAGCTCAAACGCTCACTTCCAAGTAAATCAATCTGGAGCCATACGAAATCAATCCACATATTAGTCGCAATACCAATCCAATTGCTAACTCCAAGCCCCTCAATCAAATCGCGATATTTCTTCTTTCCAACTAGGATCGGGATATTCTTCATGACTTCCTCGCTAGCACCATCGTTACCATACTCGTTCGGAAGAACCCATGGAACTCCAGCCTTGGCCGCAGCTTTGATGAAGTTGGTTTGGACGTCGGGAGGGGTCATGATAGCTAGAGTGAGGATCAAAACATCTTGGCCTTGTAGTGCGGATTCGAGGAACTCGGATGAAGAGTAATCGCCCTTCTTGACCGCGATGCTTGATGGGAAGGTGGCTTTTGACTCTTGACGGGAGATCGCTGTGACTTCAAACTTGCCCGCTGCAAGCAGATTCTTGAGAACTTGTCCGCCGACCAGTCCACTTGCCTGTTGGTAGTTGTCAGTTTAGTGTTTATGTCGTCGCGCAATACTTACGCCAACCAAGGCAATATTCTTGACATATGAAGTCATTTTCGAGGTAACAGAAGGTATCGTATGAGACTTAATTGAGGAGGTTGTTGCTGACTAGTCTTTTGGGCGATACCTAGGGAGCCTTGGTTGCGATTGTGGAAGGGTGAAGGAACACGGAGGAATGTGGAGATATGGAGTTCCGATCCGGATTCCCAAGCGAGAGTTACACACGGAGTCAGAACAAATCACGTCATAGGAGTACCACCAAACATAAATCTTGCACAAATTCAAATTCACTGCTGAGAAAATAATTCAGTTCAATATAGTTCTAAATAAGCACTCGTGAAGAGACGGAAAATGGTTAACGCTACATACGCAATTACCCCATACTCAGCATGAGACGTATCATCACATTACCCCGCTGTTGGAAAGAAGGCTCTCCATTGTTGTGTGGAAGGCCCCTGTTTTTTGACAGTGGCATGATAATGATACAACAGATATGTAACTATGTAAGATGATCAATCAATGAAGAGTGAGACTCACTTCGCCCGGGATGGATTGAATACAGAAAGGGCATTTTAGTGGGGCGACATCGCTAAGCTTCAGGGGAGCAAAGAGACTCGCTAAGCAAGTAAACAAACCTCGAGCCTCCCTAAAAAAAAGAAAAATTCTTTTTGCTACAGTATACCAAAGAAAAAGTTAGCAAAAAATCCAGCCTAACCCTTCGAAATGGGGTAGACCTTGAAAAACTTGCTCGGTGTCGATTGCAGTTTTGATCGCGAAGTGGCGTATCGTTCGTTTGTATGCGGGCCAGGCGTTAGTTTCCCTTTCCTCCTCTTAGCCCACGGTGACCTGAACCACTGACCTAAGTGGCATGCTGCTCGTGACTGGGAGAAAATCTGCTTATTGAAGACTATAAGGCAAGTAGCTTCGCTTGTGCCAACATAGGACTAAGTGTAGGCGGCTACTCTTCGGTAAGCGAGTGCTATCAAAACATTTGATCGCTCTTTCGGTACGTTATCAGAAATTATGTGCGTCAAAGCGTGTTTAAGGGGTACAGTATTCTTTCTTCCTGTGTGCTTGGTTTATTACATCGTTACTACACAGACTTACGAAATGAAAGCTCTCGAGTGATGCAGCAGCGAGGGAAGAGCTCGGAAATTCCAACTCTGTCGGAAACTATATGAAGTGGCATGCTAGTTTCAAAAGAAATAAGGCAAGGACAAAGGTATAAGACTCGAGATTTGTGATGGTTGCGAATCGAGAGCCATTTTCAATGTTTGCTTTGACCTGTCTATTCACCGTTTTCACTTCTGGACCTTGACCTCATTAACATTCGAAACTTGGAGACTAGTCTTGATTGTGAAAGTTTTGATTGACATAATTCGTAAGCCATTTCAAGAGAGCTTGATTTGAAATTGAGCTGACTGAATGCAGTAGTCATGTCTCAACACCGATGAGCTAAACTTGGTATGGACTTTCAACATTATTCCACGACTTATCCTCCAACGCCAATGCCGACCTTTTCTTCTCGAAAAACAAATGAAAGATAGATTTATCTAAACATTCGTCTTTGATCTTCTCCTTCAAGATCCTCTGGTTCTTGCTCACAACATCCATGAAATCTCCGACAAGCTTGTCACAGAACGTGGCTAGCATTTCAACCTGCTTTGCGTCGAGATCCTTCCTGTCCGCCCGAACAACCAGGACACTGCCTATGTTTTCTGCTGTATTATTCGCGACTTGTCCCCACTTAGGATCTTCGTAATCGATAACCCGACTCATTGCTGACGCCTCGGGATTTCTCAGCTTCAAGTCATTCATCTTCATATCCACCGCTTGAACTGGAAATCTGTACATCAGCAGTGGCAGTTCCATACCGACCGATATCTGGGTAGGTTCTTCTCTCCATATTGGATGATCGACGCCAATCTCAGCCTCCATAAACTTCTTTCCAGTCCGGTCTCTTTCTCCTTCGCACGCAATTGTCACTCCCACAACATTATGCTTCAAGATCTCTTCATCTTCGTCCGCCACCTGAACACCTTGCACCGTAGATTCATCCTGCTTGACAGGAGCGATACGCACTGGCAAAGGTTCATCTCCCAATCGCCAATAATCAACCATCCACCTCAGATCGTGACATCCAACATCCCTCCAGACAGGAGTATCAACGGCGTATCTCTGATGTTCGTGCGCAAGTATCACCATAGGACCTCCCCAGTGTCGAGCATATCCCGTACCATGCGTCAAATTTGACACGAAACTGTTGATCGCCTGCTTTCCAGGAATTTGAATGAGTTGTAGCGTGTAGGGTAGCTCCTTCTCTTGGAGTGTGTTCCAGGTTAGGAGAGAGCGAACAAGGTTATCAGTACCCAGGAGATGTCTTAAATCTGGTCGTGTGATATCGCCGGGTTTTTCGCAGTAGTAATGAACGAATCGGAAAGATGGGGGACCGAATATTGGAATGTAGAGGCCGAGTGTTGATTTCGGAGGGCGCGGTGGGCGCATCGGTGTCCAGTAAGGCTTGCAGAGGAGGAGGTGGAGGACAGAATTGGAGCCAAAGCAGGAAGGCGAGCAGTGTCCCACCGTCGACTTGCAGTTCAAGCACAACGGTGACGACAATTGCTCCAGACATGAAGCACAGGGTTGTGCCATTTCCGTGTTGTGAAATGTAAAGCTGGTTGTGTTGACGGGTCGGTTGTTGACAAGAGGAAGGAGCCAGCAAGCTGGAGATGCTGGACAAAGTAGATCGAAAAACAACCACGACTTCGGATTTCAAAAGTGAATCGGGAGCAAATTTAAATGGCCCATTTTAGTCCTGTTAGATTGGATTCACTGTTATCTCGGATGAGAGTAATGCTCGGTCCTTAACGTTGAAGCTCATTTCTTCGCGAATCTAGGAGATTTCTAGGCGTGCCTGGAATGACTTTCCTTTAAATGCCCTGCTCCTCTCTTAATGATATTCTCTGCTTAGATTTCGCGATACTTGTAAGGTGTGTATCCCAATTTCTATGATCTATGGAGGGAAATTGTCCTTGAAGTTCTCAAACGAGCAGAAATTTGCCTGGCACTCCCTTGGCAGGTCTCGAAGGCTGGGCTCTGAATTTCCGAATGACGATTCAGTATTTCAGAACAACTTCAACAGCATTACTAAGTTCCTGCTCTAATTTAGCAACGCGTTTCTTGACGCGACAATCTGCCTCTTTACATCTCCCGCTACGTCTCCTGAGATGAAGATCCGTTATCCCACTGAAGGAATCTCCTGTATCTACTCATAGCTCAAGGCAAAGAAATGCGAAGTGCTGAAGCCAACATGTCTTCTGATCTACCCTATCTCCAGGTTTTTGGATCTCGCTCTCTAGCCTTGGAAAGTTCTGATTTCCAATAGGACATGCCCGAATCAGACGCAGAGACAGCACCATCTCTTCCCTACGAAAACAGTAGCCCCGAGAAAGCGAATGCTAAAACCGAGAGACCAGATACAGAAGCGCGTTCTTCTACTGTGCAAAATCAAGTCAGGGAACAGCTACCTCAAGATGAAACAGCAGTGTTTCCTTGTTTCTGCTTGGTGATTGCCGATCCCAGTGAAGTAATCACGACAGAAACTCTGATCGAAGCTTTCCGTACACATGATGGTTTCCTTGAAGCATGCCTGGCCACACAGGAAAATAATCCTGATTTGACGCCCGGGTACAGCTATATCGCATTCAATACTGAAGAGAACGCGACGCATGCAATGCGATGCTTGAAGACGAGGGACCCAGACACGAAGACCTACCTGATGCATGCATGGACTAGCAAAGAAATAAGTGACACGTTGGAGATACCGCTTCTGAAACACTACCCTGGTGTTGATTTAGATATCACTTTGCCTATCAAGACTTCTTTTCATGCTCGGGTGGAGGAGTTGTAAGCTCGGTGAGGACTAGTGATAGAGTTGAGACTACAGTGCTAACTATTATCAAGTAGACCAAAGGCCGATCCAAAGAACCGAGGCGAGTTTGCTCGAGCGCATCTTCAGATGTGGGACTCCCTGTTCAAAGACAAAGGACTCGAGTTCCAAAAGAAAGCCCCAGGATACATCTTGACCCGAATTTTCAAGGAGATTGACTTGAACATTCTCGACATTAGAGAGCTTCAACCAGGATTCGAAGAGATCAAGGTTGGTTTGAAGTCCTTGTAGAGTCACTGGTACTGAGCAAATTTTAGGACTTGCATCCTTCGAAGACGGATTCTCAAGAAAAGAGACGAAACAGACGACTTTACTTCGCTGCGATATCGGACCTTTCGGAGAACCTCGTTATCCTCGATACACTTGGAACAAATCTTGAAGAATATCCACCGTTGCCAAGTAGGCTAAGATCTTGGTCTAAGTGGATCCGTTCCCTCCGAAATCCCATCGTTCATATTCATGCGAGTTACTTAAGGCGTTACGCTCGATATGACAAAATCGCATAAGAGATGAAGAAGCACTTTGGTCGTCTTGAAGCATCGTATACAATCTTTGAAAGGTAACAACTCATGATATTTCAGAAAGAATCGGAGAACAAACGCGCAGCTGAGAAGACAGCTCGGATGCCAAATGAGAGAAGGAAGTTGGACGACAACTTAGATGGAGATAGCAAGAGCGACAAGGCCAAGGTAAATTACGCCACGAATAGCCTTGAGGAAGGAGAAATCGAGGAGGAGAGTCTGAGTAGCGACAACTTGGAGGACTTTGTAGAGACTGATGTTGGTGATTTCCTTCGTAATGAGACGGATAGTGATTTCTTGGAGGATGAGGAAAACCCTACCCTTGATTATGGCTAGACATCTCTTTGTTGGGAGAACGGTGTAGAGTTTGCTGCTGGATTTTGATGATGAGTACATGTGTCAGTCTTGATTAAGCATGACAAAGGTGTCGAGTGGTTTGTGGGGAGTAGGTGCTAGTGTAAGGCTTGTGCCGTAACGCCAACGCTTGTGGTGCTGGTGCACGGGCTTTTTTAAACCTTAAAACCAACTTCACATCACCACCAGATCCTCAAAATTGTGATGCCACATGTTCACTTGGCTCATTCATTTCTGAATTACGAAGTAAATGATCTCTGCAAACTTCTCCACGTGTTCAGTATCTCATCATGGCCATCGCACTCTTGATCACACTATCATGCAGCGCTCATTCGTTGCTGGTATGATCTCCCCAGGCCTTGAAGTGCTTCCTAACACTTTCCATAGTCACCAATGTCTCCAGAATACTCTCTCTTCCACTGAGAATCTGCTTCTTGTCTAAGCTAGACTCTCGCCTCTTCTCCTTCTCGATGGCAGGCTTGATATGATCTCGAATATACCCCACCAGAGCCTTGACTTGCTCGACGGTGAGATCCTTCTTGTCCTGACGGACCTCGAGGACCGTGCCAGATTCTAGTTCATACTCTGGTCCTACATCATTACCACCCCAGAGCTTACTTTCTGTGTCGATGATTGTCGTCAGAAGGGCTGCTGGTTCATTGATTGGGCCAACATTGTTCGCAAGGTCCTCGTGAGTGTTGTAGAGACCTTTCCAGCCGAGGTCCAATGCGGTTCTGCGGATTATGAGAGGTAAGTTCATGTGGGCAGAGATCTGGGTTGATGCTGACGCGTCAGCAGCCTTGCCCTCATCCTCGTTGAAGAAGATTGGATGATTGGGAGGAACCTCAATGTGAGCAAATTGGGGTCTCTTCAAAATCCGAATGTCCCCCATACAGCTGATCTTTACGCCTTTCACCATCTTCGCGTCCTTGGGCATGAAACACAGCATCATCCGCTCCCAAAGTCCAGGGTCTGATAATTCCACGCACCGAAGTCCACCGTATTGCAGCGACTTCTCCAAACCCTCTCCATAATGCATGAGGAAATCCCGGAAGACTCGCAGGTCTGTAAGAGTAATATCGTCATAACCGGAGGAATTTAGCGTGCCACGTTGAGAGAGCACTGCAATGGGACCTCTCCAGTCATGCTTATGCTCCCCTTGCGTGAAGTTGAATATCGAGAGGTTATTTGCAAACTTCCCATCCCAAAAAAAGTTATCCCGGTAGCAGACAACAACAGTATGCTCCAATTAGAAGGTTCGTGCCGGTTCTCCGATAATGGCTTTCGTTGAGTATCCCTTTTTGCCGTTTCGCATAATGGAGATGTAAGATAATGGTTCCTGAACCTCAGCATCAGTACATGTATTTCGTGCATTTCCGGGAGTGTATCTTTGCATTTAAGACATTCTAGCACACCCTCCCATTGCAAAGGAAACCTAGATGCTTCCAACAGTCTAATGGAACATATAAGAGGGGACAAGGAATTGACTTTGGCTTACAGTGTGAGAACCTCTAACCTCCATCAGTTGACGATTTCTCTCGACCACCCAAACAAGTTTTGGTCCAACTGAGGCCTCCGAGAAGAATAAAGCAAGTTTAGCATCTTCTCTTGGACTTTCAGCGCTGAGAAACCCCCTGAAATCTGGACAGACAGTCTGATGGCATCGAGCATCTTCATCTTCGCATGACCTAGAGCAGTACGAAGCCGAGCCGCATACGAAGCATAGAGTTGCCCCGTCTTTATCGCAGACGGTGCATCTCAAGGCAGGCTGGGTTGGGGCTACCTTGCTGGTGATGTGGCTATTGACTTTGGGCAAAGAAGCAGCAAGGTCTGTGGTAGTACCTTGCTGGAATGCCATGTTGAAGATTTGTACGTTCTTACTGGGTAAGCTGATGATAAATGAAGAGCATGAGAAAGTTCTCTTGTATGACCTCTTGTGAAAAAGATGGCAGCGAGAAAGAAATTGTTGCAACAAACGGTCAGATCGAGCTTCACCGGAACTTGGCAACAAAGGAGTTGAGAATGCTTAAAGTTGCTTGGGTCCAAGCAAAGCAATTTCTTGCCTACGTCAAGCTCCTGTCGGAGAGTTGTGATGTTCCGTTCCGTAGTTTGCTAGCTTCGATTGAATGTTTACTTTATATCTCTCTTTTGCTTCACGTCTCCGCAAAAAAACACAGCCGCACCCCATCGACTCGACGACCAGCCGCAACACACAAGTCAAGCCGCAACTCGCGTCATTGCTCGAAAACAAGAACTATGGCTCGGTAAGTTTTTTTTTAGTTTGATCTTCTTCATCTCGAAACTTTCTGACTCGGACCCAGACTCAATTCCTACTCTGGATCTTTATCCGTCGCCTCGTTTGACTCGGACGACGTGAATCTCCTCATGGAGCCAATCAATTGCCTTACGTGTAATATGCCACCGGCGCAAGGAGTCGATGTCCATTGCCCGGAGTGCAAGAAGACTGCCTACTGCTCGGAAGCCTGTCGTGCTGAAGATTATCCAGTACACAAGCTGATCTGTGGACAATATGAAGAGATCGTTGGTGATCGACCAGCCCCGCCAGGTACTCACAAGATCGCCGTGTTATTCTTAGAGAATAACTCCACCCCTCGCCTGATCTGGTTGCCCATCCGTGAAAAGAACGATTACGAGGTCATGAAGATTCGAAAGGTCGACAGCAACTTCTCAGTCGGAGAAGTCTTTAACGTCAGTGGCAATCTCACCGCAGTCAACAAGGAGGTTCCGCGGTTTATGATTGACCATGATATCCTCTTGATTCGCTGCAAGCCCGAGCCTATCCCCCCTAAGACTTCTAACAATCGCGAAAACGCATGTATCGATCTTCTGATGAATCGACGTTCTATCGAAGTCTGGAAGGGTCCGTTTATCATTGTGGCAAAGAGCCGGGATTGTAAGTCTTTGATTCCTTTTCCAAGACGTGTTTTGCAAGCCTGTATTTGAAGATTCCCCAACCTTGCCCAGCACCATCAACCCACTTCTCAAACCGGAGGAAATCAGGAATACTAATTCAGTCATACAGGGAAGGCACCTTATCAGCATGCTACTCTTGCCGATCTTCGCCTCACAGTCGACTTCTTGCGCACTTATGATCCGAAGGCCAGACGAAATGAACCTTTCGACGCAGAATTCATCACACGTGGCATATACGTCCGAACGTCTCTCGAAGAAGTGCTAAACAAAGGAAGATATTCAGGCAAGGTCAAAGGAGTCATCATCTCTTGCCTTGGCGATCGAAGAATCCTCCACCGAGACCACTATGTCCCGGTGGAGATCAAGCGTGACCATCCGGCCTTCTCTCTCAATTGTACGAAGGTGTCTGCTGCCACAGGCTTCACGCTTGTTACGATGGCTCTGCCAGGCGATGATCAGTGGCGCAAGTATAGCAGCGCAACCTTGGGCTTCAATCCTTACGAGAACATCGAAGTCACTTTTATGCACCTCGATATCAGTGCGGTAGATATAGTTTGGGGTTGGGTCAACGGACGCGAATGGGATTACAAAATCGGTAGCGTACTTGTCGTTCGCAAAGATGGAAGAGACGTTACCCCTCAACAAGTCGAGGCACATGCCAAGTTCTGTTACGACGTAATTGAGCCCGCGGTCAACGATCAGAATAAGTTGGAGAGCGACAGACGAAAGGCTGGCAATGAGATGACGAAGAACCAGATGAGATGGGCTAGACGAATGATCATCGAGAAGGTCATGTCCCAAGCTAACTTTAAGGCATTCTTCGCCCAGTTGAAGGAAACCAAGATTGCGGCTGGACACCAAGATTGGGTTGACGCAGTTGATCCTTACCATTAATTCAAGATCGAGAGTACTGGGACGATGAGAGAGCAGCATGTTTCGGTGTGATTAGATGCGGGTTGGGCGTGGCATGGGAGAAGGCGTTGGGTTTCCCTTCGTCTTCGTTTGGACCTAGAAGCCTCAGCACAGCCATACCAGGTTTAATGAATTGAGAAAGTCTTCAAAATATTACGTTCCCTTCTAATCACAGTGATTTTGACACGCGACCAACGCTACTAATTGGCTACAAGATACTGCTGAGATACGCGTCGGCGCTCGTAAGATACTGAACTCGAGCGTAAAGAGATCTTAGTGAATTCACCTTCAACCGCAAGCGGAGAGCTGATATATGGTTTAGCTACAGCTCTAACGCTCTTCAGCTGCGAAACATTTTCCATATTAAGCGAATCCGAAGTTGTAGTATCGCAACGCAACCGCAATTGTCTCAATCGCAGCCACTTTGAATCCTTGAGTACGAACGTGTCACAGTCTTAAAACAAATCAATTACTGACGGATGCTCAATCAAACAGATTAAACCTCTTCGCTATCGAAGCTGAACATTTCACGATGGCGGGTCCTCGTTGCGCCTTCTGCAACAAAGCCTCCCCAGGAGAGAACAGCCAACACAAGAAGTGTGCTGGTTGCCAAGCTACTAGCTACTGTGGTACTGCCTGCCAGAGAGCTGATCGCCCTGTTCACAAGCAAGTCTGCGATCAATATCAAGTCTTCCTCGCATCCACCCCACACCGATCGGAAGACCACAAGCTTGGTATCCTCTTTCCTGTGGAGCAAGTCAAGCCATCATTTGTCTGGGTTAAGTGCGAACAGTGGTATGACTACTATCATCCATATGCGGAAAAGGTTCTTGGTTGCGATGCCAGTGAAACGGAAGCAATTCATGTCTCTCAAACGCTCAGGGCATCAAACCCCAATTCAGAACGTTTCGCATTTCAGCACACTATCAAGCTCTATGTAAGAGGAAATTTCGAGAGAGACGGATCTCAGGTCAACATGTCAATTCCCACACTGATGAAGGACGCAAATGGACACACTTGGAAAGGCCCTGCCCTTGCCCTCGCCAAGCCTGGAACGATGGCAGACCCTCCCGATTTTCAGGACGTCGAGTGCGCAGACCTTCGTATTCTGGCAGACTTCTTTCGTATTTATGGCAACAGCAATTTCGTTCGAGCCGTCAAGATCGCCAGCCTGAACGATCAGCGCACTCATGGCAAACCAGCATACAGCATGGTCAAGCTCCCCAGAAATCATTCCATCTTTCGAAATCTGAACCCGACCGATATCTCCACGCGTATGGGACTTCCGATTCTTGTCGAGAAGTGCGGTAGGATGATACACCCAGCAGAGGGCGACAAACTGGGTTTCAACCCAAATGAGAATCAACCTGCAGTGCTCCTAAACATCATAGCCGATGGGCGAGACAAGCGATGGGGTTTCACTGATATCTCGAAATAGGACAAGGATGTCGGGACTGTCATTGTGGTTCGTCAAGACAAGATCGATATTACTCCGCAACAGGTCGAGGCTCTAGCATCTTTTTGCCGCCGTGTGGTTGCATTTGGTATGAGCCTAGATGCGCTGGAAGATTATTTCAGTGGGAGAGGAGACTGCACCGCCGAGGAGGTGGCGAGGGGGAAAAATGAAATGGCGAAAGCCCTCATGTGTAGAGCTAAGTTCGAGGAGTTCTTCGAGAAATTTCGTGGCGAGAAGTTGGCTGATGGTGATGGAACATGGGAGCATGCTGTCTCGCCTTACGAGATGTGAAAGCCCTCATGTGGACGAGTAAGTTGCGTGGGAGTTTTTTGCTTTTGCACAAGCCCGGCAACTGGACAGCTGATTCGTTACGGCATGATCAGCAACAGCCAATACGTACTTAGACAGCCTGAAATTCATAGAAAGCATGCCTGACTTTTCGAACCTACTTGAATACTTATTTTGAAGTGCTAATTCATCGGCAATGGGAGCATAAGTTCCAGGTTTCAAATGCTAGTGCTTCCAAAGAGCAAAGATGAGAATGATTGACTGTAACTGACAAAAAATTACTAACTCAAAGTCGAAAATTGGAAAGTTGCAAAGCAGAACCGGATCTCTCAGAGACCATCTTTTGTCTTCGGACACTGTCCCAACACAACCACTCATCACAATTGGTTTCTAACTAAAGGAAGAGCATACACGAACAGTAGTGGTCTTCTACAAATTAGGAGCTCTTTTGTTTTATCTGATAATGCTTCTTCTTTTTAATCCTCCAATATTCTCAAGTTAAAACAGAACAGGACTCTTCCCACGTTTCGACATCAAACACTTCCCAAGCAATACCATGGCAAGATGCGATATATGTGACGCGCCTGGCGCTCTGGAATGCCCTACCTGCAACTCGATCGCATACTGCTCTGATAAATGTCGATCTATCAATGCATACGTCCACGATATGCTCTGCAGCCAGTTCGCAAGCATCATCGAATCCAATCCCAAGCCTGTAAAAGGTGCCTTCCTGGGACTCAGCTTCAGACCTGATTCGAAATCCCAGAGTTGGTCTGGCTGACTACACATCGTTCGGGCAAACTTGAGATTGTGGAATCTGGAGAAGCAGAAAACCAGCCTGAATACAAACAATACCTTGGTGCTGGACAGCCAACTGTAGGTCGCGAGGTAATCTTACACAACATTCAACCCAAGTTCCTTTTGGGCCGGACTCTCACCATCGACTACCGCGATAGCGTCTTCAGCGATGGCTCTAAAGAGAATGAGTGTGTAGCCGCTATCTCTGATGGTCACCATCGTCATCGTTGGTGTGGCGAGATCATGTTGGTCAGCATCATCAGCGTGGATCCTCCTCGATCAGTCTACCAAAATGTCACTGTCGCGGACGCTCACATTGCGGCAGCTTTCTTCAGAGGCTCGGGAGCAGGTGTTGGGGTCGATGAATCACTCAGCATTACAAGCTTTTATAAGGATGCACAGGGCAACATTATGCTTTCTACTAAGAAGTATTCAAATGCTAACCAACCCAATTTCGAGCGTCCCGATACCGAGCCTCCTTCTACCCATCGTTGCCATACCAAGCGTTCGAACGTCAATGTCCAAGCAGAAGTATTTGACGAATCACCCGCCTTGACCACTGGAGTTTTTGCTGGACCAACTGCGAAAGGCGTCTTTATCAGATCTGATCATGCCAATATGAACCAATACACGGAGGTCGATATTCCCATCGCTCTTAAGATATTCAACCAAGTTCCTGTCTGTATCTCAAAGATCATGGACATTCCCCTCCTTCTCTACAGGAAGCCGGGTATCAAAGGTCGCACAAATACGGCAGCATGGGCTTTGTGTTTGGATTTCGAGACAAACAGTCCAAAATGGGGGCAAGTGAAGGACAAACAATGGGTCAGAGAAACCATTGGCGGCGCATGGGTCGTGAGACAAGATAAAAAGGATTTGACAGTCCAACAAATCGAAGCTTTGACGGCATTTTGCAGTGGTCCTTTGCATCAAGTCTTGGTTGGAGATGATTTTGTCCGAGAGATGGAATTCTCGATCAAGGCCTTGCACAAGGCGCGGAAGAGAGCACTTGGAGAGCATGCTTGCAAGGGGAAATTCGAGGAGTTTTTCGTACGCATGAAGAAGGAGAAGTCGTGGACCAACGCAGTCTTCCCATATGAAATTTGATGCGGATGAATGAAGAGGATATGGTGGACCTCCAGGATGTGAAATGAAGACTAGACTAGGATTGGATCGATCGTGGGGAGGAGCTTGGTGCTGAGGGACGGGTGCTGAAAAGAAGTGGGATCGTGCAAATAGTTCATTTCGACAGGTATTCAACGAGTCTTCATTGTCCCTAATGATCTTGAGACAATCCGAGGTTCGCGCGTACAAGCTCTCTTGTCTGCTTTGGAGTGGTTGCGAGGGTAATTTGAATGCTTAGTGCTTTGAGCCCTTTATCGAGAGAGAAAGCTAAAGAGAAGACAATCAGCGACTAACAATCCGCACTATAGATTAATGTATATAACTGACTGGGCATATCGGTGATTGCACTCGGCGAGGCTGGAAAGCTGGAAATTTGTCGAACATCATTTAGACCAAACAGAGGATTGTGTAGATCGCCAATGCGATCACTTAGTCTTTGAAAGCCTTGATCCATGCTATGAAAACCAGTCTCAAGTCTTTGATTTATGGCCTGTAAGATTTGGTTTGAGGACTGGAGGTTTTGGCGCATGTCTTGGACACTCTGGCGCATGGCTTTGCAAATCGCTATGAATATGTTGTTGAAACTGTTGTATTGTTTCGAGGAGCATGGCTAGGTCTGCCACTCCGTTCTCTGGAGCATCATGATCCATACTGGCACGGCGGGCAAGAAGCGTAGAAGAGTCTCGATGGCGAGTTGGGTTGTAGGATTGATGACAGATGAAAACGCAGAAGGCTACGAAGGTCGCGGTCAAAAGTATGGAATCTACAGGGCATTACCCACTATAATGCCCTATAAAGTCACCATATTGTCACTGAAAACGCTATATTTACAGGCGTTTTGCCCTGAAGGGCTGCTATTGGCTCTGGTGAAGTGGCATTCGCTAAAGAGGCCTATTATGCCCTGTAATCGAGTGTCTGAGCGCTGTAGTTGCCCTGTCAGCGAGTTTAGCGGGCATAGCCTGTAATTTAGTAGCAATACCCTGTAGATTCCATACTTTTGACCGCGACCTTCGTACATCAACGTTGGATGGTGTTGAGGGTTGCCTTCCAAGCGAGCGAGGGGCGCTAGGCCGCATTTGTGCGCGGGGTCAAACGTGACTTGAGGCAACAATGTTCAATGGATATCAAGAAAGGATAGATGAATGGAATATGTTGTATTGAGAGGAGTCATATTGTTTGGTATTTCAAATGGAAGCCAAGTTGGAATTTGGTTTGCGTCGGCAGGTAGGGAAGACAGGAGTTGAAGCAAGACAACATCAGATTGCACGACAGACTAACCACTGTGTCACGGATCAGGATTCCTTCAGCAGATTTTAAAGATGGGGTCTCTCTATAGTAGAAAGAACCTGATCCAAATGCACTGCTCGAAGTTCATGTTCTTTGATAGAACTGCATGTGGCTGTGCCACCCTCAGAGTGTTCCGCAATTCTGCGGATATTGCACAGCGTGCTTCATCATCGACATGAATCTCTCTACATCAATAGCATTCACATACGTGACATTCCGAAGATTAGGAGGTGCCAGAACCTGCTGGTATACATGCAAATTTCCCCAGGTTGGTGAGGAATATGAGAGGTCCACATCAACATAGACTAGATTCATTAACCTTAGTGTGCCTAGATGGGAAAGCCAGTCACTGACCGGTACTAGTACTTGTAGCCAAAGTGGGGTCTACTAGAAGTCCCATTGCAGTCTCCTATTTCAACATTGAGCAGTCAGAATTGGCTTTTGGGGTGTTTGGGCTGTGTGGGAATATAGTATAGAAGCAGAACTTACATCCCAAAACGCATATGTGGTCCCAAAATATTCATGCAGGAGTTCGGTGTAAGGATTCTTCACCTCATACAATTCATCCAGGAACTCCTGAGACGTAAGAACTGTACTAGCAACATTCCCCACCACCACAATCTCAGGGAAATCTGCCGTCAAAGCAATCTTCGCTGCTTCAGGATCAACTTTCAGATTGATGTCTGAATAGATGGCTGATTGTGCGAGAGAACCAGTAGCCTAGATCAAATTAACGCCAGCATCAAAAGTGATGAGGCTTTTTTACCTGAAGAATATTCACATCGACATACCCTCCCATAATCACCAACTCCTTTGCCAAACTCGCAAATTCATCATCTAATCTTACAGCAAGAGCTACATTCGTCAGTCCTCCAGCAGCATAAATACTTACTTGCCCCGGATATTTCCTGACCTGCTCAACCATAAATTGGGCAGCAACCTGCCCTTGCAAAGCAGTCGTATTCGGAAATCCTTCCACAAAGGCAGCTTTCTCGATGCGGTTTGGGTCCGAGCCGGAAGTTGGATCAGCTCCAAGTGCTTCCGCTGTGGCGTTGTAAGGAGCGAAAACCCCTTGAAATACCAAAGGGCCACTGAAAGCTTCCCACGTCTGAAGTCGTGAGATGGTGTTTACGAGAGGGTAAGTGGCGCCGTAAACGACGGGAATGCAGCTGAGGTTTCCGATTTCCAGAACTGCTAAGGCGTGGTATGCTGCTTGTTTTTGCCAGGTGTCGCAGGTTGCTGGGGCATCACTTTGTCAGTCGAAAATATGTGGATAAAAGACAGCAATCTCACATGAAGCTACGCCGAGAATCTCGATTCCAGCATCAAGACCCATGAGAATGGGAATGAAAGAGGTCGATCCCCAATCGTTGTTTAGAATTGCGTATCTTGTTGCATTGCTTTCCGCGACGGTCCTGGATTGGAGTATGGCGAAATATATAATCATCAACTTGAGGTACCACATTTTCCAATTCGGTAAGAACGTTGAGTTTTGAGTAAGAAACTTCGTGGAGAGGTTATGGGAAGAAATAGTGACTTCTCAAAGCTTGGCTTGATTACTGTGCAATCATAGGTGTACTACTGCAGGCTGTTCCTGCAGGTGCGTTGCAGGTACGCTTCTGCATGGTGACGTCTGCGAGCGGACACACCATGCAAGGTCGAACAGTGCGATGCCAGTTGCGATCTTCATGATGACCAAGTTCTTGCACCTGCCGTGCTTGGAGAAGACGAATTGAGTGAAAAAAAAAAGAGGGAATGGGATTCTACCCCTCAGTTGTTGTAAGCGCACCGAGGCGCCCAGAAGCGCCAATGTCCAGCTATCCAAGCTGCAGCCAGGATTACATCTTGGCGAGTCATATCTACTCAATCTATATCAACATTTCATGATAATAGACTTATAAAACAATAGATTTATTTTATTCTATAGATACGATTTGATTTCACAGGACGATCAAGTAGAAAACTTGGGGGATATTTGATGTTCTCACCAAAATTAGGTGAGATGCAATCTTGGCCGCACTTTGGGATAATCTAAGCCTGAAATATTTCGTTTAGGGGGGCAGCTTGGGGGGCACCACAGCCTGAAAAAGTGTTTTTTTTTTTTTTGTTTTTTTGAAACACAGCTTAGGGGGCTCGAGAAGCAAATTTCGCTTGCTAAAAGAGACGATATCTGGATCAGTCATATATCCTGTGTTCGTCCCTCTCTCCCATCATTCCTGCCAAGAAGTGATTGCGCGCAAATCATCTTGAGGACTACTCATACGACTTAGGGTGGAATTAAAACCCTATATCTAGTAAAATTGGAGTTCCAGACTACTGGGACTTGTTAAGAAGCAAAAAGATGACCAAACTATCGCGATTTATAGGTGGTGCAGAAGGAGAGAAGGATCGGCTGTCCGTCTGAAGACTTAAGCAGTACACCAACACAGCAAATACCTTGACTAACATGCCGAGATACGTGCATTGGGAGTCTTCGTGTACTGATATTTATCCTATACCCGCTTTACCGGTGTTGCTTCGATGAGAAAAGTCTGATCGCAAGAAACGTAAGTAGCCCCCAAACAACTTTAGGACTCCCAACGCAAGCATTGCTTTTATATAGACGCTGAGGCTTTCAACTTAGCGTGGCAGCTAGTGGCCCATCTTACGATGAACAGTTGCACAGTAGTACATTCTCGCGAGTCAAAAGTTTTGAGACTGTGATATAAAAACTGATCCTCCAACCGCATCCCCTCATCTCATTCCATCTTCCCACAACATCGACTTGGAGCGCGACTTGCTTACTTCTTCATCAAGTACTCTCGTACTGATAAGATTGTTCGGGTCTCGCTTTTTAACTATCTGGAAAGCTTTCCTAAGCGCAACTTAGAGACCTGAGACTTGCGACGACTTTGCGCTCTCAGAACCCGCGAAGTCCACCTTCCTTCTTACCTTCTATCAATATCCACCACAACTATGTGCAATGACATACACACAACCCACACTTGTGGGCACCTCACTCGCAGTCAAACCCGATGCAGCACTTTGGTCAAATTGCAAAGAAAGACATCTACGCTCACAATAGAGCAATGCCCGAAGTACAAGCGATTTAACGACACCGCCACGACAAAGTGTAATCAGGTTGGGGAACAATACTGCTTCCTGCCTGGTAAGCGTAAGTGTCCTTCATCCAATTACGAAAGGCGCAAATTGACATTCATAGGACGTGATGCGCAGGAAAATTGGATTGCGGACTTAAGCCCGTAGGAGAAGAGAGCAATTGCACTCAAGGAAGCTGCTGAGGCGAAAGCGGAGATGGAAAAGAGATTTGCCGCAATGCCTGTCGCAGATGTAGAAATGGTAGGTCCGGAAGAAGCGTTGATCTTGGAGAGGCATCTCGGTGTCCAGAAACCTTTTTCTTGGGAACGAGCAGCTGCCAAGGAGGCCACTTCACGCGCCGCAGTCGAAGAGTCGATGGGCATATCATCAAAGGGAGCCGTCATTACCTATTCAACTGCCACAGAGGAAGCCATGGTCTGGGAGAAATCAACTACTACTGAGAAGTCGGCCTTTGCCCGGGACAAGCCAATTCCATCCAAGAAATCAAACATCTCGGCGCAGCCGACATCTCTCAGAGACAAACAAATACTATGGGAAAAGGAGCACGTCGTCAATAAGCCGGCGCCATACCAGTCAAAGCCGCTAGCCTGGGAAAAGTCAAACTCCCCTAACAAGCCGACGCCATACAAGTCAAAGCCTGTGACAGGGGAAAATCCCAATTCCTCTAACAAGCCGGCACCATACCACTCAAAGCACTTGGCCTGGGAAAAGCCAAAATCTTCTAAGAAGCCAAGTTTTGCACAAGAGAGGGCTTTGACACCAAAGAAAGCACCGACTCCGAACATGTCACCCATCCGAAGACAGGTCAATACTCAGATGAACAGAAGTCCGCTCAAGAAGGGATTGGATATCGGCAAACAGAAGGTGTCGAACGATGAAGAAATGCAAGGCATGGACATTGACAGCAAGCCCGAGAAAGATCATCAATCAAGCCTCAAGAAGTCTCGTTGGGTAAGAGGCCTTTACACCCAGAATATGTTTTGACGTTGGAGACTGACATATAGCGTAGGCATAGAAAATACCTGAGGTCCCTTCTCAGAGCTTTCTTTCATCGTCTGCCATTTCCTATTGAATATGATCACGGCACCGAGGTATTCACGTGGATTCTCTTTGGACTTGTAAGTCGCCATGCATCTTCACGACAGAAGATGTATTGACTCCATGTAGTCTGTTCTTTGAATTAGTCTTTCTTTACTTTTCTTGTACACCGGAGCATGGTATTGGACATGAAGGTCTTTGGCTTAGGGACTCTTGGAACTTGGATTTTTGAGTTGTCATCCTGGCCAAGCTCATTGACATGTTGGTCTTGAGCCACACCTCCACTAATGCTATTGCATAAATCACAATGGGAATCACTACCTACCGTGAATGGTGAAGAAGCGCAACAAACATAAATTCATACTTCCTGGTTTCGAGATTGTGCAAGCTAGTGCTGCGGCGATGAGAAAATTGTGACTATGATCTTCATGAACAGAAAAAGTAATGACCGGTTCGCAAAGTATAAACCGTAATATCAACGGATTAGGAAGATACAACGGAAAATGCATTGGAGTCCGTATGACGTGAGATCGAAGATATGAAAATGAAAATAGATACGCAATAACGATGGTGTTGATCCTCAATTATATATTTGCAGAGAGGAGAGACATCATTCGCGATTTTGCTGCTTTGGACCACCTTGTGTCATCTTCACTTGAAGGAATCAAATCCTCTTGGGCTGTACAAAGATGTCAGCCATGCCATGCAAATCCAGAGCACAGAGGCTTACAGACGATTCCGCAGCACTTGGAGAAGATCTCCTCACTATCCCTGTCGGAATATGTACCTAGAGCGTTAGCGGAAGGGTTCCTCCACACGGACAAATCGAAGCCCCTCTATCACGACACGATGGATGCAATTGACGTGAAGTTAGAGGGGAATGGTGACATGGGATGCGACGTGAGTTTCTAGCCCCTCATATTGGTGCACAAAATTTATATATTGGTTGCCATCGTCGTTCTAATATGAGAGTTGCCAAGAGTTGAGGTTTGAGATTGAGGTGCCGTGAGCCCTGGAACGAGACGCTGAATAAGCCAAGCCACACCAAGCCCTCTCACACCATGTGGCGCTTTCTCTCCACTCTTCCGTTTTATATCCTCAGTCTGCCACCAAATGCCAATGCAGCCACGTATAAACCTGTTCTTCCGCCTTCTTATCCCCTCGCAGTCCGAAACCCGTATCTCTCAGGTAGGAAGTCTGACTTCTGCTTGAGACGGCATTGACAAGATCACAGCATGGGTGCCAGGAAATCAGGTCGCGAATCTTCCGACTGCAACCCCACAATTCTGGGCGGGACAGGATCTCTCCTGGAGTGTCCTAACTAGAATCGATGGCACCACGTACAAGATATTTGGTGCTCCTGCTGCTCTCACCGGCTCGGTCGATGCATCACTGGTCAGTGCCGAATACACATCGTCGCATTCCTTGTTCACCTTGACGGCGGGTCCAATCACTGTCGTCCTAGACTTTTTCTCTCCTGTATCGCCGAAGAACTATTTGCGACAGTCGCTTCCTTTCAGCTACTTAACTGTTTCGGTTTCTGGAACGGCGAGTCACGAGATCCAAGTCTACTCGGACATCGATGAATCGTGGACTGGTCAAAGTGGGAACACGGTTGGGACATTCAATTCGTCATTTAAAGATGGGTTGTCCATATTTGAGCTCTCTGTGAATGAAGCCTATCTCTATTCAGAAAATTCCGAAAGTCAGGCATTGTGGGGCGAGAATGTGTTTGCGTCAAAACCAACATCGTCTTCAAACCTTTCTTCTGAAGCGGGATCAGCTACTTCTGTCCGAGAACGCTTTGCTACGAATGGCACTCTGTCTGGAGCAACGACCTTTAGTGATGGATATGTCGTTAGTCTTGCTCATGACCTAGGCTCTACCTCGAACTCGTCCGTGACCTTTGTTGTCGGATATGTCCGAGAAGCGGCTATCAATTATCTCGGCAGTGCCAGAACCGGATACTACAGAGCTTCATATCCAGATACTGGGACGGCAGTCTCGTACTTTCTAGACGATTATACTTCTGCTTATTCCGAGTCTTTGGCGTCCGATGCTACATTGGAACAGAAAGCGTTGGCAGCAGCAGGATCAAATTACTCAGACATCTTGCTTCTGACTACCCGTCAAGCATATGGAGGGGCTGATATCACCATTCCAAACGACACTCTCAACACGACAGACATCATGATCTTTCTAAAAGAGATTTCGAGCGATGGGAATGTTAATACACGTAAGTAAATGCCCCTTTTTCACCCATAGTATGCTAATTCATGTTTTAGTTGACGTCATCTTCCCAGCATTTCCAATATGGTATGTCATGTCTCCTGATTATATCCGATATCAACTCGAACCTGTTCTCCAATACCTTGAGACTGGCCTTTGGACACAAGTAAGCGCCCACCTCTCATTCACAAACTCAGCTGAGCTCAAAGTCCTTCTGCATCCACGATATAGGTACTCATTACCCCAATGCTACTGGCCATAACAACCAAATCGAGGAAGACATGCCTGTCGAAGAAAGTGGGAACGTGATCCTCCTCGCCTACGCCTACGTCCAAGCCACGGGCGATCTTGCCTGGGCTGAGAAATACCAAAATCTGTTCACGAAGTACGCCAACTTCCTTGTGACAGGTGGGCTCGACGAACCTGTTCAACTCGCCACGAACGATTGTTGCGGCCCTCTAGCCAATCAGACCAACCTGGCCATCAAAGCTGCAATCGCTCTGAATGCTTACGGGAAGCTATTCAACGCTTCCTCGTATTCTGACACTGGATTGTCGTTCGCCAATGAACTGTATACCAAAGGTCTCGGTCTCGATAGCGAGAGAACGCATTTCAAGCTCCAATACGGGACCAACGTAACTTTTGGAAATGACTCCGATTATGCCGTAGTGTTCAACATCTATACAGACATCCTCTTCAATTTTCAAACCTTTCCAGCCTCAACGTACACTATGCTCGCATCCTACTATCCTACTATCCAAGGTGTCGCTGGTGTCCCTCTCGATTCTCGCGTTGATTGGAGCTCTACATTTTGGACTAATTGGGCAGGTGCTGCTTCTCCTGGAAAAGATAATGAGACAAGGGATCTGTTCATCAATGATGTTTGGAGCTACATGACAAACGGATTGAACACACCGCCTTTCAGTGATAGATGGTTTGCTGTTCCCGGGAGTGGTGGATTGGTTGGGGGGAGTGGAGACCTAATTGGAGGTTATGATGCTTGGAGGAATCGTCCTGTGGTGGGAGGTCACTTCGCAGTATTGGCACTGGAAGGAGCAGACCAATTTTGATGGGACATGATCTTTGGAGCTTTCAATTAGCTACGTATAATTGCAAAGTTCTTCGTTCTACACTATGATGAGGGACTTTTGAGGTAGTACGTGACTGAGACACTCGCCTCGCTAGCCGAGCATTCCGCCACTCCCTACATTCAACAAACACCAAAAAGAATGGCAAAAAGGTTCAAGGCCACTACGCGAGCGCAGCAGTCTCTAATCCTTTCGAGAATCCGAAGATCCTCTGTTCTGTGATGTGTGTAGTCAGGAAGTTGCAGACAACTTCAAGGCTTAAGATCTCGGTGCAAGAATGCTACCTTGATCGGTGGTCTTGGGAGTCAGCTCAGGAGAGCTGTTTTCTCGGGTGGTAAAGCCGAGACTAACCTGCTGACAACAAGAGGGGCTATCGGTGTGGTCAAAATCTGCTTATTAGAAACTATACGGGAGGGTTGGGCGGGAGATATGATAGGTAGGGATGGCTGGAATGCGGGAGTCTGCAGGAGGCGTTTGCGATCAAATCTTGTACTGAGAAGTGATGAACTGTCCTCTACTACCCGAAAAGGACCAAAAGGAAATCATTGAGTCTACAAGTCGTTGGCACGGAGTTCTTGGTACTTGTGTATTGAGAAGCATTCATTCTTTGAAATCTGGCAAGTATCTCTCTTCAGTGAGTAGAGCAGAACACTCGCTCGAAACTACCCCCTTGCATCCCACTGCTAGCACGATTTATTTCACAAAGAAAAGCATCGCTCTACTCATTAAACAAGACCTGCGCTTTCTGAAAATCTTCTCACGGTTGTCGCTGTTATTATATTGTAACAGTGATATTTACTTTGAAAGGGGAGGGGACAAGGTTAGGGGAAAAGCGAGACCCCGCCACACCGCCACATCTGCAAAATTCTCACACCCACAAAAAGACCCCAAAAAAAAAAAACATACAACAGCAGGTATTCGCTGATGGTCACCCACTCAACTACTAATCTGCCGATCTGAGGCTTGAGTATGGCAGAGCGGACGGGATGCCCTATTTTCCTCAGTCTATGGTCGTATGTGATGGAACATTGTTGCATTAAAACTTATATACTCACTAAATTGGCCTGATATCGTAAGCCGAATTATTAATTGAAAGATATGGAAGTAAGGAAATAAGTCAAGAACGGAGATCGGAGGCAAGGCCCAGCGACATAATCAAGGAAAGAGAGCCTTTATAATGTGGAAAGGTCTTTATGTAGGAGCGGGTGACTGGTTTGTGTCATGTACCCACGTGACTATGTAGTTTTGAGACACTTCCAGGTTTAGAGGCACGAAACCTTTTAGTTGACGAGATGCGTACTTATACTCAGCATTTCGATGGAAGTCTTGAATTTTCAGACCTGGAAACCAAAAATTCATTGCCGTTTTTAGATAACGATTATCGGCACTTGCTACGCAAAAGCTGTATCCACACAACTTCAAAATGCTGGTTTCAGAGCCTACATGGCTACTATGAGCTTAAAAGCTGTCCCGTGGCACTCTCTGGTACGATTACACTAATTTTTGGACTAAGAAAGACACTGATGGAGTGGGAATTTAGATCATGTCCGAAAACTAGATGCGAATGACTAGGGCCGCTCATAGAAAGTCTGCATCTGAGGTAAACTCTAATCAGGCACCCTTCAATTCGAATGAAAGAACTTCAGATGAGAAGAACCTAAAGGCAGAGTGCGAGGAAGAAGCCGGGGAAAGCGAAGAGACCTATCGAGCTAAGCATGATGGCGATGATATTTCAACAGTCACGAACGAGGACGACGGTGTGAGAGCGCGGAAAAGGACAATGGAGATCTCCGAGGTCGAATTGTGCTATTACACGTGATTTCCATCTGACAAAGATGATCAAGCTGCGTCTTATCCCCGACTTCCATTAACTTTCGATCCTGAACTAAAAGGTCGCAAAGGACTTAAGTTTGGAACAGATCCAAGCTGCGAGATTGTTCTACCGAGACTCCGTAAGATCAGCCAGCATCATTGCTACCTCACATTTGATGCAGAGCGACGATTGATCTTGCAAGGTTGTTGGACGCACAAAACATCGTCAAATACGACGACAGAGGGCGCAGGCTATTCAACAAGTTACCATGCCACTCTAAGCTATCTCAATGGCAATTGTTTGTGTGATCGTTTATGAGGTAGGAGTGTAACTCAGGACGGAACAAGCATTGAAGGTCCTGGTACTAAGTATTTGGTTAGAAACGCTTTACCGAGAGTCAGTTGGAAGGTTCTTAAGCGCTAATCTTTGAATGCCATATTTCATGCCATTTCCATCACGTTAAGGTATATGTACGAAAGGAATTATACACTACTCGCTCGAGCCGCCAATCTTAAACTCTACCTGGATAAGGTTGCAAAACGACCTTAGATAGAATTGTCATCATCCCCAGTTCCATCATCACCATCACTAGAGCAACTCTTTCTCTTTCTTATCTTTCGCTCCACTTCATTCCTAACCTTTACATTCGGTGTTATGCCATCGATCGGGACGTGATCAATATAATAGTCCTGAAGGGCATGCTCTACACCCTCTGTTGACGGGTATGCACCCAATCCAGCAAACAGGGGCAAGATGTTGTCTTGGATGTCCTGCAGATCCGTAGCGGCAAGCCTTTGCTTCGAGCGCCAGATTGCAGCCATGGGATCTGTGAAGGTTGCGTTGTCTGGGTATCCAAATGCACTCAAGTCCACGTCGGTGACATTGAAGGCAGCCATCTATGAGATTGTGAGTCCTTGCTGTGAATGCGACAACGAAGGCGGGAAGATCTCGTACCATGTCATGATCCTCATGTACTAGGTTGTGGCAGTGGAACATATAGACACCACCCCACGGTTGGTAATTAGCAATGACTTCCACGGCTTCATTCTCCCCGAGATACACGACATCTTTGAGAGCCGCTGCTTCATACTCTTCTACCACACCTATGAATTTTTCATATTAGCGAAACATTCAGAACGATGCATTCGGATTCATGGTGTACCTCTTCCTCCAGTTCTCGAAACAACCTTGAAGTCGATAAGATGGATATGAATAGGATGTGACCATCTACCGGCCTTATTAACCAAACGCCATCTCTCGACGCCTCCTTGAGGCGGTTTGGCAAGGATTCGGTTTGGGATATCTTCGAAATCAACACCATTGATCAACCATTGGCCGTTGGCTCTTTCGAAAACAAATTGATGGTCGATGGTTGTGTGTGACCCAGGGTCTGTCAAATCTGCTAATTGGGTAGGCAATGGCCCATTGTTCTCATCTGATGTCACAACGGATCCGACGATCCATTTTATTCTGCCTCACAGTTAAATTCGGAAATATGTACAAGGCGGAACACGACTTACACTTTGTTCGTTTCGGGGTAATCTTCATTCGTTTGAAAATTGCGCTCGTTCATTAGAACTAGACTATGGCATTGTAAGCTATTTGCAAAGTTTTAGTTACCGGCTCTATTAAATAACCTTTTGCCTTGATATAAAGCGAAGTCAATCACAATTTCCCAACGCTCTGCCATTGCTATGACAAGACTATCGGTGGTGACTGGGTGGTCCATGAAGCCAGCATCCGCACCGATGACAGCAAAGGGAAGATGCACGGATGGGTTTGCCTCGTCGACCTAGCTGCTGTCAATAATGCCTTACGGTATGGGAATTGAGTAGTACTTACTAAGTACAGGCTAAAAGATCTGGAAACACTTGCATCGAGAAGCCGAAACTTATACTTTCTGGGCTCAACTTGGTGATAGGGCCACGGAACTCCATTGACAGTGACGACATCGCCGTACAATGACACCCTTTCATCAATCGGCGAGAATAGACTCCCGTCTTTATTGAACTACTTCCCTGCAAGCATGAGGGGAATGTCGTAGTCGCCTGTTGGCAGAGTCGTGGGAGCCTCGGGATCTGTGAGTATATAGAAGCCTAGGGATGTTAGTTGAAAGCAATAACCTGTAGAAGCGAATATTACCAGCTTGTCCAAAATACGCATTCACGGCCGTGATGCCAATAGCATGATCGTGATACCACAGAGTTCTCTGAGGCTGTCCATTAGGATAGTAATAGTCCTGGGGTCTGTAAATGGATAAACTTTGCAATAGATCAACGCGAAATTACCTTGAATTCCCCTGGGTTTGTTACATCCTCAGCCCATCCATCCCAAGGTGCACGTGAGTAGCTGCCATGGAGATGGATCGACGAAGGTCTATCATAGGAATTGGTGAAGCGGACAACAGCTTCACGGCCTCGAGACATGCGGAGAGTTGGCCCAGGGGCCATGCCATCATAGCCAACGTAAGTGGTTGGGCCGACTCCCGAACTGAGGGGATACTGCGTGAGATGATCTTAGCCAAATGTATTCATAATGACTTGAATGGATTACTGAGTACTGTCTGAGCAGTGAATTGACGAATATCAATCTCGAAGAAATCAATCACTGTGCCATTCACTGGCTCGATATAAGTAACCTTTGGCTGTGAAGTTGGCATGATAGCCAATGGTGCTTGGAATGGTGTATAACTTGTGTCGCATCAGTGTCAGGACGATGACTCTGAAAAGTGGGTGTAGGAGAACTTACGGAGGACTTAGCCAATCCTTGATCCCATTTGATAAAGTTGGCACTGTTTGGGGTAGAGCTGCAGCTTTGACATAGCCAACAACACTCAACTGAAGCAAAAGATTGATATAAGTCATGGCGGGCATTTTGAAGCTGGTGTTGAGTCCAACGACACGATTTAAAGGATTATTCGCTTAAGACGAGAGCTTGTTCGTGCAGAAACCGAAATATAGGTTGATCGAGGGTAGTGCTTACACGGGTCTATCTCCAACTATATATACGCTCAAATCTGTTCATACATGCGATGCGATATGTTGCTAGTTCAAATCCGATCTGAATGAGACCTCTTGAGAAGCTACCTGCATACGTTATCGACAACCTCAGGTGAGCGACATGCTATTTTACCCCTTGTTCCGAGTTATAGACACGGCAAGGTCCTCCTTTATCAAGTGGAGCCAATGGTAGGAAAGGATTCTCACGGTGTTCTGTGTCCGCAAACCCACTTCGGTCCCTTCAAAATGCCAGTGTAGCATAGAAGCCTACTTGATTGGTGTATAACTAGCATGAGAAGGCTTATCAAAAGCAGTCTGCCTAACCTCGGCAGCTTTTCCTAGATACTGCAGCACATTGAGGGAATTCTGCAACCTTGAACCTCACTTTACCCTAACCAGAGCTGAGATAGGAAGGTGGATTCGAGTAGAGGGTGTCTCTAAAGGAGACTGCAGCCGTTGTCGGGGTGTCTACGTTGTGTTCGTGACTTGAGGCTACCAGCCCACTGATATCCCAAGGAAGATGCTTCTCCGGTCGACATGAGCCAAAATAACGGGACAGCGAGCAGGTACCGAGTAAAATGGACGCCTCTTACGTGCAAAACAGCCAAAGCTCAGGCACGTAACGTTAGCCGTATTATTAATAACAATAGTTCCAAGGTAATACTTGAAGCCAATATCCTCAAGCATGTTTTCTTCTTGGGGACTTCGAAATCATCACCTGAGAGGATCTATTGATGCCTAGCACCAGCCAGGCATGCACTTTCCAAACTTGGTCACGTCTTCCTGAGGTTGGAGACGCGAGCTCTTGGCAGAAGTACTCTGAACTGCACGGAAATAAAAGTCGAGCCAATGGGGTAACACCGGGCGTTAAAAATAGTCCTTATCTCTAGGACTTGAGTATACGGTAATGATACATTCATTTCTACAGAACACTAAGAACAGGTTTTGCTGTTCTCACTTGTATTGACACAAATTCCTTGTCTAGAAAAATGAAGAAGAACTCCCAGGCGTGTTCGCCTCGGCATCAGATTCGAGAAGTGCCATACAGGTGTGGCTTGAAGATTTCAAATCTTCTTCTAATGGTTGATAATGAATTCGAAGATCTCATGGGTGATTTGTAACATTTGTGTAATCGCCACAATCACGTTTCAGGGTTTTTGAAGCTAGTGAACGTGTGTGCCAATGGAACGACTGCCAATTTCTGCAATTGCCAAGGGAAAACAGGCTAGGTTTGAAGGCGAAGCATTGATAAGGCACAGTGTTCCGGATTACGCCATAATAAGTAGTGGTGGTTCACTCAACCAAGCAGAACTCTAGGATTCTTCCGAATGGAAGCGATGATTCCCAGAACCTTGGTCTTGGCTTCCAAGCTCCCATGCCCTTTGTCCCCCTAAACGTATACCACCCCCGTGGGGTATATGCAAGCACGGCCCGTAATTCAATTCCGGAAAAGGTAGCACAAGGGCACTAATGTATCGGGAGAGGTTCCGGCCTTGGTAGGGAGGTCATGAGTTCTATCACATTTCTCGGGACAGGGATAACATTGGTAACTCAGTTCTCTTGCATGATGGGGCTCTTCAAGCTTCTTTACTAAAATATATTGTGGCCAGGTCCAAAAGCTTCTTGGTTTTGGTTGGTATTTTCTGCCACTTGCCTTTCTCTTTATTTTGAAGAGATATATAGCATATACAACAAAATGTCGAAATTAACGCCTGGGATTTTGTCTAGAGATCCATGCACTCGAAAACCGAAAAATTTTTTCACAAGGATGTTATCCCTTTGGGGACTTTCAAATTGGTGACCTGTACCGGATTCGTTCAAAAGAGCTTGGCTACAGTACTTGGTGGACAGGGAGACTAACGACTAACAAGGTTTAGAAGTGATACGGGCAGCGGTTCGGCCCATGGCTGACTCGTTAAGCGACATGCACACTCAACACGAAGGTACACACACACCTTTGGGTAGGACCTTTCTGATTCGTTTGAGAAACGACATATTGTGAGCATGCCTCTCGGTATCGTTGGGGGAGCAATGCTTGCACCCCTTCGTGGTTCAGTTAGCGCCTTCCCCAAACACCCTGACTATGACATGTTATTATTTGTCTGAACGTGCTCTATTGTCGCCCAGGACCTGATTTGGAGAGCTTCGCCGCGGGAAAGTGCATATTCGCGGGGCAAGTCCTCAAGAGTGGGACTACTATTATTACCGACATGCGCGCCGTGTTTAACTGCCAAGATATGCAGGAAATACTCCGCCCCCTTGAAGAGGCTCTAGCGTTAACGCTTTGGGTAACTTGTGGAGTAGGATTCCGGGAGATCTTGGGAATAAAGGTCACGGGAATCGAGGGCTGCCAGGGAACTGCCAACCTGCTCCAGGCACCATCAGCATAATACACAAACCAAGTATTTAATTGAGTTGTTCTGCCCCTTGTAAAAACAGTTTTAAAACAAGGTTAACTCGATTTAGAAGAAGACCGAAGATAAAGGCCAAAATGTCACAATCTACTGTTTTCAATTTCCGCAAGGGTGAAAAGTGGGTCTCTCAAAATAGTTTGACAAGACTGTTTTTAGTCCAAAAAACAGAAAAAGCGCTCACAATCAAGTGATCGTTTTTCTTTGGGGCAAATTGGAGATTTGGCAGGGTATTCGACCCTTAAGTCAAAGCACTAATAAAAGCTCAAGGTTTGGATGAGCAGGGGAAGTGAATTAAAAGGCCTGAACAAGGGCATTTTTGGACTTTTCGAGTTTTTGGCTTATAGGGTCTGCAGAACAACTCTATTGTCCTGTGTGAAAAGGCTGACCAAGCTTTGATCCCACCTACAAAGTAGCGGGTTAGAGTTTTCAGAGGTGGCGAAGAGAGTACTGTTGAACCTCCTCTTGTGCCTTGGCCCATCACGCCGCTAGACATCAGACAAATAACTCACGTGGCTCAGCGTAGGGAATGTAACACAGAGTTGTTCCTGATCTAAGAATCATTCACTTGCATTGCATCGGATATTGATTCTTGGCTGAACTAGACACACTCAGGAAGGACCTAAACACTCAGGTTAGCCGCTCAGGCAAGTTCGCCCTTCGTGATTCAGAGCAAACTCTGATCAAAGGGTATTAAGATTGCTCACTAAGATGGATCCAAGCAGCAGTTAAGCTTCGCTTTGCTTTAGCGCCTCAATCTTCTCAAGACAGGCTGCGTGTAGACTCATGTGGAGCAAGTTTCCCTTTTTCAGCTACTCATATTGAGCCTGAGCAATATACAATATGGTTCCCACAAGAATGTTCATTTTGTGAGTCTTCATTAAGGTCAATCGAAAGCTGCATCTTTAGTGACGACCGAACTTCAAGCATCTTTGCTCGAAATGCGGTTCTTTGCAACAAAAATGAAACTTCTGGCTTCCTTCCTTCTCCTTCTGGTCTTTGCCTATGCCACGCAAGACGCACCTCCCTACGGCCCAAGCCAGTTCAGTAATATCGGCACGATCAATGAGTAAAGACCTTGTTCTCATAATGAATGAATGTTCTGCTAATTGGTTTGCTACTAGTCTCACAGTCACGGATCCGTCAGACCTCTTCTCAGGTGGAACGATCACTGTTGATGGTATTTCTATGATCATACCAAACAATTCCTATGTCACCCTCCCTTCAATCTCAGTGATGTGGTCAGAGCTCTTTGTCGGTGGTGCTCCACAGCTTCCACAATTTGGGGCTCCTGGAGTTAGCTGGGAAGCCACCGTGTATGGCAACCGCATTGGTGACATTTACGTTGTTGCCCTTGTCTATATAACCCAGTCTTCAGTCAGAATTATCCAAGGCTTCGTTAATGCTATTGATCTTGGAACTGGCGAGTTTTGGGTGGCGGGGACCTCTGCTGCTCCAGGAACTGGCATCAGAGCGCGCCTAAACGACCCTGTTGGTAAGCTTATATATGCTCTCTTCAGACACTCAATAGCTATGTTCCAAGATTTTAAGTGTCACAATAGGACGATATGGTCTTGAATACCTTGATCATCCACTCTGGACTGTCGATGCCGAAAGTCCATCAGTTACAGCAGCAACAGGATTCCCCCTTTGCATTCCTCGGTATGCCAACGGGACAGACGACCCTCTTTGCCCACTGAAGAACCGAGTCATCAATGGTGGAGTACCAACCTTCATGTAAGCAACATTAAACTCCAATATCTATTGTTGCTCACAATGTAAAGCCAATTCAAGACAGCCGCCACCCGTTCGACAACAGACCCAGATCCGAATGTCATGGCACCATTGATGGTTGGTGACTATATTACCATCAACGGCATTGAAGTCGGTGACGGCCTATTGGCGGTATACTCTCTCGTAGCCAATCTTGGCTTATACACAGCCCCCCGAGAAACTCGTAAGTGCAATGTGCCTTTGCTCTAGTACTTCGGAAGCACAACTAATCCGTTCCTTCTAGCGGCCTACATCCGCGTCGAAGATGCCCGCATTGGTGTACCTGCACCCGCAAATGCAGAGATGGGTGAGACCCGTGCCGTAGCATTCACGACTGATCCTTCAACACCGATGCAATTCTAGGCAATCGATGTCGACCCTTGCACAGGCATCGAGACCGAGCGAGACTTGCAACTTGCTCAGCCTTTCTCGCAGAATGCAGGTGATGTTTGGGGCAAGGCTCTTTTCAGGCTTGGGAAAGTGAATACCCAACCGATGACAAAGAACGTTGGATTCAGGTTGCTGACTGGGACGTCAACTACCGCCAATGGACTGAAATCCGGGATTTACATCCAGCCTGTCTTTATCTTCATCTTCCCTGAGTTGCTTGTATTTGGCGATCAAATGTTCCCATTCGGTACGTTTGATCATAATTTGATGTATGGCGATCATCGGCTGACGATTTTTAGAATTCGGTGATTTTCCCTTCCTTGCGCAAGGATCGGGTCCCTTCATCGAGGCTCTTCCCGGCCCAATGATCGAAGCCGCGATGCCCCTCGTCGGCCAATCAAGTCCGTGGCCTGGCGAAACATCCCCAGGGACAACAACATGCCCTATTGTGACACCCACGACAACTACCCCTACAGATAGCACAACTCTCATGACTGTCACATCCACTTCATCCACAGCAGCAACTACGACTGCTGTCACGCAACGCGATACGGTCACCATTCTCAGTGTAACAGAAGATAAGGGTCAAGGGACAATTCGCTACACAATCACGGCAATCAGCTCTCACAATACGGATCCTTTGCCTATATTGATAGCTACAGGAACAGGTGTGAATCCCTTGGGCCAGAGCGAGATGACTTCTCTTGGTGGTGGCAATTACGTCTTAGATGTTGCCGTAAAGCATGGACTGGATACTATCACAGTCACTTCCAGTCATGGAGGTCAGATGACGTTGACCCTGTGAGTTGTCGCGATATCTCTTGATTTGAGGGGAGATTTGGCTCGAAGGGCGCGAATGTGGAATTCTTCCCCAAATTTTGCAAAGGATCAGGGCATGGACTTCCTCTTTCCTTCCAAAGTGCCTCACCGAAGACATTGAATATCTCGCAGCAAAATTTCAGAATCAAGATAAGTTTGGATACAAAGTTAATTTTTCCGCCTATATCTCTGTTCTATGTATATATAGAGATACATATAATCATATCTTCAATTTGAGCCATGCCCTACGGGAAAGAGGTAACAGGCAAGGGCAGCGCATCTGTGCCTACACTCCATCGACTATCAGCACCATCCACGATCATAACTTTTGCGACTTACACTCTATCATGTCCTGGATCTGATTGACTCCAGCTAGGCTGAGCCGCAGGTACGCCCTCGAGAAGTGCTCTATCCAATCCTCCTGACGAACCGCATATCCATTCCATTCAGCCTGGAGCGGTCCATACAAGCTTAGAGCTTTATCAAATGGAAAGGTCAAGATTCCTGAACCTGCATTGAAATCCGATCGAATCGTGTCCTCATAAAAATTGGTGTCCCATACACCTGGGGCTGAATCCTGAGATTCTCCTGCCCGCGTGGTGTTGAATGAGAATTGCCTGCTCACACTGTGGGCGCCGACCAACGCAATGAGGTCGATTGGCCCAATGTTCTTATCAAAAAAGAGTGCCAACAGCGTCTCAGCATCAGATGTAGCACTCGGAAGAAGTCCATCAGGCGCGGCTTGGGTTGCTTCTTTCCGACCAATGAATGTTCTCATCCGCGGTCCTAACGGGCAGGTTACGACTGCATGAGCCGCTGCAAACTGAATCATATCAGCGACTCGAACCTGGGATTTTTTCGCCAATTGGCCAAGAGTATTAACAACAGCTTCTAGCCCTCTGTTTGAAGGGCGACTGGTTTCGCCAAACAGATATATGGAACCATCGGCTCCACCATAATCCTGCCCTGCAGCGGCCAAGGTTGACGACCATGCTCCGGCATCATGAAAACCTGCTCGAACAGTAGCTCGGGCATAATCATTGCATTCTCCACTAGAATTGCTCTTGAATAAGCCGGTGAGCATAATGGATATCTGAGCCCTGCTATCTCCGTCAGGAACACCCAAACTTTCGAAGGAAGTAGACACTACCATTCTTGACAGGGATGCATTGTATCTTTCGGGTCGACCGTATCTATAGAACTGCCTTGAGCGCTGATGTTAAGCTGCAGGATCTGAGCTATTGACCTGCCGACATCGGTAGTAAATACAAGACTTGCTAGGTCTCCTGGTAGGGGAACACCATCGACATAACCCGTTCGGTAGTCAATGATTATATCATCAACGTCGGTATAGACCTGTTTAATGTAGCAGGAGAAAAGTAACAGTACAGTAAACATAGGCTTCATTGTTGGGGTTGGAAAAAGTGCAAGTACGAGAATCTGTCAAAAATTGCTGGCTTTTATGGCTTATAGGGTGCATTAACGTTATTGGAATCAACTCCGATGCCCCACACTGGCGCGTATTCGGCCAAGAGAACTTCGGCGGGCAAGAGTGTAACAAACCGTTTCTCAGCGCTGATTATTCTTGAACTCTTTGCAGATAGTCATTACTTTTCATGTCTCGACTAAAAGGCAGCTTTGCCTCTGACGCGGTTCGGGTCGTTTTCGGCTTGAACAGGTGCTAGCGCTGGAATCTGTGTCTTCGCAACTAAAAAAGCAGGAGCGTACAACTTTCGCTCCTGCTTCAAACAGTTGGCACCCTGTCCGGCAGTGAGCCATATAATTCAAGTTAAGCAAAATTTAACCTGACGCGGTGAGGCCTTGTGGTTAAAAATGATAATCGTCACGTTGTTACGACCTGAACGTTCATTGAACTTGATTAGAAATTTGACCTTATTATTATTCTTGAGGGGACTTTGGACTTTAAACTATATCTGATGGGACATGCAGGAGTCGGCACACCTCACTATTTTTGTGTTCTGAATCCCTATTTTTTTGCTTCTCGCGTGTCGCAGGAAGGCCGTGGGAAAGTGCATCACCACTGAACCGCCGGACCTTCGACATTCACATTTTCGCTTAATTACTATAATAACCCAATTTCACATGTCCGGACCGGGATTACTTTTCTCCACTTTGCCACAGCAATTTTTACCTGACAACACGGAGCTAGATAAAAATCGGGATTCTGGTTTTAAATGCGGGTAAAGCACTCCTAACCAACGTCAGTCCTGTTTGCTTTATAGAAGTTAAGTACTAATAATTAGTTGCTAGATTACTATATTTTGAATACTGAAGAGATCCAAGCCGTATTGTTACGAACAGTAATTACGATAGGCCCAGCAAGCGAGCTTGCTGGAGATACTTCGGGACAGGAAGGTCCCAGGTGCACGGGATCAGCGATCACGTGACGGACCGAGAGCACCGACGACGGCCCTCTCGGCCCTGAGCAGGAAGGTTCTATATAAGCAGATAGTTTTCCATAGTAGATAGGAGCTTCGTGCTCAACTCAAATATAGTTTCTTAACAACAAGCTATTAGTAACGAGATTGCATTTCTCTTCAATCTATTCTTCTTTGATCCCTTATCACCTCAACAGCCAACAATCCAACAGTCAGGCAGGACCGTTACACGTATATTCTATTAGTATGTCGAAATAGCCCAATTATTTCCAGTCTATGGCCGTATGTGAAAGACTTACTGCTTGTTTCGGCTTATGAAAGGTTTCAATAATGCATGGATTCATTGCTGCTTTTTGAGGCCGGCGAAACTCAGAGGCAACGCACCGGTCTGTGCACTGAGAAAGTCCCACTAGTATGTTCTCAGGCACCCCATAATTGGTATCCCTTTATGTGTGTATATAATTGTACTTTCTCCTTAATTTATCATCAAATCCAGTCAATCCTTTTCCATCTCATAGCTAGCTTCAGACGATCTCGGAACCTCGACATGTTCCGAAGTCTACACGGGGTCGAGCGTACGGGTCAATTCTCCCCGACTTGCTATGCGGCTCTTTTCCCGGACGCTCCCCCGCTCAGACTTCTGGAAATTGAACATGGTCATGTACCTCCAGACCTGGCCTCCAATCCCCAAGCAGTAATCTATCACGTGATATAACTCTCGTGACTCTGCCAAGGTTCGGCGATCCTCGCCCTTATGGATTCGTAAGAGTTCAGCCCATTTCCTCCCCGCTCCACATCCCCTAATATCCACTGTCTCCAGATTCCACGTCCAAACATTTAGCCATACAGCATCGTCCTCCGCAATCGCTACTTTCATCGCCCCACCTTACACCAAGCCGTTATGCGTCTTCTTAGACTGCAGGACGACGGTTGCCTGATATTCACAAGGGACCTCATTGACAATACCCCGCATTTTAAGTTACATGAGAACCGTTTTAGATTCAGGGGAGGCCATTGGGACACAGAGAGCAGAAAGGTGGTGTGAACAGCTGGCTCGTGGAGCTGCGAGTGCCCATCACCAAGGGTTTGTGATAGGAAATTTAGGGGAGATTCTCAAAGATGGTGTGGGTTTGGACCAACATGACAATGTCATATTGTATCGGTTCCAGACGAAGTTCTATTACGATGAAAAAAGGCAGAGAGTGTTACCACCAGAATATTACCACAAAGCCGTACCCAAAACCATGATTCCAGCGCTCCCGGAGACAGATATCTATCAACTAGGCCTCTTCCTCTGAAAAATTATGACACCATCGCACCTCCGTATAGAAGCATCTCAGAACGACACTTTGAATTGCAAGATGAGAGTTGGAAATGACCTGAGCCTTCTTGGAGGAGATATACCGCAATACATGCAAGATATCATTGCCGCATGTCGCGCCAAAAATCCGCACGAAAGACCGCCTGCGCGAGAGCTCTTGATCAAGTTCCAAATAAGGACAGAAGGATGTCTTGAGTCACGTTCACAAGCTCGAGCGCCAGAGAAAGAAGAACAAATTCCACCTGAGCTCAAGAAATGCAAACTAACTTAACTGGTCGGCCAACAACTGGCTGCAGTCGAATGCCTGGAGTGACAGAGGAGAGGATCCGCAAGGGATGGGCCCAGAAATGGATTTGTGTTGTCTGCATGGAGGGAGAATCAGAGTCTTGTTGCAGGTGTACTATCTGTTACGCGGGAGACTTTATGCTATGCACACACTGTTTTTCACGTGGAGTTCATTGTAGGGACGACAGGCATCACCTGACTAGAGTGAATGGAAACCAAGCCGAAGAAAACTACTACACAAGTGTACAGGTGTCTAGTCAGAGGCATATCGTTACTCTGTAACCTGAGGACAGGCAAAACGCTCTTGGGCATATCCTTCGACGCTAGTAGTAGCACAGAACCTCAGGATGCACCGTATCAACGGGGCGTCGGCTCTGACAGGGCATGAATAATGTACGATTCACAGAGGTGGATATGGATACCGCCTGCATACCGACAGAAGCACTCCACGGATTCGGCCGCGGCGGAGCGTACGTTTGGTATCGCGGGCCGACTCTGGAATGATATGGATATGCAAAGTAAAGGCGGGCGGGTCTGAGTCTGAGTCTGGCTAAGGGTATCTGTCCCACTTGTAACATGTCATAATCGATGCGCCTTCCATCTGATCAACATACTTCGTTACATAGTGTGCGGAAGGGCATTTTTCTCGTTCTTGTTATCCCTGAACGGCCACTTCCCCTTCTTTTTTTCTTCTCTCTTCTTTTTATTCTTGGCTCTCTATTGATTAAGCTAAAATTTCGGGAAAGTTCCGGTAAGCTTAGTCATGCCCCTTGGGCGCAAGAAGAATTAAATGAGGGCGAGATCAAGAAAACAGAATGATACTGGAACTCTTACTGCAATCAATCATGGCAAAGCGTTCAGGATTCTGCGAACACTGGCGGCGCGAAGACTCATACAGACGGAAAAGCTGCGGAGGAGGGCGTTTAGCACGAGCTATGACGATGCGGTAAAGCGCTCGTCGAATGCCATTAAACAGGTCGGATCTCGCCAACCATTGTTCAAGACGAAAGAGGTGATCTTTGTGTCCACGATGGACTTTCTTGGGCAACGTGACTCTGTGATGGCTGACTGGTTGGCGTGTGCTGGAAGCGGATTAATTGTGGTTGTTCCGGTGAGATTGCACGGCGCTGGAAACCCGGTTGTTTGGATATTTGAAACTCCTACTACTTTCAAGGCAGGCCTGTCACTATCTATGAGCTTAAACTTAACAGCTATCAAGCTGCTTGAATCAAACATCTTCACCACCAAGTAGACAGTTCATGAATCATACAGATCCTCCAAATTTGGCGGGTAGATTTCCTGGGAAAGTGAAAATTGACTTTGATAGTGCCTCATGTCACAGTGCACGAGACGATAGAATTCACGTCTACTTGCGATTGCGGCCTTAACTCGGGGAATCACCATAAATGTGTCTCTGCAGCAAGTAGAAGGTGAGGCGACTCCCTCCACATTCGAAATTTCTCAGCAGATGACACCGAAGACTATCGCTGCTCTGCTTAGGCGCTACCTCACATATGCCCCACACTCTACACAGTCGTCATTAATATATTTACGGCAGTCATCTCCCCGTGGGGTGTGCCAAGTCAATTAGTCCCTCAATGACAGTAATTTGCAATTCGCTGTTTCGGAACCTCGGTTACAGAAAGAGAATATCCTATTCAGCCTCAACGAAACTTTTCGAATTTACCTCAGCCTGAGATGGAAAACACCGATCACCTACCAATCTAGGATAGTCAATGTACCATACTAATCTATTCCTCGCAGGTGACCTTTTCAAGCTGTCTAAATGAAAGCACAGATGGAAATGGAACTAAACACATGAATCTGTATATAAGGTGCGAATCCTCTAAACCTCGGGAAGGATAGCATCCACAGCCTAACGTCTTCAATAACACCCAAAATGCAGTTGTTCACTATTCTTTTGGCTTCTGCCTCTGTGGTTCACGCCCACTACAACTTCAACGCCCTGATTTATGCTGGCAGCACTCAAGCGACTTGGCAGCAAGGTATGCACTTTATCCCGTACATTTTCTCTGCTAAATATTTCGCAGTGAGAAAGCGATCCGACTCGGACAGCCATGGACCGATACTAGATGTTTCATTGCTGGATATTCGATGTGGAAAGGATGCATCCACCGCATTTGCTCCAGGCATCTTGACAGTGGCAGCAGGAGACTCCCTGGGCTTTGCTGTTGACCCAGATATTCAGCATCCTGGTCCAGCTATGGGCTACTTGGCTAAAGTTCCAGCTGGCAAGACTGCTGCGAACTGGGATGGGGCCGGTGCTGTCTGGTTCAAGGTTTGGGAACAAGGCCCTACCGCGCTCAACTCGAACGGAGGAGTCTGGCCTTCAAGCGGCATGCATTACCTTCCTGTAGCTTGTATGAATTTGCTGCTAATAGCGAATAGGTCTGAAGGCTCTCAACTTTACGATCCCAAAAGCTACACCATCCGGTGATTATATTGCACGAATTGAGCATATCGGTCTTCACGCTGCTAGTCAGAAGAATGGTGCACAATTTTACCTTTCTTGCTCACAGGTTACGGTTACAGGCGGCGGTAGTGGAACCCCAAGCCCATTGGTTTCGTTCCCTGGAGCCTATTCAGCAACTGACCCTGGAATTCTGATCCAAATCTACTACCCTGTGGTTCGTTGCTCTTTTCCCGACTGTGAAAATGTTGATACTAATCATCTACGTGTAGCCAACTACCTACACCATTCCTGGGCCAAAGGTCTGGACTGGATAGGTAGGGAAACAAACAAAGCGGACCAGAATGTCTCCAACTTCTGGGCTTTTGGCGATATAGACATTGCAGCTGTAGCTTCCGAAATCAAAGTAGCTATTGTTACTGGGACCAAGAGATGGAGCTTCCAATAATGTATGCATGTGTGTGAGCAGCCTGAGCAGAGCGGCGATAGTGAAGAGACAGTGGTCTAAATTTTATTTTACTACCTCATTTAGCATCAGCGGGCGGATCATGAATTTCTACCAAGATCTCTTTGCAAATTCTTCATCACGTCTCTGACTACCAATTTTCCAGTCTTCATCAGTCTTATCTCCAATGATTCCGACAAACAATTAGAGCTTCAATAGACTACTTTTCCGTGATCTAGATATGAGACCCCATTGGGAAGGTACAGACAGATCTTTAACGGACCTTGAGCTCATTGGGCACCAAGACTGAAGCAACCCTACGATGAGGCACGGGTACAATGTAGGATCGAGTATTGATATATCAAATTCAATTACAGCAAAATAGATATAAAAACTGTCTTATGCAAAGTTCACCAGAATTCTCGTACCAGTCGGCGATGGTGTTGCACTGCCCATGGTAAAGTTCGGTGCCTGGTTGGGCAAATATAAGATTTGCAGAACAGGCTCGATAATTGGCCTAGCTGTAACCTCTGTAGTATTGTTACAATACATTCTTTTTTCAACTTGAGATTGTTTCGAAGAATTATCAGACTCACGCATGCCAAAGAAGAGCATGAGTAAATCTCCAAGCCTCATTCAGCGACCTAAAAACATCTTTGATAGTACGTGCATTGCAAAGACGGGTGAGATAGAAATTCTTGAAATAATAGAAGCTGAATGCGTGAGTTGTTGAACAAATTCGTGCTCTAAGTGCCGTGGCGCTCTTTGTTATGCTCTGAGAGACTATGTTTTTTGGTGATGCAGAAATGCTAGAAGTACTTGGAAAGCATATTATATAAACAGTCACCGTAAAATGGACCAGGAGGTGGGCCAAGATGGGAATGGATTTTCATGGTAAGACTAAAGTTGATGCCGGGAGCTAGCTCCCGGCAGTACTCCAGATTTTATTAGTTGGAATTAGCTGAAGATATATGGATCCAAGGTTCTCTTACCGACATGTTCGTCTGGACTTCAGAAATTCAAGGTTAAACAGAATTATCCCAGAATATTATGCGAACGCCATTTTCTGTATTAACTAAGCCTAGAGTATAACTTCGGTAGCGTCAGGATTTTGCGTTGTGCTGTAATTTACTCCACATAATTAATATACTAGTCCAATCAATACCACCACATAACATGCAAACAATCTCATCAATACAACATCAATTACTCATCCTTTTCAAATATTATGGAAGAGCATGCATTCCTCCGACCACGTAAGAAATTTGGTGCAGTAAGAATGCGGTCTCCTCAGAGTAGTAAAGGGGCGTATTCGCTAAGCGAGCTGGCGCTCGCTAAACTCTTGGGCTACTAAGTACTCACTTCCAATTCAGATCAGGGATTGTACGACGCGATCTAAGCTTTAATCTTTAATCTTTGCTTGGATGGGCGGAGAATTTTCTCACAGGAATAAGTTCTTACGATCGCGACTCCACATCCACGAGGTTGAGATTCCTAACCCGTATAATCCATTGCACTTCAGCTTTCGCTTCACAACTTTTGGGTAATTACAAGTAGGCGCCAAAATGGCGGCGTCTTATGTCCAACTTTCTTTCTTCTAGTCTCCAGGCAGTCTTTCCGCTAATCTGAATTTATCGCCGATGAGGTAACCTAATTATATGAAAATGAGCATCAACATGAACAATGACCAAACACTTCGCTTGAATAGTATCGAATTGCAGTAATCCCCCACCTTCTCCTTGTGTAATAACAATTATATATGGCGTGGAAGGATAGCGCGTAAGATTGCAGACCCAAGAATAGAGGTAGGTTTACAAATAACCCGATGAGACAGAATTTCGAAATTTATATCCAAAACTGCAGCCCAAAAATAGAGCAATGCTTATGCCATTGCCTCAGGCATATATACATATGCAGATTATTCACTCACTCGGCATTGAAGAATCTCCTGACTATTCCACACAAGGAAGATTTCCATCTCTACAACCATCCTACAAACACTTTTGTAATCTATCAATTCTATTTTGATGAAGCTTGTGTCTCCAAGATGGAGATAAAGTTCCAGATCATGTCTGATCTTCATCTTGAGACTCCCAAAGCCAGGCCGAACTACGAGCACTTCAAGATCCAGCCCGCATCTCCATACCTAGCCCTAATCGGTGATATCGAAAACACATGGGATCCTCGATTGTTCTCTTTCCTCGAGGAGCAATTGCAACATTTCGAAAGAGTTTTCTACCTTCTTGGCAATCACGAGCTATACGAATCGACCATATCTGTAGCCCAACAAGCTGTTCGCTCTTTTGCAGATGAAATGGAAAAGATCCGCTCGCAACCAGGAACAAACATTGGACGATTCGTATTCTTAAATCAGACAAGACTTGATCTCACAGACCACGTGACTGTCCTAGGATGCACCCTCTTCTCGAGCATCTCCAACGAACAACGCCAATCAGTAACTCTTTTCTGCTCCGACTTCTCCGAGATCGAAGATTGGACGGTTGATGCCCACAATGCCGCACATCAATCTGATCTCAATTGGCTCAATGAGCAAGTCGAGCTCCTCGAACGCCATGAGCCGCACCGTAAGATTGTGGTCTTCACCCATCATAGTCCGACACTTCTTGAAGAGGCAAACGATAGTAGACATCTTGAAGATGTGAATGGCGTGAACTCGGCGTTTGTGACTGATCTCTCGGATCAGCAGTGCTGGAAGAGCGACACTGTTAGGATCTGGGCCTTTGGACATACGCATTTCAATTGCGATTTCGAGGAAGCCGGAACGAGGAAACGAATTGTGGCGAATCAGAAAGGGTACGGAAGGACCGAATTGGAGACATTTGATCCAGGTAGGGTGATCGAAGTTGATTCAGCAGAGTTCGAGGTGGACGCCAAAACATGAATGTTGGCACAACTCAGAACACTGCGGCCAATACTTGATTTCCAAAAAAGCAAAAACGGCCCCCCATTCTGGCCAAAGTTGTGCTGGCTCCACTCCCACTCCATGTGCCGAGTCAAATAGTCACGTGTATAGTGAAGAGTGGCGGAGTAGCGATGCGAAACTTTAGCGATAAAACATCCTATCAGAGGCGAGAGGGGAGACTAAAAGTAAACAATCCGCGGTGTCTTGAAACATCGATGCAAGGTTCTCCCCAGAGCGACTCGTCTTTTTCCGGATTTTATGTTGCGCATGCAGGCCAGGTAATCTCGCAAAGCTCTTGGCATGAATGCGATTGCCCATGACGATATCTCCCCTTGATCAAATGCATACAGAAGAGGGGCTGAGTAGATGAGGTTGGGTGGTCATGAATGACAACAGAGCAGAAGAGGGGGGAGATGGAGGTCGATAAATATTGCCTTGTCCTCTGCTCACAGAGACTCCTTTCCTCTCTTCTCCCACCCTCTTTCCTCCATCAAATTGGGCAGACTCACTCACTCACTCACTTACCCCTTACATTCGTTATTCCTCAATAAACACTTCCATCTCTTCATCTCAAAGCACGATGCATCCCTCAACTCTCCTCCTTCTCATCCTCACTTCCGCCCTCCCGACTTCGGTCCTTGCAACTCCAAACCCAATCCCATGGCTGTGGCCCAGCAAAGGCTGCGACGATAACTCTGGCTGGCGAGTCCGACGATGGGACAAAACGACATGCACGCCTACTTACACCGTGCCAGTGGAGACCACAAAGCCTTGCACCACCACAACCCCTCAACCAATTCAAAAAACAACAACACCATGTGACACGACCAGTATCACCGTGATTCCGCCTCAAACGGAAACTACGAGTGTGGTCGTCACGAGCACGGCGCCATGTGAGAAGTGCTCTGAGACCAAGACACAAACAACAGTGCCAGTCCAGACAACAATTCCAGTGCAGACATCGATCTCGGTGGTGACATCGGTACCAGCGAAGAGCACTACACTTCTCACCAGCACGGCGCCATTTCCTATTACGAGCGAGAGTGCGACTAAGACGACGAAGACCTCAGCAGTGGGCACTACTAGCACGATTGCAAGTACAAGTTCCGCTGTCTTTACTGGCGCTGCTGTGGATGTCAAAGGAGGACCATTTGGAGTGGGACTGGGCGTTGTTGGATTTGCGATTGCGTTTGCTTTGTGAGTTTGAGAGCGGGCAGTGAAACACATGTACTTAATGATATGTATGGTTGGCAAAGAAGAAGAGGAGAGTAATATCTTAATTGACACTTTGTTTCATGCATTGAATAGTCTGTACAGATGTGTTCCGTTCTATTCACGTAGAGGTGTATAGAGAGCTCTTGCCAAAGAACACATGATTGTAGAGTGGGTGTTTTAAAAGAAAACTGCTGTAGACGTGCATGCTCCGAAGTTAAAAATGATGACTCGATGCGACTATTTTGGGACTGGAAATTGGAACTTGTAAATCACGACTCTGCAGTCCCCTACTAATCATTAGATAGCCATTCTCAAGAGGACCAAATCTCGATTGTCTCAAGATTCTAAGATGTAGCTCCTGTTACGAAATCACTACAAGTGCAGGGGTATTAGCGGGTCGAGAATTTTCAGAAATTCTAGTTTCTATTCCTCAGTACTAGAGTCCATGAATGTATTGTTGAGTTGGACAGAAGCTGGCATCGATTGATTCCTGATATGTGGCCAATCCTTTCTTTAGGAGCGAGTACAAATTATCTTTCCTGTCATGAACGATTTCTCGTGTCCTCTTAGCGCCCGTTGCTCAGATGTTCTAAAGGTGTTCTAAGGCTTGTCTCAGGCAACCTGTGTCCAAATTCGATTGAGATTTCTTCCTTTGATAGATGATGGCTTTTGAACCTCTGTGAATCACTCATGTCCCGATACTTACTGGCCCGAGTGTTGTGAATCATTGAGCCCTTAACCCAGATCCCTCACACTTGAAGCTCCGTGAATCATCAATGTCCTAGATATTAGTCGTTCAAATGTTGTGAATCTATAGAACTTGTTGACTTAATCCTCACCTCGAACTTGACTATAAAATCGGTTCTATTTTCTTCTTTGACCATGATCTTTGGTTCATAAAATTCTCGATTGTCTTCATCTAAGGACACTTCGTTACTTTGTGCAACTGGGCTCTTCATTTCTAAGCCACAGCATAAAATGCCTTCTTCAAAGTCATCTTCTTCCAAAGCTTCTTCTTCCAAATCATCTTCATCGAAATCATCTTCTACCTCCAAGGGACCACATCTGCCCCACAAGTTTAAGTATGACAAAGAACGCATAATGAGTTGTTTCCCGCTCCAATTATGTGCCAATTGCATAGCTACTGATTTTTCTTGCAAGAATAATTGGCCAAGGTCAGACGAAAAGCCTTGCTCTACATGTAGCAGGTATCACCTAATGGGCGCGCATGACTCGAACCTTTATGATGGACGGTTACAATTTGAGCTCAGTCCTTCATATCTTACAACGCTAGATAGCAACGCCAGGAATCAAAACATAGTCGCACGTGCTAATTCCCTTTCTGATCTTGACCTGATGGGGGAGCTAATTGACATATTTGGCGACAGTGCCATGAATCGGCTCGAAGCAGCAACGATTGAAGGTCTCATGGAAAAGACAATATCATCATTTCGAGACACCGACTATTGCAACGCGCTTGTCGACATCATCAAGACTTATTCAAACGTCATTAGATGCAGAAAGATTGTTGCCTTTGGCGGCGGTTCGATGGCTCAAGCTAGTACTGGCAGCTACAGGCATAACGAAGCTGTATTGAGGATTCAAACTCAACATGCAGCACTATGGATCATTCGACGCACTTTAGAGTCCATCCACAATCATAATATTGACATTTATCTCCAAGATCCTGATTACACGGATAACGATCTCAAAGCCGCTGCCAGATTCAATATGAAGATTCTCAATGGCAGACCTGGCTTCCAAAAAGGATGGCTTGAAATCGACGAGTCAACGCTAGTTGTTAATCTAAGCACCGGCTTCAAATACTTCTGGCATTTGATTTCGGAGATTTCAAGGTCAATCGCTATGCTAAGCCTTGGCGGAATTCGAGTTGAATCAAGTACTGGTAGTAGTGTCCATAGATTGGTGGTTGACTACGAAAAAATCTCTCTCTCCAATTCAGATAAGGACGAAAAGGCACCTCTTGGCGGGCTTGTGCTCTACGCCCGGAAATAGAAGATTGATCCAGAGAGGACTTCGAAAGTTCTGTAAAAGATTAGTATCGGTATTGCGATGCATTTTGATACGAACGTTGACGATTTACTGCAAAAAGGTAAAAGTTGGTCATGGGCCGGAAAACAGCGATGAACTTTATGCGATGAGTTTCCAGTCTAAGAGTATGAAATGACCTTTCGATGAGTAATTCTAAGATTACAGTTCGAAAGAATTGTGCATTGACAAGTAATTTTGACGGCACGTGTTATTCTTAGACATAACATGTAAGAGCTGAGGCCACCGGGAATGGCCCACTTAAGCGAGACGCGGTAACGCGTAAAAATTCTATACCCCATTTTAAAACCCTTACTACACAACAACCCTCTTAGGAATCAGTCCATAATTCAAGATGGAGACACCTCTTATCCTAAGTGATCCTATCGAGAAAGAGAATAATGAATGGCCTACCCCTGCACGTGCAGTCATTCGATCCCTATAGCGCCAGGGAAAGTCGCAACGCGAGATTGTCTCAGAGACCCATATCCCTCGAAGAACAGTACGCCGCATTCTTAAGCAGGAATCTAGTCGGAGAGAGCGCAAAAGAAAGCTCTCTAGACACCATCTCATGTCTATATGCGACATACGTTGTTGCATTCGAACCATTTCCAAAAACTGGAGCTCTAGGCGCATGACTTTTGAGGCTCTCAAAAAGCAACTACCCTACCTACCCTCGGTGCGCACCATTCGTCGAGAATTAGCCCGGGCTGGCTACCGCCGCTGCATTGTATGCCCTCGACCATATATTACCCTCAAACAAGCTAGGAAGAGATATGTATTTGCCAAGGAGCATAGATGGTGGGGGACATCAGACTATGTAGCTCATAGAGATGATGGCAAGCAAGGAGGGGACTGGAGGAAGGTTGTATGGTCTGATGAGGCTATATTTGAGACTGGGAAGAATGGCAGGATATATGTGACTAGGAGGGTAGATGAGAGGAGGTGGCCTGACTGCATTAAGTCAGTCTACAGGTCAGGGAGGACAACGGTCATGATATGGGGGGCATTAGGTTGGGATTACAAGTCGCCATTAGTCTTCCTAGAGAAGCTTCCAGAACGCAAGGGCATATGTTCTAAAGCCTATCTACAGCAAGTTCTTCAGCCTATAATCTTCCCTCTCTTTGATGATCTAGGGCCGGAGTATATCTTCATGGAAGACGGGTCTAAGGTGCATAAAGGGCATGCCAGATTACCTAGACTACAGCACAATATCCGAGGGTTTAATTGGCCTCCTTCTTCACCAGATTTGAACCCTATTGAGAAGGTCTGGAGGTGGATGAAGGAGGAATTGAAAAACTTGGACTATGTGCCCAAAAATAAGGTGGATTTGAAGAGGGAGTTGCAAAAGCTATGGGACCGAGTTGACCCACGTGACTTTCGCTACTACACTGAGCAATTGACTTGTAAGATTGAGGATGTAATTAAGTACAAGGGTATGGCTACTATTAATTAATAATAAGTTCCATTTTCACAGAGATTCATAAGAAGACTAAAAAATTATGATTTTTGGTAAATAAGGTCTCATTTGTTGAGTTTCGCTTAAGTGGGCCATTCCCGGTGGCCTCAGCTCTTACTAAACATTCAATCTGGTATGGTATTTGTCTCTGAGGTCAGAACAGGCTCAGCCCTTCTCGTCTTGAAACTGAATTCGGGTCAAATTAGGGCTTCTCGCCTACAGAAGAAACTCTATACGCAGTTCTTTTGCCAAAGTAATCACTTCAGGCTATTAGTTGCCATGATCATGAAACAGAAGACAGAGTTTAGCTTACTTGGTAGCAACGTGATCAACGGAACGACTGTGTAGAGAAGGTCCTGTCAGTAAAACATCTACTATCTACTACATCTTGAAACGCAAAGCTTAGGTTCACGTACTCATCCCAAATAGCGATGTCATCTTTGCCCCAGCGATTTCGAACTTGGAGGTCGTGATTCTCCACGAACAGCTGCTTGACTAGTGTTGTCTATCAGTATGACGTGGAGATCAGAGACAATTTTTACATACAATAATCCTTCAGTATCTCATTTTCCCGCTCTGTGACACCGTTTATCCACCCATCTCGAGGCGAATTTACACCCGTGAAAAGACTCTTCCACCTACTTTACATTAGCCAAAACGCAATCTCTCAAACAGCAATCCACTGACCCAGTGACAGGATTTGTTCTCACAAGTGGACTCTCACATCAGCACTTCTCCATCTCTAACTCGTCATGATAAAACTCACTGAACAGCCTCATAAGCATCCTTATCCTTACCTACCACATTCTCAGGATGGCCCCTCGGCCCCTGCACAAGCTCAAACCCCCCTTTCTTAGCCTGTACATGAAAATTAGGATTCCGATGCGTAGCAGCAAGTCTATCTAACGTCTTCTGGAATATAGGGGATAGGCGATCATAAGCTTCCTATCCCGAAGCCCACAGCATGGATGGGCTGCGCCAAAGAAACTCACCTGGAAATTTGTCAAGAGGATTTATACTGGGTGGCATCTTTGGGCGTTCATCTTTCCATACCTGTAAACACATTTTTCTCTCATGTCAATGCCTCTCATTCAAATTCCGAGCTGAAAGCAACTAGAATGGTAGCAAGCGCAGGTCTCGGTCCCTCATTCTTCAACCTATGGCTGAAGGCAGAGAAATACAGTATCGTGCTGGTCAACACGATTCCCACCGCAGGCAGCGCACTCCAAGTCATCTTCGCGTTGATATTTGGCACTATAGCAGATGCAACTGGAAAGCGCATGCATAATTGCCGCTAATACAGCTTCCTTATTGACGATAGTGGCCAATATCATACTTGCCATCTGGTACGTGCCGAAAGGGGGACTCTGGTTTGCATTCTTCTTTTCTTTTGTTCGAAATTCGGTTCAGCCGGTTATCATAGTGAGTGCACCTCCTTCTTTCGAATAAGGTGGTGGTGACTGATGGGTTATCTAAGCTTGGGGACACGAGATGATGCAGCATGATGCAGAGTGGAGGCAGCTTTTGGTGGCCACGGGAAATATTTCTACGTACACTTTTAGTGCCTGGCTTCCTGGTAATTTACTCCTTCCGAATTCCGGGTGTGGAAGAGTAATGCTAAAGATATATCACAGTGGTCTTATTTCCAACTTACGATGCACCGCATTATAAGTACGCCTACCAGATAATGATCATGTTTGGCGTGCTGTCAATTTTTGGAACATATCTGCTACACTATGTTTTTAAGAGGGAACTGTGAGTTTTGCGTCTGTGTAAACATATGTTCACGAGAGAAAATAAGCTAATGTCATCGAGGGCCACAAAGAACTTTCAATGCACGGCCCCCTCTGGCCTTCTGTGATTTGCTGTGCTGGCGAATCCTGATTGTCTGACTGGGTCGTTTAGCAAAAACTAGCGGCCGCAGGAAGTTGTGTTCTGAATCGCAGCCTCTCAAGGGCGGAAAAAAGCGGCCGATTTTGTCACAGTGTCTAAATCTGACAAGAACAAGATATTGCACACAACAAACTAATTAAGCAAGTAATATTTTTTGATAGAAAGATAAAATACCTTATTGAGAAGCGTAGTTACCAATATTCTTGATATTAGAGTGTTTGTTAATATTTAATATCAAAATTGGTAGAGGACTTTTTAGTGTTCTCGCGTGTCAAAATCGGCCACTTTTTTCCGCCCCTGAGAGGCAGCTTAAGGGATAGTCGTTGATCACAGCGTTGAAGAGATTAGCGAAGCGTCGGATCTGCCTGGACCAAGTGGTGATAGAAAATGAGAGTCTTCCCACAGCTCGTCACATTAGTCTCGTTGAAGTAAAGAAGAAAAACTCGAGATCAAGTCCTGTATATCGAACAATACAATCACATCACCGCATAGTCCTCATACCGCCTTATCATACTTTCCAACAAACCCCAAACCCTTCCTCACCAAATCCCCCGGATTCTCCTCCGCACACCAATGCCCACTCCCCCGCACCGTCAACACCTCAACATCCCCATAAAACTCCCTCGTCTGCCCCCCTCGCAACCTGCAACAACAAACTCCTCTCCCCTCCCCACTCAAACTACACGCCGGCACCCTCTCTCTCCCCCTCTCCCCCAACATCCTCCGATTATCCCCCGCATCCCGCGGAAACGCACGATGAAGCTCAAACCCACATCTCATGCCCCCCGGGCTGCGCAAAACTGGTAACGGAATGGTCAAGATCATGAGGCGTGATACCAGCCGGGTTCATCACACAGAGACGATCGTAGAAATGCTTCAGGTAAATACGTTCTCGGCCTTGGCCCGCTACCAACGCTTCGGGGAGGTCGGTCTGCTAGTGGAACGTGAAGTGCCACATCCCGGGGGTGAATTCTTGAAGCCTGATTCATACGGTTTTGATCCGGGGAAGCGGGCATTCGCCCCATGTTACACTCAGCGTGTGTGTTTTAGGAACGCAAACGCGCAGGCGTGAGCGATCATGCCGCCGATGTCGTCGTGGCCGAGGACGTGGATGGGGTTGGTGATGTTTAAGTGAGTCGTGGAGCAGTTTGTGGAGGTCGGATGCCAGGGTCACTTTGTCGAATCCGCTGGCGGGGTGAGAGGACTCGCCTGCGCCGCGGTAAGTCGGGGGCGATGACTGTAGCCTGCTGTGGCGAGGGGGGTGATTACGTGGCGCCATTGGTAGGAGGTGTTGGGGAAGCCGGATGAGGATGGTGGTGCTTTTTTTCGGGGCGGAGAGTCGAGTTGTTGGGGTGTGGTGGGCAGTCGATGTAGTGGATGCGGACTTCTTGAGCTTCGTCGATGAATATGTTGCCGTGTTGCCAGTTAGCGTCGTCGATTTTGGTCGGATTTAAAGAAGGCGTGGTATGGTATCGACTTGCGTCTCTAGACTTGATGAGAGATTTTAGACAAAATGGTTCGCAGGTTACACTTGGAGAGTATAATCCGAAGTGAGAATACATCTCCAGCGGTTTGGTATTCTGGTGATGTCAAGTTTGCGGGGACGGGTACTAGTAATGACCGGTTCGTAGCTAATGCAAGCCAACACTGGACGCAATGTCTGTCTTGCTCTCGCTAAACTGGCAGCCGATGAAAAGGGGGCGGGGCTTTTCTCGCTTACCAAAGGTTTATTTTCCACGGTTCACCGTTCTGCCGCCATAGAGGGTATTGGTTTGCCCAGTACAGTATCAATCATGGCAATTAAAGTATACGCTATCAGTGGGCCTCTTGGAAACAACCCCTTGCACGCTTAAGATTGTGGAGCTTGAAGGTAGAATGGGACCCTTAAACTAGACTTAGCTCGTGTAACCATCTTATTACAATACCACTCAGACTTTATTTTAATCCAGAGTCCACATGACAACCAATATGAACGTCTTGCTATCACCACTGATGCTTCACTTTCTTGCAAGAACCATACATGCTCTCGTCGGATTTCGTATGGCAACTTGCGTTGAACGCCTGACCGTGGATGCTTCATGATAGGTTCGTAACAGCTCTTCGTTTTCATCAACAATGGCAATGTGCTGTCATGGGGCCCTGTTTTGGGAAGGAAGCTGTCTTGCACGGTTTAGTCTCCAGGTAAGTAATCGTAAGATCGCGTTGTTGAAGTTCAGATATATTGTCATGGAGGTTTTTGGGCTGTATGTCGCTAACGAACATGGGGACAAAAGTCCGTGCGTTCAGGCTGTAGAACCTCGAAATTAAAACTCTTCACATTAGGACTAAACTATCAACAACTCCACCATTATGGATCCTTTTACCACTCCACCTATGTCTCCACGTCTCCCAGGTGCAGAGATCAGAACCAAGCACAAAGAGGGCATACGCCGGCTCTTCAAATTCGCTAAAATAGGCCTGCAACAGCTCCAGGGCTACTACCACCTAGGAGACAGCACAGTTAGGAAGATCCTACTATACGATGTGCCTGAAAGAGCGCGCCCTACACGCACAGGGAGACCCAGAGAATCCCTCAATGAACAGGAGGTTAGAGATATTATTGAGTATATTTGCACCAACCATGCAACTAGAGTGCTGAATTGGATCCAAATACACGATGAATTGCAACTCTCTTGCTCTGTCAAGACCCTC